CAGAGACGCATCACAGGACGACAAGCTCGATGGGCAATACTACTAGCAGACTTCGACTTCATATTGCAGTATCGACCAGGAGACAAAGGTGGTGAGCCCGATGCTCTCACCAGAAGGACAGACATGCAACCAGCCGGTGAAGAGCAGGATCACAATGTAAGGCAACTACTGCCTCCTCGAGTGTTCAAGGAGACAGCAGACCATGATTCGCTCCTAGTGGCCCCCATGATCTCGATGGAGTCCATAGCATCAAAAGGTCTCAAAGACCTGGTCAAGATCTTCCAGCCTTTAGACCAAGAGCTACAGGAGATACATAGGAAGAAGCCTTTCGAACTCAAGGATGACCTATGGTACAGTGGAGGAAGATTGGTTATCCCCAAGGTGATCATGCCAGGGAGGACCAACAACCGACACTCAAGGAGTGCCAAAGAGGTAGATGGGCAGTCTCTCTCTGTAGAGCATCTGCGATTCATGGTGATGACCCAATGTCATGATGGTATCACTGCTGGACACGTAGGAAGAGATGCTACCATCAAGGCAGCTCAACGACATTACTGGTGGCCAAACATGACAGCTTGGATTGCAGACTATGTAGCAAGTTGTCCTGTATGTGCTAGGTACAAAGCTCCTCGTCATCGTCCATATGGTTTGCTACAGCCACTAGCAACCCCAGACAGGCCCTGGGGCTCCATATCCCTCGACTTCATTGAAGGACTACCACCATCAAAGAAGTATGACTCCAAGACCTATGACTCTATCCTAGTCATCGTCGACAGGTTAACCAAGTTTGCCATACTAGCTCCAACCCATAAGACAGTCACAGCCAAACAGACTGCAGTATTGCTATATGGACACATGGTTAGACTCTTCGGATATCCAGATCACATGGTCTCGGACCGAGGCAGGCAGTTCATATCAGGAGCATGGAAGGCATTTGCAGAGCAAATGGGTGTGAAGCACTCACTTAGCACGGCCTACCATCCTCAAACTGATGGTCAGACAGAGAGAGTCAATCAGGTCATAGAGCAATATCTCAGGATGTACTGCAACTATGAGCAGAATGACTGGGCCAACCTGCTGGACACTGCGGCCTTTGTATACAACAACACGGTCCACAACAGCATTGGTGTCTCACCATTCTTTGCATGCTATGGATGGAACCCCAAAGCTCATCCTGACATCCCTCAACGACTAGGAGTCAATGATCCAGGTCGCTTCAAGTACCTCATGGATGGAAAGGAGCGTTGCAAGTACCTCCAGGAGCAGATCAGAGAGGCACAACGTAGATCAGTAGACCAGTATAACAGGAAGCACAAGGACATTGAGTTTAAGGTGGGTGATATGGTCTATATCAACCGCCGAAACTGGAAGACACGGAGACCCACACCCAAGTTGGATACCCGGTTTGCAGGACCCTACCCAGTTCAGGAACGAGTAGGACGCCGAGCTTACCGAATCACATTGCCAGCAAACCTTAGGGTGCATGATGTGTTCCATGTCTCCATGCTCGAGCCAGCAAGAACAAGTTCTCTTCCTCAACGTGCTGAACAGCCCACCATGCCACCACTTCCAGATGAGGACCTCGACTTCGAAGTCGAAGCACTCATCGACAAGCGTTCACACAATGGGACTACGGAGTACAAGGTGTTGTGGAGAGGGTACTCAGAGGAAGCTGCTTCATGGGAACCAGTAGAGAACCTCAACTGTCCCGACCTCATCCAGGAGTATGAGGTGTCGGAGGGGGGACGAGTGAGTAGACAAAGTAGAGAAAGGAGGAGAGAACAGGAGGAGTAGAGAGAGGAAGAGGAAGGAGGATGACGTTGAGAGAAGGAGGAAGGATGATGTTGGCGATGTTGTCAAGGAGGAGGAGTCAGCATGAACCAGACCAGAGCATGCCTCGACGGAGCTCGGCTCTTAAGAGGGGGGTAGTGTCATGGGCCTGGATGCTCAAGAAGCAGGAGGGTCATGGGTTCATATGGAAGGAGCACAGGTATCAAAGACCTAGTCGACACCAGTAGAGAGCATGGTCGTAGTGCAGTCTCCATGGAGACCATGGACTCCTATGAACTCACATGCAAAGGAGGGCCAAGCACAGCCACGAGGAGGACCAAGCTCAAGGAGCAGGCACAGCCACGAGGAGGACCAAGCTCAAGGAGCAGGCACAGCCACGAAGAGGACCAAGCTCAAGGAGCATGCAGATGGTTACCACTCAGGGGCTCGAGAGACAGGAAGTCGACACAGGTCAAGAGGAGGAGGAGCAGTGTCGAAGGAGTCGACACAGGTCATGAGGAGGAGGAGCAGTGTCGAAGGAGTCGACACAGGTCATGAGGAGGAGGAGCAGTGTCGAAGGAGTCGACACCACTCAAGAGGAACAGGGGTGCCAAGCAGGAGAGGCCCCTGAGCAGTACTCGATGAAGAAAGTACTCTCTGGAGAGAGAGAGCAGGAGCAGCATCGCTGGCGATGCTGTGAAGAGGTATATAACCATGCTTTCTCATCATCATAGGTCGAGTGGATCCCCATCCACTCTACTCACCATAACTAGTTATCACTTCAGCATAAGTATACATTAGTTTCAGTCAGCATAGCAGCAATCTATCAAGGTTGCTCCTCATCGTAGTGTGTGTGTTGTATCACCACTACCTGACGTCCGAAGGCGCCCATAGCAGGTTAGCGGTCCGGATATCGATAGAACCGAAGGCAGTAGTCCACTGCGGTCCGGGGATCACTTCAAGCATCAAGTCAACACACTGGACACTCGTGTTGACGCCACCAACCTTATCACCAACACCATCAACCTCATTATCATCGACATCACCAATCTCATCACCAACACCATCAACCTCATCATCATCAACACTCACACCAGACCTTGGTGTCATCATAATATTGATATTGATCGTGCCGAGCTACCCCTGAATGGAGTGTCCACAGAGGTCAGCCGAAACCTACGATAGTATATACAACAAACGCCACCTGCTGTCACTGCACAACTTGATAGTCACCGAGTATCTCGAGACAATAGCTGTCGCACAGTTTGATAGTCACCGAGTATCTCGACAGACCGACCTGGGTTTCAGGCGCGAGACCCCTGACAGCATGCTGGCTGCAAAGTGCTGGAAGCTGCTGAGCTTCAGACTCTTAATCAGTTGCAATGTTGGAGTTTTTGCTTGCTATGCTGTGGTCTAAGTACAAGCTTGAGTTCAGAGATCCCCAAGTCTTTCGCTGCTTGTGTGTGAGCAGGACTGCTGCAAAAAAAAATTCATTGGCCGGAATTCCTATGTTGTTACATCTCCCTCAACTGTTACGTCTCCCTCAACTCTTTCTGCGCTGGACCTTCTGCGCAAACCCTGTGACAACACCCTGCAGGAGAGACACTCGACTCATCTAAGGCAGCTCAGTGTCCTCAAAGATGGTGTCAAAGGTATATATAATCATGTTTATAGTCTCAGCTCCTTTTGAATATGATAAGCATTGTAGTTACTACACACCTGTGCGAAGGGAGCCTGATTGTGGCTCCAACCAAGTGGTGTCTATTTTTTTTTAACTGAAAGCAACCATGTCTTGCAGCCGGGAGATGTGGGCCTGACTTGCAACGGGCTGCTATTTGAATTCGATTGCCGGTTTGACTGAGAATAGGCTAAACTACGCCAAGAGCCGTTTTGGCACTTCCAGATAAATTATAGTGGCAATTAGGAACTAGCAAACCAGCAGTCAAGGAAATAGTCGCGCGCGCGTGACATGCCCAGGCTGTATACACCTCCTTTTAAGGTCCCCTCTCGCCTTTTTGAAGTGAAAAAGGCAAGGTCTGGCCCTCTATTCGAATTGTGGACAGGCAGCAGAGAGCTCTCTCTTTCTCTCTCGTCTGAGACTGGCCATTGGCGATGAAATTCAGGTGAATTTCCTGCTGCCGCACAAGACCCTGTCATCTCTCTCTCAATTAGAGCTGCGAATACAAATGCAGCCGCAGTCAGACTCAAAGAAGTCGTCCGCTGAGGTGGGATTGTCTTCTGTTTCTGCTCGTCTGCTTGTCCGCTCATCGGCCTTGGGTCTCGACTCTGTCTTGAGCTGTTGTCACTCCGATACTCGTCTTTTGACAGCAACGAACCTCTGATCGTCCCATCAATCCTCGTGGCTTCAGAGGGTTACGTTTCCCTTGACCACCTCATTCACTCATTCATCTCAAACTTTGCATCCACCTCAAGACTCCTCTCGCCCTCCTGTAACCTTGACAACAACCTTCTTGAACTGTCCATTCCAACAATTGCCTCTTTCGCCTCTCGCCTCTCGCCTCTCGCCTCTCGCATTCCCATCCTTCCCTACTCGCATCGGCATTCTCTCAGGGACCTATCTGGATAAGCCTACCTTTTACATACCCACTTGCCAACCAGTCATCTTTGTCCACCAGCATCGTCTCTAGCCTTCTTTTCCCATAGTGCTGGTCACCTTTGAAGGCTCTCCCTCTCTCAGTCAGGCTTTCGATTGGCTGGGGATCACCTTGGCCTTCTCGACGTGAGCTTGCCTACTCAGCACAGCTCTCCGCTCCGTCAACTCTTTCCCTCGCATTCCTCCCGTACACGACAGGCCTAAATTGCCTGGTTTGCTTCCTCGGATGTCATCAAGCTCCTCATAGCTTCTTCAGTGATCCTTTCTGTATCTCGGTGTTTTAGCTGACCGAACGATACGAAATTCGACCTACTTGTTGGCCGCCAAGTCTCTTCATCCTCCCGTCTCTCTCTTTCTTTCGACCCTTGCGACCCTTTCGACCCTTTCGACCCTTGCGACCCTTGCGACCGTTCTACTTGAACTTCGCTCTGTTGCCAAGATGCGGATCCAGCTCTTCTCTCGCGCCGAGAATCGGGCCAACATGCCTGAACTCGCCCCCGAGCCTCCTGCTCCAGCTCCATCGGTGGTTCCGATCTCTGAAGTTGGCCCTTCGAGTGGCGATATTTCTTCAACCTCGGCAGCTCCGACGATTGGTGATTACATGGACCTTGCACCCATGACTATCGACGTAGAAGAGACCAATCGCAAGTCCGCTTCCGTCTCACCCGGTGCAGCACAGCTCAAGCGTCTCGCTGCTGATTCAGATTCGGCTTCCAACACCGATGGCACCAACTCGTTGCCCTCGACTGAGCCTTCCACCACGCCCGACGAAGCTAGCAGCAGCGGCTCCGGTCGTCGTCTGGGCGGCAACAAGCGTGCTCGCCTTGCTTCCTCACCCGAACCTTCTCCCCAAATGCGCTCCCGACCCAACCCGCATTCCAAGCATACCCAGGTGCCCCATCCGCTCGGCATCAAGCCACTTGGCAATGCGTTTCTCTCGGACCGCAACGATCGCCCTTCTTCCCTCGGCCTCTTTGCGAGATTCGAAGATGACTTTCTGCTCAGCTTTCTCTCCACCTTTGCCGACGATCCTGCCACCTTAATCAAGCTAGAGGCTGTCAGTCACGGCTTCTACTCTTTCATCAATGCCACCAACTCGATCTGGCGTGAAGCTTTCTTGCTCAGCTTCGGTGGCAAAATGAAGCGATGGTGTGGAAGCTGGAAGCGGACCTTCATCTGGCACTACAAGATGGACAAAGCTGTCTTTGAGAACAAGACTAGCGACTCGATGGATGGTGCCAACTTTGCATTTCTCGAACCACCAGCACCCAGGATACAGTCGCCTTATTTTTTCTCGGACACGCTTTACCACCCATTCCGTCTGGCCATGGCGCCTCTCGAGCACCTCGTTGCACCAGCCTGTCGTGTCTACAATGCCATTACCAAGATCGACCTCGCTGATCCAGGCTCAATAGCGCTCTTCAAGCAGAAGTTTGCTTACGCCAACAAGCCTGCTATCGTTCAGAATGCTATGCCTGCTAAGGACTGGCCCAGTCGTGATTGGTCGCTCGACAAGCTTGCTCAGCGCTGGTCTACCCGCTTCTTCCAATGCGAGGCTGTGCGATCGCGCTTGCCATCTTACTTCAGCTACTCGCGTAGCATGCAGCACCTCCAAGAGCAGACCTGGCAACGCATGCTCGAACAAGAGATCGACAATTCACCCGAGGATCAGCGACGAGCTTCCTCAGCCACTTCAGAGAGTGGTACACCCTCCAACGAAAGCGGTCCACGAGACAAGTCAGCACCTGTACTCGTCGACACACCTTACACCATCTCCCGTGTCGGTCCTCACACTTTTTCTGCGATTACAGACGACGGCGATTCGACTTTCGACCCCTACGCCGTCCCCGACGAATCGCCGTTCTATCTCTTCGACGCCAGCTTTGCGGACGACCCGCACGCTTCGCTCGAATGGCGAGTCCCCAAATTCTTCCAACAGGTCTCCACCACTCCAGCGGACGCTTCGTCGCAGTACGACATCTCAGCTGTCCGTTCCGATCTCTTCTCTCTTCTTGGACTGTTGCGCCCCGATCATCGCTGGATCATCGCTGGCCCAGCCCGAAGCGGTAGTGGATGGCACAAAGATCCCAACGGCACCTCAGCATGGAACGCGGTCCTCAATGGTAGGAAAGCATGGATGATGCTCCCTCCTCACATCACTCCACCTGGAGTGTACGTTAGTGAAGATGAAGCAGAAGTCACAGCTCCCCTCTCCATCGCAGAATGGTTGTTGGAGTTCGCATCAGAGACACGTCGATTGTATGGGCCGGAAGCACCCCGACCAGAAGACAGATTGCTGGTTGAAGGAGTATGCGAAGAAGGAGAAGTACTCTACGTCCCCAGAGGGTGGTGGCATCTCGTGATCAACCTCGAAGAATCGGTAGCGTTGACACAAAACTTTGTCTCGCCAGCCGAACTTGGGATCGTGTTGGACTTTATGAAGAACAAATCGGATCAATTGTCGGGATTTAAACGCAATCAAGTCGATTCTTCGGACTCTGCTGCTGCTACGGTTTCGCTCGCACCTGGTAGACAAGCTGCATCGTTAGGCAGCAGCGCTGTTGTAGCACAGACAAAACAAGAGGAGGTGGGGGAGGGTGAGGAAGAATGCGATGGAGCTGGGTTCAATGTTTTTGGGCTCTTCTGCGATCGATTGGAAAGGTTCGATAAGGAATTGCTCGAGCAAAGTCTAAAGCAGGTAGAAGAAATCGAGGAGACGAGACGCAATGCTTGTGCATTGTTGAGGAGGAACCAGGTGGTACAGCCAAAAAAGAAGGCGAATGCCGGGCCTAGTTGGTGGGATAAGTTGAGGTCTCAGCCCCCAACTTCCATCGCTGTGGAGGGAGTAGATGCAGCACCAGCAGCGCAAGAAGCCGCAGGATTCTCTTTCGGCACTCAACTCGATTCTACCGAGTTTGAGCTCGAGCAAGTTCCTTGGTGATATATTTGCAGCGTAGGTGGCAGGTGCACTCCTCCCGCCTCCATCCTGTTAGCCTCGTCTTGGTTTCTTCCATTTAGGGATTGTATACTAGTTTCATTAGTTCCCCCTATTAGCATATTCCCGTCTCTTCTCAATACACAGACCTTTTTTTCTTTTTCTTTTCTTCTTTCTTTTCCTTCACAGGATCCCACTTCTCACTGCTGAAAGTAAACAATCCAATATGATGATGTAAGCTGACATGAGACGATGCAAGAGGATCGGGCGAAGTAGATCTGATCAGAGATCGGGTACAACCTCCCGCTCGTTGTCAGACTTCATGAAACCAGAAGCTCTGACCCATAGTGCATGATATGGTCTCATCCGACCATACAGCATTCTTCCAGTCACCGACAGTCGAATCCTTCTTGTCTTCAGCAAAGCGACAGCGCACTTTGATATGCTTTTCCTTCAGACAAGGCCGCTTCGATCTTGGTGAGCTCTTTCCGCATTGTAGTTCGAGAGGCAGTGGTGTTGAAGCGTTCCATGAATGTCTGGCATGCTTGGCGCACAGTACGCATGGTCTTGCGGTTGAGTTCACGCTCTAGGAAGCGATGGTGATGGGGACCAAGCATTTTTGCACGGCCCATCTTAGGCTCTGGCAGATGAACCTGCACGTTTTTCCGTCCATACTGACTGTACAAACACCTATACCTAGCTCCTTAGCTATCTGGCGGTGTGAGAGGCCATTTTGGAGCTTCTGGATGATGTCTCTGCGGCGTTGTGTGCTGATCGTTCTCATGATGGTGAAGCGATGGTCATGGCTGTCAGGATCGGCGCTTTGATGTTGCACACCAGCTTTTATGAAGCTGAAGCATTTTTAGAATGTCCCTGAACATCATTACATTGTGTAGAAGCAGCTACAAGATGAAGCGGCGGCTGCGAGAGGCTGCGTAAGTTGTGGTGGATTCATTGTTCAAAAGTAATCAAATGAGCCACAAAAAAAAAAAAAATCGAACCTGTATGATGGAATTAAAAAGCCTTGCTATTGCTCAACGAGCTACGTCATTGCCTAGCTGGGATCCGTGGCTTTCTATCCATATATGGCGAGATACGGTATTTTATTGCAGAATGTTGTGGAAGATGAAGATGTATAGTGACAGCAGATTTATTTGATCACATTACGCGCGCACTGTATCTCTTTCATTCCTTTGCAATCGTGATTTGAATTGCCATTGAACCATTCCACGACCGGAACGGCACACCAAACTGCTAAGACTGGGGCGAAAGGGTCTAGTCCCCGAACAAAAGCTCCAAATTCTCCAGCGTCTCCGATTTAGCTCCTCTTGCTCCCTCTTCCCCGCCACCCTGTTTGAGAGCATGCTTGATCAACATATCTTTCCTCTTCTGAATCAGCAATATCCTATTTTCGATGCTATCCTTGACCAGATACCTAAACACTGACACTTGCTTGGTTTGGCCTAGACGATGGACTCGATCTATAGCTTGATTTTCGATGCTGGAATTCCACCAGAAATCCAACAGCCAGATTTTGCTGGCTGCGGTGAGGTTTAGGCCTACTCCACCGGCTTTGAGGCTGATAAGGAAGAGAAGGGTTTCGGACGAGGAAGAGGGAGATTGGAACTCGACCAAGAGCTTTTCCCTCACCTTTTGGGGTGTACTTCCATCGAGACGGAGCAGTCGGAATCGGTACCGGGAGAGCACGGGTTCGATTAAATCGAGAAAGCTAGTAAACTGCGAAAAGATAACCCCCTTAAACCCTCCCTCTTTCGCCCGGATCTCATTAAGATGGTTGATAAGCGCAGTGACTTTGGTAGATGTCTGCAAATTATTGCGCACATAGATCACCGCTGGCAGCCCCGCACCCACCACTTCTCCCCCATCCTGAGCATTAGAGGAAGCGGGACGAGTGCGAATAGCTTCAATCAAATCCATCTCTCTAACCGGTCCAACTCTACACGTTGGACATGCTAACTCTTGCCCTTTCTCTTTACATCCCCTGAGATAGTCGATCAGGCATTGCTTGCAAGCGGAATGCATGCACCGGGGTAAATAGCAAGGGGATTGTTGTGCATCTTCGAAGCATATTGGGCACTCGGTTTCTCCTGATTCGGTGTTTGGACCTAGTGTCTCGCGAATGAGACGTTCAACTGTTTGCTTGCTGAAGCTCTCCCCAGCATCTTCATTCGTGTTGTCGGAGGTGGTGGAGGATTGGAATTGAGCCACCAACTCGCGCAGGTCTTGTGTTCCTGGAGTCATATCCCCCTCCCCACCATCATCATTCTGAAATTCCACCTCCTCCTCACCAACATCATGCTCACCCTCAGGAATAAGATCTTCCTTGCCAACCTTGCCATTCTCCCCCTTTCCCACCTTCCCCTTCCCCTTGCTAGCTTTGAGAATTAGAGCAGGATGACAAACAGCCTGTCTCAACCGCATCAAAACGCTAAAAATCACCGAAAAATTCCTCGTCACACTTCCATCCGCCTTCATCTCTGCAAAACTCAAATAGGCTCTCCTATACACATTATCATAGATCTTTCTTTCCAACTCTGTAAACTCCAGTTGCCTCACTTGCACCTTTTTGGGAGGGAGCTGCACTATCGGTTGGCCGTCTTTATCCTTCATCCTCTTTTCTCTGCGTAGGAGTACGGATTCGAGGATGACCTGGACTACGTCGAGTGCTTTCGTGGATTTAGCTTGGAACGGTTTGCATACGAAACTGTTGAAGAAGCTGAATTCTCCCCACGGCTCCACTCGTAGAAATTTGAGGAGGGAGAATAAGTCGGTGAGGCGATTGATGATCGGTGTTCCCGTAAGCGCCCATCGTCGACGGGAGGCGAGGTCGGTGCAGGCCCGAGCGTTCATTGTGGAGCGATTTTTAATGTTGTGTGCCTCATCCAGAATCACTCTGAGCCAGTCTATGCAGTAGAGAGGGGCAGTGGTGGACAGATGGCGGTTGGATGAGCCACCGGAGTCGAGGTAGCGTCGATATTCGGTGACGAGAGTGCCGTAGGAGGTGATTACGACATCAACTTTCCCCGATTCGAGTTGAGCTAGGAGGTCTCCCTTTGTATCAGCGTAGTAGAGAACAGGAGTGAGCGAGTTGGGAGCGGAGGCTCGGATAAGTTCGTCCCTCCACTGACCTATGAGTGACATTGGTGCGACTACGAGCGAAGCCTTACCCTTTGCCACGGAGGCTCTGAGAAGCGCTTTTCGCGCGTCGCCAGTTGAGGTGGAAGCAGCAAATGCAGATGCGAGAGAAGTCTGCTTTGCTGCGGGTTTAGGTTTTGTACCCAACCCATCTTCACCGATATCCATAGCATCGTCATCAGCTTCGCTCTCTTCACCAGGGTCAGAAGTGCGATTGGCATGCAACAAACTAGCAACCATAATCGTCTTACCCAACCCCATCTCATCTGCCAAAATCCCACCCCTCGAGCCCTTACTAGCTCTCTGGAAATCCAAACTGAGATCACCGGTGTAAGGATTAAAGTAAAACATACGCGTTGGACTCATGACCAGCTTTTCGTTTGCTTCTGGATTGTCGTAATCCATTGGGAATTCGTATTCTTCCCAAAGCGGATGGAGGGAGAGGTTGCGCTCGCTGGTTGATCCGTTCTGGGTTTGCGTCGAACCGTCCTGTTCTCCGCCGTTGGAGTTGGAGCCAGGGGCTTTCTCCATATTCTTCATCCAGCCCAAAGCTTGCTTTTGATAGGGCCGGAGGGTAAGTAAGAAGGTTTCGGGAGGCTCGACTTCAGGAAGATGGGCATCGTTGGCTTGTGCTTTGCGATAGACTTGGTCGAGTTGGTTGAGATTAAGTTCTGTACCGTCGTTTTCTTCTGTGTCTGCGTCGCCGTCGGTTTGCTGTTTTGCTTTTTGGAGCTGGTCTGCAATGCCATCCTCCTCAACGTTGTCATCGACGTCGATGGCAGCAGAAGCAGCTTGTCCGCCAGCTAGCAGAAGCTCAGCCTTGGTCTCGGTTGCAGCTGGTACATCACTCGCAGCCGCTGCGGGCTTGAATGAAGTCTCGATCTCGCCGCCATACTGACCTAGCATCGCTTCGCTCGAGAAATCGTCTGTTGCTTTGTGTGACTTCAAGATGGAATTGCTGATGCTTGGCTTGAGGTCGCAAACGCGGAACATGCGTAGCAGACTAATCTTACGCTCCCGCAGCGTCTTTTCCATGTCCGACTCTGCCGTCTCCGGTCGCAAGCCATCGTTCTGATCCTCAACCCCACCCTTGCCCGACCAGAAAGTGGAAAAGAAAGCCTCAAACTTGACATACGCTTTCACCTGCAAAATGACATCACACCCCACCGTCAACGAAGCAGGACAATCCACCACGACTCCTTCAAACTCAGCTATCCCCGTATCGATCAACTTCGACATCCAAGTAGCCACCTCTAACGGTAATCGTCCGACTTCGAACCCACGCATATTGCTGAAGCGGACGATAAAGTCTTCTCTCTCCTTCGATTTTGCTTTAGATGCGAAGAAGCTAGAAGAGCGGTTGGAGGATTGGGAGTTGAAGTTGAGGGTGGTTTGCTTGCCTTTTTTGGTGCCGCCGTTGGTGAGTTTTGAGTTGTTGGTGGATTTGGTGGGGGGTTCAAGAGAGGGGGGTTTCCTGCGCGGACGAAAGATTCGAACGCAATCACCCAGTTTCACGTAGGAAGAGCCTTTGGAGAGAGACCATGCGGAGAGGACGAATGTGCCGAGATAGCGTCGGTCGAATGCGTCGTGGCGAAGACGTGGGTCGGGTGTTGGTGAGCGGGGGCGTGGTGGGATCTTGGGTGAATCGGTTGCTTGAGTGGGTGGGGATGGAGATGATCTCTTTAGTCGTTTCACAGTGCCGTTCGACGTCTCGTCGGTGTGAGCGTTTGGCGATCGTTTGCGGGCGGTTGCTTCCAGCGGAGACGAGGACTGGATGGAAGCATCATCTGTCTGCGTCGCTGGTAGGAAGTCTTGGTCGTCGCTTGTAAGCTTGGTCCTTGTTGGCGGTTTAGCAGCGTTGATGGTGGGATGCGTGGAGAAAAAGTCACCTTCATCTTGCTCCTCCTGACCCCAGTCGGCGAAATCTTGATCATCGTCAGCGAGGAAGAGCGGCTTCGCATTGGCCGCAGCTGCTCTCCGAGGTTGTTGCCGCCTTGACGAGCCAGGTTCGGCACTGGTTGATCCTACGATGCTGAAGTCATCTGGCGAGTCTGACCCTTCCCTGTCGTCCTCGGCATCCACTCCATTCTGCCCCTGCTGAGTTTTGCTCTCGTCGGTTGCCTCCTCGGCGGCCCTTCCTTCCGCCATCGGACTGGTCGGATTGTGTGGCTGTGCGTTGGCCCCTTTTACAGGCGAACAAGGCGTAGCAGAAGGAGAAGAAGCGAAAAAGTCTCGAGAAGGTTGCGACTGCGGATCGGTGCTCGATTGCGAAGTCATCCTTGTCGGCGCCTTCCCGATCGACTCAGCCAGCTCTCGTTGGTGGCGACGGTGGATGTAAGGTCAAGTCGGAACATCCGAATCCGACGTCTTATCAAGCGTGTATGCTATTCGGAATGAATCCGAAGTGTGGCTATAGGCGCCGCCACTGGAAACTTAGCCTTTGGTTTGCTTTCCCACACTCAGCAGCAACGCATTCCAAAAAGTGTTCCTCACTTACAAAAGGTTCCAAGACGCGACCGCGTAAATTGCACGCCGACTCATCAACCACAAATCAGATCGACGATGATCGGGCAAGTCAGAGGTGGGAAAGCTGATGCGAAGATGGAGGGCAAATTTGAAAAAGAAAAGTTGGCTGGTGCGAGGAAGAATTTTATTCAATGGCTTCTGGAAACCACCGAGACACACGTTCCAGTTTGTGAGTTCAGCTTAACGGACTTGTGCGAGGCGCCGATGCTCGATTGCGTTGCACTGTTGGACTCGAGCTAGCTGCCACAAGCTTGGACACCTTCAACCCTTCTTGCTCTCTGCACCCCACCTCTCACAAAGCCATTCCCATCTCATCCTCCACACTTCTTTCCATAGGCGATAGACAACCACATCAAAAATGGCAGGCGGAAGCTTCGATCTAGTAGCCCTCGGCAACCCTCTTCTGGATATGCAGATCCGTAACGGAGAAGCTATGCTTGAAAAATACAATCTCAAACCCAACGATGCCGTCCTGGCCGACGAAAAGCAACTTTCCATCTACAAAGACATCGTCGACAACTACAATGTAACCTACGTTGCCGGTGGAGCCGCTCAAAACGCCGCTCGATGTGCTCAATACGTTCTCCCACCCAACTCCACCGCTTACCTCGGTTGTGTTGGTAAAGATGATCTCGCTAAACAGCTCCAGGCAGCTAACGACAAGGAAGGGCTCAAGTCGATCTATCAGTTCTCCGACGATCAGCCTACGGGTTCTTGTGCAGTGGTCATCACAGGACACAACCGTTCTTTGTGCACTAACTTGGGTGCTGCCGAAAAGTTCTCCAAGTCTCATTTGGAGACCGAGGAGGCACAGAAGGCGATTAAGAATGCTAGATTCTTCTACCTCGGTGGATTCTTCCTCACTCATGGAGTCGAGTCTGCTCTTGTTCTGGCCAAAGAGGCCAAGGAAAGGCATGTCTCTTTCACAATGAACCTTTCTGCTCCTTTTATTCCCCAATTCTTCACTTCCCAAGTCGACCAGATCGTCCCCTACGCCGATGTTATCTTCGGAAACGAAACCGAGGCTGAAGCTTGGGCTACCGCTCACAATCTCGAATCGAAGGATCTTAAAGTCATCGCTCAAGCCATTGCAGACTTCGACGCTGCCACTGCTAAAGCTGAAAAGCGAGTTGTGATCATCACCAACGGTTCGCAGCCCACCATCCTCGCTAAGAAGGGCGAGAAGGAACAGTTTGTCCACGAAACTCCTAAAATCAACCCTGCTGATATCGTCGACACCAACGGCGCTGGTGATGCTTTCGCCGGCGGTGTCATCGGCGCCCTCGTCCTGGGTAAGAGTGTCGAGGAAGCCATCAATGTAGGTCACAAGTTGGGTGGAATGTGCATCGGCCAAGTTGGTCCCATTTTGAAATTCCCCAAGGAGAACGTTGTTTAAGCGCTCCAAGCGTCGATAGATATGGTTGCTCTCAACATAGCTAACATTGCCTTTTTTATGTAAACGCCCATTATTATCGCATTCTAGGGTGCTCAACATACCCATCCTCCCTTTCCGTCCTGTAATACAAAGTATGATACACTGCAAGAACCGACATTCTTAGTGCAAAGCAGCATCTTTGTTGAGTTGAGGTGACAGCGAAGCACATTTTCAACTTGCAGACTAGAGCTCAAACCTGACCACAGTCCGAGGAATCAGTCTCGCATATCACAGCAAGATGAGATGATGGAAACGCGTTGTAGCAATGGCGATATACAAATACAAGGAACAACGGAACCGTAGAAACGAAGCAGGTAAACGTACAACGTACATAGCTTCACAACAAGAAACGTGAAAATGTCCAAGGCGCCCAGGGTCGGGCAACGATCAACAACCAGTCAACTTATTCTTAGGCCACTTGTGAGGATAGACCGTGTAGTTAGGGTTTGTGTATAGATCCATGTGATCCTGAATGTACTTGGCAGTAGGATGGTCAGGAGGGTCGCACGAGATCCTATCGGTCTGACCATCAAGCTGGTAGACCCTGACATAATCGACCGACATGGTGGCAGGGAAAGTGACACCTCCTGTACCAAAATCGACACGTTGGAAAGTAGGTGCCATGCCCAAGTTCATGATGATGGTCATGGGCTCTACTGAGACAGTTCGAATACCAATGTCCATCGGTGGGTTGGCAAGCATTGCTTTACCGTTGACCAACCACGAAGGCTTGCCACCTACGTACCATGTGATGGAGCCGCTACCGTCCTCGTTCCAGTCTGGGTGGTATTCAACACCATAAGTGACATACTGATCGGAGCTGTCGACGTAGTCCACATCAGGAATCTGCGTGAGTGAAGAGACAGCCTCTTGGTACACATTGCCCTTGTACGTGTTGACCTGAGTAACATCATCATCCCAGATCTTGACGGCTGCCGAAGTGTTGACCCATTCATAAGACAGATCGAAGGGAGCGATCTGGTAGGACTGGGAAGCGTATCCGTGCGAGACGCCCTGATGGTTCTGGATCTGTGCCTCAAGAATATCGAGCTCTGGCGAGGAACGAGCGACAGTGACGTCAGGACCAGGGTGGTCTTCACCCGGGCAAGTGCAAGCGGGAGATCGCATGCCCGAGAGGAATGAAACCTGGCCACCGACCGAGTAGGTACCTGTGGAGCGAATAGCACCCTCGGGACCAGTGCCATTGATCCAAGTCTGGTTGCGAAGGATACCAGCATCGCAGCTGGCGTAGGAATAGGGCCACATGCCGTCCGTGGAACCTGCATAGCCTGGACGAGCGAGATTACCCATGAGCCAGAGACCTGGCCAGTAGCCGGAAGTGCTAGGCGAACCAGGCATCTTCATCGAGAACTCAATGTATCCACCTTGGAAGCAGAACTTGTTCCAAGACTGAACCATTCCAGACTGGAAGTTGAGATTGTGTGTGACCTTCTGCGTCATAGTGATGGTGAGGGCACCGCCAGTGGTGTTGACAGCTTCGGGCGAATAGTACTCGTAATCGCCTGTGGCGCCATAGTAGAGATCGACGGCCTCCCAGAAAGGATCATCGCCTGGCCAGAAGGTACGGCCCTCCTTTTGGAACTCGTCGGAAAAGACGAGATGGTAAGAAGCACCGTCAGCAGCAGAGGTGCGTGTGAGGGCAGATGGAGGGGTATCGGGGTCAACGAGAGTGAAAAGAGGCAGGTCGGGAACCTGACCAGAGCCGTTGGTGCCACCGAGGTTGAAACCTCCCTTGTTGGATGCATCGTAGAGCTTTTCGAAATGTGAGATGATGGGGTAGCCGGCAAAGAGGGTGACAAGACCGACAACTAGCAGGAGAAGTGTGAGTGTGTTGAGGATACCACGAGAAGAGAGGGCATGGGAACGACTCTCCTTTTTCCAGTCGTGCAAGTCGTCGTCATCTTCAGGACCTGCGTAGAGAGATTGTCGTGGACCTCCGCTGGTAGCCTGCTTGGAGGACTCGGTGGACTCGGTGTTGGTGGCGGCGTGTGTGGGTCTGCCATTGTTTTGGCCAGGTCGTGCTTGATAGCCAGTGGCGGGCAAGAGACGCTGACTGACGGCGCTCTCCGCACTGGAGAAGTAGGCGGAGTGAGTTTGGGACTGGTTGGATGAGATGGCGCGAGTCTGTGAATATGTGACTTGCTTGTAGGACGGCATGGCTCGTGATGATTGCTGCTGCTGCTGCTGCTGCTGCTGTCGACCTGGGACACTTGGATAGTTGCCGCCACTGTTACTCGTGTGGTGGTGTGCGTGTGGAGAACGTCGCGATCAAGATTGAACACGCCGAGCGAGGGGAACGAGGCTGTCAGCCCCCCGCGAGGGGCAGACAAGGTAAGAAGGCGCAGCAGAACAAGCGAAGCGCCGATAGGATAGCGGAAAGGCAAAGGAGAGCGACAAAAGAGCTGCTGGATTGCGGAGGCGTTCCGACGAGGCTGGCTTGATGTGCTGCTGTGTCTGGCAGTGGATAGATTGACAGATTGCATTTCAGCTTCGAAAGCTGACAGACAAGGCTTGTTTGGCCAATCCGACTTGGGATTGAGAGTGGGGCAAGAGTCGGCGGAACTGAGAGGCTGGGTGTGCAAGCCGAGGAGAGGCGCAACACTGCTCAAGTGACCAGAGTAAATGAAATCCAGAGAAGGGTTCAAGGCCGTCGGCTGCTCCGCGGCAGTCCAACTCATCGTTTTCCAGCTCGGCTAAGCCGTGGCTCACATCTCGCGCTTGAGCTCCAGGAACGACAGAAAAGACGCGAGACGGCGGGCGGGAAGGGTGCGCATGCATTGACCGCAGGTTGAGCAATTCAAACCAAATCACAAATGATTTTCGTTGAGAATCGACAATTCAAACTAAACACTTGTCTGTATTCCAACCAAAACCTAGTGCAGGCACGGCGCTACATTACTCTCACTACTCTTTCTTTCCGCGAAAAACGATGCGCAGCGCCTTTCGTCTGAGATCATAGCCGAGGTCAAAGACAGCCATATCTTTACCGTGCGGATCGACCTCAGCCGTGCCTGACCGCGTGATCTGACAATCATCCTAGCAGCAGCACTGCTTGACGACATCAAAGAGCGATTGTAGCTCTACACCGTTGTCCAAGTGCGTGTGTGTGTGTGTGTGTGTGTGTGTGTGTGTGTGTGGCTGTGTGTGTGTGTCGAGCCAGGAAGGGCAACATGTGCCCCACACTCGCAACGTCCGGCGAAATTACCACGCCCGCTTTGGCACACCTGTGTGTGTTTGTCTGTCTGAGTTGAAATCCCGCGTTCGAACGTCTCCACTTTCTTCTCACTTTGCTCTCATTGCTTCCCTCCCACCATCACTACTTCACTGCCCTCATCATCGCCGCCAACGCAACAATGACAGAATCAACTCTCCCCGGGTATGCACACAGCACAACCACCGTCGAAACCGTCCCTTCCTACACCGCTGCCAACACAACCACCCATTTCCCCACCACCCTACCATGCACTCTCACAGTCAAGAACCTCGATCGTAAGCGTGACCCCATCACCTTTGTCGACACCAACGCTGACGAACGAGCCGTATTCGAATTCGTTCAGCTGGACTACTCGCGTGAATCGAGTTTCGATGAATCTCTCTATCAAAACCTCGTAGGCAATGCGAGCGAGATCTTTTCTTCTCCAGTGAAACTCGTTGTTTCTGCCGAAAAGGATGCTCCCTTCGCTGTAAGGAAGCACCTCGCTTCTTCGGCGTACGAATTGATCGAGCTCGCGCATGATGGAAGTTTTGGAAGATGCACCAAGATTAGCACTAAAGGAATGTTCAAGAGCAAGTACTATCTTGAGAAGGCCACATGCAACCATGCTTCCACTTCTTCTTCGTCTTCATCTCCTGCGATTGGAACACCCAACTCGCATGATATCTACATCAAAGGCTCTCTCAAAGCTCTTAATGTTTCCCTTCGACGCAATGCCGACGGCCAAAAGTCAACCCTGGTAGAACTGATCAAAGGCGTACACGCAACAGTTGCGCACTTTGACTCATCCATCACCTCCCTCCCCTCCAGCATTCCTGTGCCTTACCTCGTAGCATCGCTCTACGCAGCTATCGACACTCATCGCGAGCACTATCTAACCTTCACTACGGATGAAAAACTCGATGAGCTTCAGGCTAAAGTCAAGCCTTCTACCTGGGACAGTCTCTTCTTGCAGGCGGGACAGACGAGTAAGAAGCAAAAAGAATTCTCGCAGCAATTGGAGAGCGAAAGGAAAAGGGAGTATAATGAAGCGGTGCATAATAAGTGCGCTTATCCCAACGGGATAATTCCCACTCAAAAATCGGCCTCGACTTCGAGAAGTAGATCGAGGGCCGCGAGTAAGTCGAGGGACGGATCGAGGACTGCTAGTCCCGCTCCGGGGCAGATGGGGCTGCCGAGCGTGGATGGTGCTGGTGAGCGTACGGTTGCGATTGGTGAGGATGAGGACAGGGGTCGTCGTTGAGGAAACAAAGCTTACTTTGGAAGCCTGCTGTCCACCACGCGCTTACATTGTGTTAGAGGTCCGCGGCTCATCGATCAAGTTGGAAAATGTTACTATACCTGCAATATACGTCCCTCTTTTACAAGACACGCCGCCGAAACTGTGTGACGACCTCTATGCACAGACTGCTGAAGATAACGATCCAGCAGGACACGAAAAGTGGCATAAGTCGATATGAAGAGAGATCGGGTAGAACCGATCTGGTGACTAATCGGGCAAAGCCGATCTGATCGGAGATCGGGCGGAGCTGATATAACAGGAATCGGGGACTGCTGGGTCCCACTCGTTGTCGTACCTTGTGATTAAGTAGGATGCTCCCACCTCTGGCATGTGCCGACACCATGTATATATATATCAAGCAGAGAGCTCGAGGCTACTACCATGTTCTCTTCAGGTCAATATAGTATAGTGTTTTTGCTCAATAAGCTTGAACACTGTGCTTAGACTGTTGTCGACCGCTGAGTGTCGACACCCGTCCTTCTATTATTATTTCAACACAGACATCGAGGCGCAAATCGAAGATGAAGTGTCGACAGCCACCATCTGTGTGAGAACAACAGTGCAAACACATGAAAGGCCCACGCTTTACTCTGCACTCTCGCCCATGCTTTGCTACCTCCGGGAGCCGATTCTGCCTGCATTCAACAGCCACAATCCGGTCATGAACCAGTGTCATCTCTCGAATCGTAGCAAGCACTGCTAAATATAACGATCCAGTAGGAAGTCAAAGTGACGAAGGATCGGGCAAGATCGATCTAGAACGTAATCGGGAAAGCAGATCTGATCATGGATCAAGCGGAGCCGATCTGACTAGAGATCGGATACAACACAGACCCACTCATTGTCAAGCTAGGTCATGAAATAGCAGACTCCCACGTTAGGTATGAGCCTCACAAATGTATATATATCAAGCTGAGAACACTAGGTTCTCACCACGTTCATCAGTCAATCGAGTATATATGTTTCTGCCCTAAAACAGTAGTGACATCGTACTCGGACTCTCCCCGATTGCCACGCCTGAGAAATCCCACAGTGGGTGTCAATCGATCTTGGCTTCGTCCAAGTGGGACCAGCACTTTGAGGTATGAAAGGAGGTCGTCTCCCACTCGTCGTATGATCCTCTGAAGCAGCAACACATCCCTCTTTGTTGCCTCAGCTGTGGAGTTGAAAGCATAAAAAGCCCTCCCCTTTCCCTTTTGTTCCTCCCGAAACATAACCCTTCTCCAAATTGCCCCTAATTCCCTTTGCCTCTCTCACCTGCTTGATTCGTAGCGCAACCATGGTCGCAATCAACACTCTCCCCATCCTTCTTATGTCCTTTATCGCCATCGCCATCACCAGCACCAAAGCAGGTGAACTCGTCATCGAATACAACAGCGACAATTCCCCCCCTCGTCATCCTCTATTTTCTTGTGGTTAGTCCTCACCCTTCGCCTTTCCACCTCTTTTTTATTTTATTTTTTTATTTTTGTTGTGCTGACAATCGCTTTTTTTCTTCATCGCTCATCGCTGCTCCCCTTTCTCTCGCCTCTTACCTCGTCTCCGCTGAACGTTACGGCCTCGCGTGGAACAGAAATCAGGTCCTCCGTTTGTCGTAAAGCTGGCCACTACACCAACCTGAACTACTACCCCCTCAATCTGGACCTTTTCGTTTGTCACAAACCTATCCTGTTGAAGGCTTTGTACGATTATCTCGATTTCGGTCGTAAAGCCTGGGGTGAATTCGTCTCTACTTATTACGTCACTTGTCCACCTAGCGACAAAGAATGTTGGATCAAAAGCCAGGGAATGAACCCCAAACTTGTACAAAAAGTAAGTTCCATCAGCGATACCAGGAGGAGGTCCATTGAACTTTGACAAGAGAGAGATGAAGATTACTGACGCTTTATTTCTGGTTTGTGGCCTGGTTGGGTAAAACAGCTGGTGCAGGCAAGGATCGACCAACACACTTTTTGTTTTGCACGTGTGAGTTGTTGGGATGCGAAGGATTTGGATAAACACTGTTACAAGAAACAGTATGATTGAAGATACTTTTACGTCGATAGAGGCTCCTTTCGAGAAGATCGACAACAACTTGTCTGAGCTTGCGAACTGGGCTAGGTCGAACGTTCAGCCATTCATCAACTTTTCGCCACCTTTTTTTTGCAGCCACGGTTCGAATTCATTCACATCATTCATCATCAAATAGTTTCTGTTCTGCTAGCTTGCTTGCTTGTGTGCCGCCTGAGTGTGTCAAAACGCTCCCTACTGATGCTCTGCTCATGCAGGATCCCATTCGCCAGTGACACTTGTCGATCAACAGCCATCAACGTCGATCTCTCCCCAGCTCCCTCCCCTCCAGTGCACCAGGTGTATCAGGGTCGAAGATTAAGTAATCAATCACACCGTCAAACGTTGTCGCCAAGTCGAGCATGGCGCCTCCTCCAGCTTCCGAATCACATGTGTTTCAGTAACAGCGTTGTAGGGTTGTTTGCCGACGTTGCGTCAAAATCAGCAACACCCAATGGCAAGACGAGCAACAACAACACCCCTGTACTCCTGCATCAACCATCATTATGTTGTCTGCAAAGCGTTGTTGGGTGCGGGAGAGGAGGTCGTGGCTTATTCAAAGCTCACACACATCACCTGCTGTGCCTCAAAGTGGGAGCAACGCTAAATGAAGTAAGGTGCCAAAAAAAAGGGGCTAGCTACTGTATACACATAGGGTGTATCGCTGTGCTTCCTTGCTTCATTTCCTTTTGGAGCGCTGCACTATGTATAAGAGCCGTATTGTACAAAGGCGCTATTCTCGGTTTTCTGTACCATCGTGTCCACGACCATCACCATCATCGTTACGAGCGACAGTCGAACTTTTCGAAGATGCGGTCCATCACGGTCAATCTTTTCGGCGTTTTGCTGCTCATTGCTTCAACTAAAGCAGCAGCAGCAGGTAATGATCCAAAAGCAAGCGGAAAGAATGTTGTCGTGTGCAGTAGGTACCCACCTCCGTCTCCTCACCTTTTCCGGCATACTAACACCATCGCCTAGCTCTTCCTACCCTTTCTCTTCATAATATGCTGAATTAAAGCTATTCCAACATGCACCGATTCCCAAAAGATCTCGAACTTAGCTCGAGGCATCACTTTCTTTCTGTGCAACGCACCCCCCAACTCGCCTGCTCCTAGGGGTATGCAATTCGCATATGCATCCATCACTTCCGACTCTGGTTTTCAAGCTCAACTATACGATTATGATCCTATCATAGTCGATACTTATTGGATCAGAAAAGTGAGTCTTACTCCCACTCCCCATCTCCAAGCTCTTGGTCGGAAGCTGAGGAAATTTTTCTTTTTGGCGGTTTTAGTATCTGGAACCGTTGACGAAGTGTAATACTGATCCAAATGTGAAGGTTGATTGCTGGGCAACTCCTAAAGCAGGATGTGCTAAAGAAGCAGCAGTAGGGGGAAACGCAGTAGCAGCTACAAACGATGCTGGGTTGATGGCTTTACCCAATGTCTAGCTCGCCTAAGCAGGCCCTCTTTGCATTGATGAATCTTACGTTAGCATTTGTTTTCAAAGTTTGACGTCTGAGTGGATGTAAAGAACGCTGGTTCATGTGTTTTGTTGCTTCTCGATAGGATCGCTGTGGCAAGTGATCGGCAGAAATAGTTTAAACTCGATCGCAGTCCCATACTCGATTTGCTGAGATAGGATCTTGCGATGTGTATACAGTATACGGCACTGCACAGTCATGCTGTTTGCGAAAGACAAGCTGGGAAGAAAAGAAAAGAAAAGAAAAGAAGATAAAAAAGATTTAAAAAAAAAACCCCCCCGTTGACACGCGTATCGACAGCAGCAACGTCTTTCTGCCCACATTCTGGTTCACAAGCGCAAGTACAGGCAGAAGAAAGGATTAACGAAGTGAATAAAGGAAGTAAATCGGGCATCGCCGTGAAACACGAGGTGTCGAAAGGGGGATTAAATGAAGCCAAAACAGAAATGAAAGGACCGTACTAGGGGAACAGCCGAGGACGAAGGAGCTATAAAAGCTGGAACCATCGCTGAGATTGCTCAAAGGCAACCGTTCAGTTCTCCTCCTACTGCGACTTGTAACAGTGCTTATCAAGTCCTTCCATGTCCCAACAACTAACAGAAGCATGACAATCGGTTTGTTCCCGGATTCCATCCTTGACCACCTGTGATCACCGACATCGATACAAAAGCAAATATATAATGTTAGTATACATTCTCTTCTCTTCTCTTCTCTCCCTCCATCTTCCGCACTGTCCTCAGGAGTGCGCAATCCTGAGCACAGTGAGGAAGAGTCTCGCGGGCTAGACTTCAGATACTTACATTCTCAATTTTGTCAGCAGTCATACCCTTACACTTGGACTGACAATTCAGGTCACCAGCAGGACAACTAACGTAATAAGTAGAAATAAACTTTCCTCTTTTTTTAGAGCTCGAAAGCCAGTTGTAAAAATCTTTGACAAACGATGGATCGTAGCAAACTCCCAAGTTGAGGTTGAGGGGGTCATAGCGAAGACCTGTGTAGTTCGCGGGCTCTCGGCAGGTGCGGGATTTGATTTCTGCGAGCATGAAGCAAGCGTAAGCGAGTGAGCACGAGCAGAGGCAAGCATCACCCCAGAAACAGCGATTTCCACACACACAAAAAAGCGAGATCAATGTCAATCCAAACATCCAAACACCCACCCAAAACCACAAAGTGGCAAAGAAGGCATCAAATAACCCAAACGAAAGTAGAAAAAGAGATGTAAGCATCAGAAAATCGCGACAAACCCCCAAAAGAACGCCAACCTGACTTGAGCTGGGGGTGAGAACATACCGCAAGCGAACAAAGGGTTATCAGGTTTACCAGGTTCAGGGTCGTTATCTTTGGTGCTGACGTCGACAGTTGTGGATGGGGCTGCATGGGCTATTTGCATTGCTGCAAAGGCCATTAGGATGAGGTTTGGGGTGGGTTTGAATGAGACCATTGTTGCGATATAGCACGAAGGAGAAGGAGAGAGCTGGAAAAAAAAGTGGAAAGAAAGGGAGAAGACTGAGTGAGTGAGAGGGGAATATATATGTCTTTTCGAGCAATGACGGGAAGGAAATGGGAGGAAGGAGAAGCAGGGGTGAGGTCTAAAGAATACGATCCAGCAAGGCGTTGGTGGGAACATGGGCAAGGGGAGCAAGACCTAGGACGTTGCTTGGTCCCGTTCGATGCCACACTTGAGCTTGATTGAATGGTAACGCAAGTTGTGGGAGCTGTCACATATCGACGATGCAAGCAGTTGACGATGCAAACAATTCATGAACACAGCAGGACATGGTGGGCAAAAGCGAAGCCTACCCTCAAAGCACGGACATCAGGCTGTCGCCCTCATCTGCAGTTCACTCCTCTCACTTTACACATCACATTAACAACTCCTCAATTCAACCCATGCCTCCCCAACCCCAACGAATAACATGGCTTGCAGACGTTGAATCGTAACATTGATATCGTATTCATCTGCAAATCATCACTGCTAAGTGAAATCTTTGGGGAACAACAAGTCTTCCGGCATAGTATCTAGGCAAGATAACCATTAGCCTTCAACCACTCCTCAACATCCTTTCCATCCCTTTCAACCCACCTAGCCTTTGCCCTAACTGCATCCAAACCCTGGCTCAACCCCATCGAGAACTTCGCGGTATCCTTACCCTTAAAGAACTCCTCAACCTCCTTTGCATCCTTCTCACTGCTGAAAGCGCTGAAAGAGTACTCGATGAGTCTGCTAAGCGAAAAGTTACCTGCAAACCTCTTCGAAAGTACATCCCATCGATCCTTAGTAGCGTTCCAAATAATGCGTCGACCCTTGGGGTTACCCGAAAGAGCAGCGAAGAAGTACATAAAGTCTTGCTCCTTCACCTCGTTACTGTAAAGGAACTCGACGGTGCGGTTGAGCAATTTGGGATCGGAAGAAGCACCGAGGGCCAACATGGCAGCGATCTTGTGGGTGGGAGTTTGAGGTTTGCGGTAAATGGCAAGGACTGCTTCGTATTCCTTCTCGCTACCGTGTTCGACGGCGCGAGAGAAGACGGTTCGCAACAGATCAGGGTGGATTTGACTGTCGTCTCCAGTGGAAACGAGGTGTTCGAATCGCTTCTTGATTTCGCTCAGAGTCCACTCGTCTTCACCGTTGGCAGCAGCGGCAATGGCAACAGCACGCAACTGCTTGAGATCGGGCGAGTCGTTGGCGCCAAATTCGAACCCGAGCTTCTTGGCAGTAGGACCAAAGATGTCAGCACGCAACTTCTTGATAGCATCCTGAACCTTGGGGTCCTGCTCCCACCAAGCACTGCTGAGAGTACCGAGATTGAGCGACGAAGCCGAGTTGACAAGGTAAGTAGGGTCGTTGCGAAGAGCTTTCAGAAGCGAAAGACCGCCCGAAGTCTTGCCGTAACCAGCGGAAGCAAGAGTGAAGGCGTCCGAAACGAGACCGACACGGTCCTCGAGCGACAATGCCGAATCCTTCTTGGCAGCTTCCTCACCGAGCTTGGCGAGACGCTCGGGAGAGTAAGCAACACGGTAAACACCAATAGTCTCGGCGTTGAGCTTGTAAGTGACATGCTTGGCATTGGCAAGAGGGATCTTAACCTCACGCTCGCTCTTGAGGAAAGCTTCACGGTCAACCGAGACCTTACCATCAGAACCGACAGTCTTGAGCATGAGAGGAACATACCACAGAGTCTCGTCCTCCTCAGGAGTAGGGTCACCGGTCGAGAGGAAACGGTTCTGCTTGATACGCAAACCATCGGCCTCTTCGGTGACAGTGAGAACGGGGAAACCCTGCTTCAAGATCCAGTTGGCCATGATGCTGGCGATATCACGACCCGAAGACTCGCTGATACCGTTCCAGAGATCCTTGGTGACGGCATTCGAGTAGAGGTGCTTCTTGAGGTAGATCGAGACACCTTTGAGGAAAACATCCTCGCCGATCATGTTGGAAAGCATGCGAAGGACACTGGCACCCTTAGAGTACGAGATAGCGTCGAACACCTGGTTGATGGCATCCTCAACATTCTCACCAACAAGAGGAACCTCAATAGGGTGACTGGATCGCTTGCCGTCGAGGTCAAGAGCGCGGTCAAGATGAACATTGATGAACTCGGAAGCCGACTCCCACTCAGGGAAGCATCGGTCAAGAATGACGACCTCACCCATAAGAGTAGCGAAAGCCTCGTTAAGCCAGAGGTTGTCCCACCAGTCCAAAGTGGCAATGTTACCGAACCACTGGTGAGCCACTTCATGCGACTGAACACCGGCAGTGCGCTTCTGACCCTGAAGGCCGGACTTTTCAGCATCGTAGAGGTAGACCGAGGTACGACCAGTGATGAGACCCCAGTTCTCCATGGCACCAGCATCAAAGTCGGAGGCAACGAGGGTGTCGAGCTTGGGAAGCGGGTAAGCGACGTCGAAAACACGCTCGTACTCGGGCAAAACCTTGACCTTGACATCGAGAGCGTACTGAGCCTGGTGAATGTACTCAGGGGTAGTGTAGACCTTCATAGGGATGACCTTGCCGGTGAGAGGGCTGGTGTAGCTGCTCTCGAGGCTGACAAAGGGACCGTTGGCCCATGCAACGAGGTAAGTCGAAACCTTGGGAGTGGTAGCGAACTCGGTGAGGGTCCAATCGTCGGAGGCAGTGGAAGAGGAGACTTGAGTCTTACCCTCGGTCTTGCCACCCTTGGACGAAAGCTGGTTAAGGCCGAGCTCAGCAGCACGGAGAAGCTTGTCCTGCTCGACTTGCGAAATGTGCTTGGAGCTGACGACGTTCATGTTGGCCAGAGCGGTGGTCTGGTTGCGGTGGATCATTCGGAAGGTGTAGGTGGCCTTGAGGTTGGGCTCGTCCCAGGTAGGGATAGCACGACGAGCAGCAGTAGGCTCAAATTGGGTGAGAGCGTAATAGCCCTTGTTCCCCTCGTGCTCCCAGGTGGAACGGTAGTAGCCCATCATGCTGTTGTCAATGTCGCTAGCAAAGGCAACGACGATCTGTGCCTTGGAGCCCTTGGGAAGCGCGTTGGGAAGCTTGGCAGTGGCACGCTCATGCTTGGAGTCAATGTCGAGAGCAACAAAGCTCTTGCTATCGGTCTTGAGGGCCTGGCTGAGGACGAGCGACTTGGTAAGAGCGAGCTTGGAAGCAGCGTTGAAGACGATCGAGTCGGTCTCCTCGAGGACGTCTAGGTCGATGGTGGCGGTGCCGGAGAATCGGAGAGCCTCGAGATCGGACTTGAGGGTAATATCGTAGTGTGTGGGAATGACGTTGCGAGGCAAGCGGAACCACTTGGAAGCGTCGGTTGCGTCAGTCATGGCGGAAGAGACAGGAGCGAAAGCAGGGTCTGCAAGGGTACAGGTAGCGTGGTTTCGAAAGAAAGTGGTACAAGCGGCTGAACGAAGCGACTGCCAGGCGGTGTCAAAGGGCAACAGAATGGCAAAGATGGCAGCAAAGAGAGAAAAGGCGAAAAAGAGGTGAGCCTTTCTGAGACTGAGCGAGGAGAGAGACCACATGGGTTGATCTGATCGGCTCGGCTATTTTGTTGATCGTTTGCACTTCACGCTCTGCACAGGTGTGGGGAAGAAGCTGTCAACAGGTAGTGATGCCAAAGCAAGAGCCAAGACGGGTTTTCTAGAGGGAGTGCATCGCATACCTTTGTGAGTTGCTTAGAGACCGCGGGACGCAGGTGGGCTTTGCTCTGAAGAGAGGATGAGAAGCTGAGCGTGGAAGGGAAACGAGGAGCTTGAAGGAAGAATGGACGTGGAGCAGGAGAGAAGGCTCGAACGGAGAAAGCAAGGAGCGAGGAAGATTTCATCTGCAAGTGTTGAAGGAAACACAATTGGTGGGCGTGAAGCAAAGCAAAGCGGCAGAAAAGCCAAGAATATTGTTAGCTAGCAGAGCGAGACCAACCAGAGACCAGAACGCAAACAACTTACGCAACTCTTGGCCGAAATTAACACGCACTTTATGATGCAAGTGGATGAAACCGACCGGAAACAGGAAGGGAATTCGATCGGAGATGATGGTGGTGGTGACGAGGATGGCAAGATGCCGACGTTGACGACGCTTCGAGTCAAGGCACAGCAAGGGCGATGTGCTCAGTATGTTGCGAGATCTCAAGGCGCCAAAGCAGCAGAAAGTGGCAGACGACACAGACTTTTCTTCGCAACAAGGCACAGGCTCAGTTGAACAGCAGCAGCAGCACAACACAAGACAGCTTTCTTAGCAGCAAGGAGTCGTCTCCAAACGAGACAGACGTTGTGCAGAGAGTTGTCACTTTTATCTTGTCTTGCCTTCAAGAGCGGCACCGTGCCCGTGTGTGGTCCGTGCCCCAGGCTGACCTTTTGATTCTTCTCTTTCCAATTATTCCGCCCTGAAGAAAGGAGGCTGTTCTGCTGCCGCTTTTTTCGTCTTGCGCAACTCCACGGCGACGAGTAGGTAAAGCAACACAGCTGGACCTGCCAATTTTCTCTATCGGATACATTCCCACTGTCGAAAAGTCAACACCAACAACACGCGCGCAAAGGTCTTGTGTTTCCGCACAGGGTCGCCCGATCCAAGGTCGCCCGATCCAATCCCCCCGATCCAATCCCAACTCCAGCCAGCCTTAGAGCCTGAGAAGGATAGAAAAAACCACCTCCCGTTTCACCGATCCGCGAGTCTAACGGCACACTCGGTTCCTTCTCTGATACAGTAGAATCTTCTCAAGTTGATAAAGCTCGCTTCGAGAGTTGTCGACGTGGATGCTTCTAAGCATGAGACCAGCTTGCTTTGCTCCGCGTCCGCAGCGTTGGGCACATGGCCAACGGCATTCTTGAAAGCCGTCTTCTCCTCCGGCGCGATCTTGATTGGTGATAGACGCTTTCCATCGCATGCTTGAGCTGGCCGTGCTCCTCTCCAACACAGCAGAGCATCGATCACTCATGTCTCACAGCCAGATATCAGAGCCAAAATAACAGACATTCTAGAGATGCAACCCAGTCATCGGGAGGGATATATATGCTTCTCATTGCCTTGTACTTAGTTGCCCTCGAGCATCATCGTAATTGCTATCTGTCTCGCTGCTCCTCGCTTGTGCATGCCTCAACAGAGAGAAAGTTCAGACTGCATCCCTTTGGTTTCGAGGTGAGGCAAAAGCCAGAAAGGAGAGTAATGAGAATGCTATGCTAGAAAAGAAAATGTCACTGAATGCCAAGACGCCAAATCCATGAATGCTTGATGGGTTGCCCCTCGATCAATGACCAAAGTAACCCGGAGGAGGTGCTTGCTGATGCAAATTGGTCGTGCTGCTGCCAGCCGACATCTCATCATGGATGCCGTTGCCTCGGTGTGGCTTTCGCACACGCAGCTGACGAGCAGGCCATCCTGCGTAGACAGCACCTGCTTCAGCGATCTCACCTGATGCCACCAGTGTGTGCTCCAACAGCATCGAACGAGGTTCCATGCTGGCACCCGAGAGCAATCGACTTCCCGAACGCATTGCGCATCCATCACCAATGCGCAACTTGTTCAGACTGAATCGTCCTCGCGAATTGATGTGTGCTACAACCGAAGCGTCATCGATGCTAACCCTGTCGCCCATCGAGACCAGCTCCGGCTCTGTCAATTGAAGCGACGGCTTGCCACCAGCCCAGATCGCACAGTCCTTTCCGATCTTGGCGCCAAGTGCTCGCAAGTACCACACTGCAAATACCGTTCCAGAGATGTTGCCGTAGATGTGTCCACCGAATCCTTTACCCAGAAGCTTTTGCAGCGTGAGGTGCAGCTGCCAACGCTGGCAGTACGACGACTTGTCCCAGTCGTAACGCCCCTCGCGACGTCGTCCGATCACCGCCCACTTGGTGCTAATCGTCCACATGAACGCCAGTAACGCCTGGATCGTCAGGATGATTACAAACAGAATCGCAATCACCGCGTAAATCAGGCCGGGTCGGTACCAGTGGTCATCAAAGAGGAAGCCAGCCTTGGAGAATTCAAAGTCCTTTCGCAGCAAGTTGAGGATGAGCACCGTGCCCACAGCCGCTGTAGCCCAGTAGGCCGACGCAAAGATGGTCATACCGACATTGATGACAACCAGCATCAGGTACGGGAATACGAAGAAGTTGGCCTGTCGCTTGTAGAATGCACGTCCGAAAGGTGTGATGGTCTCGTCGTCACCGCCCGACACCATTCCTTCGCTCTTCTCGGGCACCGCCTTACCGAAGCTAACAGCTTCACCGTGCTTGGAGCCCATCCATACACTGCCTTCCTCGTAGTGACCGTTTCGTCGAGCCAAGGCACCAGATCCCATGACACACTGTTTGCCAATGATAGTTCCTGGCAGCAAGACGACACGATCCGCAATCATGGCACCTCGTCCAACGCGAACGCGAGCCCAACCGATACTGTCCGATGTGAACACTTCGGATCGCGAGCCAAAGACGACATCATCACCAATTTCGAGCAGTTCGGGATCGGGGCAGTAGATGCTCGAACCAGGCCAGTAGACACGCTTGCCGACGCGTGCACCCATCGCACGGAAGATGACCGATGTCATCTCGTAGTGCGTACCCAAGATGGCGAGAGCACGACGCACTCGTGGCTGAGACAGAAGCTGCTGGTTCATCCATCGACGGAAGAGTGCATACTGTGTTGCGTTGCGCATCGAACCCTCCTTGTTGAGACCAAGAGTGCGCTTGATCAGGATACCGAAAGCCAGATTGATGAGTGGAGGCATACCGTTTCGCACAACACGAGCGACGTAATGCCATCCGATACGACGAGGGTAGGCGAACCAAGCAATGACACCTTTGACACTGTCATGGTGATCAAATGCGAAGGGCTGGGACAGAAGCATGAAGAGAGAGGCGAACCAGGGCACGTAACAGGCAAAGCGGACGAAAAAGATGATGGGGTATCCAATCAGACCCTTGAGCGCCCAGTGAGGCTGAGGAGCGTTGTTGCGGTTGTAGGCAGCGTAGGCATCCGATGAAGGCTCTTCGTGCGAAGAGGACTGAGGGCCCCAAACTGTTCCGTCAGCGAGCCTAGCACCTGGAGAGATCTGAGTGAAGGTGTTGATAACACAGTCGCGGCCAACGATGACGGGTTCCAGTCTAAAGTAGCCGTTACGCTCGACACAGAAGCCACGAAGCAGACACTTGTCGATTCGAGCGCCGTCGTGGATGGTGATCAAGTCGTGCTCGGCAATCTTGGCAAACTGGTCAATCTGAACATCCGAGCCAATCGACATTCCCAACAAGCGGTAGTAGGTCTTCTGCAATCCAGGCGTCATCGCAAAGAGACCCTTACCGGCAGTCTTGAGCGACTGGTTGACGAGCCACCATCGAAGGTGATAGTTGCACCACATCGGGTACTTGCCCGGGCGGTACCTGCCGATGACGACCCACTTGAAGGCGATGGCAGTGACGGGACAGATGATACGACTGGTCAACCTGGCAACGATAATGGATGCCAACAATGCACCGACACGCTCCCAGAAGATATCACGAATGTAAAAGGCGGAGAAAGCGAGACCGTGCAAGATGACGGTCCATGTCCAGGCAGCCTTGAAGGGATAGAAGAAGAGGAACGGAATGGCTTGGATCAAGAGAACCCATGGATGGGTTTGACTGCGTGGCTTGTAGCCGTGGCTCTGGAAAGCAACGTCTTCATCCTCGTCGTAGCGGTGGGCAGCGTAGGTGGCACCGAGAGCGCCCTTGTCATCGTAGCCATCGTAGAAGTGGTCTTCATCCTCTTCATCCTCACCCTGCTCGTCATCCACGAGATCAGCAATGCCTGCTACAGTCGAGTTGTTGAAGAGGGTCGAGACCTCGAGAGACACGCCGGTCTCTTTGCGGATGAGATGCACCAATCGACCCAGCAAGAGACTGTTACCACCGAGAAGGAAAAAGTCGGATTCGGCCGTGATGGAGCCAGCTTCTGTGTCGAGAAGACGGGCGATAATGTCTCGGACGATCAAAGCGGTGCGTGTCATGCTGGAAGCGTTCTGCCTGCGCACCTCGGCCTCCATGGTCTCGAAATCGATCTGGCCGTGGTTCTTGGCCAAAGGCTGTCGGAAGACGTGAAGCGGGTTGGGCACTACGTAACCGTGGAGCACTTGGGCCAATGCTCGGTCGATGTCGGCTGCATCGTAGTCAGCATCCTCCTCGACCTGGATGAAAGCTTCTGGCGAACCGTCACGGCGCTGACGGACAGCAGCCTCGATGATGCCTGGAATGCGGTAGCAGGCACGCTCGACAGCTCGGACATCGACAGTGACGAGGCTGCATGGGATGGGCTCAGAGAGCGGAACCTCCTTGCCCGGTGCTTTGGCTTCAAAGTGACGCTGAAGAGGGGGAACATCGTCCGAAAGCGGACCGATGCCGAGACGGGTGCCGAGCTTGATACGGAGGGGTTTTCCTGCCTGATTCTTGGGAAGGTCGTCCATGTAAACAGCAGCGAATGGCCACTTGGATGGGTGCAAATGAGATCGAAGCATGTTGTGCAGCTCGGCAAGACCGACTCGTGGCTGGTTCGGCACGGGTACGATAACGATACCGATGGTCTCTTGCAAGACATCGTGCTCGATGGAGAAGGCAAGACACTGCTTGACACGATCCGAGCAGGCTTGTGTGATGGCTTCCTCAACTTCGAAAGGTGAAACAACCTCACCACCTTTGTTGATGATCTCCTTGGATCGACCTGTGATATAGAGGTATCCATCTGCGTCCATATGACCCATGTCACCCGAGTCGAACCAACCGTCAGTGGAGAAAGAAGAGGTGTCGAGAGGCTCGAATGGATCGGCTGATACTTCGTAGCCTGAAAAGGTTGGCAGACCTCGCACCGAGACGGCACCAGTCTGGCCGAGGGGCAACTCGCGTTCCTTGTCGAAGGGATCACGAATGGATAGATCGGGACCGCAAGCGACACCGGAGCAACCTGGTCGATCGAGCTGGTAGTTGGTTGGTGGCGATGCGATGGGCATGCACTCGGTCATTCCGTACGAAGGAAGCACGGCGCATCCGATGAACGTCTCCTTGAGCTGGATGGCAAGCGATGGCAAAAGACCGCCGGCTGCGTTGGCAATCATCTTGATGTTGGTCTCTTTGGAGGCATCGACACCTTGGGGCTTGGATGCAAGAATGGCGTGGTGCATGGTGGGTGCAGCATAGTACCAAGTAGCACCAAGCTGCTTGGCAAGTGGCCACCAGGCGTTGGCATCGAAGCCAGCGCACATGATTGCACTTCCCGCCGAGAAGACGGGCGACCAGAGGTTACGAACGATACCGCCGACGTGGAAGAGAGGCATCATGTTCATATTGACACTCTCGGGTCGAAGATCCCAGGAGTAGACGACACAGCATGTACCAACGATGAGATGTCGTAGCGAGTATGGCACCACCTTTTTCTTGCCCGAGGTACCGGAAGTGTGGAGAACAAGACTCTGGTGCTCGAGAGCGTGAGGTTGAGAGGGACGTCGGCCCGATGTGGATGCAACGCCATTCTCGCCGAGGAGCGACATGTCAAAGATACCTGCAGGACCTGATGTTCTTGGCTCGACAAAGACGATCTGCATGTTGTCCTGGTCGCGAAGGGTATGCAAACCGAGACGTTCGACTGCATCTCTTGTAGTGACGACGGCTCGTGCACGGAGTCGAAGTGCATCATCGCGCAACTCGCCGGCTGTGCAACTGGCGTTGACAGGTGCACAAGTGTGGTAAGCAGCGACGGAGAGAAGAGCCAAAGCATTTTCGGGACCTGTTGGCAGTGCCATCATGACTCGGTCGTTGGGACCAAGAGGCGACGCGCCGGATGAGCATGGTAGGATGAAGTTGGAGACGAAAGATCGGATGTGACGGTGTTCGAGAGGTGGACGGGAGAGATCTGGCGACCAGAGTGCTGGACTCGAGGTGGAAGGAAGACAGTCGATCAGGGTGGATATTCTGCCATTGTCGGTGACATGTTCTGCGATGTGATCACCGAGCGACCTGGTCTTTGGTCGCGGTGGAAGGCTGTACAAGAAGCCGAGAGGAAAGTCTGCGCTCATGCTGGGCCAGCGCTAGCGGGTGTGATGATGAGCGGGTGAAAGTGCGGATGTGGGATTGTGATGGTCGTGATTTCTGGAAAGCAAGACAAGACAAATCGCGAGCGATTATTTTTTTTTTGACGATGCTGAGTCGTTGATAGCGGAAGACCCGATGGGATGCTGAGACGGTCTAGAATTGCATCGAGGGTTTGAGAGTGGAAAGAGCCGATGATAACGCGCCAAGTATCGTTGAGGGATGCTGTAGACGGTGGACGTGATCCTGTTCCAAGTCTGGCGAAAGGGGTGGATTGGAGGATGAAGGACGAGGGGCAAGAGGTGATGATGATGGACTGTAGCGAAGAGGAGTCGCAGTTTGAGAATGTCGCCTAGCCAAAGGAGCGACGATGGCCGTTTGGTTAGGCCTACAAATTCCAACTGAATTAGCGAGCAAACAAAAGGGGCTACAGACCTGTGTGTGTGTGTGTGTGTGTGTGTGTGTGTGTGTGTGCGGGTTGAGTGTGTGTCTGAAAGAGACCGACAGCGAGAAGCAGAGGAATGCTGCTGACTGTCGTGCAGCAAAGCAAACACGCTGGCCAATCAATAATCTCAACATAAAAAACAAAACAAAACAAAACAAAACAAAACAAAAAAGGCGCAGTGTGGTGTTGCGCTTTTCTTCTGTCTCTCGGCTTGCAAGCGCAGAATTGTTTTTATTTTGTGAAATCACTCTTCCCGCAGTAGCAGAAAAGCATGTGTGTTCAGCGTGATGCGCCGATGGACACCGAAGGAGTTTGAATTTTTCTCGCGTCTGAAAAGCAACACAGAGAGCAAGAGCAACACAGCGAGACAGGAGCTTCATTCGAAACACTGCTCAAGTGCTACTCCGACCCACCAAAGGGATCGCCTGTCTCGCCCTCTCGCTTCATCGCCTCTTCTGACACGCATTGTCTTGCACAGCACAAACCCTTGAAACCAGGCTCGAAATCGACAACCGAGCAGCAGCAGCAATTTCACCCTCCAAGTCACGCCACCCTCCAGCTCGACAACTCCGAGCGAGCGCACGCCAGCGTTACAAAATCTTCCCTCTCCGTAGCGTGGGTCAGTGTGTTGATTGAATTCGCGCTGGCCCCCATATACCAGCAGTCGATAAGTAAGGGTGAAGCACTTTGCAGTGCTGTCGAAATGCTCCACCAAAATCGAGCGTGCCGAGCGGCGAGCAAAGCTGCGTTCGGCACAAATCCTCCTTTCCCTCGATGCCCCTTTTCAATGCTCCAAACCCAGCTTATTATCAGTCTCAATCTTTGACGTGGGTTTAGAAGCATCAAACTTTCGCAGAGGGGGCTCCCGGTGGAGCTGAGTTAGGATGTCGAGGAGCGAGATTGTGAAGCTCAAGCTTTTTGTGCAACCACCAATGCTCGAACAAGAGGGCTGAACTAAGGAGGCATCCTTGCCTCGGTGGAACTTTGTTGCGTTGGTACCCAACTTGATCCCACTGACGGATCGACATTACCAAGCCATTTTCGGTTGTCCCAGTACTGTACGATGCTAGCTGCGATTGGGTGAGTATCAGTCTCGCGCAAATGTTGCAGGGACCCTAGATGGCATGACGGTGACAGCAAGGCAATCACATGTGATCTCCGATACGCATGATCGCTTACATCGCAGCACCAATCGCAATCGGAACGGAGCCGATCTTGCCAAGGCTTACGGATCGGAAAGGAGCCACACTTTTTGAACGAAGGGCTGCGGATGATGCGATGCGAGGCTTTCAACATGCGCTGCGCAAGCCGAAGCCAGAGAGATGGCGCTACTGTAATTGCAGACCTGTGCAACTCGGACTCGCTCGGAAGATCGCCAACAGCACTCAAGTTGCACACTGGATTGGCGCCATCTCGACCTGTCTCTTCCATCAGGTCGTTTATGATGTTCGAGGTCTTCCAAGATACCATATGAGTGTACCACCACAGCACAAAGACCGAGTCGACAAGACCAAGACGCAGCGGCCTCGATGGCATGGTCAGCTGGACGAGAAGGAATGAACAAGATAGCCCAGACTTGATTGGCAGCAACTGCAGACAGGCGAGCGCTTTTTCTCCGATCTGAACTTGAGATCTGGCACCTCACGTGTCAGCTGTTAGTCATCAGCTCTAACACAATTTCCTCGGATTTTTCCGCATCTTCCCGCACGAAAGGTGTGCGTTCCAAGGTCATTCCCGGACTTGTCGGAAGGTCATCGGTTTGAAAATAGCCCGCCCTCTCAAAGTGCGAATTTGCTCCGGTGAACAAAACACAAGGCTGAATTCGCTTTTCAGGTGCATTTTGAAGATGTGGAGAGGGCAACTCTGTATTTGCAGCCAATCATGATCTGAAATGCTGTGTGTGGAGTGTCAATTTGGCTTGAGATTGGGCAAGAGAGGCAGCTTTTACCGGTCATCAACGTCAGAGACCGGTTCACGGCTTGCCTTGTGCTTCCCCGCCAGATTCACAATTTTACGGGTGGATGCGTTGGCTGCAATCACACGGCATTCTTCCTAGCCGCTCGTCCGGCCGGTCCAACCTCATCTCGCCCGGACAGGTCGAACCTTGCCTTGCTTTCCGATGGATATAGAACTAGCCTTCCTTTCTTCCTTCCATCATATCTTCTCTTCTAACCATCACAACGCTACTCAAGCAGCTGTCGATCACCGCAACCACTTCACCGAGTTGAAGCGATAAGAACATCGTCAAGCCATCTCATCGCATCCATCCACAAAGATCGTACAGCTTTCCTTTCGTCTCTCGCTCCTTAGCCCGCTCCAGATCACAGTAGCGGCTTTTACCCTCTGCTAACCCCTATGACACTCCTCGGCCTGGCTCGTTCTCAAGCTCGTACCTCTGCTTCACGACTCGTTGCTTTTGCCTCCTCTGCCTCTTTCAAGGACGCTTCTACGATTCCTATCGCCGCTGTAATGTCGTCGCGATACAACTCCAGCTTGACCAAATCCGGTGGTATCGGCAATGGTCCCATGTATGAGGGTCAAAGTGCCATGCCTCACCTTCCCGTCCCTGCCCTCGAGCAAACTCTCCAGAAATACCTCCGAAGCACCGTTCCTCATCAAACCAAGGATTCGCTCGCCAAGACCGAACAAGCCGTCCAATCCGCTCTCTCCGGTGCCGATGCCAAACTCGTCCAGACCCTTCAGCAGCGTTTGGAGGATCGAGCTACCAAGGAAGGCCGCGAAAACTGGCTCAGCGAATGGTGGAACGATGCAGCCTATATGGCTTACCGTGACCCTGTTGTTCCCTACGTCAGCTACTTTTACTCGCACAAGGACGACAAAACCCGTCGTACCGGCCCCAAGCGTGCTGCTGGCTTGCTCAAGGCTTTCCTTGCTTTCCGTCGCCTTCTTGAGACTGAACAGCTTGCTCCTGAGAAGGGCAAGGCTGGTCCTTTGTGCATGAGGTCGTACAAGTGGATGTTCAATTCGAACCGTATCCCCGAAAAGCCCTCCGACACTGCTGTCAAGTACGATTGGGAGAAGCATAACCATCTCGTAGTCCTCCGCAACGGTCACTTTTACCAATTCGACCTCATTCACAACGGTCAGGAGCTTAGCGAGGCCGAGATTGAATCGCAACTCCAAAAGATCCTCTCGGACAGCGCTTCCAGCAAGCCTGCTCCTCAGCCTATCGGTGCTTTGTCGTCCAACAACCGTGACAAGTGGACCAATTCGCGCAAGGCTCTCGCCTCGCTTCCCGGTAATCAGGAGGCATTGGAGCAAATCGACAGCTCGGTCATCGTTGTTTGTCTCGACGAGACCGCTCCTCACAGCATCGAGTCTACTGCTTGGCAACTCTGGTGCGGTGATGGAAAGAACCGTTTCTACGACAAACAGCAGATCATCACCTTCGCCAACGGAAAGTCGGGTTTCATGGGTGAACATTCCATGATGGATGGTACCCCCACTCTGCGTCTCAACGATTTCGCACTGCAGGCTTTGCAAGCTGGTAAGATCGATCTGGGTAGCTCCAACCGTACCGATTTGCCCGCACCCAAGCAGATCAAGTTCAAGACGGACAAGACGGTCCAAGCTAAGATCGAAGAATCCATCAAAGATTTCGACTCGCTCATGGGCCGCCACGACCTATCGGTGCTTGACTTCCAAGGATACGGCAAAGGAGCGATCAAAAAATTCAAATGCTCTCCCGATGCTTGGGTCCAAATGGTCATCCAACTAGCCTACTACAAGATGTACGGTAAGCCTTGCCCCACGTACGAATCTGCTCAAACACGAAAATTCAAATGGGGACGAACCGAAACCATCCGTTCCGCCTCGATCGAATCCAAAGCTTTCTGCGAAGCAATGGAATCTCACTCCTCCTCCGACGCGGAACGATACGAAAAGTTCCAGGCTGCTGTTAAACAGCATCTCTCGTACGCCTCGGCTGCTGCTGATGGTCAAGGTGTTGACCGTCATCTCTTTGGTCTTAAGAAACTGTTGAAGGAGGGAGAGAAGGTTCCGGCGATTTATGAGGATCCAGCGTACGGCTTGTCTTCGACTTGGAAGTTGTCGACTTCGCAAATCTCGAGTGAGGTTTTCGCATGCTGGGGATTCGGAGAGGTGACGCCGGAGGGCTTTGGATGTGCGTATGCGATCAAGGAGAATTCGTTGACTTTTACCATCACTTCGTTGAAGTTGGGTGCAAGTAATCTCAGACACTATATCAATGAGGCTGCGGTGGAGTTGAGGGATTTGCATCTGCGTCTGCAGAATGAGGGGGCTAAGGCTAAGGCTTAAGCAAGTTAGAGATGGAAGTTGAAAGATGAAATCCGTTGCAATTGAATGTGCAATTGAATGTACACAGAGTTGCTTCCGTTTGATTTCTTGATCTCAATGCAAGTATAGACTATGTTTTTGTAGGTGTTCTGTGAGAGTGTGCCACTGTAGTAGAATCCAAGACGATGAGAGCAGTGCGAGCGAGTGTGAGTCTCGATGAGCTATCGTTGTGGAAGGTGGAATTTGGGCTCCATTTTCTGTGCCTTTTTTTTCTGATATGATTTTTTGTCTGCAGTTTTTTAGTTGCTTTCCTTCTTTGTGTGGAGGTGGACGTGCCCAAATTTTTGCCGGAGCTGACTTCAGGGTTCAAGAAGATGCCAACCTCGTTTCTTTCGATGCTCAGTCCTTGTTACTACCAACATAAGCTTTCTCTCTCCGACGGAGAGCTCAATAGCGATCATGCTGCGGTCGCTATTCAGGATAGCTCGGATGGTAAGCCTACAAATACAACCACCAACAATAGCTTCGAGCAGCAAGATCGCATCAACCTCGATAGCGAGCCATCACCATCACATCGACTATCGTTCATTCAGCTCATCAACCCCTTCCCACAATGTCGTCCAACCGGCCTCCCTCGAGTCTAGCTCCGAAACTTCAACACTACCGACAAGCAGCATCAGCCCTCCATCGGTCTCAACCTCGTTCGTCCCACGTCAAAAATTCGAACTACCCACAACCACTCCCTCCTGGTATGCCGGTCACATGGCGCGGGCGATCCGCTCAATGCCATACCTACTCGCACGCTACCCCCCACCTCTCGTAATTGAGGCTAGAGATGCACGACTGCCACTAACCTCAATCAATCCGGTGTTTGAAAAGCTGCTTCGCAAGGCACCTACTGCTAATGACGGACTGGACGGTCTCCCGCATTGCTCTCCTTCTAGTGGGGCTGGCGTAGACGGCTCAACATGGCGCACTCGCCGCTTAATCGTCTATCTTAAACGTGATCTCATATCTGCCCACGTCGAAAGCTCGATTCTGTGCGCCCTGCGCGAACGAGATCCGCTGCAACAGGTCCTTTTCGTAGACACCCGGGTAGATGCAGATGTGAAAAAGGTGCTGTATTGGGTTCAAAAACAAGCACGCAAAATCTCTTTAGATGAACAGATCAGCTGCCCTCCGAGCAAGAAGTCGGAAAAAGCGGAGAAAAGAGCCAAAAAAGGACTTTCAGGAGCATTCAGGCACACTCCAACACCGGAAGAAGGGGTCAGGTTGTTGATTTTAGGAATGCCAAACGTGGGCAAAAGTAGTTTGTTAAATGCGTTGAGGAGGGTGGGGACGGGAAAGGGCAAGGCGGCTAGTACGGCTCCTCATCCGGGTCATACTAGGAAGTTGACTGGTACTGTTAGGATTAGTAAGGCGGGACCAAGTAAGGTCGAGGCCGAACCAGCGAGAGAGATGGGTGGAAGGAGGAGTAGGAGGAGTGCAGCAGCGGTGGCGGCGGAAGAGGAGGAAAGAGCAGCTGAGCAGAGTTCATTTGTCATTTCCTCAGATCACAGCGGTGAACGGTCAACAGAAGAAAGCAAAGATGCAGAAGGAATCGAGTCGAAGAAAGAGCGAAAAGATGTGCCAATCTACGTATATGATACGCCCGGAGTCATGGTTCCCTTTCTTGGTCATGGCGCAAGTGGTGCTGAACGTGGGATAAAACTTGCCATCACTGCTGGGATCAAAGATTCTTTGTTCGATGTTCAGCTTCTTGCCGACTATCTCCTGTTTCGTTTAAACCTTGGTGCGCCTGCGTGCTCTTCTGCGGAGGGTGTGGCGGTACCAAGCTACGTCTCGAATCTCCCGCTCTCGCGCCAAGAATATCTCTCAACATGTGACGACACGCTCGGTCGCACGAATTCGATCACTGAACTGCTGTGGCATGTTGCAGGCAAAGCCCCCGGTTCACTCCGCAAGGGAAATGTTAGGGATCTGGACGCAGCAGCGCAATTCATGCTCCAACACTGGAGGTTGGGCAAGCTGGCTAGGAATACAGAGTTGGATTTGAATACCGAGGATGATGGGGAAATTAGGAGCAAGGTGAATGATTTCTTTGATAAGGGGGGTGATGTGCAGGCCACTGAGGGCGTTAGTGCCGCACCTATAGTCTTGGAGAGGCAGGAGGGGGAAGCGAGCGACGGACAAGGTGCAGAGAGTAGAACACAGCAAAAGAAACAACAAAAGAAGATGGATGTTTTGGCGAGAAAGAGAAAGTTGATGGATAAAGGCATTGCTGTTGGCAAGTCGAAAGGCACCAACAAGCCAACGTTCAAGGGCAGGGCCAAGAAGAAGCGCAAGTGATTGCGACACTCTGTTCTGGCTTTTGGATCGAATCGCACTTGTACTTGTATCCTCCACATTATTAATCATCAATCGTCAATCATCAATCTCGCATCGACTCGCCTTTTTCGCCTCACTTGTGAAAGCCATCTATACTGAGACGAGGCTACAAGTTGTTCTTTTCAAAAGCTGACACTGATACCCTTGGAGCTGGGTGACAGCTTAGTTCTTGGGCTTATATTCAGTAGGACCCAACATAAACTCAGGTCGTACGATCTTGTTAAACTGCTCCTCGGTCATAAAGCCCAAAGCGACAGTGGCATCGACCAACTTGGTACCCTCCTTATGAGCCTTCTTGGCGGCAGCGGCGACATTATCGTAACCCAAGTGCGAGTTCAAGATGGTGGCCAACATCAAACTCTCATTGAGAATGTTGTTGATGGTATCCCTGTTTGCCTGGATACCGACGACGCAATTCTTGGTGAAGCTCCTTGCACCATCCGCAAGAAGTCGAATAGACTGGAGCAAGTTCTTAATCAACACGGGCTTGAAAACGTTGAGTTCGAACTGACCGTAAGAGCCAGCGACAGAGATAGTTGTGTTGTTACCCATAACCTGAGCTGCGACCATCGTCAGCGCCTCGCACTGGGTTGGGTTGACTTTACCCGGCATGATCGAAGATCCAGGTTCGTTCTCAGGAAGGCTGAGTTCACCAAGACCGCAACGAGGACCAGAACCGAGGTAACGAATGTCGTTGGCGATCTTCATAAGCGAAACAGCGACAGTGTTGAGTGCGCCGGAAGCTTCAACGATTGCATCGTGGGCTGCGAGGGCTTCGAATTTATTTTCGGCTGTTTCGAACTTGAGACCTGTGATGTTGGAGATTTCGGCTGCAACTTTCTTGTCAAAGCCAATGTAGGTGTTCAGGCCAGTTCCGACAGCGGTACCTCCTTGGGCCAGCTGGGATAAGCGGGGGATGACGGCTTTCACGCGCTGAATACCGTTCGAAACCTGCTTAACATACCCGCTGAACTCCTGACCAAGAGTGAGAGGGGTAGCGTCCTGCAAGTGAGTGCGGCCGATCTTGATGATATCGTCGAACTCAGCTCTCTTGGCATCAAGAGCAGCACAAAGTTGCTCTAACGCAGGGAGGAGCGACTTGGTAATCTGCGTAACCGACGCAACGTGCATAGCGGTAGGGAAAGTATCGTTGGACGACTGACTCATGTTGACGTGATCGTTTGGGTGAACAGGTTCCTTGCTACCCAGTTGACCTCCGAGGATCTCGATGGCACGGTTAGAAATGACCTCGTTGACGTTCATGTTGGTCTGGGTACCCGAACCGGTTTGGAAGACGACGAGGGGGAAGTGGGCGTGGAGTTTGCCGGCGATGACTTCATCGGCGGCTTGGCAGATGGCATCGGCGACTTTGGGGTCGAGGCCGTACGACTTGTTGACGGTAGCAGCGGCTTTTTTGAGAACACCGAAAGCTTCAATGAGAGGTTCGGGCATGCGTTCTTGAGGTCCACCGATGTCGAAGTTTTGAAGGGATCGTTGAGTTTGAGCGCCCCAGTAGCGGTCGGCGGGGACTTGGAGGGGACCGAAAGTGTCCTTCTCGGAACGGAACTTGGCTTGCTGGGACATGATGAAGGCGGAAGAAGCAAAGGCTCGAGTAGCGGTGGGGATGGCGGAGGCGAAGGCGATGGCGAGACGCGGAGGGGCGACCCGGGTGGATGCCTGTCAGTGAAGAAAGGGGGTAAGGAGTAGGCGAAGAGGAGTGGAGGATTGAACCAAAGCAACGTCGGCAATGGAGATGGATGGTGTCTAAGGTCAGCGTCAATGATGGTGATGGCGAGCAAGTAAGGGGAGCAAGAGGAAGCTATCGCACTGCTTGGCTGGAGCACGGAGGCGAACGGGCCAAGCGGTTATGGAACGGGCCGGGCAAACTCATGCACCTCGGAATGAGCCATGAGAGAGATCGAGCTGCTCCACGTCCACCACTGGTCATTGCTATCCATCCTTTCTCCATCGCATGCGAGCGAGCAAAGCGATAGCAATGCATATGAGACGGCCAAAAGGTGGAGCCGAACAGGTGCGCGCGCGCGAATCGGCGTTGCATTTCCCTTGCCGCGAAAGCCGCCTTGTACTGCCGTCGATTCGGCCCTCGCCCAAAAAAAAAATAAAAAAAAATAAAAAAAATGGTGGATTTTACATCGTATTTTCCCCCCACCTTGTTCCTAGCTTCCTGACGAAGAGATGAGCTACGACTGCCTTGGATGCATCCACCTGTTGCGCTTTCCGTCGTGCTATCAGGCCTGCATCCTGGTCCAAGGCTGCGCTGTATGAACTTACCCCAATGGATCGGAGAGCGACAGATCGGGCAGCCATTTTGGAAAGTGATATCCGATTCAATTGAATCCGAGCGAGTTTTGCTGAGGAGGAGGAGGAGGAGGAGGAGGAGAGATGTGTGGATGAAAGAAAGGTGGAAAGATGCGAACCAAGGGTCAGATCGGAACAAAGTGTTGTGCTCTCTCTCTCTCTCTCTCTCTCTCTCTCCATATGTCCTCGAATCATACGCACGCTTTGCCGCCCCACCACCGAGTGAGACTTTTTTCGACTTTCATTTGAAAGATCAACTTGTCAACCCTAACCCTCCCGATCCATGATCAAGTCCTCCTCTCTCGATGTCTCTCTTTCGTGAGCGCCTCCTTCCCGCCAATCACTCTCGCTCTGCTCATTTGTCCATCCTGCACAGACCAAAACGGCACTGTTTTTGCTTTCTTCTGGAAACTTTCCGGGCTTTTTGTCCATCTTCCGCCTCGATCCGTGACTTTGCAAGCTGGCGTGCCCTTTCGAAAAATTCTAAAGCCGAAAAACCTCCACCTTTGTCGCCATCAATACTCACACCTTGCAAGTTGCAACATGTTGTGAGATTGCTAGATTTCAACATTTCTGCATAGTTTGGAGTGAGGTTATGAGGACCCAAACCACTTGCTCCAGCTCCCACCGCCACTCTCGGCATCATCCCGCTGCTGAGCATGCTGGGGTGGTCCATCATCAAGCGAGACAGCCCGACCAAAAACATCTTCCAATCCAGTCGGGTTTTGTGGTTCCCAAAACCGCTGTGGACCCAATTGAAAATTGTTGTACTTTTTCGGTGGGCATCTAGTATTGCTTCTGTTGATGCTAGTCGATGTAGCCGCAGAAGCGGGTGCAAAGGAATTGCTAGACCAAGTCGATACTGATGGTCGTGCTGGTGCGGGAGCAATTTGTGATGAGCATTGTTCCCATTCTTGTTCGGATGAGATGGATGCACGACGTGCAGTGTAGGTAGCAGCATCTTGCATTACTGCGTCTCCATCTGCGTCTCGTTGAGGCTGAGGCAAGAATGTCTCGTTGTCCTCTTGCGACCCTGCGGTAGCCATTCCGAACCCGTTCGACTGACTGGATTGCGGTGCGGCAGCACAAAGACTGAGACTAGTGAGAAGGGGGTCGTTAGCAAAATCGATCCTGCTGGGAGCACCATTTGGTACAATAGGTTTCGATACAAGCTGCAGCGGTGTAGGAGAGTCTAATCTCAGCTGAGATGCAGCGAGCAGGGTAATGCTGGTTTCACTGGTCAACATCGTGAGCGCCGAGAGCCACAAGAGTTGGGTCGGATCCCGCTGCAGCCAGCAAATGGCGCTGTCCAACATATCGGCGCGTAAGGATGCAATGGCTGTCAGAACAAGTATTGTGATCCGAACAGAGAGGATGATTTGCTGACTTAGACGCCAAAGTTGCAGCCCAGTTGCCTCGACTCGCATCTGCCGCGCTCGTGCCTTGTCGGAGGAGCGTTTGAGAGGGTCGAAGCGCGAACACTTCTGTAGCAACTTCGGTGTGGCCAACAGAGCGAGCAACGCGGCCGACGCTGTGTAGGTGGAAAACGGCTGCGACTGGATGCGATCTCGGAATAGCTGCACGCTGGAAGCCGCTGCAACTGGATTCAGACACACAGCCAGGTATCCAGCCCATATGCTCGCATTGACAAGCACAAAGACAGCCATGGCCAGCCTTGAGCCGTGCTCAGAGTCTACGATGCCGCTTATACGACTTGCTATGCCGAGTCGCACCGTTGTGGCAGAGCGAAGACCACCCTTTGTGTTGGACGGTATCGGATCGGATGAAGAGACTGACGCTTTTGCTCCTCTCGCACCTTGTCCATCGGCCAAGTCAGCCAGCGAAGCCTTCTTCTTCAGCTCTAGCCACTTGCCCAAGCTCCAACTACGAGCGAACTGATCTCTTTCCGATATCCTCTCCTGCACTTTCGGCGCGCAATCAGCGCAGACCGCTGGGTATCTCGCAGCTATCGAAGCCTCGTACGCCGGCAGCTCCTCCAGCTTCTCTCGGTATTCTGCATCATCCTCGCTAGGCAGATAGTCGGCAAGCATGTTGAGCCTCAGCACTTGGTTCGTTCGACACGTGTGGCAGAATGTAAATCCGTCTTTGCCGGGCAAAGTTCTGGGCTGGGTTGGTGAGGAAGTCTTGGCCGGTTTGCCTGACTTTGACGGTCGAGTGTGCTGAAGAAGGTGGCTTCGATTTCGATTCCATTCTTCGTCCCACATTGGACGTGTATATTGTTCAACAAGGGTGCCATCTTCGAGTGTGACGTTCTGGCAGTGACAATGCGAGCAAAACCAGTTGATGGGTGTGCCGGTGGAGATGATGGTAGTGCATGACGTTGCGACTGTGGAAGGATGTGGAGTGTGGACATTGCTCGATCCATGAGCCTTGTTGTCAGGTCCATACGGGGGGAGGATGATGCTGGTAGTGCAGCAGAAGAAGCATTGTCGCTGTGGATACCCGGATGGCTGCCTGCCGGACCATGGGAGGAGCTTCCACATTGTGCTCACTGCGATGCCCGTTCCACTTTCAATACTATCCTAGCTGGCTGTCGATTGCTTCGATTGCAATGTATATCACCTGGATCTTGCCGAATCGACGCGGCCACAGGTATTGCCTTTGATTGGGGATCAGGTGGTAGTGGCATCCATCTAAGCTGCTCATGGCAACCAGTTGGAGATGTCGCTTTTCAATCACGCCTGGCTGAAAATCTCAATTCAGGGTCCAATCCGAAAAGGAAAAAAGGAAAAAGGAAAAAAGAAAAAAAGAAGAAAAAAAAGAAAGAAAAAATAAAAATAAAAAAATGCTGCGCCTTCTTGCCACCCTTTCTTTCCCGCTTGCTCAGCCATCACTCAGAAGATGCTTAAAATCTTCCCAGATCTTCTCGACTCCTCCACCTTGACCACATCGCCTCTCCATCACCAATACCTTTCCCTTCCGCTGCCCACCATCACATCAACAGGCAACATGAAGACAATGCTACGATCCAAAAGCCTCGCCCCAGTGGCCAGGCTTCACAGCAGCCGCACCATCTCATCCAGCTCTTCACCAAGCAGCTCATCTCGAGCAGCAGCACTCGCCAAAGCAGCCCAAGCTTCCGCCACCGCTTCCGAAAGATTATCCGCCCGAGGACCTTCAACGATGGGCCCTTCCTACAACTCTCGCCAGAAGGCCACCTCATTCGACGCTCCCCATCGCCTCCTCTCCGAACACGACGAGGCAAGCGCACAGTACAACCTCAGCTCTTCCCAAACACGTCGTTCCAGAGCAGCTCGTTTCGGCACTAGTCGACATGCCACTTACGCCTCCCCACTCCTCCAGACCGCAGCATCCGATCAAACGCATCGTACCGCAGAGGAGAATGAACTGGAGGACGAAGAGCAACTCGCCCTAGCCTACGCCTCTCCCACCGGCACATCCACCTCCTCCATCTACCTACCCGAATACGTCGCATGGGCAATCTCACAACTCATCGCAGCCGCAAACGATCCAAAACTCGTTCGTGCAGATCATCTTAAACTAGCCCATCTCACCGATCCACAGCAACACATGGCTGAAGCTGCCCACATTCCACCCAAACGTTCGTCGTTGCTACATCTTGCGACCGTTTCCCCGCATCGATATGCTGCCATCTTGGCTGTGCTTTCCGAGGTGCGTCAGCGGTTGTACACCACGAGTCCCGTGGAGGGCAGTGAGGGAATCCGAATGGAAGAGGCTTTACCGAGTTGGACACCGGATACAGTGTTAGACTTTGATTGTGCTGCTGGGGAAGGGCTTTGGGCTGCAGCACAGGTCTTTCGTCAAGGTGGTGCAGGTAGTACGTCAGTTAAGCATTATCATGGATATGATAGGAGACCGAATCTGTTGAAGAGTGGCAAGAAGGTTGCGCAGAGTTCTGCGTCCAACGTTTCCCCCACTGGCCCTAAAAAGCCGGAAAGGGAGATGAAACTGAAGGATGAGGGCGAGCAAATTCAAGTCGATGGAGTGACGTACTATGAGCAAGGTGCTGCAGTAGAACAAGACCTCGAAGAAAAGCAAGCAGAAGAGGTGGAAGAGGAATATTTCTCAGGACCAAAATCAGCCATGGCTTTAGTCGAAAAGACTTTCCAATCCGTCCCACTCGCCAAAGACCTCGCTTCTGCCGGCTCAGCAGGTCGTTCACTTGCAATATCCGCCTTTGCCCTCAGCCTGATGACTAACGACAGTAACCGGGTTGAAGCCGTCCAAGCAATGTGGAACTCTGGTGCCCAAGTCATCGTCATCATCGACCGATCCACCCCTCGAGGCTTTGCCAGTGTTGCTTCCGCACGAGCACAGCTCCTCCAACTCGGCAAACAGACTCAAGCTGGAGCACACGTGGTTGCGCCATGTTCGCACGATAAACCCTGCCCACTCTTGCATCCTTTTGCGATCAACTCGAGCGTGGCAGCAGCAGTAGGTGTTAGATCAGACACAGGTAATCCTGCCAAGAGTAAGGATGTGTGCAGCTTCACCGCCAGATATCACACTCCGACGTTTTTGAGAAAGACGAAAGATTCGGATAGGGGAGAGGAGAATGTCGGCTATAGCTATGTTGTGGTCAGACGTGGAGTTAGGCCGAGTTTGGTTGGGGAGGCGCAGCGGAGGTTAGCGTCGGGGGAGAAAGCGGTTCAAGGGGATTTGGTAGGGATGGTGGAGCAGTTGGCTGTGCAAGCGGGCAGGACCAAGACTGGGATTTTGGATTTGATTAGGAGTCCGAACAAAGCTACTGGTGAGTGGAGAACGCTTGAGGAAGTTGGTGATAGTGCTGCAACGCTAGAAGACGCTGATGGAGAGAGAGGGGAAGGAGAGATGTCGGACGAACAAGCAATGGATCAACTCCTCAAGCTTCTTCCTGACGCACTCAAGGCTGAAATGCAAACTTCCACCTCGCCAGACGAACAAGCGCAGCAATTGACACCAGAACAATTGGATTCGATCATGGCTTCTTTACGCTCCTCCTCCGCCACCACCACCTCCACCTCCTCTTCCGCTGCTCCTACTTCCAGCACCTCCGACTTGCAGACGGTTTCGGAAGACGGAAAGGGGACGATCATAGATCCCGCTCCTACGGCGCAAAGCGAGCTTGCCATGAGGCTAGAATCGTATTCCTGGCCCCGGCTTATCAAAGCGCCGCTGAAGAAGGGAGGACATGTGACACTCGACGCTTGCTGCGCCTCGGGGAACATTGAAAGGTTTACGATCAGTAAGGCGTCAGGAAAACAGGCTTATCAGGATGCAAGAAAGAGTAAGTGGGGTGATTTGTTTCCTCATCCACCGAGGAGTAGGAGTGTGGTTAAGGTGTTGAACCCATTGACTGCGCTGGAGTATCAGCAGGAAACCGAGGCTGATGCTGAGGTCGAGCTGGATGGCCTTCCACTGGAGGAGGTGGATCTAATGGATAGATTGACTCTCCGAGCACCATCGAAACTCAACTCGGCTACAACCTCGAAAGCAAACAAAGGAATCCAAATCCTCGGATTGGAAGGAGAAGACGCCGATTCAATCCTCGCTGAACTCTTCTCCGACCTGCCTCCCTCCTCCTCCTCCCCGACTACCTCCTCAAAGGGAGCGAATTTGGACCGGGGCATAGCATCCTACCGCCTCATCTCTCCCAACCTTGTCACCCCGACCAAAAAACAGGAGAAGAGACTACACATTAACTACGCTAAAAAATGGGACCCCAACTCTGCTCCCACCCCGTCTAGCCGTGCTGCTGCTGCTCGGCTGGCTAACAGCAACACTAACCTTAGTACTCGACCAACTCTACAGGCAAGTGGTGGGGAAACGGCGGCAGAGCTCGGAGAAGACGATGCAGAGGCCGGCTTCCAGAGCAGTTTGCAGTCCCTACCGCCTTCAGGCGCAAAGATGAGGAGGAGTAGTAGGAAGAAAAGTCGTGGCGATTGGGATTTTGAGTTGTTTGGTCACTCAACCCTGTGACACGCTCGTGCTGTAATGATTGCCCGTGGACGCAGATGGTGGATCTTATGCAAGTTCAGGCCGTGTTATGGCTTTGGGAATGAGGCTGTGTTGCATGAGAAGATAGGCATTGAGAAGCGACGGTATACAGATCAACAACAACAACAACAACAACAACAAAGAATGAAACACACGGTGCGGTAAATCTCAGTATGAGATATCTGCCAGCAATCATAGCGGCAGAGCAGGGTTGCGGAATACGACGAATGGGTGAGCCAAGCGAGCAGAACAGCGAGGCCCCAACAAGTGAGAGAATAAGGCGGGGAAGTGGACACGGGCCGGACCAAAAGCGGCCAAACATCTCGACTCCCCTCCCTCTCCCAACCTATTGGCATCATCCAACAGTGGTAGCAGTCTGACCCGGCAAAGTCGCATTACTCCTTGGCAACGGCGAACCCGTGATGCCCTTCCCATTCGCATTCGAGATCGTCGCAGCAGCCAACAAGCCTTCCCCTCCACCACCATTCTCTGCATTATTCCCGAGCGCCAATCCGCTCAATGCCTCTTCTAGCCCATTTTCACTTGCTCTGCTACTCTCTCTGCTCATCTTTCCGCCCTCTTGCATCAGCCCGCTTCTTGCCGCTGCGACAGGATTGGCGGGTAAGCCAGCAATCCCACTTAATGTATCCACTCCCGCTAACACCCGGTTCGCCGGGGAAGGTCCACCGTTTGCTGCATCGAACAGCGCCGCAGCAACCGGTTTCGGGGGTAAGTTTGGGTTGCTTCCACTTTGCTGTCTCGAATGACCCCTTGCTTTGCCGAAAGAAGGCGTATGTTGATGGCCCCTCAAACTCTTCGCCGGACTATCCGGTGTGGACGGGGTAGCAAGCTCAGCAGGCTGCTTAGTCGGACTACCCAAAACCCCCCCTCCATTCGAACGAGACCGTTGTCGATTGCTAAGGCTCGAAATGATAGCGCTCGCATCATCACCATCATACGGTTTGATTTTTGCTGGGACTCCGTTGTCGTCAATAAGTTGCGGCGGAGGAGACATGACCGTTCGGAGATAGGCCTTTTTAGCAACTGCAGGATCGGCAAAGATGATAAGAGCGGTGGTGTCGTCGACCCATTTAATCTTGTAGCCTCCTTTTTCTTCTTCGTATGCAGCGAAAACTTGTTGGAGATCGCGAGTTTTGAGTTGAGGAGGGAAACCGGAGAGTTGGAGGATGCGAGTCACTAGAGGTGAGAGGAGGGGGAGGGCTGAGGCGACGGACATGGTGGCCGTATTTAGAATGTGGAGTGAATTGTTGGTTTGAAAGAGCTTGGAGAGCGGATAGGAATGAGTGTGCAGATGCAGTGATGGTAAGGTTCGGTCGAGGATCAAAGGCCAAGTTCAGGAGTGAAGGAACGGATTCTTGAATCGCAGAGCTGATTGCGGGGCAACTGGTGTTTCCGAGGCTTAGGACTGAGAGAAGCGGTTAATTAGTGTGGTGCTTGGGTATGAAAGCGGATATGCAAGGAAAATAGTGATCGAAACGATGGAAAGTGAGGAATAAGCAATTGCAGGAGCTATGTCGATGAATCGAAGGGATGTGGCAAACCAATCTGTTAGAGCGCGAATGGAGACCGAGTCGAAGGAAGCGTGGGAAATGGAAGCTGAGAGAGACAGGAGCCAGAAATTGGGGTGATGGGAGTAAGAATCGAAGTGGCAGGAAAGAGGGGTTGGAAAGATGGAGTGAGCGACGGAGACATGAGAGATGATGGTGGGATCAACAGTTGCCAATGAAACGATGTCGACGTGTTTAGACGTAATCCAGCTGCAACCCTCTTTCCTGGTGCGTCCTCACCAGCTCGGCTTGGCGGAGAAAAAAACCCCTCCCTCCCCCCTACGCAAGCACGGCAGGGCACAACGCTTTTTGCTTTCCATCCCGACGCTGTTAGCCGCTGCCGTGTCGCTGGGCGGTGCGTTTTCTGATTGCTAAACAAACAAATCCAGAGCTCAAAGCTTGAGCTTCTGCACCAACCTGCAAACTCAAGCTTGGTTGTGCACATTGCGTATGCTGACTTCCCCTCTACACAAGCACCAAGTTGGAGTATGGCATTGCAGAGGTTCACGCAGTCGTGCTTTGCCGAAGTTGCCTTTGTGTGCTCGCGTTTGATGGCCATTCACACAATGCCGACGCCTATCCCTCTTGTGTTCGACATGTCGACGTAACAAAGGCAAAAAAAATTGAAGCTCAGGGTCAACCATATCGTAGCACTTGTTCATCCTTAGAACACGATCATCTTGCAAGCCAGGTAATGCGACGCATCAAACCAAAGCAGCGAGCTCGAGGCACCAACGATGTAATTCCTAAGTCGGTCCATGGTAACTTTCAAAGATACTATCATATCCGCAATCCCACAACCGCCGATGACGATAACGATGCTGCAGACGGCAATTCAGCTAGTCGCTCGACAGTCGTGTGGCAGCCATCTTGCGCTTCCTTACTGCACACTATGCTCATACAGGCTCGGTTGCAACAAGTTCGGTAGGCGAGGAGGAAACGCGGATGTTCAGTGTACTAGACATAGGCTGTAACTCCGGCAAACTCACCATTCAGCTCGCACAGACCCTTCTTGCTCTCCTTCGCAAGGTGAGTGGTGATGGTACAGGGGTGGAGATCATAGGTGTCGATATCGACCCGAAGCTGATTGGACAGGCGAAGGAAGCAGCGGGTATTGCGAGGTCGCTTCATCGCCCCCCAAAACTCAGCTCTGAAGAAGGTGTTGCGGGAGGAGAGCAGCTGCCGACAGAAACAGTTTTCTTTCCGTCTTGCTTTCCTGCGCTATTCGGTCCCTTGAAAAGTGCTGCAAATGATGACGAACGAGGGGCGAAAGGACGACGAGCCAGCACGGCACATCTCGAACCACGATTGCTACGATTGATAGCAGCAGAATGGGTCCACCCCTCCCCCGCGACCAGCTCATCCTTTCACTACTCTCTCCACCCTCTCTCCCACCTGACCAATCTCGACAAGCGCCAATACTCAACCATACTTGTGTTGTCCATCACCAAATGGATCCACATCCAACGATCCGATTCCGGCCTGACTCTATTCTTCGCTCGCCTCTCATCCACTCTCTTACCCGGCGGATTGTTATTTTTGAAGAGACAGGAATGGAAATCGTACTCCACGCCAAGAACCTCGACGCTGGGATGAAGGGCAAGATAAAGGGGCTGCAGATGAGACCAGGCGGAGACTTTGATCTCTTATTGGAGAAGATCGGGTTCAGGTTGATGGAAAGGATTGGTTGGGGGAGAGGGAAGGGTTTTGAGCGGCCTCTACAGGTGTTTTGCAAGGTAGGAGGCCAACAGGAGGAGGAGCTGGTGAGGCAAGTGCTGGAGCGGGAGGCAAGGTTTGATTGGCTTTGTAGACCGCCAGATGCCCTAGAATAGCCGATCGAAAAGTCCCAAGAAATGCAAAGCAAGAGCCAAGAGACGCTTTCGTATGTGTTTGCGCTTGAATGGCGTGATCGAGTGCTCGGATTAGATTGCGTCTTGCCTCGGTCCTGGCCAAGGTAAGAAGAAGAAGGAGTGATCTTATCTGATTGCATCCCTCCGCATTGTGTCACTGCACAGACCAAGCGACAATGCATGCACTCGGCATACTTCTTGAATGTGCGTACGCATAAGCTCGATCTTGTGCGGCAGAGTATGACTCGCCATTGTCTTGGCAACGAGAAGTTAGAGTGCATTGTGCAGGGAGATGCTCGGAGGCAGTCGGAAAACGCAGAATCGTCTGGGTTTGTAGAGCTGTGGATGCAGGCGTTGGCTTTTATCTGATTAGATCCGCAGCTGCGATCGCGTTTGTGCAGCCGAGATTGCTGCTCCTGTGCCGCTCGCTCGCTTTCCTTTTTGCCGTCTGTGAAAGCGCAGATCAAAGGGATGTAGGGCTGAGATCAATGTACGCGACACGCACCAGCAACAAAGGAAGTGGGGGTGATGTGTGCCTTGTCTGCTGGCGATCGTGGCTGTCAGTGCTAGGCAGTGCCTCTGACGCTGGTGTGCGATTCCGCTGCTTTCAGGGAGAACTAAGCCAAGCTTCACTTTGTTTTAGGTTTTTCTTTCTTTCTTTTTTTGGGCTGCTCTGCTGTGTGATGAGCAGAAATCGAACTTTGATCGATCCTTTGAAAACGCCGTTAGCGAGCGCTCGCTTGGAGGAGCCCCTTGGACCCTAGCGTAACTCAAACGTAGGCCAAGCTCAAGCTCAACGTATGTTTGGCCTTAACAGCTGAGCCATCTCGGGCTTTGCGTAGACCTAACCTTCACACTACCACCAATACTCTATCCCCCTCGCTCTACTTTAAACCTCAGCCGAACTGCGAAATTCTACTTAAGAGCGAGAGGTAACATTCATCTTACCCCCCCCCCCCGCAAATATACCATCCACCTCGCCACCAAACCCAAGCAATCGTAGCATAGCCTAAATCGCACACGATGTCGTGTCCATTCGCCAAGTTCGCCTCGCTCTTCCCTTGCGCTACCAAAGAAGATTCCTCCTATCACCACCACTACTCCTCCTCCTCCTCCTCATCGTCATCATTATCATCGCCGAGCTCAAGCCTGAGCGAAGCACTCCGTCTCGGCACAGCCTCCAGCCATCGAGCGGTAGAAAAATCACTCGGAGTCTCACTCCTCCTCCAGTCCATAAACCCTTCCACTTCTTCCACTAGCCCGCTTAAGTTCGACAGAGTTGATTATATACGATTCAACATTATGCTGGCCTGCATCTACATTGCGTTGGAGGCAAGTTTGCACAACAGTAGAGAGCAAGTGTTGGTGAAAGCGTTGTTCAACGATGCAGGCTTGATGCAGGCTTTGGCTCGGACGCAGGGGTTGTTGAGGGATGTTGAGGTGCATCTTGGCACAGTGGAGCTCCACACTGGTGCCACACTGGCAGATCTAGCAGAGGCCTCAAGAGAGGAGAATGCAGCTATCTCTCTATCCAGTGTCGTTGCAGAGGATGTGGAGAGTGAGGGTGCTCGAGACAGGTTGCTACAGCTGGTTCAGAGCTCATTACCAATAGCACTGCTCTTGAACCCAACCGAGACTAGGAACACAGGGCTGACAGAAGAGCACATAGCGCTCCTAACACCAGCACAGATGCACGCAACCCTATCCTACGTATCCACTCTCCTCAGTCTATCCCAAACCGGCAATCGAGGCCCGTTGCTCTCCCACGCATACACAAGATACCTAGGCGACCTATCCGGGGGTCAACACATTGTTCGAAAACTATGCAAACGCTTTGCTACCGAAAAGGGGGACGGATTCGAATTTTACTCCTTCTCCGCAGGTGCAGACCTTAAGTCCAGGTTCAGGGTCGCAATGCAATCAACACTCCCCAACCCAGCAACAACCTCAGCACTGGTTGCCGAAGCGAACAGGGCATTCGACCTAAACACAGCCCTTTTCGAATCTCTACTCCCGGCAGACCTACGTATGCAACCCGAGAGAGTGCATGTAGAGCCGAATCAGAAGCTTGGAGCAGTGCAAGTAGCGTTGAAAGGTAAGGATACTGGGCATCGATGGATGATGGTTTCCCTAGCTTGCGTAGCGATGGCCTTGTGGATTGGACACAGTTTCATGTTGGTTAAGCAGGGGTTCGTGCAAGGTGCTGTAGCCTAAGTCTTGCATCATATATGTACTCTCCATAGCATTCGCAAAGGAATCGCATCTTCTACACCTGCCAAACATCTCCGCGAAGCCAATACGAGTGGGTGGAACACGTGCGATTCCGTCTCGAAGCAAGTCTGAAGAGCGCGTTGATGATTTGTGAGGCATTGAAAAAAGTGTCGTATCGTATCGACGTGAAAGACTAGGACAGGATAAAGCGGTCGTTATAAATACAATTATTGGTCGTTAGGCAAGCGGTGCAACCCGAGACCCCAGGCCTTTAGCGAGAGCGCAAGTGGGACTGGATGCCGCAGGGCTCGTTCGTCTTCTCGTTGGTCCTAATCTTCTAGAAGGAGATCTAGGAGGCCTGATCACACCTGCTGTTTGATTCAGAACCACTTTCTCCACCTTGTCCCCTCCATCCTTACTACTCACACCGCTCGTGTTGGTAACTTGACCAAGCACACCAACCTCTACCGCTAGTAGAAGTGAAGTGGTGCCTAATGGAGATTTCGGCATGCTTGTACTGATCCTAGCCTTACTTTTAGACGCTCTTGGAGGGGCGGGCAACGATTTTACCTCTCCCACTTTCTCTGACAATCTGCTTGGAGTTCTCGCCCTCCCCACCACCTCTTCGCCCACCTCCCTCTTCTGCTCCCTCTCCCTCTTCTGCTCTCTCTCCCTCTCCACCCTACAATCCCTCATTGGCGTAGGCTGGGGTAAATTCCAGGCACTCAAACTGTTCCTCAACCTCCTCTCATGTCGCTCCCCACCGCCCAGATCAACACTCCCACTCCCCGCCAAATTATGTTGACTAGCAGCCAACCTCAACTCCCTCCTCGCCTCCTTCAAACCACCAGACGCGGCCGCAGCCCGATCCAAACTACCCCTTCGCGTCACCGTCTCAATCTGAGACAACCAGTCACAGCTTCTTCCCGTCGGATCGGCCAAACGCAGCTGATCGAAGGTAGAGATGATTTGTTCCGGCGGTAGGATACGTTCTACTGGGAAAGGTGGGGTCGAGGATCGCACTGAATATTCTTCTTCGGCGGTGAGGACGAGGTTGAGTTTGGGTGCAAAATCAGGTGAGAGTCGGGCACTAGCGTCAGAGCCATCCGAGACATGATTATCGGAAGCAAGGCCAGGGGAATGAGTGCGGCTTGCTTCACGCGTAGGCCCAACAAACTCGTAACTGAAATCGCATCCTCGCGTTTCGACACGCTTCGGACTGCTGTGCTGTAACTGTTCCACCGACGAATCTTGCATATCTTCCTGCGAAACGGCAAAGACTTGCCTGACGCCTTGTCTCGAGGTCGACCTTTCGCGCAACGAGCTGAGAGTGTGTTTTGTGAGATTGAGCAGTGAGGTTGTTCTTGACATTCCTTTCAACTTTGCTGGTTGAGAGAAGGAAGCGTCCGGGTTGGTGTGACTCTGTTCGCTTGGCGACGTGAAGCTCGTCTCTCCGTCATTTACCTTTGCCTTGGGAAGCAGACGGAAAGACCTCAACCTGGGGAAGCCTCTGGAAGGTTTGAGCTGTCGAACCTGCACATCGCTCCCTTCAACCCCGCTAGACTCGCCGACAATAGCAGCTTGTTCAAGACTGAGACCTAGACCCACCGCTGGCTCCTGCCTCGTTGCGTCGGAGGCGGTAAAGTTGTCTCGCCAAGCCAAGATGCGAGCAGAACCAAAGCGCAATATCGAACCCGAGCGGCGATGCTTCCCTAGAGGCAAAGTGCCACCGCTGATCGTCGCCCTAGAAACGTCGCGATCGTCGTTGAGCGGAGTGCTGGATCTTGGTCCGGAATGGACAGCACTATGACCAGTCGCGATGGAACCGGATTTGACTTGCGTGGGTGCTGAGAGGTCGACACCATCCGATGACAGCAGCTGAGAGCTCGAGATGCTGTTTCGTCGATTCATAGACAGACGTCCATTGCCTGAGAACGAAAGTGAAGAAGAAGCAGTGGACAAAGAACGCTTGTGGCTACGTCGTTGGCGTTTGGAGTCCACAGCAGGAAAGACTTGCGATGCGAAGGAAGAGAGTGCGGGACTAGCATTGGTGCGCTTGGGCGGCTGGTTGATGGTGATGTGCTCTTGAAGGCTGTTCAAGTTTTCTGAGGTGCTCATCTCCTGCTCATCGTGTTGCTGAGGGACAGGTGACTGACACAGCTCTTGAAAAGCAGTATACCGCCCGAAGGTGGAGCTAGTCGAAGAAGTCTGACACTTGCGTGTTGCTTTGGGTGTAGCATCGTCCATGTAAGCGAGCTCGCCTGACTGGACCGTGGGGCTTGACTGGACCGTGGGACTTGACTGGACCGTGGGACTTGACTGGACCGTGGGACTTGACTGGACCGTGGGGCTTGACTGGACCGTGGGGAAGATCGGACTACTTTGCAAGCTCGTAGGTGTGCGAAAGCCGGATAGATTGCCCAACGATGGTCGCAAAGAGACGCGCTTCTGGTATCGCATCATCTGCGACGACATTAGGGTAGCGTCGTTGTGTAGCTTGATAGTGCGCGTCAATGCTTCAAGCCAGTCGTTCAGAGCTTCCGCGGAGGGAGCGCGAAGGACGATACGGTCCAAGTTGTTGCTGAAGAGGGAAGAGAGTGGTGTCGTGGGAGAAGGGGCACCGCTTAAGGCTAGATCCATCGACTCTCGAGAGAGGCTGAGTGATTTGATGGAGGAGGCGGCTGAGCTAGCCAAAAAAAGAGAGGCGTCATAGAGGCTACTGTTGGAAGCGGCAACTTTGGAGTAAAACTTGCGTGATCCCGAGGCGAACTTGGACCAAGGCTTCGATCGGCCTTCTGCGTCGGTCTTGGGCGAATGGAGAGAGGAAGCATTGAGACTGGACGCTGGAGTCTGGAAACTGACGCGACCGGCGGAAGCGATTGAAAGACGAGGTTCGGATTCTGAGATAGACTCGGCATGTAGCCGGTTCAGGCTCAAGGCAGACTTGGGTCGGAAGAGCCGAGCACTTCGAGGAGGCTCGGGAGCAGTCGTGCTGAGGACGAGCTCGGGAAATGGTTCGGAGCAGGTGGTGTTGATGTTGAGGTAGCCATAGTTGCGAATGTCGATCGAAGCGCATGTGTGGTCAGGATTGATCATGGCACAAGTGCGGTCCTTGTATACGAGCAGCTTGCCCTCTTCCAGACTGCACCATCTTTCTGACCACGCTTCACACGCGCTAGTCTGCGGTATGTCGGCGAGAATGGCTTGATCGAGCAGGAGATGGCCTTCATAGCGCGGCAGCCGCGGCTGCGAGGAGAGGGAAGAAGACATGCTTGCTCTGGTGTGCTGTTGAGCGCCTAGGTGGTGTATTGATAGAGGGAGATGGGCCAGACCCGGACGAGTCCCGATAGCTATCAGACCTCTTGTCGCTATGGCTTCACTCCATGCTTAGCGCAAAGATAAAGCCAGGGCTGACCAAGGACCTTAAGAAGTGATGGCGAGGTGCCGATGCAACAGAGCCGGGACAAAGACGGCGATGAAGGGTTGCTTTGTACCAGCTTAGTTGGGTGGGCAAGATCTTTGATAGAGGCCCCAGCTTGGTGGAGAGGAACAGGGAGCGAGCGAGAGTCGTGGTATCAACACAAAAAGCATAGTGACAAGTCTTGCTGAGCAACCAAAAGGGCTCAAAGCTCACACAAGGGAGAGCTTTCCCCTACTGCAAACCAGTATTTTGGCTTTTCATCACTCATCCTTCCAGACTTCACTCTATAAAGTCACACCAGCTGTCCGACGCCTCTGTTTTCCACACAACCCATCCAGGATCGCCTTTTGATTTCGACGCTTCATTCGCATCACACGTGCCACAATGAGAGGGGACATGCTTGTGGTACAACATCGCGTCTGAGCATCACCTCAAGTAGCTGTACACAGCAATTGTTTGCGCATGTAGTGTGTCTTCGCTTGGTTAGAGGCAAGTGGTATCGGAGAAAATGAAAGAAAAAAGTGATGTTCTCGGCTAAGTCCTGGAAAGAGAGAGTCGGAGCTGGCTACACCTCGCCTATAGTTTTCCAAACAACAGAAAGGCAGCAAGAGAGAGCGCTGTTGTGTTGGTGAACCTTTTCGCGATCAACACTTCGCGTTTTTGCTTGCCCACGTGTGTGTGTGTGTGTGTGTGTGTGTTATTTGTTGTTTTTTTTTTTTTTTTTTTTTTTTTTTTTTGTTTTTTGTTTTTTGTTTTTTGTTTTTTGTTTTGGCTGTGTGTTGCGTGGTGACCACGCTTGCATCCTTTCTTTTGACGTCAACAAACAAACAAATGCCACAAAGATGGTACACAGTGATAACGCTTGTCCTCTCTTGACGCCCAGTCTGAGACATTGCGATCTTGTAGGTGCTTGTCTGTTGGATTCCTGAACGATGCCTGCTGTACGGCGCTAGATGTCACATGCGAAACGGCTGGACGTGATGATGAACTGGGCTCATGAGTGCGCGTCCTTGCCGAGCCGTCGGAAACTCCATCTGTCGTTGCGTTGCGGGTTCGGTTTTGCCGCTCTTGCAAAGCGGAAACTCCGATAATGACTTGCCTTTGACGCAACAGTTGTTTCCACCCTGCATCGTTGAATTGTATTGCACTCATACCTCTGCTGTGCCTGCTGTGCCTGCTGTGCCTGCTGTGCCTGCCGTGCCTGCTGTCCAGCATGCCCTCAAAGCACATCCCACGTAGAAAAGCGTTACAGGATCCTGCTCATCACACAAGCTCACACGCTTGATACTTCTTTCAGAGCACTCTGCTATCTGAGCTATGAATCGTTTTTAACATTTCTCTCGATCTGGGCTAGCTCTTCCCCTCGGCAGCTTCAACAGCATTCTGTACGCTCAATCCGGCACTGGCCAAACCCCCTACAGCACTCAAAACTGTTGCTCCCAGCAACACCTTCTGGAATCTTGACCGCTTCGTCTCCTCATGTTGCTTCCGTTTGATACCCAGTATAGCCTGTTCTACCGCTTCCAGCCTATCGTGCGTCCTAATGTCCTCTTGAACTCGATACGTATTCCTTCGCCCCCATTCCCGTTTATCTCCGCCTGGTGATGGTGCTGAGGCAGACCTCTGCAGGTTCATCGGCGTATGAGATTTGAGTAGCTCTTCATGATCGAAATCCTCCATTCGCTCACTAGAACTCTGTCTGAGAGCCGAGTAGAAACTCTCACCGTCCTTCGCAAGAGCTTCTTCCAGATTTCTTCTCACCATACTCTTCCTCTTCGAAGCTAGCTGGCTCTGAAGTTTGAGAAGATGTTTTTTCTTGGCTTTCACAATCCTAGGGATCGCAGAAGAAGCAATGTAGCCCGCCGTACCGAGCACTGATAGGCCAGCAGCGATGCCTGTAGCCCAGCGTTCGCGGGTGGCAAAGGCTTTACCTTTTGCTTCTGCTTTTTCGATTGCAGAGTCAAGGTGAGACCATGCTGATTCGAATGATCGGATGGAGGAGCTGAGCGAGTTTTCTGCCCTGAGTGGTGGTCCAGAGAGCGGGAGGGCGTGAGTGAGGCAAGACAGTGCCAAGAGAATGGTGTATAGGGTGAGAATAGCCTTCATGTTTGCAGCCGGTTCGGATGCCGCTTTGGGTTTTGGGATGGTGGCTATCAGGACGGCAAGAGGAGGTCGGGGCGGTTATGTAGCAACTCGAGTTGGCCTGCTGATCGTTATCCAGCCTTTCACTCATGCTAACATCGTCGAGTAAAGCACACAGGTCTACGTATAGCCTATCGAAACGAATCTTCCGCAGGAACCAGTATCGATCAGCTTCGCTCAACCCTTATCGTCACCGGAAACAGCGGCTCTGCAAGCAAGACCCACCTTGCCTCTGCACCGCCGGGATTTCCTGCTTCAGGCACACTCACACTCTTCTACCCAACATCTCGCTCCATCATCCTTATCTTCACCGTAGGTGATGCTGCGATAGGCTAGTCTTCCTTTCTTTCCTTGCTGCAGTATCTATCACATTCACGCGCTGTCATGTGGGAGGAAAGGTACGCTGATGAAGTCGCCGGTTGCGTTCCAATTTGTCTCCAGACCTCATCGATACGGCAAATTTCCTTTTTGACTTTGAGTTCTATTGAAGCGCAGTACTTGACAACCGTGCAAATGTAACAATGAGCTTTGCCGCTATTCATCGCTCTTTCCTCTTCTGTCTGGCCAATTTGTGCAACTTGCCATCAGCAAACTCCATGACAAGTGAGATAACCTTCTTTCGGTGCTTTTTCATCCTGTTTCCCCCAACTTCAGACTTAGGTTGACCTTCTTTTCGGATTCGTGCTTTGTTCACTGTGGCAAGTCGCTTTGCTTGGGTGAGCTCGTAGAAGTGCGCTCGTATCTCGCTTTCAGTTTGAGTTACGGCTGGTTGTGGTGCAGCCCCTTTTCTTGAAGGCTGACAAGCACGGTTTGCGCGTCGGAGTGCGGTCGCCTCTTTTCGCTGGCCAAGTGCTTTCGCAAATTCCTTCTCAACGTACGAGACTGAGCGTCGCACCAGATCGTACAGCACTTTGTCGGGTCGCATGCCGGAATCGAGAGCCGATTGGATCAGCTCTTGCGCGGCCAGATAGCGACGCATACGCATGAGAGCGTGGAAACGCGTGGTGACGCTATGGCAGTCTTTCGGATCAATGGGTCGTTCAACGAGCGGGAAGTTGCCTCGGCCCATTTGACCAGCCTCGATGATGTTGGCGATGGCGTCATCAATTTCATATCCATTGTCCGTGAGTTCTTGGATCTCCTTGCGTGCCGATGTGGAGTCTCCGGCACGGATGTAGGCCCGAATGAGCGCAGTGTGGATGCGAAGCGTGGGCTGAAACCCGGTGATCTCTTTAGCGTTGCGTTTGAGCTGCTGCGCTTCGTTCAGCTTGCCAACCGCGGTATAACCTTCAATGAGTGGAGCGATATGCATCATTGTTGGCTTGACATTGTGCGCCAACATTGCATGATACACTTTTTGGGCTGACTCGTAGTCACGACGGACCACAGCATAGACTCGGATGCGTATAGCATAGGCTGCTGATGAAAGAGGTCGACTGAGGTCGTGTGAAATTGCAGGCCTACTGTCTTGACCAGCGTCGTCTGCAGGCATGAAGCCCCGAAACAAAGAGGAGGAGCGCGAATCTTCGATGAGCCAGTCCCTCAGCCCGTCTTTTGTTGAGATTGCAATCTTGCCGGTGGTAGCTGTGTTGCTTTGCACTGTTGTGCTGCATTTTGCTTTTGTGCTGCGTTTTGCTTTTGTGCCAACATTATCCCAATTTCTGCGACTCAAGTCGGTCGAATGCTGCGATGCCAATATGACCTTGTCAGGTGTGCCGAGATGCTGCAACATGTCCGAGAGCGACTCGAGTCGTTGTACTCGCTTGCTTTTGGGAGAATTTTCACCTTGAGGCAGCAGGCGTTGGATGAACCGAATTGATTTGATTGCATCCTTGTCGATCGTCGAAAAGATCAGCCTCGCCAAACCACAAAGCACCTCCTTGTCGATTTCGTGTCCTTGCTCCAAAACATACACAATGATCCTCCTGGCAGTCTTGGCAGATCCAATCGCAGATGCACACTCCAGCAAGGTCCGATAGTGCACTGTCGTAGCGGTCAGTTTGATGTTAGATAGCGTTTGCGGCAGATCGAATTGTATCACCGGTGCGGCTTTGCCCTCGTCCATATTAAAGTAAGGCAGGCTAAACACTTCGGCTGCGAAGGCCATGGCACGGACAGGATGTCCGGCATTGAGAAAGGCATACATCACCCACCTAGACGCTTGTTGTAATGCCTTCTCTACAAAAGCATCTGCGTGCGCTTCCTCGCTGCAGAGAGACAGCGCCAATCGAAAGAAGGAGCGAGCTTCATAGATGCGTCCGAGTCTACCAAACATCTCCGTCATGATAGCATACGTCTCCACATTGGGCTCCGGGCTAGGGCCGTTGACGATCAGCATCTCGGTTCCCTCGGTAGACGAGCCGGCTGTGGTCTCGTTTCGCATCCTGATAGAAGGTATGCGGAAGATGCGCATCACCATCATCGCACCATCCACGTCAAGCTCCTTGGACAGCAGCACCAAAAGTCGATTGACCACGTTCAGTGTTGGGCTATGAACAATCTTTGCGTCTCGCCTGAGCATAGTGGCAAGCGTTGGTCTGAAGCTCTGAAAGCCTCGAAGGATGGTAAGCCACGCTTTGGCATCAACCTCATGTCCATGCTGCGGCATAGCTTCGAGTACCTCGTTGACTTGGGCGATGTCTTGTCGTCGCACATGGGTGCGCAGCAGAAGATCAAACGTCTTGCGCGGTACAGAAACGTCAGCGTCGCTGAAATGATCCCAGTGTCGAGTAAGATCGACATCGTTGGACTGTGCAATTAGCGCTCGCAGTCGAAGATGCAAAAGCTCGGCGTCTGCTTTGCCGCTATGATGCTCTTGTGCCACTTGACAGATCTTGAGCATTGCGTCGTACCTTCGTGCGATACCGGATCGAGCTGCAAGAGCATGGAAACAGGACAGGGGCAAGACGCCAATCTGCGTTCGAACGTATTCAAGGAAAGTCATGAGACGGTTCAACGAGTCCTCGGCGTCCAATTTGATAAAGGTCTCGGCAATTTTGCCGGCCAGATACAGTGCAGCTTCGCGTTCCCCTCTGCGCCGCAGAGGATGCTCAGGATTGGACCAGATGAGCTCTCTGGCTTGTCGAAGTGTTTCGGTTAGCAGCCCTGCGCAATCTGGGTCGGAAGCGCTTTGCGAGATGTCGTCCAAGCTGTCGAGAACGAGGAAGAGTTCGTGCCGAACTGGGTAGTCGTCGGGCAGTCTCAAGGTCCATCGAGAGTCAGGTAGCCATGCAGCTGATGCCTTGACTTCGTCTTCATACAAAGCTGGGGCATCCTCGGGAAGGTGACTCCTTCTCAGAGGCGGGCTGTACCGGTTGAAGTCCATCTCCCTTCTCCATTGTGTGCTTGGAAACTTTCGCCGCCAATCGGACAAAGAAGCAGGTGCAAACCGGATTAGTTCTTCGGGGTCGATGCGACTCGTGCCTTGCTGCTGGTGTGCTTCTCCGCGTGCTCCCTGCCAAAGCTGTGACTGACCGCGTTGTGGCATAGAATGCTCGTTAGTGGAAGCATATTCGGGGCGTGTGACGGCTGCTGCTTGGAAGTAATAGCTGCGGCGATCGGAGGAGGACAAGCTCGAAGCGGATCTATTGCCAACTATCGCTGACCTTATGGTATCATAACTTCTTGAAGAAGAGTAGAGCCTCGAGGAGGAGCAGGAGGAGGAAGAAGGCCCAACTGACGGTAGGACTGTTCCCCTTGGCAGGCGAAGCTCGATCGCTGGGCAAAGAAAGGTGGGCACCAGAGCATCCAGCTGGGTGCTCTGCAATACTATTGGGCTGTTCGAAGCATTGCGCAGCGCCTTCCTTCCAGCCTTGGTGGCGAGCTGCCGACCGCCGAGCATCCTGGTCCCGGCTACTGCTCACCCAAGTATCAAGGCCATGCAACTTTCTTCGAAGGCGACCCGAAGCCTGTAGTTCGTAGTCGAGCTATGCGATATGTGCTCTGCGCGGTATCGATGTTGTCATATGGTGTTGTTGTGATGGTGTCGAACGTAGGCGTTGAAGCGGTATAGTGAGTGGAGTGGAAGATCCACCTTCTGAGAATACAGCTGAGGCAAATGTTCATTCGAAGGTGAAACGAAAGATTTGTTGGTCGCGTGCACCAACTCTGAATTTTTCAGGCAAATAAAACCGTTACGCCCTCGCACAAGCATAGACATATGGCCAAAACAAAATCGTCTCAACACACGGGTCTCGGAAGCTGTGGTCTTTGAATAGCCTTGTCTTCCAACACTTCTGGAGCTTGATAGCAAGACACGCACAACTATCGTAAAGCAGCAGGAGAACACAGACTTGAAATATGTGTATGTGCGGTTTACCAGTCTCGTTTTGGTCATGTTGGATCTTCTAGTTTACAATGGTAGTGGGAGAGTGAGAAAAGTGATGCAGGAAGGGCTGTCGCTGCTCACAAGCAGTGCGGAGGCAGCTCAAGATGAAAAGGGGGAAAAAAAGGAATAGAACGAGGATAGAGGTGATATGCGATTGCGACTATGTCTGGGCATCTCGATTCGAGGAAGGCATGCTGACAGAACGGTAGTTGAGTCGCTTGGCGAATGCGCCCTTGCCGATACGGATGACCGAGTTGCGCCTCTTTCCTGGTAATGGTGCAGGCTGGTTGTCTCCCTCCTGTCCTGCAAACGGTCTTGACCCTGCCATAGGCTTTGTGAGAAGACGTCCTCGAGGCTTGTTGTCGCCGAAACCCTTCATCTTGTCCTCATCGATGCGCCTTGGCCCCTCCACGACAACGGTCGCCTTAAGCCGCAAGAGATGGTCAGTAGCCATTCGAGCGAGCTTCTCTCTCGCCTCCATACCTCCGTACTGGACCACCTTGGTCATGTTTTCGCGTGTGACATGGTTAAATCGGGTATCCTGCTCCATATTAGCAAGGTCGAATTGTCGTCCTGTGAGAATGTCATCGCCGCCGTACTTGGTGATGCGGTCGTACACTTCTTTTGCAAGGGTACGGGCGGTCATTTGCATGCGAAGATCGAATGGGTTGTCGACGAGCTCGAGGATGGCACGAGGAGCGTGGTCACCTTTCCTGTTGCCGTGGAGGAGAATGCGTGTGTAACCACCTGGACGGTTTGCGTATCGTTGTGCGAGCTCTTGCAGCTTGGGAAGCGTCTCCTGCTGCGAAAACAGGTAGCCTCTCGCGCCGTAGCCAGCCTGTGTTGTTCCTCGTTTGCCAAGTGTGATGATCTTTTCCGCCTCGCGAGCGGCCTCTTTTGCCTTTGCTACTGTTGTTGAGATGCGTTCATGCTGGATAAGAGATGAGACCAAGTTTCGAAGGAGGTGGTTTCGGTGAGAAGATGTTCTCCCGAGCTTTCGGAATGCGAGTCCCTTCATCGTGCTGGTAGATCAATGAGGTGATGAACGCAACGTGGGGATGATGGTGCCAAGCCAATGGTGATGAGTTGCTCGTCGAAGTCTTGCAGAATCGAGTGATGAGCAGCACCAGTTAGTGGACCTTTGACCGTTCTTCTCAAAGGTCCAAAGAAAAGACAAAATATTCTCGGTCGAGAGGGTTGACGCGCTTGAACGGAAAGCGCTTTTTGTGTGCTCCACAGGCAGGCTGACCAATTTTGCAGCATCGGCAGCCCGATCGAAAATCGAATGTGCTCCACATTGGATTTTTGGCTCGATCAAGACTCTCTGCCAACTCTGCAAGACGAGAATCGGGCCAACTATCCGATGCTCAGACGCTGTCCAAGTCGACATTCCCAAAATCGAGGCTGCCAGATCTCTCTCTCTCTCTCTCTCTCTCTCTCTCTCTCTCAACGCTGATTGCTGATCTGAAATTCCTTGAGCGCCGTTTGGAATATCGCCAAATTTTGGACTCGTCGCCATCGCAGTTATTGATCATCATCGTGCACTGACGACATTACCATCTTCTCACCCTCACCTCACCTCTCGAACGCGCTCGCTCCACCCGCCTGGACTCACACACCCACACAACACATCACAATGGTTGCCGCTCTCCGATCCGCTGCTGCCTCGCTCGTCCGAGCCCGTGCTCCTTTGGCTATCGCCCGTCAGGCCGCTCCTGTCGCCCGTGCTGCCGTCGTTACTCCCCGCTTCACGCCCGTCCGATTCTACGCCGCTTCTGCAGGCCTTTCCAAGTCCGACATCGAGACGAGGGTCGTCGACGTGCTCAAGACCTTCGAGAAGGTTGACCCCAGCAAGGTGCGTTCCTTTCAACCTCTTTCGATGGACAGTCCATGATGGCACGGAACGGAACGGAGCTCAACTCAGTCAGATGCTGCATCTGAAAGGCGTTACTCTATTGTCTTGCCGATTCTTCCGATGCGGGCTGATTCGAATGCAGCTCCATAGGTTGCGTTTACTGACGAGGCTATACTATTCGCTTTGCTACTACAGGTCTCTGCCACTTCCTCTTTCACCTCCGACCTCGGTTTGGATTCCCTTGACGCCGTCGAGGTTGTCATGGCCATTGAGGAGGAGTTCTCGATCGTGAGCATCTCAACATCGACACACTTCAAACATTAGCGTCCGACATTTACTGACCCGGACTTTAATTTCGCTTCATACCAACTTCAATAGGAGATCCCCGACGAGGAGGCTGACAACATCACCACCGTTCAACAAGCTATTGACTACATTGCCAAGTCGCCCGAAGGTAAGCATTGCATCGCTCAAAGTGAAATCAGTGTCGGCGCTTGAATCTCATGTGCTGACGGGCACTGCCTTCTTTCGCCTCGAAACCTGCAGCCAACTAAATGTCTTCCTGACCAAAATGTTATCCGACTCAACACTTTGCATCTAGCGATCTAGCGACTTCTGTATTCGTGGACCGTTATCTTGCGAAATCAATACACATTGCTTTCCAAACACGGCTGTGTGGCCTATCATCTGGCCAACTCACATATCGTTCAGGCGGAAACCGCAACCGACTCATCCCATGACGGACTACAGGATCTCTTTGCAGCTCAGAAGTTTAGGGCAACGCATGGATGTGCAAGGAGAGAGAAGCTCTGTCTATTCCATCGAAGACAACACGGAAAAGCTAGAAGCCGAAACTACCAAAGTCAAACTCTTGCGCACCTTGCTGGCTATCGCTTGCAGTGGCGCTCTTGAAGATGCTGATGCCTTGCTTCTTTGGTTCTGGAGGTGCTTCCACCTTTGTGCTTGCTTCTTCTGGATGTTCGTTCACGTGGTCAACATGCGAGGGCTCTGCAGCGAGAGTGGCAGCCACATCAGATGACACTTTCGTATCTATTGAGACCGACTTGCTGAGAACTGTGTCGGCAGAATCCGTCTTTCCACCAAGACGGCTCGTTGCAGCGGCATGCACCGCTGCGCCAATGTCGAGGTCGTTGACAATGCTCGATCGTCGCTGGAGCAAGCTGCTGCGTCGTCGAATCACCCTTGGACTGCTGGGAGGCGACATTGTGTTTTGTGATGTACGATGTCGAAGCTTGGTTGGGCTGGAGGAGATGGCGTCCTCAAGAGCACTGAGCAGCTTTGTGTCGGTCAAGCGCAGCTCTGCAAAGGCATCTGTGCTTTCCGCCATGACGGCTTCGTCCACCCGCGAGAGGATCTGGAGGTCATGCTTTGAGACCTGGTGGAACAGAGTCGAGGCGCTAGACACCGACGGCGGCTCGAACTGCCAGTTTCGCAAAAGGCTGAGACCGATTGAGTGACAGCCCATACGACACAAAGCTCTGTTTGTGTTGAGAACAAAGTCAAAGATCTTCTTCTCGGGAATGTGATATAGGCCCTTGATCGTCTGCAACGACTTGGATCGCAACTGTTGGAATAGTAGTGCCAAAGCAGGGTCGTTGTAGCTGTCATTTCCGCAAGTGACATTCGAGCCCAACAAACTTGCAACGCCTTCATCTGCGAGCAAGTCTCTGAGCGGCGTCACAATGATTCGCACTGCGAGATCGCGTCGCTTAAGCATCCAAAATGCCCAGCTGCCCATCCAGCGGTCGCCGCGCTCGAAGGCTAGAGGTAGCACCCTCGTTCTGAGAAGGTCGGTAAAGACCGGTCCGTCATCACATCCCTCTTTGACTCGTGCTAAGGCGATTGCGAGAGGCAGGTCGTCCATGTTCCGAACGCAAACATTGACGGCATCACGCAGACTTTCGCCAAGCATGAAGAAAGAAGCAGCGAACTCGTACCGCCTCTGACTCAACAGAGCAAATGCGTTCTTACAAGCAGCCGTCTTCCATCGCTCCTCATCAAAGTCGTGCGACAAGAACTGCAGCATCTTCTTCTGCTCCGGGTGCCAGACAGCCTGCCGCCAGAGACCCTGCACAACCTTTCGCTTGCCAAGAGCAAAATAGAGCAAAGAGCATTTGACGGGATCACGATCTTCACCCGTCATGAATTGCACTCGTGCGACTGCTTCAGCTTGAGTGCGAAGTGCTTGTGGGCTCTTGAGCCAGGCAAAGAGTCCAGTAGATCGGGCGGCAGGCCAGTCCAGCTTGTTACGATAGGAAGATTCGACGGCCGACAACAGCGTCTCTTGGTTGTCGCTGTGAAAGGCCCAAAGGAAGTCGCGATAGCTGAGCTCAGCAACTGTGGTAGTCTGGGTGTCTTTGACCGGGTCGCTTCCGTTGAGCGTTTGTCGGAGAGCGAACATGTAGCGCAAACCCGACGGATCCATACTTCCATGCTCCCGCACCGCTTCACCGATGGTCTTGATCAGATTAACGAGTAAGTGAAGGTCTGAATCGGACAGGTGTGGCGGTCGAACCTGCTTCAGTTGGACTACTAGCTTTTCGATGCGTTCACTCGAGAAAGGATCCGTGTCGGCCTGATCGCCTGAGAGGTCAGGCTCGTCAAAGATGCTTCTCTGCACACCATGTCTTTGTGGAGCTCTCGGTCGTGCCTCGTCCGCCTTAGCATCATCCTTGAGCAATATGTCCAGCGGGACTTGCTCAAATGCCCAAGTCTCCAATACATCCTGAGCGTTGCAGGCGAATGCAGCCTTGTCGAGATTGCTGATGATTGCCTTCGCCAAACCCATCTTGCCCCAGAGGGCACATTGAAGTAGGAAGGCCGGGTGATATTGCACGACAGGACCACCTACTTCAGCGACCAGTTCGGCCAAATGCATTCTTTCTGATCCGATGCCGTTGGACAGGCTGGACTGTACAAATGGGCCGTAGACGAAGAGCACTGCACCAGAAGCAACAACGAGCTGTTCAGAATTGAGCCAGCAGGCAGCACGAATGGAACTCGGCGTGCAGCTGAGCAGGTCAAGACGAGCGAGCTGCTCCCAACGAGATCGTCCATTTGCACTTTTAGAATCGAACGTAGATGCCCGTCCAGGAGCCATAACGTCGACATGATGCTCAAAGACCACAGCGAGCGCATTGTTGGACAACGGCGATGGGGACCAGTCCAATGCAATGATGCGATCCCTTGAGCCGAAAGTTTGCCGATGCTCCTCACCTGAGCTGAAGGATGTGGTTTTGCTGTTGTAGATCACAAGCACCTGGCTGTCGTGTTCGTCGTGATGAACGACTGCAACCAGGCCGCTTGCGCTACAGCGGACAAGTTGGGGTGATCCTGCTGACGGGCGGAGGGAAGTGACAAGGTCCAAATGAAGTTCATTGGAAGAGTTGCCCGTCGGCTTCCACACCTCGACTTGCCCGGAAGCATCGGTAGTCACCAGCGTGAAATCATCGCCTGGTTGCCCTGACGAGCCAGAGATTGAGTCGACCGAGATCAAGTGACGAGCCGATCCACTCTGTGTTGCCAGGCGTGACGTTGTTGGTGGTGACAGACGCACAGCATTCCTCGACTCCACTTCCAATGAGTGAATGCTACCTGTGCTGTCGACGGCAGTGAGAGCATCAACTCGGCCAAGTTGTACGAAGGCAAGATGCTGAACATCTTCCTTGATTTCAAATTGGACCTTCGACCCGTCTGATCCACGCCAAAGTTCGCCAGTGCCGTCACTGAGCAGACATGCTGTAAGTGAGCTGTCCCATGATGCCGCGATGAGAGAAGCGGGCCGTTGAGCGTCCTTGTAATGAATCTGACCTTGTGGTCGGGAAGGCGATGCGTCGGAGCTCCAGGTGATGATTTCTTTGGCTGAGGAGCTGACCAAGGTCTTGCCATCACCTGACCTGCAAAGCCGCTCGATGCAGCCTTTGTGTCTGTGCGCACGTTTCGCGAGTGACCCAGGTGCAGCTGGAGGTCCGCAAGGATGGCAAATGTCTGGCTCGATTCCTGAGCCTCTGCCGTCGAAGAAGGTGGCTGGGTTGATGGAGTAGGTCGAGGAGGAGCCATGGTCGAATTGGACATGTAGAGTGATCATGGAAGCTGCGCTGGATGAGTCTGGAGCAACGTGCAGCGGTAGTGCTTTGACTGCCCGGATCCCGCCAGTGCTTTTGGGCAAGGTGAAGGGAACTCGCAGCACGGTCAATGCTTGCAACAGTGTGGGAGGCCGTCGATCGATGTTGGCAACCGCCGTCAAGCTCAAGTGCCCGTCATATTCAAATGACACGAACATATCTGGTGTCTCGTTGGCTAGCTGTTCAAGACGACGAAGCCTGGTCCGTTTGAGATCCATCTCCAGCTCAAGAGTGTGCGCGTTCATCTCGGTGGAGGTTCCGAGGCCCAGTTCGGACATTTGAATCTCGCGCTGGAGGATGCTGACATTGGTGCGTAAGGCCGCACACGTGACGTATGGGTCCAGGTAGAATGCTGTGGGGACTTGGTTCGACGTAGAAGACAGGCCGCTGGTGTGTGAGCGTGGACTCTCGACGCTACACCAGAGACGAAGTTGGGAGGGTTCGTCGATGACAGGTGCCCAGATGCGAGCAACACCATCTGTTGCATAAGAGATCAAGACGTCGGCTTGGCTGTTCTGTTCTGGAGGCTGTCTCCAGAGGATACTGGTGACTGGACGTGCATGATACAGACGCTGAGACAAGACTGGAGGTTTGCTAGCTCGTGGTTGATACTGCCACAGAAGGACGTTCTGCCCATGCTGAGCGACAGCTGCAATGCTTGTAGCGTCGGGAGAGAACTTGGCCAAGCTGATGGCTGCAGGCACCGTTTTGGTCCAGAACCTCGTCCATATTGGGATGTCGGATTTGTCTAGACGCCAAAGAGCCAGGCTTGCGGTGGTACCGGCAAGAAGCTGGCCATTGACGACATCGAGTGTGGTCACCAGACTTTCGTTGATGGTGAGTGTGGAGTGGACCTTCCATCTGCGTGATGAGGACGACGAAGAGGCAGGAGCAGACCAGACAGCTATCCGATGGTCCATGGCCGCCGCCAGCATGATCTGGTCCTGACCTGCCGAGAGGCCTACAGCGGTGCAGGTGACGCATCGATCTGTGCCCTGTGAGCCAGAGAAGGCATCCCAGAATGGAAGGGCTTGGTCGAAGCGCTGGTCACGAGAGAGAACGCAGAGCTGATCGAAGCTCGCCTGGACAATGATGCTGTCCCTTGTCTCGCTTCCTGCAAGGTAGCAGACATTGTTCGATGGTGACTGCTGCTGTGAAGCTTCACTTGCCGAGCGTTCTGGTTGTGAGTAAGCAAAGTCGGTGGTTCCGAGCACGACTTGTGAGGGCCGTGAGAAAGCTGCGAGTGTCTGCTTTGACTGCATGGCAGCAAAGCAGCTTCGCAATGTGCTTGGTGGCTGAGTTGGAACAAGTTAGCTCATCGCGGGAGCTGTGACAAGGTCGTGGAGGAGGTGCCGACTGCTGAGTATGCTGTTCGGCTGAGCCGACTTGGCTGAGCTGCTGATGAGACGTTGTAAGTGACGAAAAGGTGTGAGCAAGATGTGATACTCAAGCAAGGAGCAAGCCAGGTAAGCTCATGTGGAGTTCTCATCTAGCTCAAACTCAGGGTCGTGCAGGCCAAAGCCGAGAATTGCGAATTTGTTCGGATCAGCCGAAGCTGTTGTGTTGGTCTCTCTCCTGACGTGTGTTTTTCCACATCTGCTAACAGCCATCTCTTCTCAACACAGGTCATTCTCAGCCGCCTTGCCGACTTTCTCGCCGAGCAACTAACTCGGCTTTGCATGTGCGCATCTTGTTTGAAATTGCTAAATTGCCCAGCTGAGCCTCGAGAGTCGGGTTGGGTTGTCATTCCAAGATCTCACGGACCTCTTGCAACACCAACAGCGCCGTCTTCTTTCAACTTTCATCCTGCCTCCCCTCTTCTTCTTCACAACGACGCACCGCACTTGCCGGAATCACCGTAGCGCATAGTTCCTGGCGAGGCAGCAAAGCGCAGCACAATCAATCCACGCATTTCATTTCCTTTGGCTCAGCTTCAGCGCACCACAAGTGGGTCTTTCCGGCCTGGCCGAGTGCTTCCCAAACTTGCCCTTGTTTGGCAGAAGCCGCTTCGACAAAACTCGAATCGCGAACCAAGTGCATTCTCTATTCCTTTCAGCTTCGATTGCTTCTGCCCCTTTCCACCACAGCTCGGAGCCATACACTACTCAACACAGCGTTGCCTACAATGACGACTACCGTTCCCCGTCTCTACCCAGCGGACGTGGTCCACCGCAAGCAAGGCATAGTTGAAGAAGAGCATAAGGTCGGAATGGTGGCGCGATGCTATCAAGATGAGATCCATGTCACCCCCAACACCTTCCCTCAAACCGGTCTGGACCGAGACCTTAAGGAAGACGAATATGGTGTACTCTGGTATCCTTCGGGAGAGAGGGAGATCGTCTCCTCCAACGACCTGATCCTCATCGACCGAGTCTTCTCCATTGGCTCCACTTGTAAACGCTCGCTCTCAGATGCCTGCTCTGGCGTAGTCGTTGGAACCAAAAACACGCTCAAACTGCAGCACCTCTTCAGCAGAGAAGAAATCGAACAACCCGTTCCAGCCGAAGACGTCGTCAAGGGCAACTATCTCAATCACGGCGATCTTGTCATTGCTGACGATTGGATTGGTGAGATCGATGGCTTGGTCGAAGAAGCTCTCATTGGTAACCCAGACAATGACCGCTTGATTCGTGTCTGTGAGATGGGAGGCCGCCTCTTGTTGGGACGCATCCCCAAGGAGCACATGCGCGAGAGCGAGATCGGCCTCAACCTCATCCAGCTCGGCATCAAGGAAGCATCTGTTGTCGACATCAAGCAGACGGTCCTATACATCAACTGGCTTTCCATCAACCAGAAGCTCAGCCCAGAAGAGCAAGCCAAGCGACCTAAGCCACCAGCACTTTGGACCGATTACAGCAAGTTGACTTTGGTCAAGGCTTTCTCGGAACGCAATCACGAGATCGGCGATCGAGTCGTTTTTAAGACCAAGGAATTCAAAGACAAGTACGGCGCCAAAACCACTTATCATGGAGGACCGCAGCGTCATCCTGTCGACGTCATGCTCACCGTCGGCACCAAGACCCAACTCGAAATCTTGTGGCAGGATGGAAGCCGTACTAAGGAGTGGGCATCTGATATGGTGCCACATGTCAACCTCGACGAACACGAGTCCTGGCCAGGCGACTGGATCTACTGGAAGTCGGACGAGCACGGCAGCGTCCCTCGTGTTGTTCAGAGCATGGACCCGGCAGAACGCACCGCTGAGCTGCGCAAACCCTTGTCCGAACTTGCAGAGATCGAATTGGTCCCATCACTCGAGATTGATGTCCAGGGAGCCGATCACAGCGTCTTCAGCTTGCACCGCGGCGACTCGGTCATGATCTCTGAACGACCCACTGGCTGGGCTGGTCCCTTCTTGACCACCGTTGGTGACCCCCGTCCGGACTATACCGACATGAAGATGCATGAAGACCTCATGAACGCCGAGGTCAATGTCGTTTCCAAGAACAGACGTCCCAACAACGTCGCAAGATCCGGCGCAACAGCTACCGATATCGACTGGTACGGTACTGTCGAAGAGCTCTTGCTCGACGGAAGATGTCTTGTTCGTCTTCCCTGCGGCAAGACTGTTGTTCAGGAGCTGGACAAGCTCCAGATTCTTTCCGACTCGCAGTTCGGTATGCACGAGCATGCGCATTTAGACGAGGACGATCCGTGGAGCTTGGACCCGGACTATGAGGGTGAGGATATGGATGACGAGTATGATTCAGAGGAGGATACGATGTGGATGGACCAGAATGGCGAGGTTGCTGATAACAACCTTGGTGACTGGGAGGATATGTCGGATGGTGCACCTGAAGTAGCTGAGATCCATCTTGATGAGCCATCGAGTATGGACACGGATGCAGCTGCTGTTGATGCTTCTGACGCACTCAAGGTCGCCCCCTCCACTACCAACGGAGAAGGAACGGCAGAGGCTAAGAAGGCAATGGCAGCTATCGACTCCGCTGCCGACCAAGAGCTTTCCGCACCCACCGAACTCGCCACAGCCAGCACCAATAGCCAATGGAACCAATTCGCAGTCCTCGAAAGCGCTCCTACCTCCCACGCCTTCTACTCCAAGCCTCTCACCTCCCAGCCCAATGCCACGTTCTTCAAGCGTCTACAGAAAGAGATGAAGGCGCTACAGACGTCGCTCCCCGAAACCATCCTCGTTCGGGCCTATGAAGATCGCAGTGACCTTCTCCGCGTGCTCATCATCGGGTCGGAAGGTACACCTTATGAAAACGCGCCATTTTTGCTCGATTTTCAGCTGACTTCTGACTTCCCTAACAAGCCTCCCGTTGCGCACTTCCATTCGTGGACCAACAGTCACGGCAGAGTCTCGCCGAATCTGTACGAAGATGGCAAGGTTTGTCTTTCTGTTTTAGGAACATGGTCTGGTGTGGCGGAGGAGAACTGGACGCCGAGTAAGAGTTCCCTGCTCCAGGTGTTCGTCTCGATTCAAGCACTGGTGTTGGTGCGGGAGCCGTACTTTACCGAACCAGCCTTCGAAAAGCTCAAAGGCAAAGAGGAGAGTAAGGTCAACTCAAAGCTGTACAACGAAAAGGCCTACATTCTCTCGCGAGGATTTGTCAAGAGAGCATTGGAGAATCCGCCAGAGGGATTTGAGACCGAGTTGAAGCTATTCTATTACAAAGCGGGTAATCTCAAAAAGGTGGTGGATAGGGCCGATAGGTTGGTTGCTTCTAGTGGCAGCGCAAGTAGTGGTGATGAAGGCGAGCAAGGGAAGATGGATATGGAGGATGCAGTGCAGGGATTGACAAAGGGAGGAGCGATTATGCTCGGTCGAACGTTGAAGACGTTGCATTCGATGCTGGAGAAGCGTGCTTAACATTAGTGAGGGTTTACGAGGGCAAGATGGTTCAGCATTTCAAGTTCAGATACTTTCGCATTCGCATGGCAATTCTAGTCACCATTTCGCACACTTCTCTCTTGTGTGATCCTCGACTTGGTAGATGAGAGACACAGGCTGCAATCGGCCTCGCTTTTTTATAGAAGATCAATAGTTTGTATACGATGACTGGATCCAGCGTAGCGAGGGAAACAAGGACATAAGACTGAGGCGAGGGGAGGGGGAAGAAGAGCAAGAAGAAAGGAGGTAAAGAGAGGATGGCAAGATGGTGATTGCTCTCTGCTGAATGACGGGATTGACGAGCAAGGCATTGACTTGGATCCGTAAGGGCTTACCGACTTGCTGCTCGTGATAGAACACGAGCGAGAAGGCCAGCTAATCCTGTCTTTGCAATTCGTGCACGCACCGCCAAGTCCAATTCGACCAAGCAGTTGATTCAGTGAGACAAGCTTTGACTCGCCATCGACCTGAACCGTCTCCCAAGCTCCTGCCGTTTGATCTCCTCCTCAGCTAAAACAGCGACGCGCCCTACGCTTTAGAGAATCATGCAATTGTTCTTCTTCTTACTCTTCATTGGTGCAGGAGCCAAAACACTCCTGATCGCTTCGTCAAAGACTCCCTTCAAACCTTTCTGTGTCAATGCCGAGCATTCCAAGTACTTTGTCGCATGAATGTCCCTTGCCATCTGGTTACCTTGCGCGTAGGTGATGGGTTGCATTCTCCTATCGCGCAACTTGGCGATGGTTTCTGGGTCCTCCCTCAAATCCAATTTTGTTCCGACGAGGATGGTGGGGATGTTGGGAGCGTGATGCGAGATTTCAGGCCACCATTTGGTTCGTACGTTCTCGAAAGAGGGTGGAGAGACGAGAGAGAAGCAAATAAGGAAAACGTCTGTTTGAGGGTAGGAAAGGGGTCTTAACCGATCGTAATCTTCTTGTCCTGCAGTATCCCATAGGCCGAGAGAGACAGGTTTGCCATCGACCATGACGTTTGCTGAGTAGTTGTCGAAGACTGTGGGGATGTATTCTCCCTGCGAGAATCACAAAGGCGGGTGGGGGAAGGAAGGGCGGTGTGGTCAGTGTGGTTGCTCACGGATGCAGAGACTTCAGGCTGGTTCCTTAGTCCACGTTTCTGGGTGATAACACTTACTGGGAAGGCATTTGTGGTATAGGAGATAAGAAGACACGTCTTACCGACGGCACCGTCTCCGACGACCACACACTTGATGGTCTGCATATTGGAATCAAGGGTTTAGTCGTGAAACTCGATCTAGTAGAAAAAAGCTCTTCGAGAGGTCGTTGCGGTATAGGATCCGATGCTAGAGTGCGTCGCTGCTTTAGATGTTGCACTTCTGCTGCTGGGATGCGAGTGCGAATGCGAAAAAGACGACGCTATTGCGCGATACGTGCACCCGGATATATGATGCTGAACACTGGGATGTAAGAGAGAAGATCGAAGCTGTACTGAAGAGACGAGCGAGGCGTTGCGAAATGCTGATCCAGAGGACGAAACCGGCAAAGACCGAGACGGGAAGTGGGCTAGAGAGACGCGACGGAGCGAAAACGATACGAGCGTCTATTGAGTCTCACGAGGTGTGTGATGGATGATGTGATGATGCAACGACGGACGATGGTGATGATGACGAAGAGGCTGTCGAAGAGCAAGCGCCACTTTGTGTGTGTGTGTGTGTGTGTGTGTGTGTGTTCGTTTGAGTGCGAGCGAATAAGGTTGGGCTGCACAGGCAAGGGTGAGAGCGCGTTTCAAAAGAAAGAAAGAAAAAAAAAAAGGTCCAAGAGCAAAGGAAGAGGCTGTCAGACCAAGAGGGCAAAAAGAGGAGGCTGCCAATATGCTCTCTCAGATTTGAGCAAGGAGCAGCAGCAGGAAATTAGGATGTGGGCGTGTGCTCAAGCTGCTTTGCTCTGTGATTTTCGTGCGGACGAGACGAGACAAAACAGCCAGCCAGCCCCGCGCTCTCTGCCCTCTTTCCCTTCTTGCTCTCCTCTGTCACCAAGCAAGAAAAGGAAACCTCATTTCTGGCGGAACGCTCTGTCTCAGTGGAGCCCTTTTTTTTTCTTTTTTTCTTTTTCTTTTTTTTTTTTTTTTTTTTTTTTTTTTTTTTTTTTTTTTTTTTTTTTTGGCTATTCAATTTCAACACCGCATCCCCATTCGAGCAAGACTTCTGAGATCCTTTTTGATTATTTTTTTTTATTGAGGATCATCCCCGTCTCGCATCAATCAGTCTTGGCCCGGGTTGACGGAGCGTCCTTAACGTTGTCCAAAACACACAATGTGAGATAGATACATAGAGGGAAACGGTCGGCGGCTGGTGGTTGCCCTCGGAGGACCAGTCGCCGGTCGCAAGAGTCCAGGCTTCTACACGGTCGGAGCTTCTGTAGGATCGGGCACGAGTCGGGAGCCAGATCTTACTACTATCGGGAACCCACGTTGCTCCACTTCTGCGGCTTATCCTTCTTCCAACTGGTCCCAGCTCACCGAAGTCACCTTCACCAACACTCGCTTACACCAGACCCGATTGTAGAGGCAAGATGACAGACCAGCTCCAAGCGCTTCGCGATCAGATCGCAATAATCGAGCAGCAAGAATCCACCCTAACCCTCCCCAAACTCACCAACGACATTGCACTACACCTCGGCCTCGAGATCCGCAACATTTTTCAATCCTCCTTCAACCCAGAACAAGATGGCATCGTCATCTCTATCTCCCTCTTCTCCGATCAAACCCTCTTCGCTTGTTCGGTCGGTAACCCTCTCAAACTAGGCCCTGATAATTGGAACTGGGTTCGACGAAAAGCAAACACAGTCAAGAGATTCGGCCGTTCAAGTTTCTTAGTGGGCAGAACAAGGTTAGCAAAGGGAAAGGATTTGGATGGTTTAGGTGAGGATTATGCTGCTCATGGTGGCGGATTCCCGTTGAGGGTGAAGGGAATGGACCTTGCGCCGGTGGGTGTCGTGGTTGTGTCCGGGTTGAAACAGGAAGATGATCATCAGTTGATTGTGGATGCTCTGGCCAAGTTGATCGAGCAATCGTCAGTCGAGGGCTAGGCACAGTTCATCGATCAGCTGATCAGGGAGACAAGCGTCTGCATCTCATGATGCCACTCAGCATAGGAAGAATACAAGCTCCAATCTCAGACAATTACAGAACTGCCTTCAAAACTCACTCTCTCCTTCGGATCGGATTCTTCGAGATCTCAACACCTCTGCTTCGACGCAGCGGATCGATACACATGTCTTGGCAAGCCAAGGCGTCAAAAGGAATCAGAATCGTCCCCATGGTAGGGTTGCTTTTGAATTGCATCCGCCGACAGCGTTTTAAGATTGTCGACGAAACAAAGTGCATGTGTGTGTGAACAAGTGCGAGATGCGTGTGATGAGAGTGTGTGTATGAATGTTGCTGATTGTACACGTTCCTGTCTCCCCCAACTCTTAACGTTTGAGTATCGCAAAGAGAGTGAGACAGAGCAGGACACTAAAAAGACCGGAACAAAAACAACCGAAACTGAGAGCTTGCCATTGGAACACACGAGCGCCGACTTTCCTTGCTCATGCCGCTGCTAGAGACACAAAAAGGTGGAGTTCCGACCTTTGCGAGGCTAGGCTAGCTGAAACATGTTGGACAGAGAAAGCGTAATGTGCGTTTGACGCCATGTTTCCAAAGATCAAGGGGCAAGCGCGTTTATCGGAGTCGTCGGGCCTCACGCTCGGACTCGAGGAGGGCGAGGATGTCGTCAGCCTTGACGGGGCCCTTGACGTTGCGGATGATGGATCGGCGGGTCTCGTCCATGAACTCGACGCGGACCTGGATGATACCACCGCGCGAGCCGGTACGGCCGAGGACTTTAGTAACCTGTTAATGTGCAAAAGACGAAATGTTTGCAAACGAGCAAAGAGAAGCGAAACGTGTGAGTGCTACTGCTGTCATGGACTTGTCAAGAAGACGCCGCCGAGAAGGAAACCCTTGCCGCTGCAGAACTGAAGCATGTCGTAATCGATGTGAGATGTTGGCTGAGTCGGGAGCTGAGTGAGTCGATCTTTGTCGGTGTGGCTGCGAATGCGGCGCGAATCGATCGAGACAGAGGAAACCGGTGCAGCAAGCCTTTCTTGACCCTTCGATGTCTGATCTAGTCTAGTGCTGTCCAGATAACGAACCTGAGATGATTTTCTTCTTTGCCATTCGTGTTCCCGTACGTCTCGTCATCCAATCTGACCATGCCTCCTAACAAAGATGGCTCTCGTCCCATGAACAAGACGATAGAATCTGCAATCACCATTAATTTGCATGATCGATCATGGAAAATCGACTGACGGAACTAATGTGATTGCAATCTGGTCGTGCTGTCTGTTGATGATGTGTCAACCTGCAATGCTATCTTTCCGAGTGTCTGCTCCCTTCATGTGACGTTCGTGCATTAGTCAAGCAGAATGGGTCTGCTTTAGCCACAAGGCAGCATTGCTGGTGCAAAAGCTGGAGACCGAGTCGCAGAAGTCATGCCATGACGATTCCATCCCCAATTAAATGTATCTGCATCCAGACTGTCCTGTCCATTCTTCGATGGTAACGACACGAGGAAACCGAACACCGATTTCTCTCTGTAAACATACATAGTGTCTGCGCTGAGTCGGCGTTGGTGTATCGATTATATGCTGAAATTGTCGCACAATGCTTCTATGCTGATTTGTCGAATATGCTGTGATTCTGCTAGGCGGCAAAAGGTTGCTGATGGTCTCGGCTTGGTCGGCATGGCGTTGTTCGCCATTTGGAGGTGATGCTTACACGAGCGAGCTTGACAGGGACCTTGGTGGACTCCATATTGACGATATTGGGCGATAGGGATTGTAGGTAGGAGAAAGTGAGGTGAGCTGAAGGCGAAGACCTACGCTCTCGCTGGCTCGCAGCGCTGCTCTCAATCTGCTTGGGGCATAGCAAATCCTGGCTTCTTCAATTGACTGAATGACTGCCGAGCTGCCTGCCTTTGTTGAAGCAAGCTGGAAGCGCGCACATTTCCAGTCAAAATTCGTTTCAGTGCGAGAAAAAAAAAACCAAGCCAAAATCTGAGCTTCGGAACCGGCCTTGCACTAAACTCGGCCGAAGTCACTTTCCTTGCCAACGAGGCCTTTTTTTTTTTTTTTTTTTTTTTTTTTTTTTTTTTCGGAGAGACCAGGCTGCGCATTAAAATAAAGGTCTAACAACATGCATTCCGAATCCAAATTGGTGTCGTTCCCCGATGGTTGACAGCTGCAAGGTGGATGCAAGTCACAGAGTCCGATACACAAACAGATTCAGGGAAGGCTCAAGCGAAACTGAGCAAAACGCTGAATTCACGATGAGCCAACTATCAGGGTACAGGATGAGAGAAGCGTTGCTCGAGTCGAAAAAAAGTGGTGCTACTATGTGATCTGTAAGTTCAAACCGGCGGCACAGACTTGCGAGTGATCTGTGAAGACTGCGATGCCACTGCTTGTCCTGGTAGCCATTCTTTACTAGATCTGCGGAGGCTCAGTCTGGCCACCAGCGAGCGTCGCGGAGCAACGAAGACAGGTTGCACACGACACTTTGGCTTGCTCATGGGAATCTTGATGGGTGAGGGAATGCGTTTAGGGACCTGGACCACGTCCGAATGAGTCTTGCCAATCTGTTCGGCCAGTGTCTGATCTGCCGCTGTTTGCTCCGAGACTCGCCGCGCGAAGCTATGTCGACGCGGTGGGATGGGCGGTGCACCATTGTGCTGTTGCAACATCGGTGTAGGATTTCTGTCCTGCGGTCTGATGAACGGCAAAGGAGGTGCTTGGCTACATGTTGGGCTGCTCGGAGTGAATGTAGCAGCAGCTTGCGCGATGTTGGCCATGGGTGGAGCAACCACACCTGCTCCCAATTCCAGATGTAAGGCTCTTCGCTCCTGTTGCTGGCTCTTGAATTTTTCAAGCCATTCTTTGGCTTGACGCTCTCTTTCTTCCATCAAGATCTGCCTTCCTGGCGCTACGTCAAAAGCAGGCGCAGTCAGTTGTCCGTAGGCGTCAGTGAAAGAGGCGGAAGATGGCATGTGAGGGCTCTTGAGCACAACCCCAGGGATCTTTTCGGCAGGCATCTGCGGTGAGGGTGGAGTCACCATCACCTCGACCTCGCCAAACCAAGCTCGTTGGAGAGGCAGCGGAGACGGGCAGCTGACCGCTTGCTGATGAGGAATAGCCGTTCCCGGCGGTGAGCTTCTTCCGGAAAGGCTTGTCACTCCAGCAACGACGCGACTCGAGAACTCGTCCAGGGACGGTGGTCGTCTAGGAGCTCCTTGTCCGAGTCGAATAGCTGAAGTCCGCCGTTCGGGAATGGTGATTGTTCTCCCAAGCCGTTGAAGCATATTGATGCTGGCTCGACGGCGTGCTTCCGAATCACTTCCACTCGAGGAAGTAGTTACGAAACTGCATTCGCTTTCATCGCTCGACGAATCTTCTTCGAGACGAATGCGAATGGGCACAACAATGCTGTGAGCCTCACTCGCTGCTCTTGATGTAGATGCGGTGCGCGAATGGTAGGAAGTGTAGCCGACGACATCGAACGAGTCACTGTCGTTGTCGTCTTCCTGCACCAAGCCTTGGGTCAGATTGCCTGTATCTGACCATAGAGTGTCGGAGAGTTGGCGTTGACAGGACAGCTTGTTGCCGCCGCCTGTCATAACAATTTGCGTTCTGTCATGCCCGTTCAGAGCCGGCTTCACTGATGCAAATACTTTGGATGCAGGGTCAACAGCCAGCGCTGGATCGCGTGGCCCCCCTCGCCCTGCCCTTGGGTTCTGGGTCGACCAAGCCCAGTTTCCGTTGGCGTCAAAAGCTCCGACGACGGTCGCGTGAACAACAGCAGCAGAAGCAGCATCGTCGTCGTCTTCACCATGCAAGATCGCATGGCGGTGCTGAGGTGACGCCTCAGGCGTGACGATCGCGTCAGAACTATCTGTGCTCAAGGTGCTGTCGGTATCTCCATCGTCTTCCTTGTCCTCGCCAGAGCAGCTGTCGTTGTTGTCCTCGTCGTCGTACCACATTTTGGATAGATCCGAGCTGAAGGAGTTCGAGTGTTGCCTTCGCTTATCTTGTGTAGCCAATACCACAGCTGGTCGTACTGCAGTCTTGATGCTGGACATGGTGCTGCCTTCTTTGGGGAATGCCGAGGCAGTATAGTCAATAAGCTATGTTGGCCGATGCTTGGATACGTGATGGATTTTCTCGAGTGGTCGAGCAAAGGAAGGTGCTGGAGGATAATGGGACCGGCCCGTGAGGTTTTGTGGTTTGATGTAATGGAGACAGGGACAGAAGCACCAGGCTTCGTTGTAGCAAAGAGGAGGGGGACGAAAAGAGGCAAGACAGGACGAGGACGGAGACGCGAGTTCATCGACGTCAGCGTTGAATGTACGAGCCTTGCTTTTGTACAAATCCACGTTTCGATTGCTTGGCGGGCGGGAAGGAGCTTTGGTCAACTCATGAAGTGCAAAGCAAATTGCAGTGCAGAGGGGTGCAGTGCACGTCTACAATGCATTGCAGGAGTCGTGTGGGGTGTACCAAGTGATTTTGGCGGATCCGGTCCCACAATACTGAGGAGCAGCTTTGACCTGTGACTTCATCATATCGCATCGGCCCCTTTCACGATCGATCCTGTACCGGCAATGGAAACTGCTTACCTGCGGCTCGTAAAGGAAGGGTCCGCAGATTCTGGTCGTAAGCCTGAGATCAAGGTTTCATTTTGAGTTAGCTACACGGTCTGCCGGATAGAATGTGCTTGATCCAAAGAAGCGCCTTACCACCGATGAAATGAGATGGTCCTGCTCCTGTCTGACAGTCGCACGCTCCAAAGAACAGAGCAGGCAGCTCGAAAGAGAGTCTTATCGCCTCCAGTTCCTCCTCCTCCAGTATCACGACGCCCCTCAGCAGACCCTTTTGAGCCGTGTTGAAACACCTTTGCCCCAACACAGCAGTCTTTCAGGCCTCTTCAGATGCCATGTGTTGGTTTTCTTGCTGGTGTAGGCTTTAGGTCCGCTGCTGAAGTGAATTGAAGGTGCGATCACGTCTGGCTGCATGTGACACAATGAACGGACGATATCATATTTCCAGCAAACCGTCAACGCACTGTTTGACGCCTCGATGCAGCTGCAAGCACTTTGATTTCCTGCCTTTTTTTTTTTTTTTTTTTTTTTTTTTTTTTTTTTTTTCATTTCGATCAAAATCATCTTCAAGTCCAGCCTAACGATGCCCGAACCTTTTCGGAAGGGAGCCAACTTGGCAAGGCGCTACGCAGGAGCCTTGTCGAAAGATCCGCCTCGGACTATTCAGCGTGTTTGCACAGCCCGTCGCCAGTCAGATGCTTTCACTACGCCTTAGCACACAGCTGTGTGACCTTTGTAATATAAGTTATATTGTGACGATGCAAGAATATGTGAATACAAGTATACCGGGACTCATGAGGGCTGTGGAGAATAAGACATGTCTAGAAAAGGGAAAGATGCGATGGAAGCAGAAGAAGAGAGAAGGAGGTATTCCTTTAGTGGTCTGCAGCAGAAGCGTTGGCCTTCTCAGCAGCAGCGACGCGAGCTGCTACAGCAAGGTCGGGTTGCGGCTTAGAACCCTTGTTGACGCTCAAACTGCGAGTGGGAGTAGCAGCGCCAGGAGGTGTGGTGGCGGGCTTGTCGTCGACTTCGCCGGCTTCCCTGCGCTTGATCATTTCGGACTCGGAGATCATGTGGCTCTCAGGGTGAGGAGGGAGGTAGTTCTTCTGCATAGCGAGCTGCTCGTCCAACAAGCCAACTGAGGCAGCGATGAAGCCGAGGAAGGGAGGCGATGGGTTAAGAGGACGCGAGCAGAACTCCGGGTGTGCCTGCATACCCACAAAGTATGGGTGGTGGCGCAACTCGGCGATCTGCATTCGCTCTCCCTTTTCGTCCCTACCGACAAACTTGAGCTCGTCGATGCCGGTGAAAGCTTCCTCGAAGGTGGAGGAAGATCCGAGTCTTGGCGAAGTGAAGGAGAGAGGTGGGGAGGTGGCGGGAATGCTGCTGGGAACCTTTTGCGGTGTTGTCTTTGCTTTTGCGGAAGGGTTGGAAGCGGCACTCTCGATGCGCTCGACGTATTCGGGGTTGACTTCGTATCGGTGACGGTGACGCTCCCAGATGACGGGCTGACCGCCGTAAAGCTGACGGATCTTTGACCACTCTTCGGTGCCCTTCTGGAAGAGCGAAGGTCGCAAACCGAGTCGCATGGTACCACCAAGATGGGTCTTGCTGATCTCGGGCATGTAGATGATGACGGGGTCCTTGCAGTTGGCATCAAGCTCGGCGGACCCAGCGGTCTCGATGCCGAGAACGTTGCGGGCGTACTCGATGACAGCGATTTGGAAACCAAGGCAGATACCAAGATAAGGAATCTTCTTCTCTCGTGCCCATCGTGCTGCGCTGATCATTCCTTCAGTACCACGAGTACCAAAACCACCGGGAACAAGAATACCCTTGGCGGAGCAGAGTGCCTGCCAAGCCTGGTGGTACTTGACGGGGTTTTCAGACTCGGCGACAGGTTCAAGATCACTCGACTCGACCCACTTGAGCTCGAGCTTGCGGTGGCATCGGAGAGCGGCGTGCTCGAGTGACTTGACGACCGACATGTACGAGTCGTGCAAAGATGTGTACTTGCCGATGAGAACAATCTCGACCTTGTCGATCATGCGGTCGTGTCCGACAGTAAGTTCGCGCCAGCGGGTTCGAAGTTCGCGGCCCTGGTCAAACATTGGTTTGGGGATGCTGCCATTGACGTTGAGACCAAGACGCTTTTGGAAGAAGCGGACCATACCTTGCTCTTCAAGCAACAATGGAACATGGTAGGTGGAGGAGACGTCGTGAACGGCCATAACCTGCTCAGGACCTACGTGGCAGAACATGGAAAGCTTGTTGATGACCGCAGGCTCGAGACGAATAGGGCATCGGGCGGCAATCATGTCGGGAACAAGACCGAGACCACGAAGGTCACGAATGGCAGCCTGGGTAGGCTTGGTCTTTTGCTCGCCGCCAATGACGGGGACAAGACTGACGTGGATGAGGGCAAAGTTGTCATGCCCAACACGGAACTGGAACTGACGCATGGCCTCGACAAAAGGAGCCGACTCGATGTCACCGACAGTACCGCCGAGCTCAATGATGCAGACCTCGGGTGCCTCGCCGCTGCCGTCGACGGGTCGCTGAGCAACGCGCTCAATCCAGTCTTGAATAGCGTTGGTGAGGTGAGGAACAATCTGGACAGTCTTGCCGAGGTAGTCTCCCTTGCGCTCCTTCTCGATGACTTCACGGTAGATCTTGCCGGTGGTGATGTTGTTGTCGCGGCTCAAGGTGACGTCGAGGTATCGTTCGTAATTGCCAAGATCGAGATCAGCTTCTCCTCCATCGTCGAGAACGTAGACCTCACCGTGCTCGGTGGGAGACATGGTACCGGCATCGATGTTCATGTAAGGATCGACCTTGATGGCGGTGACACGAAGACCGAGTGTCTTGAGCAAGAGACCGGTGGATGAGGCGATAACACCTTTGCCGATACCGGAGATGACACCTCCACTGACTACGATATACTTCATTTTGCCTTTTGTTGCTGGACGAAAAGAGGATGTAGAAAGGGGTTGACGAGCTTGCCTGTATCCGTCGGTGTTAAAACTGCTGCTGCTGCTAGTGAGACTGCGACGACCTCGAATCGCAGTGTCTTAAGCGCAAAGCTTTGCTGTGGTGTTGTCGATGTTGAAGTCGACAAAGAGGACGTAGGAGGATGAGAGAAGCGAGAAAAGGTATAGATAAGGTAGAAGGTAATAGGAAGGTAAGATAATCGCTGGACCGCTCGAGGATTCTATGCTTGATACCCCTACCGCTCAGGCATAGCAAAAGAATCTTGAAGCCAAGAGGAGATCGTTCATGTTCGACAGCAACTTTTTGGAGTCGACGTCGAGGAGGAAATTTTTGGTTTTTTTTGGTGCATTCAAGAATCTCAACTGAGACTGGGCTCAATTGCCCCAGTGCCTTGGTTGGCCTTGACGCGAATAGGTGTTACGTCTTAGACAAAAATCTCGGTTGCACTCAACGCGTCGCGCGAAACAGCGGAACATGAAGCGGCGCCAAATACTGTATCAGTGAATGGGAACAAAGATACAGCTGCTGCTTGCTCGAATTTTTGGCAAAATCAGAGGCTAGACCCTGACAGAAATGTCCAGCTGCAACGTGGCTGAGCAAAGTGGAGCTTTGACCAGCAACGGAAAGCGAGCGACGCACACACACACCAGCCGAAGACTCACCATCGTTTCACGCCGATCCTTCTCCACCAACTGGGTTCTTCTCAACGCCTTCTTAGCAAGCATCTCAACATCGACAACATCTGTCGCAACGGACAACGATGCCCAGCTCAACAAGGCGTCGGCGTGTAGACGACAGCGAAGAGGAACAAGATGTCGCTCCGCCCTCGCAAAGACGAACGCAAGCTTCCACATCCGCATCGGCATCTGCTGGTCCGAGTCGCTCACAACGAAATTCTCCAACATCATCGATCACAAACGGCATTGATCTCACCGCAGAGCTTCGTCCGCAGCCTCTGGGCAAAGAGCACATCAGCAACATCAACGGTCTCATGGCCGACCTCAAGGCACAAGATTCGAGCATCGCCAAATGCATCGAGCTACTGAGCGAAACGGCAGAACAGGCGGCAGAAGCTTTCCGGCACCAAGATGAATGTCCCCAACTTGAACAAGCGGACGCAGATCTCCGCGAACTCATCGATGCGCAAGCAGAAAAGGCGATCCGAAAGAGTGTCCTGATGGAGATTGTGCAGGATCTTCAGGCTGGAGTCGTCATCGCATGTATCACCTACGTCAGCGTTCATATCTCTCTTTGGGTAGACCTACTAACTCGCGCTTGTTGTTTGCTTCTCCTGACTACAGGGAGATCCAGCGAAGCGATACAAAGATGAAGTACAGAAGAAGTTGGATGCTTACAACAAGCAAACCTCACGCAAGAAGTACGCCAAGAACACAGACTATCACAACTTCAAGAATGTCGTCTGGGTAGCAAGGGAAGAAGGAGCCATGCCTCCTGTTCGAGATCTCATCCCTGCAGAAGAAGGTGATGATCAAGGCTCGGATGACGATCTGGAGATTGGAGGCGTTTCGCAGAACTTCCGCTGTCCACTCACAACCAACCTTCTCGAAGATCCTCTCACAAAGTGCGTCGCCTCTCTCTCCATTCAAGGCAATTCACCGAGCCTTGCTACTGACCTATCGCCTTACGTTTCTGCTTCACCGTCACAGTACCAACTGCACACACTCATACTCGCGCAGCGCTATCATGGAATATGTTGCGGCAGGCAACAACCGTTGTCCTGCCTCGTCGTGTACTGCAACAGTCACCCAACGAACACTCAAGCAAGATCCGGCGCTATCAAGAAAGGTGGCGGCATTCAAGAGAAGAGAAGAGGAGCGTATCATTGCTCGACGTCAAATTTCGACCGTTTTGTATTGATCTCATGGGCATACTTACAAGCAAGAATACAAGGGTTCAAAATGCAAAAACCTCACAGACTCGGTTCAGGTTCAGCTAGATGTAAGAGAAAGCTTTCGCAATTGACAATGTGTGTACAAGATGTGCAAGGGAAAGTTAAGGGGGAGAGGGAAGAGTGTAGAAAGAGACAGGGGAGGCTCTAAGCAATCGCGCTCATCACCAGCTGGCAAGCAGCATCCGACTCGGCCCTGACAGACAACTCCATCGTCACACCCTGTCCAGCAGCAAAAGTCATTCTGCACCTCGTCAAAGCCTTCACCGCTTTACCCGGTGCCGCTACCGCACCTGACAAATTCAAAGTATGAACAGACGTCGAAGAAGGACTCTCCGTTCCACCTAAAGGCATCATTCCCAACAACTCGATCAATGTATCGCATGCCGTCTTGAGCCCGTCCAATGCTGTGAGCGCGAAAGTCTCCGTTGCAGTAGGTGCAGATGCCAACTTGTCCCACTCTTCACCAAAGTTGGCATAGACGGGTTTGATGTAGTCTGCAACGCCAAGCTCGAGTTCTTCGGTCTGGTATTCGTCGTCGTAGCCTTCTTCTTCGGGTTCGCCGGAAGATGGGTCGACTTCTTTCGAAACGAAACGGAGAGTGTTGGTGAGGGTTCCTTGGGCGTAGTCTTCTGCACCGCCTTCGCGTGTGAATGAGACATAGACTTGACCGCTCGGATTCTGCGCCGAAAGAGCGGGGACAGTGACGATAAAGTCTTCCCGTAAACCGGCTTCAGCAGCTCCACCAACTACGACAGCGACGTTCTCGAGGACAGTATCTGGCAAGGTGTTTGTGACGTTGTACTGAATAACGACGTGTTCGGCAAAGATGTGCTTGACTGCACTGACGACGTACTCGGTCTCGGACTCTGTGAGCTCCACCGGCTTGGTAGAGCTCTTGAGCACCGTTCCATAGTCGGCGAACTGAGGCACCTCAGCCAATTGCTTGGCATACAAAGTCTCGGAGTCGGCCGACGAAGCAGCCTTGGACGAAGAAGCACCGTTGTTGGAAGCAGCGTGCACGCTTTGTGAGCTGTCAGCGGCCATAGCAACACTTGCGGTCGCTTGTGTCTTGGCTCGAAGTGCTTCTTGTCTTGCCTCCTCGCGAGTGACACGTGGGATCTTGCTAATGTCGAATCCACTCGTAGACGAAGAGGGATCCGAGACGTACGATTGCAAGGCCGACTCGAGCGCAGTAAGCTTGTAGCTCGACTCGTCGTTCACCACCTTAGCCGCCAACCTTGACCCGCGCAACACACGAAGGTACATGGCAGCACGGTCGCGCACCTCGTCATCGACATCATCGAGACATCGCTCGAGCAACACCTTGATTCGGGTGTTGAGCGACTTGTCGGTAATACCGAACTTGGCGAGCGAGCTTACGGCAGCAGCTCGTACAATGGCGTTCTCGAGAATGACACGGTTGTATATGTAGCGAATGTACTTGTGGGGTTGGGGCATCTTGGGACCCTCGACACCGAGAAGGTGCAAGATGCGAACGCTAAGCTTGGTGAACTCGCAATCCTCGATAAACTCGCAAAGGTGAGCGAGAGCAGTCTCCTTGCATTCGCCGATGAACTTGATCATATCAAAGATGGCCTCGACGACAGCACGCTTGTACTCGAATCCACCTTCGTCGCGAAGCACACCAGCGAGGAAGCTGAGCATAACGGTCTGTTTTGAAGGGAACTTGAGGCAGAGACTGCGAATGGCATCGACGACGATGACCTTGAACTCGTCACTGATCTCGGACATGAAGCCGCTGATCTGCTTCATGAGACGGTCAACGGAAGCCTCATTACCGGTCTTGAGCAGGGTGGTGATGGCGTACGTGGCAATGCTTCGGTTGGTGTCGGTGATGAGGTTCTCCATGTCGACGTTGCAGGTCTGAACGGCAGCAGGCTGAGTCTGAGCGAGCTTGGCGAGTGTCCGAATGGCGGCGAACTTGAGGGTCGACTTGGGAGAAGAGAGGAAGAGTTGGAGGACGGCGATGGGTCGGTAGAGGTCCTGGGTGGACACGCCCTTCATCTCGCAAATGACACGAGCAGCTTCGTAGTTGACCATGTCGCTCTTGTGTCGGAGCCATCCTTCGAGGAGCTCCATCATGGGAGCACGAAGGTTGGGATCTTCTTCGGCAACCTTGGCAGCGTATCGAACAAGCATGCAGATGGCGTAGGGACTGCGCAAAACACTGCCTTGACCGCTAGAAGCACCGCCGCGACCACCTCCAAGCTGCTGAACAAGCTTGGTGATGGCCATGCGATCGCCCTGTCGGATGAGATAGAGAAGACCAAGGGCGTGGTATTGGGTGATGTAACTGCTGCTGGCGACGGCCTGGTAGCTGCTCTGTTGCTGGGACTGTGACGAGCCGTATCCGGCGAAGCCGAGGTAGCTACCCGCTCCAGCGAAGCCACTAGAGAAGCTGGCTCCGGACGAGCTCTTGGAGCTGATGGCCTCCTGAGCCTCGCTACCCCACCTGCGAACGACATCCCTAGCGGCGGTCTGAAGTTGGTAAGCGGAGACAAGGGCGGCGGAGCTGATGGAAGTGTTCTTGTCGACAATGGCGGACTTGAAGAATCGCTCAAGACCCTGAACCATGGAGGGGTCAACGACGCGAGTAAGACCACGGATAGCATTGGGACGGTAGATGACTTCAACGTTGGGCTGCATATCCTTCATGATGGAGGCGGTGACCATGATGACATCGTCGGAAAAGGGGCAGAGCTCCTTGATGGCCAGGTAGACCATCTGTCGAAGTGCTGGGTCTTTGTGCTGGAAGAGCTTGGTTGCGCCAAAGAAGAGAGTGGTGGCTTCTTGTCGGCTGAAGGTCTCGCCCATGTACAAGAGATAGATGACTTTGGTGAGGAGGATACGGCATTTTCGGGGACTGATGGGCGTCTCGTTGAAGACACGAGCTTCTTGAATGACGGAACTCTTGTCCTGGTAGAAGCCGGTGGCTCCGACCTCTTCGTCCTTCTTAAACGACATGGTGACTGGCTGTCAAGATTGCACCGAGCTCCGTGTGCGGACGGTGTTGACGAAAAGTAGTGCCAGTGACCCGCTATGTCGTGAAGATAGAAGCGATAGAAGACGATGATGGAGAAGACAAGCTTCAATAGGTGCGGACAGGTATGTGTGAAAGAAAGGTGGAGTGGATCCATTCAGTGTCGACGATACGTTGTTTCAGTTGGAATCAGCATCACGTGTCGGAGTGTGCGTTGAGCGTTATTGGTGTGCTGTGAGCAGTTGTGCTGGGCTGTGTTGTGCCGACAAAACCTTCCAGCTCAACACCTTCTCGCACTTGGCGGCCCGTGTGCATTTCCAGTCACGAATAAACGACGCGGGTCCGACCGTCACTCTCTGTGTGGCTCTTTGCTGCCTGTCAAAGGTTGGTTGGTGCGTTGACACTGCTCAGATGCACCGTAATCGGGTCGGACAACGCGATCCAAAAGAAAAGGAAGAAAAAAAAAAAAAAAAGAAAAAAAAAAAAAAGAAGAGAAAAAAAAAAAGGTCCCGTCTGGACTCAATCGCACGAAACAAGACCGAAATTGTATATACCTAACACGAACAAAACTAAGTGGATTGCAGGCAAAGTCCCGTGAGGCCCTCGAAGTTCGACAAGGAGGCTACCGGCCGGTCGAGCGCAGAAACGAGCGGCAAGGGAGGGTGTATAGGGAGGGCAAATAATCGACGAACCAGGCTGCTAATAGTACGGCCTGGCTTTGGTGATGTTGTGAAGAGGCCACGCCTTCTTGACTGATCACGTGATGCAAAATGACAGCGACTATGTAATCAAATATCCTTGTTAGGTTTGTTGTCTACTCAGCTCTGGCATTGTTGTCTTCGACGCAGAAGATCCTCCTTCATCGACAAAACGGAGCCCGATGAAAAGCGATCGTCGAACTGATGTTGGTCACAGCTTCTCGACAATGCTGTGATGAAGAGCACAGATGACGAAGGAAGAAGAGTGTGGGTAAAAGAGGAGGCGGTGCCAATCAATCAGTAAGGAGTGCCAATCACGTCAGTCGTGTCGAAAAAGAGGCAATCTGAAGCGACAGACAGTGCAGACTGTACTCGAGACAGTCGAAATGGCAGCTGTTCCGGCTTTTACTCTCACACAGCTTTTTGCTCACTCACATATGCAGGGCAGGGTATATCGTCTCGTCCCACCGGCCGGCAATTTTAAACGCTTGAACCATGCTCCACGTAAGCTCGACGCGATCTTCCGTGTTGCGCTTCGCCAAGGTCACTACTGCTGAAGCTGTGCTTAGGATTGATAGTAGACACCAGTATTGAGGTGTCAGGTTGAAGATCGTCGAGCGGGCGACGCTCCTTCGGAAGAGCCGCTTCACAAGCCAAAGAATCAGGAAGGACGACGTGAGAGCTCTCTCGGTGTTAACGTTCTCAGCCTCTTGAGCCGGAAAAAGCCAACCTCAGCCACTTGGGCAGTGTGTGGAAATATTTCCAGAAAAACGTGCTCTGTTCTTTTTCTTCGGCGGATTCCGAACCCTTGAGCCAATGCAGAGCTCCCAGAGCTAGCTCTCTCTCTCTCTCTCTCTCTCTCTCTCTCGCGCTAGCAAGGTGAATCAGCCCGGCGCCTTTTTCTTTCTTCTTTTTCTTTTCTTTTCTTTTATTTTATTTTATTTTATTTCTTTGGGCTGCTGCCGAATCGCTGAAATCGGCACAGCCGCCTAAGTAGTCAAGTCACAGATTGGCAGAGACAGATTGGCAGAGACAGATTGGCAGAGAATCATGTTCGCTCGCTTGGCGACTTAGTCCCGATTCTCACCAAAGATTGGCAGCAGCTGCTCATGCACACTTCCTCCATTGCTTGCTTGCCTCAGTCAAGTCGCACCAGCAGTCTCGACTGAACGCTCATCTTGTCATTCGTCATATCCACCTTCTCTTTAGTCTATCGTCGCTTTCAATACTTTACTTACTTCCTTCCTGCTCGGCACTCACCGGCAGGGCGTCTCCGTCTTTGCAGAGCTGCACATACGCCTCGTTCCTTATCGCACGCTAACTGTTGACCGCAACTCGCTTCCATCTCCAACTGTTTGCATCGCCCCCGGCTATCGACGATTGACTCTTCCTAAATCAGTCCTTTCTTCCAGCAACCAACACCACACAATCGCTCCCTCGTCTTCGCAATCCGCTGTCTTCCGCGCCTTCATCACCGCTCCTTTCTCACCTTTCGGATCTACTTCTTCCAACACCGGTGTCTGCGACGTCCGCACTGACCTTCAACCCATTATTCGGCGATTCGACCCTGTCCACTCTTGACTTTGAGCCTTGCAACGCAGATCAAGGCTCGGGCAGAAGCAATGCCCTTCGAGGAGAGTCCAAACTCCTTCCTTTTTGGACTCAACCAATTCACTTCCCCTGGTGCCGACTCTCAGAACGAAAGCGGCTCCAACTCGCGTTCTGATAACATGCTCGCCAGCCTGGATGCTTTCGCCGTTGGGGACCACGTTGCTGGCGTATCTGGCCAGAATGACGCCAACGGCAGTCAGAACCCCAACTTTGCCGATCAGCTAGCCCTCTGGACCAATGCCAACTTCAGCTTCGACGGCCCCACCGGGCATGCCTTGCTCGGTGATGAAGAGAAGGAAAAGGAGGAGGCAGAGCACAACCGTCGACGCGAGGACGAGAACCGTCGCAACCAAGAAGAGGAGCGGGGAAGGCTAGCCAGGAATGCTGCCGCAAGCTCCCGAGGCAGCCATGCTTTGCGAGGCAAGGCTCGTGATGTCGATTCCACCCAACCTAGCTCCGCTCAGTCTTACCCTCCCACATCTCAGCCGCATGCTTCATCCTCTCACCCATCACAGCAGCAACAACTACAACAACAACAGCAGCAACAACTACTACAACAACAGCAGCAACAACTACAACAGCAGCAACAACAGCCTTTCTTCCCTGGCGCACCCAACTTCAATGCTGCCGTCAGACCATCACAACCGACCAACCCTTCAGGACCTGGTGTTGCCCCTCCATTTGGGCTTTTCAGCAGCTTCCCTAATCTTCAGCAGAACGCACAGCAGCCATCTCAGCTTGGCTTCGGCGCAGGATCGATCGACATGACCTCAGCTCTCGCCCTGCAGCATCTTCTGGCCAGCAACCCGCTCGCACTCGCCAGTCTCAGCCAACTCGCCGGCCTTACGAACCCGCAGCTGCAATCACACCTCGCAGGTATTGTGAACAGAGGAGCTGGGCTGCCTGGTTTTGGTGCCCAGCAAGCTGCACAGGCGCAAACTAGCGCCCCGAACAGCGCTGTCGCGACTCCTTGGCTAGCAGCTCAGCCTTTGGCTGCTTCTAGAGCCAGCAGCGTCAGTGAGCCATCGCCTGCGAACGTTCCCTGGGCTCCACTGCTTAGCGCAGGTGTACCAGCCTCTTCGCCTGCTCAGATTTCGCCCGCCCCTGGTGCTGCCCCAAGCGCAGGTGCTAATGGCTTACTCAATGACACGGGTCCTCGCTCTGGCTCTCACAGCCATGCTGGCGTCAATGGTGCTCATTCGGCCGGCGGCAGCTCTTATGATGCGGCCGACCGACAGGCTGGTGAGTCCAGTGCGTCGGGTTCAGCTTCGGCATCAGGCTCTGCTCCTTCCAAGAAGAAGCGCACCAGCACCTCTGAAGGCAAGAAAGCGCAACACGATCATGCCGACCCTGATGACTCGGACGAGATTTCTGGCCGTATCGAAGACATTGAACGTCGCTACGAGATTCCTCCACTCAAACTCATCGACACTGGCAACCCAGAAGCAGACGCCGAAGCCAACCGTCTCGCCATCGAAGAAGACAAGCGTCGCCGCAATACCGCTGCCTCTGCTCGATTCCGTATCAAGAAGAAGCAACGTGAAGCAGCCCTCGAACAGGCTGCCAAGGAGCTGCAGCAGCGTCTTGCCGATCTCGAGGCCGAAAACGCACGCCTGAAGGCGGAGAATGGATGGTTGAAGAGTTTGATCACTGTTCGACCTGATCAGGCTATGCCAGGTGGACTGGATCAGAGTGCGGTGCCTAACCCGTTCAATTTGGGTGAACCTAGTGCTAGTGGATCTGGCCCTTCGACTGCGCATGGAAGTTCAGTGGTGAGTGGCGATGGGCATTTTGGCAACCAGGAGAATCCGGATAGGCAAAGTGGTTTGCATCCTAGAGGAGTCGGAACTGGCGCGGGAGAGGACAGCGGAAAGGGTAAAGGCAATGCGAAAAACAACAACAGCAGCGGTGCCAACGGCCAGCATGCTCAGCTTAAACGCGATCGTGAGGAGTAAACACCTTCCAATCTCCGCATCTTATATTCAGCCGAATGAAGGGTACGTGTGAACGAGGCTCCAACAGCCTCACAACCCGTTCGATCCAACTCAAATCTCTTCCCATCTTCCCTCTGACCGCAAAACAACTCGCAACACACACTATCTCAGCAGCAGCATCAATATTTTATCTTTATAGCACGAACTTTTCTCCAACAGTCTAGCAACTTTCTCGAGTACCTCTAACACGGTCTGGAACAGGCTTTCTTATGCGCCGCTATACCCCCTCCCCCCTTGCTTTTACTTTGTTCCGAGCACAGTCTTCTTTTTTTTTTTTTTTTTTTTTTTTCTTGTTGTATGAATGCCAATTTTTTGTTTATTCACTTCAACACAGGCGTCTGATGGGATAGATAAGATAATATAGAATTGAGCTCCGTAAGCCTTGCCGGACTAGACAATGATGAGGTCGTCACGACAACAAGCGCAATAGAGCAATTCGTCGTTAGCGAACTGTTGTCGTCTTCCGGCTTGTTTGAGACTTCCGTCGCTATCCGGTCCTAGTGGTGTGTGGGAGACAGAGTTTGATGGTGTGTGACCTTTACTTTCCAATCTTATTGACTTCATACCCGGCAAGCCACCGCCAACTGCGGTTGATGATGTGCTGGTGGGTGGGGCAGAAGAAGATGGTGAGAGCGGATTGTCGGAGATACGAGCAGCAAGCATTTGTAAGCTTTCACGACGACGGTGACGTTGTGCGGCAGGTAAGGGGAGTTCGGACGCTGTGACTGTTCGAATGCCCCTCCTTGCTGTAGGTGTGGTGGTGGAAGAGGTAGTGGAAGAAGGTGTGGAAGGTGTGGCATAGTCATAGGCTTCCCTCTCGGCGAGTGGGGACAGAGATGGGACGTGGGAGGATGTGGCGCTTCTGCGATGACTTCTACCACTATCACCTTTGGGCTTCAAAGAGGAGCTGGGCTCTGTAGCGCCAGGCTGGGACTTGAGCTTCTCCTCCAATTCGATAGCCTTACGTGTCGCACGATGAGCTTTATCCGTCTCTTCGAATACGCTCGCTTCCAGTTTGCGGATCTGGGATCGAAGCGTACTGAGCTCCAACTCATGACTCTGAATCACTTCTTCCACGTGCTCCTTACTGAAGACTTCTTTGTTAACCACCTTCGCCTTCTCCTCTCCTTTCTTCCTGAGCTGCTTCAGCTCCGCATCATGCTGCTCTCGCAACTTGACGGCCGCCGCTTCCGCCTCCTGCGCTCGGACCTTTGCAAGTTCTAACTCTGATCGCAGCGTTTCGACCTCCAAATCTGAACCCTCGCGCTGCTTCTTTCCTTCCCCTCGAAGTTGCTCTAGCTGTGCGGTAAGGTCGGAGATCCTGGATCGCAGTTCAGCGTTCTCCTTCTTTGCCGCTTCAGAAGAAGACTTGGCAGTGAGATGCTTCTTCTTGAGCGAGGAGATTTCGGTCGACAGTTTGTCGAGTTTGGAAGAAGAGGTTGATTTCTCCTCCTCGTTCTTCTCCATACTCGACTTGGCGGTCTCTAGCTCTTCCTTGAGGGTTGATAGTTCGGCTTGCAAACTGGAAATGGACCCCTCAGATTCGGCAAGGGCTTGTTCAAGTCGTGTGTGTTCGGAAGTCAGGGTAGACACATGCTGGCTGCGCACCATCTCGAGTTCCTCGTCCCTCTGAGATAGTGCAGAAGCATGGTCGCTTTGCAACAACTTGATATGCTCCTCGCGCGCTGCCAGATCACGAATATGCCTGTCCAGCTGCTCTCCCCTCGAGCTCAACTCCCTCTTATGTTCCTCAACCTTGCCCTGCGCTGCACTGAGCTGCTTCTTCAACTCTTCCAGCTCCTCAGCCTTCCTCTTCAGATCCTTCTCCTTGCCACCCATTTCACTCTTCACCGACGCAACCTCCTCTTGGTGCTTCTTCAACTCTGCATCCTTCGTACCGATCTTTGCATGAGCTTGTTCCAGCCCCTTACTTAAATTCAGCATCTCCTTCGTATGTGTTGCCATTTGCTGATCTCGTTCCTTCATAACTTTCTCGAGCGAGTTCTTGAGGCTCTGAAGCTCCTTATCGTAAGCCTGGGTAGCAGAAGAATGGTTAGCGTTAGCAGATGAGAGTTGAGCTTGGACCTTCTCAAGTTCAGAACGGTGCGTAGAGAGGGCTTTCTCGTGGTCTGTGCGTAGCTTATCCAGCTGAGAGTTGAGCTCGGACCGCTCGGTAAGGAGAGATTTGCGGTCGGAGCTGGTCTTGTCGACATTAGCTTGGAAGTCTTTGAGCTGGGTGTTGGCTTCAGTGTGAGCAGATATGAGCTTATCGTGCTCTGATTGAAGGGTGGTGAGCTGCTTGAATGCTTCGGTTGCCGCAGTTTGGTGCTCCTTGGTAGCTTTCTCAAGCGACTTGGCGTGATCGGACTTCGTCTTCTCCAATGTTGCTTTAAGCTCTTCGATCTGCTTAGATCCCCGTGCTGCTGCTGCTTGATGCTCTTTCGATAATGAATCCATCAACTTGGCATGCTCGGCTTTGCTCTTTTCAAGCTGAGATTTGAGCTCCTCGAGCTGCTTGTTGGACTTGGCGACAGTGTCGGCATTCTCGGCCTTCGTTTTCTCAAAGGCTGCCTTGGCATCCTCGAGCTCCTTTGTAGACTTCGTAATCGCATCAGCATGATTGATCTGAGCCTTTGCAAGCTCGGTCTTTAGTGCTTCGAGTTGCTTGGACGCAACTGATGATTCTGCCACGCGATCCTTCGATGCTTCCTCGAGCGAGCTAGCATGTTCGGTCTTGGCCTTTTCAAGCTGAGCCTTGAGATCGACAACCTGCTTGCCAGCCTTCGCGACAGCATCGGCGTGTTCGCCCTTCGCTTTTTCGTACTCGCTTTTGACTGCTTCCAGCTGCTTCTTGGCTTCTGCAGCAGCAGCCTGATGCTCCTGAGCAGCCTTAGCTGTCGCTTGCTCGTGCTCAGCCTTAGCCTGTTCACGCTGCGCCCTGAGCTCTCCCACCTGCTTCGCAAACGCTGCAGTCGCATCAGCATGCTCCAATTTGGCACTCTCGTACTCGCTCTTCACAGCCTCGAGCTCCATCGACCTCCCCTCCGCCGTCGATCGGTGCTCCTGTACAGCCTGCTCCAATTCAGCTTTGACAGTCTGCAAACGCGCCTCAGCCTCCGCCACCGCAGCCTCTCTCTCCTCGTTGGCCATAGCAAGTGCTTCCTCGTGCTCAGTCCTGACCTTCTCGAGCTGCTTGTTCGCCGATGCGACCGCAGCTTTATGCTTCAAGCCGGCATCCTTCGCTGACTTCTGGGCTGCAGCTAAGCCCTTCTCCAGACCCTGGAGCTTTTCGGCTTGCTCTTCGGAAGTCTTTGTAAGCGTGTCGAACTCTTGCAACTTCGCCTGGAGAGCTGATTCGCCGGAAGATACACGATCTTCTAACTTCTTCATCTGCTCTTCTGCGGCCTGGAGCTTGGACTCGAGGTCCTTCACAGCGTCCGACTTGGACTGTAGCTTGCTCTCGAGATCTTGAACAGAGTCCACCTTCGCCTGCAACTCCGAACGGGTCTTCTCCTGAGCTGCGTTGGATTCGGAGAGCTTGGTCTCGAGATCCGCGTTCTTAATCTTTGCCGTCTCGAGGTCCTTGGCTTGAGCATCAGCTGACCTAAGTTGCTCTTCGTGCTTAGCGACAAGCTCCTTGTGCAGTCCGTCAACATGCTTGAACTTTCGCTGAACGTCAGCGTGCGAAGCTTGCAAGTCCTTGAGCTGAGATCCGAGCTTTCTGGCTTCCTCCCAAACCTGCTGGTGGTCTTTCGACGTCTTTTCGACCAGTCCGCGCTGCTCTTGAAGCTCAGCTTGGGCAATTTCGTGATCCGCAACCTTCTGCTTGTGCGCTTTGGTGAGCTCGTCGTGAGCTGAGGTCTTGTCTTTGAGCTTTGACTCGAGGTCTGAGCGCTGCGCCTGCGTTGCCTCAAGCTGCTTGGCGAGGTCTTCGGCTCGAGAGCTGTGTTTAATCGCTTCAGACGTCTTGCCTTCCAGTTCCTTCGTCTTGGCTTGCAGGTCATTCTGCAGCTCTTTGACTCGAGTCTGAGCAGTATTAGCATCTTCGGTCGACTTTGCGAGCTGAGCGTCTGTGTGTTGAACCTTCGACTCGAGAGCCTGGATCTGCTTGATCTTCTCTCCAGCTCCAGCTTTGTTGACCTTTGCTTCAGCCTGAGAAGCCTGAAGCTCCTTCCTCGTGCCCTGGAGCTCACCTTGCAGCTTTCCAATCTGCTCCTTGGCAGCGGTGGCCTCCTCGCCAGCCTTTGCGAGCTTCGAGTCGGCATCCTTGACCTTGGCCTCCAACGTCTTGATCTCAGCCGCTCGTTGCTCGGCAGACTTAGCATTGGCATCAGCATCCTTCTTCGACGCCTCGAGATCCTTAGTCTTCACCTGTAGATTGCGTTGCAGCTCTTCAATACGAGTCTTTGCAGCAGCGCCAATCTCATCAGCCTTCTTGAGACTTGCTTCTGTGCTCGATAGCTTGTCCTGCAGGGTCACGATCTCTTTGGCTCTGCTTTCTGTTAAAGACTTGTGCGTCTCGGCGTTGGATTTGGTGACTTCGAGTTCCTTCTGCAAGTTCGATTTCTCTTCAGTAAGCCGGGCAGTGGTCTTTTCGAGACTGCTGTGTTTGCTTTGCAGATCAGCAATCTTGGATTCGAGGGTCTTGACCATCTCTCGAGTTTGGGCAAGACCACTGTCCTTCTTCTGAGAGGCTTTACGAAGCTGGTCGGCTTGACCGAGAGCTTCCTTGTAGTCGCTTGTTGCCTTCGTAAGATCAGCAGTGAGTGTCTCGACCTTCTTGTCAGAGGCCTGCTGCTTCTCACGAAGATCAGCAACAGTCTTGTCAAGTGTATCCCTTTCACTGCTGAGCTTCTTGAGAGCTTCTTCGGACTTGCTGAGCGCGGCCTGAATGTTCTCGAGCTCCGTGCTGGTCTTAGTCGCCTCACTCTTGGCTGCGTCAAGGTCCTTCTGTCGATCCGCGTTGGTCTGCTGTGCTGCTTGATGGTTTGCCTTAGCCTCCTCAAGGTCGATCAAGAGTGCCGCCAGTCGCTTGTCCAAGTCCTCGCCTCGCTTGGTAGCCTTCTCGAGCTCTACTTGACGCTGCTTGGCAGCCTCTTCGGACTGCTGGTGGGATTTGATCTCCGCATCAAGCTTAGTCTGCAAGCTCTGAAGCGTCTGCTGCGTCTTCTCTGTCTCGGTCTTGGATGATGTGAGCTGCGAGGTGAGATCAGCAACCTGCTTCTCCTCGGTCTGGGCCTTGCTAGCCTCCTCAAGCTGCTTATGTACTTGCTGCAACTCCTTTCGCGCCTGGTCGTGCTTGCTCGCGAGCGTGGCGAGCTCTTTGGTTGTCGTCTCCTTGCCGCCCTTGTGGATGTCCAGCTCCTTACGTAGTGCAGCGAGCTCGTCAGCAGTCTGAGCGTTGAGTCCTTCGAGCTCCTTTTGCTTTGCAAGCAAATCTTTCTCCTTGACTTGCAATGATTCGACTTGCTTCTTGGAGGTCTCGAGGTCCATGTTAGTCTTGCTGCTGGAGGTGTCCAGTGCCTTGTTGTCGTTCTGCGCTTTCTTGAGCTGCTCATCAAGCTCTGAAATCCTTTGAAGCGAGTCCGCACCCTCTTTCTCAGCGCTGGAGAGTCGAGACTTGACGTCCTCGAGCTCCTTGTCGATCTTCTGGGCCTCAGCTGTGGCAGTAGTCAGCTTTCGCTTGGTTGTTTGATGCAGCTCCTTCACCTTGCTGAGGCTGTCTTCGCGCTCGGCGAGCTGACTTTCTAGCGTGTTGACCTTGCCTTGCGACTCTTTTAGCGCCTCCTCTTTCTTGCTGAGATCAGCTTCCAGGCTCGAGATCTCGTTCTTCGCCTCAGTGACTTGCTTGTTGAGTGCTTCGGTCTGATTTGCTTTGCTTGGGTCAGCAAGCTTATTTTCGAGGTCCTTGATCGTCATGTCTTTGCTGCTCAACGTCTTGCGAAGCTCTTCAGCCTGCTTCTTCTGGTCTTCGGACTCGCGTTGCAGCTTCGCTTTTTCCTCTTTCAGCTGCTTGAAGCTCTTTGCCTCTGATGCAGCCTTGGTCTCGGCGTCCTTGACCCTGATTTCGGCGGCTTCGAGCTTTGCAGCAGCCTCTTTTGCATCGAAAGCAGCCTTATCGCCTGCTTCCTGTAAAAGTTGAAGTTTGGTCTGGGACTGCTTCGCACGCTCGTCAGCCTCCTTGAGCTCCTTTTCGAGATCCGTTGCCTTCGCTCGCTGCACTTCGACATTGTTCTGAAGCTTTTCTGTCACTGCCTTACTTGACTCTGCTGCAGTGTTGGCGGAAGAGGAGGCTTCATCCTTCTGTCCTTTGAGTTGGTGCTCTAGCGTTGTCGAGCGCTCTGTTGCCTCGCTGAGCTCGGATTGTGTGCTTTCGAGTTGCGTCGTTAGAGAAGCAACCTTGCTCTGAGCCTCTTGCAGCTCCGCACTGTTGTCAGAGATGTTTTTTGGCTGTGCTCTGGCTTCTGGTGGCTCAGCTTTCTCTGAAGTTGCTGATGAGACGGGCTCTTCCTGAGGTGTTGAAGAGCCGTTCTCGCCTGTCGGTATTGCATCACCGGCGTCCTTGTCGGTGGTGCTGGTCGCTGTAGCTCCTGCCTCGGCATCTGCTGCTGCCTTCTTCTGAGCCTGGTGCTTTTTGAGTTTGGCCCTCGCTCGAGCTGCCTTTGCGGCTCGCTCTGCTGCTTCAGCGTCCGCCATGGTTGTGAGAAATTACCTCGTTGCTGATGCTGAGAAGATCGAGAGACCTGACTTCCTTCAGCGTCGAACCGGCCACGAAGATAACTAGGACTAGCACTGCAGCAGTGTTGTTCGGCGAGGATGCCAAATGATGGCGTAAAATGTAATGGGAGTAGGTGACGAGAGGCGAACACGTGAGGATTCAGATGAGGGCCCGGACTGAGGAAGAAGTGTAGGTGGCCAGTGCGCTGCTGGTATGAGGCGTGGCTTGGTCGAATTTTCCGAGGCCAAGATTGAGTTTACACGTAGCGCTTGCAGCGACGCGAAGAATTGCCAGCCAGACCCTTCGTCCTTCTCAACAACTCTACCAATCTCAATCAGGCAGGATGCGGTACATAGTTGCTTTGTTGCACCCGAACGCAATCGTAAAGTATACCTATTACTTTGACGAGTTGATGTTTACAAATACAATGTGATAAAAGTGGTAGGAGAAGGAGAAATGAACGATTGTCGTAGCTCATACAGTCGAAGCGGCAGCCTCCAATGGAGGACTAGCATTGTCGGCAGAGGTTTGCAAGCTTTGCTGCTCGTCCTTCTGAAGAGCTCGAAGCCTTCTCGCCTCAGCGGCCTCAGCCTTTCGTGCAGCTTCAAGCTCTTCCTCCTCAATCCTCTGCTGTTCAGCCACGATGCGTTGCTCGCGATGGTTGTTCACTCGCTGCATCTTCTTGCGGTTTCTGCGTGCGGCTAGGTCCTGCATGCGCTCGTCCAGTCGATCGTAGAGTAGCTGTTCTAAGCCCTGTGCTTGCCTGGCTGCTAGTCGGTGTTGTTGACGCAGACGGTTGAGGAAGGCGTAGATCTCGCTTTGCTTCTGGTCGTTGAGCTTTAGAGGCTCGAGGCCCTCCAGATCGCTCAGCTTCGGCTTAGCGGTCGAGTCTTGCGATGTGACGAGCTCGCGTGCTTTTGAGAAGCGTGCGCTGTACACTCGCCAAGCTGCATCAATCAACTTTACCTCGGCAGCCTTTTTCTGCAGGGCTTTGGACAAGATTGATCGAATCCAGCGAAGGTCGCCTATGTTCTTGCTTTGCGACGCCAACGAGAAAAAGGGCTCGACCATGAGCGCAGTGATGGAGAAGGCCGGTGGTTCGAGAATGGGAAGGAAGTCGGCTTCTAACGCATTACCTGGATTAACAGAGACACTGGAGTATTCTGGCCTGAGTTGGGTTGACATAGCACTCTCGACGGTCTCGGCATCGACAGACTCGGACTGCTCCGTACCTTTCGTGGAGGTGGTGGCAGTTTGCTCGGTGAGCTCAAAGTTGATTCCCAGGTTGCGAGCTGTCAAGCGCAGCAGCTCGTCAGACCGGTCAAGCGCTTCGGACAGAAGGCTCTTGGCGAACAAAGTGTAAGCGCCCCTGCGCCTGCGCTCCATCTCAGCTGCACGAGGCCCGCCATCCTGCATCTCGGCCAAGGCTTTCTCGGTTAATTCTTTTGCTAATGTGTTGATCGAGCTGGTGCCACCTTGCGTCTTGAGGGCCACCGGGGACCGAAGCGGATCGACTTCGCTGCAGCAATGACGGAGCAAGATCTGGAACGTCTTGGTGTTCGGATAAATCCTGTGGGGGATGACGTATGCAAAAATGTCTGGGACGCTTGTCTCTTCGATGCTATTACCTTGCTGAGCTACCTCAGCATCATGGTTGCGCATGCTGTTGAAGATATCTTTCCAGTTGGTGGAGAAGATGCCCTCTCCTGAAGAGGATGTGTCTGCACGAGCCGAATCTAGAGGCAGGGGCTTAGCAAGGGTCTCGTAAGCAGCAACCATCTCGGGCACACTGGCCTGCTCACCGAGTGCCATCAGGATGGTGTTGAGGGTATGCGTGGTGGGAGCAACGCCGCTAGACTGTTTCTCCGCTGATTCAGTAGTGTCGGGAGACGATAGGTCAATGCCGTAAGCCTGTTGCATGAGCAGGTGAAGACCGTCGATGTGGCCTGCCAATCGGAGTGTTCGGGCGGCAAAGTCGAGTGTGAACTGGTTAGGCGTCACTGCGTGATCTTTCATGTCTTTGAGAAGGGCCATGGTGCGAAGAGCAGCGAGAATAGCAGCTGCTCGTGCTGAAGGTGCCAAGACTTGACCGAATCTGGCCAAACCTGCGGCGGCAGCTCTCGCCGACTTTTCCAGCTGCTTCTTCCTTGGGGAGTAATCCAACATCTTTGACGCTTCTCCCTTTTGCACTCTCTCGATCTGCTCGGTTGCGTGTCGACTGAGTCCGACCATCAACTCCCTGTATGTGTACTGGTTCGGATGAAGACCTTGTGAGCCAGCCTTTGGCGAGACGTCCGTAATCCCATTCCAGATGGCCGACATGGGGCCGATGTGACCTCCAGGTGCCAGACGCGAGAGGACGTGGTTGTAGTCAGCTAGGCTGGGCAGAGACTCGAAGGCGGAGCTGGTGCTGGGTACGATGGATGAGTGCAGCCTCATGTCACGGAAGATGATTTGGACTCTGCGCATGTACTCGCGGACAGGATGTTGGGCGTCGAAGATCTTGCCAGAGTGCTTGGAGCTGTGAGGCTCTGCGACGAGAATTTTGGCAGGTGATTTGCCAGAAGCGATTGTCGATTGCTGCTCGTGCATGTTCTGGCGACGCTTGCTCTCAGCTCGAGCTAGCTTCCGTGTCCTTGCTACGGCAGGGTCTATGGCTCGTAAGAGCTGCTGTAGGTGGGCAGGCTCGAGTTGTGTGAGAAGGGAGGTCGAGGCTGCCGACGAGTTACTTGCAATATCGGCATCATAGGTCTCTTTGAGGTCCATGTAGGCTTTCCAGACACGGTTGGCAGCAGGATCACGGGAGGTGCTGTAGATTTCGGAGATGAGCTTCTTCACAAGGGGATGCCTTGCTCGCGAAGCAAAAAGTTTCCTCTGCGCCCAGGGTAGATTGTCGGGAAAGAAGAAAGACCAACTTCCATGCTGCTGATCTTGTGCTGCTGATGAGTATTGCTGCGATGCTGAAGATGTGTCGTGGGCGTACCTCCGCGCGGCAGGTACAGCGGTGCAAGCAACATCTGAGGGGCCCGCAGTCGACATCCGCTGCTGCAGCGCTCTATAGGCGGGCACAAGGTTTCTTCTGCTGTAGCAGCGAAGAGCCATCTTGAGCGATCGAGCTTGTTGTCGGCGAACAATAGAGCGAAACAGATGTGATGAGCGTGTTAGGCGTACATGCGTTGATCGTTGATGGTCCAGCCGAACAGCGCCTGTCCGCCTCTGTAGTTTTGACAGCTTGAAGCTGCTTGGTGGGACGGATCACAGTGCGCGAGCCTGGAGAGATCGATGGCAGGACCAATGGTGCAACAACGTGAAGAGTGGTGATGATGGCACTGGAGTTTCCTCTGCTTCTACTGTAGCTGTGTTGTTGAGTGTCGGTGTTGCAGAGGAATCCAGAACCGGAAAAGAGCGCACATCTTCCAACTGAGAAATTTTAGCCGTGCGAGAACAACTGCTTACAGTGGAGCCTTGTCCGTCTCATTGGCACAGCATTGGCTGCAGCAACTCAATCAGGGTCTGTTCGAAATTCAAGCTTTCCACTTTTTTTGTTTTTTTTTTTTGTTTTTTTTTTTTGTTTTTTTTTTTTCCCTCAGCTTTTTTGTGTTCAATTTTTGAGCAGAGTTTTGAGATTTCGAGTTGGCCCTTCGAACAGAGCTCGATTTTCTCATGAGCGTCATCCTCTGGGAAGAAACGGTGAAGATGCTTTGAACAATCGTTGGCATCTTCGATAATAGTCGGTATACGGATTGAGATACAAATGCCTTAGGACGTCGAGCAAAGACAGCAACCACACTTCTTCAGTTTGTGATTCTCAGACACAATTGCGTGCAGTTTAACAAAGGCAGATCGGCATGGCAGTCTGTCACAGGATCACGTTAAAAGCTTTTGCGTGGTGCGGAAGCTGACTCGCTTCTGAATCGCTCGCATGGCAGCGATGTCTTCTTCGGTTGCTTTCGTCCGAGCAGATCCTCTTTTTCGTCTATTTTGAAGAAACCTAACACCGAAAAACATTTTCATTTTCCTTGGAAGATCCGAAGAGTTAGAAGAACTCAGGCAGGAGAAGAAAAAAAAAAATCAAAAAATCATCAGAAGAAGTCTGCAGAAATTGAAAGCGATCCATTTGTGCGCTCCGCAGCCAATTTTTTTCCCCTCGCTTCCTTGCTGCAAAGGTACACAAGTAGACCAAGAGCTCCTGCTGCTGTCAGAAGACCTCTTCACTCACTCAACCTGTTCATCTGTGTCAACCAGCTGCTCAACCATCCCTCCTGCTCCTCGTCCTAAACTTCATCTCCTCCCGACCTTGCATTCCCCACACACCGTACTCTTCCTCCCTGCCGCAGCTCCATCCCAAGCATCAACCTGCCCGTCTTCTGCTACACCCTCTCCTCAGCAGTCCACTCCTCCAGCCGAAACCGCATCGAGTACGACAACGTCTTCGACTTCCGGCTACTACTCCATTCATCTCCGTTGCTTCCTGTTCGCCAATAAGTGATCATCCGAACACTTGCCTGCTTTTTTTCCCATCCCCGGAAACCACTTCTGCGTTCACGTCTTCGGATAACCGACGAAGTCATCAAATCCGTGACCCCTCTCCGTCACCGTCGACCCAAGCAAGATCAGTGCAGTGGAAGCCAGGCTTTGGTGTGCCCTTCCAGCTGTCTCTGCCATTAGCATAGCATCTTTCACGCCATCATGACGGCTACTCTTTTCCAGGCCTCTAAGAACGGCAACGTCGAGCTTGTCAGCTCCCTTCTCGAGGAACCTTCTCTCGACATCGATGCTCGCGACGAGACAGGTCTCACCGCCCTTCACCATGCTGTTCGTGCCAACCACGTTGACGTCGTCTCTCAACTCCTCGCCAAGGGCGCCAACGCCATCGAGGTAGCTGAGGACGCTGCACTTAAGCAGCACCCTGAGCTCGCTTCCGTCATTCACAACGCCTTGCAACACACCCAGTCGGCCGCATTCCAGAGCGCCCCCGTCGTCGACTCTCATGGAGGAAAGCAGTTGCCAGACGGCACCGTCAGCTATGTTCAGCCTCCCGCTTACCAGGGTCACCAGCTCGATGCATCCATGCATCACCAGCACCAGCACCAGCACCAGCACCAGCACCAGCAACAGCAACAGCAACAGCAGCAGGCAATGCATCATCCAATGACACAGCCCATGTACCCATTCCAGTCGCAGCACGCCTACTTCGACCCCTCCCACAACCCTGAACACCGTGCTCACGCCAACAAGGACAGCTCCTCCGGCAGCCTACCTCCTCCCGAAGTTGCAAGGATGATTCCCTGCCGTTTCTTCCCCAATTGCCGATACGCCGACAAGTGCATGTTCGCTCACCCTGTTGCCATGCCAACATCAGCGTCCAACGCAGGTCCCGTCTCGCCCGGTCAAGCTCCCATGTTCTACCAGTCGCCCGCATACGGCTACCCTCCCTACGGTCCACCGCAGCACTTCTACTCGATGGCCCCTCCTATGCCACTCCAGTACAACCACGCTGGTGTTCCCATGCCCCTCCACATGCCCCCTCCTCCCCACATGGCACCAGTGCCACACTCTTCTGAACAGACCGACATCTACGGCAACCACTTTGCCCAGCAACCCCACCATCGGCAGAACCCTGTTCAGGACGGTGAGGCTGAGTCTAGCAAGCAAGAAGCATCTCAGGACCCTGCAGCTGCCGCTTCCGCTCAAGACAACGGCGATAACGAGAAGCCTGCTAACGAGTCGACCAACGCAACCTCCGATGCGGAGAAATCGCCCGCACCAACAAGCTCGATGACCACCACCACCTCCTTCAGCGCTTTCATGGCTCATCACGCCACACCCTTCCAGCCTGGACCCGGTGTCCCGAACAGCGTTTCCGTGGGTGCCGATGGAAGCATTCTGAACGGTTCGCAAAACCTCTCTCGCGGGCCCAAGGGTGCTCGTAGAGGCGGGGCCTCCATGGGTGGCAGCTTCGGCTCGCGTGCCGACTTCAGCAAGCGCTCCACTGAGCGACCTGCTTGCCACTTCTTCGCCCGATCTGCTTGCAAGCACGGCGAGGATTGCCGCTTCCCTCACATCCTCCCCGACGGCACGGACGCACGAGGACCCACCGCTGGCCGATCGAACCACTCGATCGAAGCTTCGCGCACCATCAACCGCGCTCTTGCTGCCAAGAATGCCAAAGGCTCGACCAACACTTCTCAGAGCAACGGCAACAACGCCGCTCAGTCGTCACAAGTGGCCAGCAGCAACGGCGTCAACGGTGACAGCACCAACCCTACATCTGTGTCAACCAACGTGACTGTCTCGACTTCTCCTGCCTCAGCCGAGACAACCATCACTCCCGCCATGAAGGCTGAGGCTGCTGCCAAGCCTTCGACAGATCAGGCTGTTCCTAGCGACGAGAAGTCGGCTGCTAGCGCAAGCACCTCTACGAACAATGCTGCTGCTCCCGCTGGGTCGACTAAGAAGGATCAGGTTAATGGCAACAAGTCAAACGCCGCGCCTGTTTCCGCTTCGGCACTCAAGCCTGTCGCAACCAATGCTGCTACTGCGAGCAAGCCCGACGCCAAGGTCGAGACCTTGAGCAATGCCATGCGTGCCCCCGCTGCTGGCAAGACTGAAGAGGCCAAGTCTACCTCTGCCCCTCCCGTCAGCGCCAACGACGACCGCATCCCTGCTTCGATCCCATCCAAACCCATGGTCAACGGCAACGGCGGCAACGCTGCCAGCAAGCCCAACGGCATCAAGCCTCAGCCTAACGGTGTTCACACTAGCAAGGCTCACCAGCACCAGCACCAGAATCAGAATCAGAATCAGAATCAGAATCAGAACCAGAGCCAGAACCAGAATGGCGCCCGTGCACGCACCAATCAGGGCCCTAACGGTCGCGCAAACGGACAGGTTGGTCAAAATGGTGCCCATCAGAAGAAGGCGGCTCCTCAGCGTTTGCCTAGCGCCGACGACTTCCCTGCACTGGGCAACAAGAATGGTGCAGCTGCCGCATCTTCGAAGCCTGCTTCGAACGCTAACGGTGTCGCCAAAGCCAACTTCTCGGCCATTCTGTCTGCACCAGCTCCTGTCAAGAAGCAGCCTGAGCCAACCAAGGAGATTGAGGCTCCTGCCGCAGCTGACCAGGAGGCTACCGCTGCTGAGACCAAGCAATCGAGCACATCCAGCAACGAGACCGAGTCCAAGTCGAACGCCGCTGAGCAGTCGCCTGCAGCTGTCAATGGCACTGCTGCTCCCATGCTTGACTTTGCCGCTGTGGTCCAGTCGAACCCCGTCGCTGCTCAATGATTGCGTTGCGCGGCTCTAACTAAAGTTGGCGCTTTGCACAACACAATTGGAACTGCTTCGAATTGATCACGCAGACGAGACTCTCCTTGGCACGTCGATATTACGTCGATATCGTGTTCATCACCAAAAGATCGTTGCCTTGGCTTCGTCGCCAGAGCTCAAGGGTCACCGTCTCTCTCGCTATTCTCCCCCTTTCCATTTCCCTTTCTTGGCTGCCTGTAGATCTTTCATCACATTCGCCTTAGCATTTGGTCTCAAACTTTTCCCCTCCCATTCATTCTTTCGCCATTCTCATCTCCTCCAGCACCGAAGCGCATGCCCTCATGATCGCCGTTGGTGCGTTTCCTTTGGTTTCGTTCTCCCATCTTTCTCGCTTCCCGGTTATTATTCTTCAAACATATCTTTCCAGATTCGTAACATGATCCGATCCCTGTACACACATCTACACTCGCCCTTCCGCTCAGATCGCGCAATATCCACCTATTTCGAAACCTGACATCACCTGCAAGACTGCTTCTGAGACGTTCGAGAGCTGACGAGGAATACCCAGCGGTGTTGCTTGACCCGATGTAAGCGTTTCGAATGCGAGAAAAGTAATTACCGGTGAAATGCAGTTAGGAAGCTTCTGGCTTCGACGCTCAAACACCCTCTTCTGTGTTGAGCGGACCTTTCCACTCCGCGCTTAAGCATGACTGCAGCCCAAGCCAACTTATGTCAATTTCCAGGAATCAAGAAAATGCAGAAGAAAACGCTCCGACATGATGATGCATGCTGACATAAACGCGATCGGCGATCAGATGGGACAGATCAGTCTGGAGATCGGGTGCAACATAGTCCCACTCGTTGCCATGCTATATCATGAAGGAGGATACTCCCACGTTCGGCACACATCTTACAATTGTATATATATCAAACTCAGGACACCAGGTCCTCACCACGTTAGTCAGTCAATCGAGTATATTTGTTTCTGTCTATAACAGCAGTGACATCGTACTTAGACTCTTCCCGATCGCCAGTATCGGGACCGAAACGACTTCAGTTTCTAATAGAAAATAGACGTTGGAAAAAAAAGAAAAAAAAAAAAAAGGGGGAAAAAAAGAAGAAAAAAAAGACACGTTCGATAGGGATACTAGTCTCGCTCACAAAATTGAATGACCGCCAGAGAAGGACTCGACTCAACTCAGCTTGACCGAAGCTGACATAATTCCCCTTGTCGGCTCCTCGGAGAGGCCTCTGACCTTGCGAAAAAGCATGAACCTGACGCTACACAACGTCACATCAGAGCCGAAGCTTGACAAAGACCATTTGACTTAAAGCTCTCATTCACAGCAAACTATTCAGAGAGATTGCGAGTTGCATGGCTTGCAAAGAAAGGGTCACAGAGATACAGGCACTGATATCCCTCTTGAGCGGAGAGAAGAAGCGGTGCAAATCAGTCATACAGGCAATAGAGAACAGGTCTTGTCAGCCTTGGCTGTGAGCGAAGTCGCTTTGCTTGCCATGCTTGCCTTGCTTGCCTGCCTTGCTTGCTTGCCTTGCTTGTTTGCCTTGCTTGTTTGCTTTTGTACGTCAAGTCGGATGCATGTGTATCCTATTTTGGCGAGGAGCCACGAGCAGCAGCAGCAAATTCCACCGAAATGCCACTCCGTCATCATATTTCCCTTTCCGCATTACACAACTTCTCCGCACCTTCCTCCTCATCAGCACATCCCCCCTCCTCTTCGTTCCCTACCCTCTTTCCTTCAACTCATCCTCGGCTCGTATCCTCTAAGAGACAATATCCCACCTTACAATCGCCTCACAAACGACATCTTACTGCCGAGCAGCATTACCCAAACTCAACCTCGAAGACCGCAACCCTTCATTTGTGTGCATACAGCCAACACACGGACGGAAAGCCACACTACTGCCCACTTCATCTCGACATCGTTCGTCTAGAAACCTTGTTCTGCACCGGCACATTGCACCTCTTGGCGTGACCGTGAAGGCGTGCCGCATCGCGGCTTCATACCCATCATGTCTTCTTCGGAGGGCGCATCTTCACAGGAGCGACACACAGGCCTCGCTTCGCCTCTTAACCTCGATGGTTCAAACAGCGCCACAACCAGCAGCGAACCACAGGCGTCAACCGCAGCACCATCTTCTTCAGCAACGATAAAGGACGATGTCAGTACAAATCTCAAACCTGCGGAGTCACACAGTCGGCCTGGCAGCATCATGGCGCCTTCCGTTCAGTTTGACGAACAAAGTTTGCAGGCGACACCCTCCGCTCAGGGACGCGGCGACAACGCTTCCCTTCCTGCTTCACCAGCTGCGGATACAACCATGTTTGTGACTGGCTCGCCGGCCGCAGGATCCAAGATGTCCCTACCACCCCGTCGAGATGCCAGCACATCACAACTCAGGGCTGCGGGCCCACGCCATTTGCGCGAGAGCCATAGCCATCAGAGACTCTCCAGTCGTGCCTCAGCGGGCGGCAGCTCAGTCAACTTGCCTGGGGGGAACGGCAGCCGCACTGGAACGGGGACAAGGAGAAGCAGAGCCAACCCCACCATCGTCACTGTTCCCGTTTGGGCGCGCGACGAGTCTCCCAGTCCACCCAACTCGCCCTATGCTAGCCCACAAGCGCACAGTCAACCAAAATCTCTGCATGACATGGAGTCACTCTCGCTGCCAGCGGCCGAGATGCGAAACGAGGATAGAAGCGAGCGCCAACGCGTGCCCTCTTCGGAGCGGAGGTCAGATGCGCCAGACGCAAGCCAAATCATGGGTAAAGCTGGCATCGCATTTGGCCGCGCCGTTTCGCCAGAGGCAGTCATGCAGGCAGAAGCTCAAGAAGCGCAAAGCTCATTCCCCGATAGATGGTGGACCTTCACACTACCGCACAAGTATCGTTCGCGGCTACACGAGCATCATCTTCGCATGGCCTTTCATCATGAGCGAATGCGTTCTGAAACAATAGAGAAGGAGAAGCAGAACGAACAGTCCAAGAGCAAGGCAAATCGCAATACAAAGCCCAGCCAAAAGAAGAGAAAGTCGCAGCAACAACTGCGTTCAAGCTCCGACTCTTCACATTCCGACAGTACCAGCAGCAGTGGGGACAGAGACAGCAGCGACATTGAGATGCAAGAGCGCAGAGGCAGAGACGACCGTCCAGAGCATCATGGTTATGGACTTGGCACGGGAACGTGGAATGGCATGGCTGCTGGGTTGGGAGCAAGTGGGCTGCTTAACAAGCAGTTCGGCACACTGCGGTCAGCCAAGGCCACTTCACCAATAGAGCGCCGTGACCAACAGCGTCACGACACTCCTTCGCCAGACGGAACCTCCACGACAAAGGCAGACGACCGTGATCTGGAAAAGCAGCAGAAGAAGGAGCCAGAAGAGCGGGAGTACCCGACAATGTCGTTCAAGGCAAGGATGGAGCATCCCGACGTTTTCACAGTGCATCAACCAGCCACACCAGGCTGGGCATCGCCTTGGAAGCCCGAAGAGCGTGGCCATGGTGGCTTCAACGCCGCAGGATATTTCCCACGCACCGAGTCTGGACGAACTTACAACTCCAAGAGTGGCCGTCCTAACACCTGGTTCGATGCCTGGAAGAATTTCCTCATTCACAACCCCTTTGTGCCGCTGCTCTTCCGTGTCATTAATGTTGCCTTCACAGCAGCTACATTGGCAGTGGCGATCGAGCTCTTTGTCCTGCTCCGTGCGGAAGGAGCCATTGATGCCGTTGGCGCATCGCCGTTGGTCGCCGTCATCTTTGCTCCGCTGACGCTTTTGCATGTCGGGTTCCAAATCTGGCTCGAATACTTTGGTCGACCAATTGGCTTGTGGACCGTGCAGTCCAAGCTCTCTTACACAGTCGTCGAGCTCATCTTCATCTGTCTCTGGTCGTCTGAGCTGTCACTCACGTTCGACAACTACTTCACTTCGACGCTCGTCTGCGTCAATTACGGCAGTCCCTTCGTCGGACCACGACAGCCGCCGGCGGATCGACCGAACCCACTGGACGACCCAAGCAAGAAGCCTTACATCTGCCGACTGCAAGGATCGCTGATCGGTCTTGTTTTCGTCAGCTTGCTCGCCTACCTGATTGTTCTCACGGTTTCCCTCTTCCGAATCTTTGTCAGGGTCACTGGCGGAAGCAGGAGGTGAGTCGATGTGAAGCTGTTGAGCCCAGCGATGGACGGTGGAGTTTCGTCGCCTTGCGTCGCATTTCCCTTGTCTTCATTCTAGATACCATAAGCGTCATGTCCTTGGACACGCTTTCGTACGGCAGCAATCATTATACTTTTACAGCCCTGAACCTTTTTGACTCGCCAAACCCAAAGACCCTGAGATCATCTGCCTGTTGTTCTGTAGTTGCTCGATTGATGGCGAACACGACCGCGCCGTGACTATTCGGACGTGTCACGCCACGCAGTGGAAGGGAGTCTGAAGCATTTCAAGTATCTGGATCGCTTGAAAGGCAAAGACGGAGACATGCAGAGATGCGCAGCGCACCAAGACAAGCGAAAGTGTGTGTCGACTAGCAGATGCCAAAAGACGGAATTGAGTGTGAAGCGAGAAGCCAGGGAAGAGAGAAGAGATCCTTTCCGCGACGGACCACGGACCACGGACCACGCTCAGGTAGACAGGCAGAGACAGACTTGCTGACTGCGGAGTGTAGTCGTCTCTCTACGAGCTCTGCTTTGAGATGAACCCACCAAACATGCGTATAATGACGAGCTGCTGCAGCACAAGATGAACAGGCGACTTGAACATGAAGACAGCCGGGGCGTAGCCGTTCATCTCATTGAGGCTTTTCTGGATTTTCGCCCGCCATCATGAAGGAAGATTCGCTTGCTGCCCACTTTCATAGCCAAGAGATCTGCAGATGCTCGGAAGATGCCGCATCCTTATCCTCCCTTAAGTCTTCCTGTCCGCCGTGTATTGTCGGAGGTGCCGACTGCTTCGAGCGTGATCAGCCCTTCGACACACCGCCCATCGCCACCTGTCAAGAGGCCAATCAACTTGTCTCGTAGTGAGATTATGGCCAACAGAATTGCAGACTCTTACCTCTTTCCCAATCGACATATAAGCTGATGTTCGATCGCAATGCGAATTTTCTATCATCGCCCCACGGACCTAGACCCCTACAACCAGTCCAATCTTGGAAGCACCTTTTCCGCCATGGATCGCAGTGCTCTTCGAGCAGGCGGCCAAGCTACCAGCCATGCCTCTGGCGAAGCTACTGCTGGTCTACCTTGTCGTCCAGAGGGGGCGCCACAGCAACCATACATTCATGCTGTTCTCGGATATGGTCAGAGTGGTCAGCGAGGCCGAAGAGGCCGGGGTCGCGGTAGCTACCGAGCTCGAGGTCAACGCGGCACCTCTATTCGCGGACTGGGCGGCCACAGCACTTACCAAAACCAATCTGCCTCCTACCAGTTGTCTCAATCCGAACAACGCTTCCGGGCTCAGCAAAACCTGCGTGACCGCGGTGGTCGTCCCAACCAATACCAGGAGACATTGGGTCAAAGTTCTTTCACGGGAGGACAGTATGGCAGCAGAAGGTCTCATACTGGCACTAGCGAGATCTACACATCGGACGGTTGTCGTCATCTGGGCCCCTTAGGTGAGCTTCCGACTGCAATTGTTCCCGACGAAGGCCCAATTAACAGCGATGTCAGCAATCTCTGGGATAGACCCACCAATGACATTACAATCGCGGCTGCCCAGCAGGAGGAGCCTCAACAGGCAGAGACGCAGCACGCGAGGCTTCAGGTTCCTCGTGCGGCTTCGGTACCAGCTTCACCCATTGCCCGGCCCTCCCCCGCCGTGACATCGATCTCGCTCCCTACGATCACGAGCCCTGCATCGGCACCCATCGAGGTCCAGGTTCTCCGTCTCACTGAAGTCATCGCGGAGGCTGTCCAGTCTGAGGAGCGTGGATTCCGTTCTGATTCACTGGAGATAGAACATACACGACACCTCCCCACGCCTCCCATCAGCCCGGGGCCTTGGGAAGCGCTTCCTCATTTTGACCATGGACACCAAGCTCAACCCCGACATCCGCCTGGTATGGTATTTGCCGGATTCCCGCCTCCACTCATCCATGGCCATGACCACTATCATCTCCACCAGCGTGATTACTCTCCTTCCCGTTCCCTTTCTCAGTCTGAACCTCATGCTAAGCCTCCTAGAAGCACATTCCATCCGCAGAATCCCTACCAGTTCGCTGTGCCGATGCCGTTCCCCCCTCCCCATCCTCCACCGCCGCCTTACATGACAATCCATGATCCAGCGTTCCATGCTGTGCAGGATCCGCTCCCAATCCCACCACCAGGATGGCGGCCGATCCCATACTTGAGGTATTGGGGTCCGGACATGGTGGCTACCCGACCATTCTACGATGTTCCTATGGTAAGTCCCACACCCACTCGGCTTACGGAAGGAGGGTGAGCTGACACGCTTTGTAGATTTCTCGTCGTTGTCATCTTCATGGATGCATTTGCCACCAGTTCGCTGAGGATCCTTAGCCTTGTTCTCATACTCACTTTGTAACATCGGAAAATCAAAAAGCAACGTCGCTACCTCTTCCATAGCTCTTCTTACGGTGCACAATATGAATGCTAGACTGATGCTGTTTCTACAAATACAGAGTGCAGCCGCGGCTGAGAACAGGTGAGTACAACAACAGGTACGCTAGACATTGAACTCGAACTCCATGGGGTATTCTCCCCGGTTCGATGTGGTGGCTGCTTGCGCTGGAGCCATAGGCTGATCGAAAGCTGTTTTCCCGTAGATGCCGGTTCCTGCAGCGTTGCCTTTCTGATGGACGTTTGGCGCACTCGGCGTATCGTGGGGTATGTAATCACCGGCTGCAATACTAGGGAAACTTCCAAAGGAGTCCGGATGAGCCATCTTCGGCGGTTCGGTCTTGAAGTAAGCATGCTGCAAAGCCTCCCTCGCCCCAATCCTTTGCTTCGGATCATAATGCAGCAGCCTGAAAAGCAAGTCGAGCGTCGCTGGAGTCAATCGTGTCGGACCGAACTCCTTCTCGATCCGAAGCTTGATCCTCTCTTCCTCTTGTGACAATGCTTTCCTCGAAGGTTTTGGCGCCGACGTTGGAGGTATGCCTTCTCTGATGTCTGCTTGGCTCCTCAAATGCGGCGAAAAGAGATGCAAGTCTGGCCATATGATCGTATTCGGAGGTCCCAGCACGGAAGCAATACGACGCAGCTGATCTGCTTCATTCTTGCCCTGGAACAGACCGCCACCGGTCTTGCTAGTAAGTAGTAGCTCGGCAAAGATACAGCCTATGCTCCACATGTCGATCTTCTCGTCATAGAGGGGTGGAGGAAGATCGACGCAGAAGGGCTTACCGAATGGATTTGCCTCACCACGCCAAGCTTTGTCGAGAAGTTTCGCCTGATGTTGATTGTGCCGACGGTCTTCATCTTGGCTAAGTTTGTTCAGCATAAGCAGCTCTGGTGCTCGGTACCATAGTGTTACGACGAGGTCCGTCATACCTACGCTTTCTTCTTCCTGGTCATCTTCTGCGCTTGTTTGTCGCGATCTTTGCGAATCGGATCCTCCGGCGTCCACACTCGACGCGCCGCTTGCGCTTGTTGCTGCTCCCAGAGCCTTTTTTGCTGCAGCAGCTGCTGCTGTTGTCGTTGCTGCTCCTGTCGATGCTGTCTGCGTGGCCGCGGATGTGGCTGTTGTACCTCCATCTGCAACAGCTGCTGCTGCTGCCTCATTTTTCCTCCTCCTGGACTTGGTCACCGGCTTCCAGCCATCGATAGGATCTCCAAACCTCCTTGCCAATCCGAAATCCGCGACCTTCAACCGCCCACGGTTGTCTAACAAAAGGTTACTCGACTTCAAATCTCGATGCAGGATCCAATCCTCGTGCAGCTGCTTCGTCGCGGTAAGCAGTTGATACATCAATGTCTTTACCTCCGAAGGCGCAAAAGCCGTCTTGGCCTTGTGGAAGGACGTCAACAACGACTTCAAATCATGCTCCATAAACTCCATCACTAAGAAGATCTGATCTAACGTTTTGCCTATACAGACTTCATGTAGCCTTATGACGAAAGAGTGAGCCTTGGCGAGGGTGAGTGCTTGAATCTCGCGTAGGGATGTGATGGGAAAGCCACATTCGTCCAGACCGTTGTTTGCCAATTTCAGCTTCTTTACTGCGACTGATGATGAGAGTGATACGGAGGCTGGGGCTGAAGGCCGGCTGGTGGATGGAGGCTGACGGGGTAGAGCGTCCGAAGCTCGCGGTCGAGCGCGGAACACGACGCCATATGTGCCCTCTTGGATGTGATTGAGTCGCTCATAGCTGTAGATCGAGCGCGAAGGTGCGATCGAAGGATGAGCTGACCGGCGGAGTGCTGACCACGTTCGTGGTGTCTGATAAGTCGATGCAGCTGGTTGTGCATCCGATAAAGGGGCTCGTTGTGTAACTCTGACTTCTTCGGCTGATGTTGACATCTCATTTTTGGTGTCTTCGACTCTTTGTCGCTTTGCTTGGGACTCGCCTTCTTCGCACTGCGACCATTGCCTGGCCGCTGACATCTGCGGTGCAGAGGCGACCGTTGAGGCGCCCTGATCGGGCAATCTAGACGGCCCAGCTTGCGCCTCTTCTGACATGCTTTCAAATCGGAGCGTGAGTACGACCCTTCGGGCGACCGTGTAGGTAGGCGTCCTGAAGGAACGCAAGGTAGCCGACGGCCGTCGGTGCTTTTGTGAAAGGTTCGAAGAGCGAAAGTGATGAACCCCATGCAACGGTGTTTCAGCGATGTCGGTGGAGGAAGAAATCCGAAAATGTGTTCGAAGTCGATCTTACATGGTGTTATCTTCGACACGGCAACACACATTAACGCACATGGCTGAGGATGATGGCTGCAAGACTGCCTGCCCACTTCACAACGGCATAGAAGAGTTCATCAATAGATTGAGTGTTATTTTATAGCTTTGTTCAGATCTGTAAAGACTTCTGCGCCTCAACTAGGGCCTTAGCTGCGATCCCGGCCATCCGCCGTCTAGCAGTCGTTTGTGAGGTGCGATGGAGGAGTGATTCTAGCAGTCGCATCAATGCTTGTCTCGTCTCTGGATCCAGAGAGCGAGCATAAGGACTGCACAAGACCTTCACGCTGCCGTCCCGGATCTTCTTAGACGCTTGCCTGGACAGAACAGTCAAGAAAGCCGAGTACCCCAACCAGTGAACATAGTGCGGCTGAACTGTGCAGCTCACCTTCCAAGCGGCCGCTCTCTTTCTCTTTCCCCACCTTCTCCCATCAGCTCTCTTTCTCTTACCGGCCTTCATCTCTGAGCTCAGCACCTGCAGCTTTGCTTTTGCGCTACTGGCCCTCGACCCAATATACCGACTCGTAAACTTAACCAATCTCTGAACCGCCTCAAAAAGATACCCCGCCTCAAAGGTCATCTTGAACCGCCGCAACTCCCCCAGATAAGCTGTGAACTTCAACGCAGCTACTAAGAAGCTCGAGTACATGTTCGCATACGCTCTTCTATCACTGTTGAGCGCAGTATCGGTGAACAAGATGTGGCAGCGAGGTTTGACCGACTGGATCATCTTCTCGATCAATGCTGCGCCTGGTTTGCGGCAGTATTCTACTGTAAGAGTGTCGCGTAGGTCGATGCCTTTATAGCGGGCAAGATCTGTTGATACGCCTAGGAATTTCGTATTGATGGTAAGGCCGCACCACGGGAACTCGTTTCCGTAGATTCGAGGGATCAGCGGATCTGCGGTGGAGGTGTTGGTTTTGGAGGTGGTGTCGAGCAGATCGAAGTTTGCCAACGTCTTTTCTGGGCTGATGAAACATCCGTAATCAGGATGACCTTTTCTCATCACCGCGTAGAACTGTTTCGCTTGCCTCCTGCTTGTAGTGATGAGCAAGAAGTCATCCGTGTATCGCATCAACAAGCTCTTCCTCCCTCTACCTCCTCCTCCATCGCGTAGGCTGCGCAAGAACGGATCCTGCGCCTCCAAATCAGCATAGAAAAAGCTGCATAGCAACGTCGACAGACTCGATCCTTGCGGTATCCCCACTCGCTGCCGATAAAACTCTTTCCCAATCTTGATCAGGTTTTCCGTGATATGCTGACGCAAGAGCTTGAGGATGAGCGAGGTCGACTCGTAGCGATACGAGACACTATCGACAAACACGACATCGTGTAAGGCAACAGCTAGGTGCGAAGCGAGATCAAAGAAGTCGATGTGGTCGCAATCAGGGCGTGCTAGTCGAACGAATTCCCTCTTGGTGCCTGCATCGGTCGGAGCAGCGTTCTTACCAGCGAAAGCAGGCATCACTTTGGCGAACCGATGAATGCGGTATCCTTCAGCATCGCTTTGCTCGCCACTCTTGCTGAGGATCCGTTCGATGATCTCGAGCAGCTTCGCTTGGTCGATCGAGTCGAATGCACACCGAATGTCCACTTTGATGAAGTACAACTTCCTGTTCTTGCTTCCTGCTGAATTTTGCCCTAGACGCTGCTTAAAGTTCTTTAGCTGGGTATAAATTTCGTTCGGACCAAAGACTGAGCTCGATAGCATTCCTCCCCTATCATCGCCGCCTCCCGCATTGTCGTTATGATCGAGACCCGTGAGCATCTGACTCTTCTCGTAAGTCAAGATGTGAAAAACCGACTGTAAAATGTAGTTGATCGACTGACCCAGTATCATGGACTCTCTCCGTTGCTTAGCAAGTGACCTGGTTGCAGTCGGTTTCGATTTTCCTCTCTGCTTTCCCGCTTCACCTTGCGAAGCCTGCTGTTCCATGTGAACCTGTTTCGTACTTCTCCTCCGTAAATTGACGATGGGTCTCACACCCGTTTCCTTAGGCAGCAATCGCACGTGCGAGTAACCTAGCTTGCGGGACGACATCATAGATAAAGCCTCCGCCCTGGTCAACGGTTCAAAGATCGACTCCTTCAGCTGGCCCATCACCGGCTTTGACAGTACGTGCCAGTCATCCTGTCGAAAGTACAGCACTTTGTTTCGATACGCTGCTGTCTCGGTCACGTAGAATGTCGTTCGCAGTAGGGGAATGACCAAGCCATCGAACAGCCAGTATAGCAGTTCAAAACCAAGCTCCTTGCTCTGTTCCGCTTCTTGCCTTGTCAAACGGCGGTTGCGCTTCACGGCGCTCTCGGGCAAAGTCCAGTCTAGATCAGTAAAGCGGAATGATTGGGCGATCTGATGCAGGTTGAAAGATTCGTAGCGTCGGAGACGCACAAATTCGCCGATGGTGTTCAGCACTAGCTTCTGGTTGTGCAAAGAGCCGAAGAGGTCTCGTGGTAGAAGAGATTTGGTGACGAGTGTGATGAAGTGGACGACTTGACCTGTGGTGGGGATTGCGTAGTTCGTGTATCGCGGTTTGCGGGGAATCGGGGGCGCTAGTTCAAAGGTGACCTTAACGTGTGCTGTTGCTGTGGTCTGCTGAGATTTCGACTGGTTTGCTTGGCTATCGATCCTTTGCACTGTTCTAAAGGGAACATCGTGCTGAGGAAGAGGATCAAGAACCTCCACCTCAGCCAAGTCCTTCACAATCTGCTGCCGCTCCTCCGCAGTCAGTCTTCCCTTAGGCACCCTCGACGGGCAGCACCTATCCAGCAACGCCCTGTAGTTCAACTTGTCATGTCGTGCCAAGATCTTCCCCAGCACCGGCAACACATTCTTTAGCACTTTCGGTGTACGCTTCGCACCCAAAGCCTTGATTTCGACCTCTCGTACAGTGTAGTCTCTGAACGGCTGGGTGGTTGTATCAAAGTCTCTTGCACCAGTGAAGACATTATGCAGGCCAAATTGACGTGGGAAAACGTACTTCGCTAAATGTCTGGTCCTTCTTTCGCGAAAGATGGATTCGTGAGGTCTGCTGGGCTTGCTGTCGAGAGAAGGCGTCCGTGCTGGCGGGCGAGTTCGGTAAGTGGTATTGGAGGAAGCCGTGGAGCTAGGCAGCACTTTGTCAAGCTCCTTTGGGCAGGCGGAGCGAGGAAGAACGTGGACGCTGGGCAACCCAACTTCCACACGTCCGGCTTTGTTTCGTGAACAGCGGGCGTAGAACATCCGGCTGCGGACGATGACTATCTCTGATGGTTTTCTTTCCGCCGTTGCGCCTGAGCTTGCTGAAGCTGTTCTACTGAGTGGGCGGAGTGTATTGAGATCAGGTGCTGAAAGAGCTGAGCGTGTGGTAATGCGGGAATCGACTCTTTCGAACGTTCGCGTTCGTTTGCCTAGCTTAGTCGGCTGGGGAGCGCCTTGATGTGTGTTGGGCTGAACTTCGAGTGATTCTCCATTGTGCTTACGTTTGGGACCGTTGAAAGACACAGCAGCAGCATCACTGTCCTTGGCGACGGCAGCACCGGTGTCCGAAGCACTTGCAGTTCCTGTTACTAGACTCCTTCCCCACGGTCGTTCAGAGAGCGCCTGGCCAGTAAGCTGAACAAAGCAGCTCCCATCGGATCCATCCTTCACGAGCGGAACAAAGATACTCGTATGCACCAATAGCCATACAAACCTCTCCGCTTCAACCTTCTCAAACAGATAGTGCCACTCTTTGCCGAGCACAAGAGACGTCACCATCGAGTTCGGGTACAGGTTGATCAGCCCTGGTCTTCCCGTCGACGTGACTCGAAACGACTCTAGCCGGTCATTTGGCCTCCGGTAGCCCTTCAATAGCACATTACATGACGGATCCTGCTTGCCTCTCACAGAGACATCGCGCCGTGCGGAAGCATTAGCGAGGATCTGCAACTGCGCTTCTTGCACTGCTTCATGGATCGGAGTGTGCGAGCTGGTTTGACTGCGGATACCGCCTGGGGTAGGCATTTGTGTGGGCGCATCTGTGCAAACCAATGTGCTGATGAGACGACGCCATTGCTCATCGGACAAAGCGCTCGGCTGTCCTGAGCTCGATGCGGATAGCTCGATACCGAAGTGATTGCGGACGAAGGTGGGGAGCGGGTTGACGTGCGGAAAGTGACGTGGGAGGACTGAGCACTTCACGTCGGATGATGATCTATGGTCGAGCATGATTGCTTGTCGTCGTTGTCGAAGCCCGAATTCAGCGGCTAAGAGCAAGTGTTAAAGAAGAAGTTATGTATGGTGCGGTGGTCTTGGCGTAGAAGACCCTGAACGGAAGTTCTTCTAGCGCTGTGCCCAGAGACCAACAGTTCGCGGCTTGACATTCGCGTTGCACTTTACGGGACGCGTGAAGGCTGATCAAGCCGGTCCACACTTCCAGGCTCAACTTTGGTAGCAGCAAAATGCTGGAACTTGGCTCAGCACCACCAAACTCGCCGGTACATTCAGGCTCAGGTTCAGAAACCAGCTGGCTATAATGCTGCTCAAGTTCATTTCAAGATTGATTCTATTCGAGGGTATCGAGTTCTGTGAAAGATTACAGTCATCGAACGAGAGCCTCCCTCAAACCAACAATGTTCTCTACCTTCTCCAATCTGAGTCCGAAGTCTTGACCAGCGTGTTCGGAAGCCTTCAACTTGTTCAGCAGTCCCGATACGGGCCCTGCATCTCCACTTGCACCATGTACATCCACCGCCTCATCCCCAGTCGTCTTCGCTCCTCCGGCACGAGAGAGCAGCGGTCCTAGTGTCAGCTTAGACTCAGCCTTCTCCTTCACATGATGAATCTGCTGCCAAAGCTGCGACATTTCAAGTGGACTTTCCGAGCTCTTAAGGTAGATGATGTAGAAAGCATCGAATCCACCTGCACCAGGAATGCTTCCTCCAACCACACCAGGCACTTCATCACTGATCTTCTTGATCAAGCTACCGATCTCAGGAGGCTCGATTGGCACACCGGCACGCTGACCGAGTTCTCGCATACCTGCACGGATCGAGCGCAGGCTGTTGCGCATGTCGATGAGAGCTTGGAGCACTGTGCGCGGGGTGACTCGGAGATCGATTACCGAGGTCTCGTCTTCTTCTTCTTGGGGTAGGCACTTGAGCTCCGCATCCCAAGCGGTGGAGAGCTTGGTGGCGGCGGAGTCGATGAGCTTTTCATAAGTGGCAGCATCTGAAGCATGCAACAGACGCAGTCGGAGTAGGTTGTCGGCCAGACCTTGGTTCGAGGACGCAATGACGTTGTACAGCTGCTTGGCCCATTCTGGCTTCTCTTTCCTCCATGCTAACACTTTGGAGACTAAGCTTGGTGTGTTAGACCCGGCATCAACGTCGACAAGGAGAAGATCAAGTGCAGGAGGTAGCTGTAGCGGCGCAGGCTTGGGTACATTGTGCTCGCTGTCGGACGCAACCAGACCTTCCGTAGCTGTGGACTGAACCTCTTCTGCGCTGCTTGCTAAAAGAGACGAAGGCTTCCACAGCGGGTTGTACGGATCTAGAACAGGTAAGAGCTCCGTTCTCGCTGCTAGCCTAGCACCACGCTGCTCCTCGTCCTCCTCCCCTTCCCTTAGCACCTTCTCGCCTTCGTCTAGGCAGGATTGCAACACTTTGGGCTCAAAGCGTCGGTATAGCTGGCTTCCCCAGATAGCAGCACTGACGTCGAATCCTGATCCGACTTTGCCCTGTGCTGCACAGTGTGCAAGTTGCGCGAGGTTGTGAATCAGAGCCAAGTCTTCCGTTTCAACCGAACTGGGTCGGTCGGGTAACACAGCTTGCAAGTGAAGCAAGAAGCACGCAACCAGCGATGTGGTCATAGCCGCACTCGATCCTAGGCCAGTCTTGTGCACATTAGCAATGCGGCACTTCTGTGGTGAGAAGGGTGGCAGCTGCTTGAGCTGTTCGAGTGTGGGTGCTGTGCCTTCGGAAAGGTTGAGAGTCTCTCGCTGTGAGTAAAAGTCGTTGTCTGCTGCGACGGTGATTTCGATGCCTTGCGGCCCTGTTCGGCGGAAGAGCGATTCGAGCTCATCTGAGCCCTTGAGTTCGGCTGCTAGTCGAAGGGTATATGCTAGAGCGAGTGAGACGAAGGGGTTGCGTCCAGCTTTAGCTTGCGATTCAGCTGTTTGCTCGAGGATCCAGTGTTGGTCTGCTTGAGCCTCTCTCTTGCTGTCCTGAGAAGGTGGTGCTGACACGGCAGAAGCACGATATACCCAGACAGCGTCGATGAACTGTGGAGACCGTAGCGTGATCATGCATGTCGCAGGTGTACTTTCCTGCGAAGAAGCCGAGAACGTGTAAGACTGTGCATGGCAGTAGAAACGAGACGAGGTTGAAATAACGAGACCAGGGTATGCAGGGTCGAGGACGAGATAGCCGCCAGCCACAAGCACTTTGCCCGGCGCTGAGACCGTCGTTTCACGGAGCTTATGGGATGCCATCGCGTCAACGCCTGTGATGAAACAGGTTGACAGAAAAGGAGTCTTGTCTGAACTGTTTAGCAGGGTAGGTTCAGAAGATGGTTTGGTTTGTGCAAGAAGAATGTGCATCTTGAAAGTAACACTTTGCGTCACGTGGCCACTGATGTTTGTTGTTAGAGGAGATGTTCTAACAATTCAAAACATTCGTAAAAATGGTGCCCTTCACGAAAGCTCGAGAATGACAAAGGTACCGATCCAACATGATGATGAGAGGTGACGTAAGCCAATGGTGAAGAGATCTGGACAGGTCGATCTGAACAGAGATTCGGCAGGGCCGATCTGACAAGGGATCGGGTGCAACACAGTCCCGCTTGTTGTCATGGTAGGTCATTAAGTAGGGGTTACTCCCACCTTTGGGAAGTGCCACACTAATGTATATACAGTATGCATGTAAACTGTCCCAAGATTTTACATGTCACCATACATCACTCTAATGCTCAATAGCTATAAGTTGTATTGCCACACTGTCTGATATTGTCTGAAAGCACTGCTTCTTCTCTCCAAGACTGTGGAATTGATATTGACATTGACTAAAAAAATTGTGCTATGAAGAAAAGCCAATTTTTTTTTATTGTGGGACAGTTTATAGAGCATGCTCCCAAATAGTGACACCACTCCATTCCTGACCTTGTGGGCTTTTGACTACAATGAAACTTGTAATGTAACTTGGTGGGCACCTTCATACACATCAAAAGTAGTGATGTGGAAAGTTTCAGCTCAATCAGATGACTGTGAGCAATCTGGCAGCACTTCCAGTCTGACACCATCATATCTATACCATCATGACAAAAACCACTCCCGAGAAGCACTGATCAGCACTCTTTCGCCTCCAAAATGGAGAATCTACCCATTCAGTTGCTGAGAAACTCAGTCTGAGCAAGTCTATGGTGTCTTGCATCAGCAAAAGTGCCTCTGCCAATGCTCCAAAGTCAAAGGGGGGCCAGCTGAGAAAACTCCAGCCTCATCATGTTTGCTTCCTGGACCACTATTTTGAGCTCAATTCAATGTCCACAGTCAGGAAAGCATGTCATGCACTGCAGGAGACATTTCACATCAAAGCATGCCCAACAACAGTAAGAAAAGCACTTCATTACTGTTGTTACAAAGCATGAAGGTTAGTGAATAAACTGAAGCTACTCAAGAGGCATTACAAAGCACATCTCAAATTTGCAAATGAGCACAAGGACATGACTGTTGAGGATTGGAAGAAGGTGGTATGGTCTGATGAGATGAAGATCAACTTCTTTGGACCAGATGGGAAGCAGTTCTGTTGGATTAAGAATGCTGGCTTCAACAGCAAGCTTGTCAGGCCAACAGTCAAGTTCAGCAGTGGCTCCATCATGATCTGGGGCTGTATGACATGGGAAGGGGTTGGAGGTATATGCTTGGTGCTGGGATCAATGAATTCAGACCAATACATTGATATCCTGAATGGCAAGCTTTTGAAAACAATCTCAGATTTGCAGCTTCAGCATGCATACACCAACATCATGTTTCAGCAAGACAATGACCTGAAACACATGTCGAAGAAGACAAAAACATGGTTGGAAGGCAATAGCATTAAGGTTATGCAATGGCTGGGGCAGTTGCCAGACTTGAACCCAATTGAACACCTCTGGCACCATCTCAAATTGTGACTTTCACAGTATAGTACAATTGCAAAGTCCAGGGATGAACTGCTCAAGAGATGCAAAGCTGAATGGACAGCAATCACTCCAGAGACATGTAGGATACTAATAGAGAGCATGCCAGACTGCATCAAGGTGGTTCTGAAGGCCAAAGGAGGGAATACAAAGTACTAAGGTGTTCTTGAGGAGTGCTCCATAAGCTGTCCCACAATAAAAAAAAATTCAGCTCTTCTTCATAGCACAATTTTTTTTTAGTCAATGTCAATATCAATTCCACAGTCTTGGAGAGAAGAAGCAGTGCTTTCAGACAATATCAGACAGTGTGGCAATACAACTTAAAGCTATTGAGCATTAGAGTGATGTATGGTGACATGTAAAATCTTGGGACAGTTTACATGCATACTGTATATCAAGCAGAGAGCACTAGGCTTTCACCACATTCCTTTAGTCAACCGAGTATACATGTTTCTGCCCTAAAGAAGTAGTGACATCGTGCTCAGACTCTCCCCGATCACCAGTTATCAGGACCAAAACTTCTTTACTTATATCAGAGAAAGCTCGCCTGCTCCTTGATGGTAGCTTGCACTCAGACGCTTTACAACAAGTGTTGCCCTATTTCTGACAACACTGGGTTGGGAAGGCCGAGAGACGATCCTCCAGTCGGCCGTGACGAGGTTGTCTGAGGGTCATCTGATGGATGTCGCGGTGCTCATCACGTACCTAGCTTGAAACTTTTCCGGCCTCGTCAAGGCAAGGTGAGCGCCGTAAGTGAATAGTTCGTGGCGATTAAGAGATGTTTGTAACGGCATTGCACACATGTGATGATGACCGTTCGAGAGGGTGGACTCGTTGAATTCCGGGTGATCCCATCAGCGACGTCGAAGCGAGTGTGTCTGAGTTTCAACTCTAAGACCATCCAGAGTATCAGAGGTTGGTGTCCCTCGAAATAGTTAGACCGAGAACAACGATCGTCTCGCTGCAGTCTTACCGCCTGGACGAAGTGAGGACATTGTTGTCAGGGATCTCGTGGGAACAAAGCTCTGCTTGAAGGGCCTGTGCATTTCTTCATTATTACGGATTGGAGAAGAGGGGCGATCTTAGTTGATAGGGTGAGTGTGTTGCAAACCAAGTTGGCCGCTGTATGACGATCCAATTTGGCCTCCCACAAACCATGACGCGTCAAGCAGGATGAGGTCTAGGGTTTTCGACTCCGACACGAAGACTCTGTGCCTGGAACATTGTAGTTGGTTCCTATGATCGATAAAGTCCCCATCAACGTAAGATGGTCTCGTTGGACTTTGATGTTGAACTTGCTGTTCCAGGACGTATTCCGTCGGACCAGACAATAAGGATGCCTCCAACCAAGCTTCCCATGACGTCTTGTTGTCGTTCAAAGAAGATTCCGACCAACATGGTGGAGGCACCCAGCTTCCGAGCCGCCCACACCTCATACGACTAAGCAAAGCTCGATACTGTACTGTACAAGTACGCCATGATGAACGCCCCCATCACGTCGCGTGCAATGCAAACAAGCCAAGCTGATTCGTTGTTTACGTCGAGCCTGGATTAAGAACGATTGGATCAGGAGGACCCAAGCTGATCAGTTGATGACCTCGCGTCCGGAGACAAATTTAAGGTGAGACGCGAACAGGCTCGCATGACGTAGCTTGGGAACAAAGGAAGAAAAGAAGCGTTTTGCCCCGCAAGCAGACTTGGCTTCCATCCATCCCTTAACCATAACGATATTTGTCGATACAGACACACTAGCGAATCCAAAGGCAAGACTATATTCAGAGCGCATGTTACCTTCATTGTTTGACACTTTCGCAAACAAGCAAAAAGCTGCAGCAAGCTTGAGACGTATCCAGGATCGACTTGGACTAAAGTAAACTTCATCACTTTGACTTCAGCGCGGCTGGTTGGTGATTGATTTTGAGCCCAAAGCTGTCGCAGGGCGAGGCTTGACGACACTGAAGGCCGCCCAGACATGATCGTTGATATACGCAATGACGTGTCATCGTATGGTTCTGTCCAGATCGACTCGAGGGGGTATCAAACTTTTTGCGTTTTTAAAAACGCGGGTTTTTCGAAGGACGCGTTTCTGGGGGAAATTTGAACGCCCCCGTAAGGAAACGCAGGTTTCCAAAAACGCGATGAAGTCATACGGCCGATAGTAGACGTAACCTAACAGTAAGCATATGAAACATGACGTGGTATCTATCTTCTCCACCTCGGGTATCGGAAAGCCGGTATGACGATGCCTATCGCGATGACGCAAGCCGATACACCGCACAGGCCTTGACAACATACTACGGATCCGGGTGAGCGAAGGCGGCGAAGGTGTGAGATCGAACTAGAGATAACATACTTTCACTGTTGTGGAGTGAACAAAAACGCGGTTTTTTTTTACACTTGGGGCAGCTTATATAAGCTTTTGCGTTTTTTTGATAAACGCGCTCTTGAAAAATTCCGGGTTTTTAGAAACGCAAAAAGTTTGATACCCCCTTCGATCCGAGCTTGTCGAGGCATCGTCGATGTGGGGTCGTCCTTGCTTCCCCCAGCAAGAGCCGAGTTTGCGGGGCTGGGTCTGAGACAAGAGCAGTAGAAGACATTCGTTTGAACTGCTTAATTCCTGTGTCGGCCACAAAACGAAGTCTCGGTTAGGGCTACGGCAGACGTCGATCGTCGAGGGCTGTCCCCGCAGCCCGCGCTCCGGCGATCGCGGGTCACGGCATGGGAAGCAAAAACAAGACTTGGTGACGTTTACTGCCAGTGTGGCTGGTGAAGGCAACCATGATCCGCGAGATCGGAGTGGTTAACCGATCCAATCAAAAAGATCGGCTAGCACATAGGAGCGCGAGAGAGGGGAGAAAGTGGGAAATGCGAGTCCAGACCTGACATGGGGCACCACACAAAAGTCTCAAAAAAAAACAGACTAACCGTCCAGCAAGCGAGAGAAAGTAGCTTCGATTTTTAGCGGCCATTGTAGCCAACTTTCTTGCGCCTTTCGGTGCTGTATGGTCGGGAGCCGCCGAAGCCTTGTCGAGCCGAGGCGCTGCTGTTCTGCCGCACGTCTGCGAATTTTCACACGGTTGCCCATTGCAAATCCACATCTTTCCATCTTTGTATGGCCGCTCTGTCCGCTCTTCCGCTCTGTACAACCTTTCGAGGCAACCGTGATCCATGCCTTGGTCGAGCTAGAATTTTGTCGAGCTTTGGAAGCTTGGCAATGAGCATGAACGGAAAGGGGGAAAAAAAAAAAAAAAAAAAAAAAAAAAAAAAAAAAAAAAAACAAAAAAAAAAAAAAAAAAACAAAAAAAAACAAAAACAAAAACAAAAAGAAAAAAGAAAAAAAAAAAAGTCTTAGTTTCTCGCTTGCATAGCAACTGAGGACTACAGAGCCTTATTGTGATGCCGAGAAGGTCAATATGACTGAGTCAAACACAAGTCACCTCTGTTCGTAGCCTGTCTCGTCCTTCCTTGGATACCAGAAGGGAGCCGCCATGGTGTTCGATGTAGCATCTTCCTTGAAAAACGCCAGCTCAAGCCGTTAGGATCGGATATGTGGTTCGGCAAGAGAAGCGCTAACGGCAGATCCAAACAAACAATTCCATCAGCGCGTCCAAGACACCTTTGACGCTTCGTCACTCGATTCTGATGCATTTGGTAACCTACTAGGTGAAGATACGGACGACAAGCTGCACCAGTTGTGCAACACGCCAAAGCTTGCTACTTTGCATAAAGGTTTTGGGATCGAGCGTAGCAATATCATAACAGGCGGTGGTCGCTTACAGTAGGACTGAACGGCAGACAGCAAGTTAGTGGCGCAAAGGGAGCCGCAGAATTGGATTCATGCAGACCCAAATTGGTGGTAACCTCCAAACAGACCGGCCTGGAGCCCTTTCTGTGCGTTTGCAGGAAGCGCTTCGGCTAGCTCCTCAAGGCGACCAAAGTACGGATCTTGATCTTGCCCGCATCGGATGTTTTGCCCGCACAGCCATGGTCAGAAAGCGCTTTGCTAGAACACAAATCAAAACCTCGTAGCTTGGTGACACTACCTTGGAGAAGAGCTCACAACCTGCACTGTGAATGGAAATTGGCAACGGTCCGGTAAGGCATGAAGCGAGCCGAAGAGAAGGTGTTACAAGAGCCACGCTGGATTCGTCACCAGTGAGTTTAGCTTCGAATGACGACGTACTCCGTACACCAGCTCCGACCCAAGACAGCTGGACGGAAAAAAGAAAAGAAAAGAAAAAAAAAAAAGGCACACTTGAGCAGTTGCTCCTGGGTTTGCTCTGTGTATTGGTCGCACTTTGAATTTCAATAGTTACTGTATGCATCCCTTAATCCAGACGATGGCACAAAAAGGTTCCGTGTTCCTCTTATTTTTATTTTTATTTTTTTTAATTTTAATTTTTTTAATTTTGCTTTCTGAGCACATTATGTGTCTGCTGCAGCTGCTCTCCTGTTTCCATGTCAAACAAGCCTGCCTTTCTTCCTTCTCACCACCCTCCAGTCCGTCACCTGTTTCGCTTTGAACGGCGTCCATCACACTGCGGCTTCTTACTCCCTATCCGTCACCTCTTCACCTTATCTAGTCAGCGCCATTCGTTCCTCTTCCAACGACCTCAACTCTGCACACAACGAATCGCGCCATCCTCGCTAACGTCTCTCAGTTCAGCCCGACCAACTATCCGTCCTGCTTCATCACCTCAACCTTTTAAGCCGCTTCGTACCGTTTCAGCACCCTCTTTCGCGGTCAGACCGTCTCACGCGACCTGAATAGGTGGTCCTTGCACTACAGCTTCCCGTGTCGCGACCAGACTGTCCTCGCACTTGACACCTGTTTCGAGGTTATAGCGACCCCGTAAAAGTTCGGTACAGCTGCCTCATTCGCCCAGCAACTGCAAACGCAGCGCAGCGCAACCGTCAAGCTAAGGCTAGTAACTGCGTCTCCTGTCCTCCTAGCTGAAGCGCTTGTGTGCCCCTTCCTTGCTATCACCTAAGTGCCTTCGACACTTTCAACATTCCGACCCACTCCACGCTCAGGCCGCTTTCCTTCGGCTACCGATTCGCGAGCCTTGTGCTTCATGACCTCAGCATAGGCTAAAGCTACAAAGTGAGGAGAACTAGCCTCAACACTAAATCCAGCATCCAACTTTTCCACAATCCAAAAGGCAAAGCATGAGCGTAGCTGTACAGCTCCCTTTGAACAACGACATTCACACCATGGCCACTCCATCCTGTTCTCACTTGCCGGCTTCGGCAGCATTTGGCTCCTCCTCTGCCAATACCTTTGACAAGAGCTCTGACCTCCCTCCTATGCCAGTCCCATATGAGGGTAAGTACTCACTCCTCGATCAAGTCACTTAGCTTCGACTGAACATGTCACTCACCTCGATTCTTCTTTCTTCGCGCTACACAGACTTCCAATTCTCCCTCGATCTACCTGCTGAGCTTGACCTCAACGATCTTCAGTTCCTCAGCTCTGTCGACCGTAAGGGTGGTCCTTCGAACCCCATGACACCAAGACTCACTTCCCATTTCATGGGTTCCACACCACAGGCCATGCCTTTCGGCCACGACGACATTCATATGTCCAGCAGATCCAACAGTCGAAGAGGAAGCGTGTCCAAAGGCAGCAGACCAGCTTCACCCCGAGTCGGATCCTCCCGTTTCTCCGAATCGGCATTAAGGCCACCGCCGCCTCCCGACTTTGAGCCTTCGGGCCCCAGCTTGTTCGACATGGACACGTCTGCTAACAGCACCATGTCGCCGTTCGGCATCGGCACTCCAGGTGCAGGAGACAAGGGAGCACAAGGAGGACAGCTCTTTGATGCCAAGGAGAAGAATCTTTTGGTCAACTTCTTGCAAGGTTTCGAGTGGGATTTTGACCCAAGCTTGCCAGAAGGGATGCCCAGCTTCTCGGCAGCAGCAGCAGAAAGATCGGCGGCAGAAGCAGAGGCCATGGGCTTCCCGGCCGACTTTGGTTCATCAGCAGCCAATCGAGACCCTATGCTCCACGAGGGTCCAGCAATGTCAGCAGCAGCTCGGCGGATGCAGAACCGCACAAAGGTAGCAGCAGGCCTCCCTTCAACATCCTCCGGCTCTGGATCCGGTTCCGCTACAGCCTCTTCACAGAGCCCTCACGACACTTCATCGTCTGCCACATCGCCCCACGGCTCAGTTCGCAGCCATCAGCACCGACGCTCGCTCAGCAACAACAAATCGCGGTCCTTCCATCATGATGCTGACCTCGTTAACACAGCATTCGGCGGAGGTTTGTCAGAATGGTCGACGGGCGGCGCGTCTCACCAGCAACAGGCAGCGCAGCAAGGCTACGCAAACCACGCAGCACACGATTCCCCAGCCACAGGCAGCAAGCGCAATGCCGGCCACTTTGGCATGGGCGAGGCGGACGAGCAGACCCAGGCTGCTCTTGCTCTCGGCTCGTTGACAGGCATGCACGCCGACATGTTCCGTATGAGTGCAGGTCTCGATATAATCCACGATCGCAATGAACAACAGAACCAGCAACCGCCGCCGCCGCAGCAGCAGCAACACGCGCCAGCACCGCAGTCTGCCCGACTGCCAGCCGCCCCCAAGCAGACCGCCTCAGGCAAGAAGCTCAAAACAGAGCATGAGGATGACGACGCACAAGGCGACGGCAGTGCAGCAAGCAAGCGGGAGCTGCTCACCGAATCCGAAAAGCGCCAGAATCACATTCTTTCCGAGCAGAGGCGGCGCAACTACATCCGCGAAGGCTTCAAGGATCTTGTGGTCCTGCTCGATGATGGACGCAACTTTGGCGCACGCGCCTTGGGTCTGTCCTCCGGCTTTGGCACCGGTGTTGAGGACGAAGGTCTCGATGACCGATCGGATATCGATGATGCCGTGGATGTTCTCGCTGTCGGACGCAAGAAGCCGCCGAAGAAGGCCAAGAAGGTTGGACCTGACGGGGTACGACAGCGCGGCAAGGGTCGTGGTAGGGGCGGTAGTGCTGGTGGAGGCGCTGGTTCCAAGAGTGCAGTTCTATTCCAAGCTGTTGACTTCATTCGATGGCTTGATGGCAAGAGCCGCGAGCTCACAAGACAGTGCGAAGATCTCGAGCAAATGGCAGGCATTCCTGACCCCGAGAGCATTGTTGCTGCCAACCGTCCTGCCAGTGCCAAGACTGCCTAACCTCTAGCCAATCATGTCGAAAAGATGGGACGTTCCTGATCCGAATCGTATCTCTCGCTTTCTTTCTACGTATCTCGTAACATCACTGATTCACCCCTTCCAGTAGCATTTCATATGGACTTGGATATTTGCTAATACTACGCTTGCATTTCTCAGGATTTCTTGATGCCTGCTTGTCTGAATGGTGGACGTATGTGTATGCGACTGGATATCTGAACCATGTCGTGTCATGAAGATGCATCCCTCGGCGAGAGGAAGCGTGTGGAGTATACTCGCCGACTTCCGAGAATTTGGCCAAAATTTTGGTTTGAGAAGAAGCATGCATCAATCCTCCCAAATCCTCCTTCGGCCAGCCAACAACACCAGCCAGATTGCATCATTCGGCGACTGCGACTTCCTATTCTCAATATCTGAGGCGGGTCTCAGGATGGTAGAGACCCACGTGCCAGCTCTGTCAGAAGACCAAGAGTCCCACATCCGGTCGCTGCTAGAGTATCCAACTTCCACCCCGCACCTCAACCCTTTCAACCTGGAGATTCGAAGCCCTCCCGGTGGCGGTGCTGGTCGAGGCGTCTATGCCACCAACCCTGTACCCGCGGACACGCTCATCGAAGTCAGCCCTGTACTTCTGTTCCCACCAGCAGAGTATGCTCAGTATGGCAGCAAGACGCAGTTGGACGGCTACACCTTCGTTTGGAAGCGTACTTCGCAGGGGTCTGCCATTATGGCGCTAGCACTTGGACTCGGTTCACTGTTCAATCACCACCCAACAAGCCCCAACGTCAAGTATACGTTGGATCATGCTACACACTCGATACGCTACACGACAACACGCGCGATACAAGCAGGCGAAGAACTGGCCATCTCGTACGGCTCAGGGAGGATGTGGTGGGAACCAGCACGCACAGCAGAAGAGCAACAACGAGAGGAAGAGGAAAGGAAACGAGCACAAGATCCGGATCATGAGGTCATCCAGATGGGTCGCATAGGCCTCGACTCGGATGAAGAAGATGACGATGGCGCAGCTACGAAGGCAGCGGGGACTGTTTCAAACGGTGTCGAACTCAACGCAGCAGCCGGGCCAAGTCGTGCTGTTGTTGACAGAAGCAAGTTTCCTCCAGTCTATCGGCTCACAGCAGCTATAGACCCCGTTACACTCCCACTTCAGACTCGAGATGCGTGGATCATCGACATCCCCCCGATTTCAGCCTCCCTCTCCATCAAGTTGCTCCAAAAACATCCTTCCGTCCTGCAGAACCGAGACGACGGCCTACACTCCACTCGACACCTCCGCTCCTTCCGCACAACACCCACCGTCCATCCTGATGGCACCAAGATCGCCCGCATTCAGTTTCTGCTGTGCCTCGAAAGTGCCTTCCCGGACCGGAGTCGCCTTGTCGAATGGCTCATAAAGGAAGCCGGAGGGATCTTCGGCGATCAACCAGAACCTTACTTAGGAAAGGTACCGGTCATTGCAGCACCTAGCAAAGACCGCTTACCCGAATGGCAAGCTGTTTGGCCCTGCATTGTCCGAACGAACCCAAAGGAGCACGTCTCTGGTGGAGTCGGATCAGGTCCTAGTGCTGGTCCGGTGTTGTTAGTGGACAGAGCGAAGGACGAGTCAATGTGGACAGATGCAAAGAGGCTACAGTGGGTAGCGAACAGGTTTAAGCGTGTTGTTGCTCTCGCCCGTCATGCTTTGCAGCAAGCAAACCTTGAAGGGATGGAAAGGAAAGAGCAGTGGAAAAGAGTGGTGGCATCAGCAGCACACGTTACTCATCCCTACGACGTTGCTCGGCGATTTGTACCTTCCTCTACCCATACTCACGGTGGTGTGATGGCATGGGAGGAGAGAGAGACTACCGACTGGTCGCATTTGATCGGTGACCAGGCTCCTTATGTTGGTCGAATTCACCCATCTCCGCCCCAAGAAGCAGAGACCCATCTGACAACAGAAAAGCAGCGAATCCTAACAACATTCTCTATGTCAGAACCCGAATGGGCAAACTACTCTACGACCACATCCTCCATCTACACCTCTCCTTCGGACCCCACAATGGGCATCATCGAAATAGACGCAGTCGATCAACGCCTCGCTCGTCAGAACCCAATCAAACATGCTGCTATCGAAGCCGTATCCAGAGTCTCTGTTCTTCGTGCTTTAGATCGTCAATATCCACGCTCCTCCTCTCCTCCTTGGGACCCAGAAACCAGCACCGCAGGAGTGCCAGCAGTTAACGGCTCAGACTACCTCCTGACCTCCCTCTCACTCTTCACCTTGTACGAGCCGTGCATATACTGCACAATGGCCCTTTTACACTCTCGGGTCAGCGAGATTTACTTCCTTCTCCCCTCGCCCGGCAGAGGCGCCTGCTGTGGCGCTGAACTACCCCCTGAAACGAGCTGTGGCGACGCAGGAGCAGATGGCGGCATTTACGCATTGCAGGAACAGAAAGGTTTAAATCATAATTTTACTGTTTGGAGATGGATCAAGTCCAATCTTAGCTCAAGAAATGACGCAGAGGGGGACAAGGTGGATGATCTCGCGCATGAATTTGATATTGGTCTGTTGGATCCCTGATCTGATTCTGATCGCCGACTGAAATGCAACGTCACATAGATAGCGCAAACAACCGTTCGAAGTCTAAGGTGTGATTCATGGTTCTTCGCTGAGCATCTAGCCTTCTTGGCTCTCAGTCTTTGCGGCGGTCTGTGTTGCGGAAGGAAGCTTAAGCTCCTTGTCCCCAACCTGAAACGTCTCACCAGCATCCAACTGCGCTTGCTCAAACTCAGGATCTGCTGCTGGACCTTCAGCCTCAACAACCTCTGCAAATATCGTCCGATCACCAGCGTCGGCTGTCTTGTCGTCGGTGAGCGGCTGCTCGACAGCTGAGCATCCAATAGACTTGCTAGCCGATTGGTAAGCCTTCACTCCCGTCGATGCTCGACGATGCATCTGACTTAATCCCAACGCAGACTCTTCATCGCCGCCCTTAGCTTCTGCTCCTGGTCTAGCAGGAACAAGAGGCGGCATCGTTGCCCCTTCACCCTGCTTACTGCCCCCACCCTTCATCGCAGCACCACCAGCCAAGATCGGACTGCCGAAACTTGGGATCTTGAACAGCGAGCTAGCTCGGAACGCACTTGCTGGTGATGTCTCTGCAACAGACATCAGCTGAGAAGCTGGTGGAGGAGGAGCACTGAAGCTCTGTGGTCCTGCCTTTTGCATCGATGGAATGCCAGGGACAGCCATCATCGTTGCTCGTCCAGGTTGCTTCTTGATTCCTGAGCCAAAGCTCGGGGAGGAAAGTTCGGGAGGAATCGGCGAGTAGGATCGCTCGGTTTTGGATGGTGTCTTCGCCGCTGCTGCGTCGTCTGCTTGGCTCGTCTCTGGCTTAGCCTCGGGCGTCTCGTTCGTTGCCAAACTGGAGGCTTCAGTCGGTGCCGAAACGACGTCTGCTGCTTCGCCAGGCTTTGCAGCTGCCTGCTTGTCAGGTAGAGCTTGATCGAGCTTGTCAAAGACATCCTGGCTTGCTTTTTGTACCTTCACATCGCTAGACGACACCTTGTTCTCGCCATCGACGCGGCGCTTAGGGGTGCGCGGATCCGGTAAGACAGCGCTAGTCTCAGCAGCAAGGGTTGACTCACCATCCACTGCAGAAGACGCTGGCTGCTCGTTTTGCGCGTCATCTTGCTTGACAGGCTCAATCTCCTGAGCCGATAGACTGGACGTCGAAGCAAGCGTCGTTGTAGCAGATGGTGCAGGTGGGATGAACGACACAATGCCACCGGCGCCACTCTGTCCAGTCGACGAGACGCTGCTACTCGGCTTGCGCTGTGGCAGCGCTGGAGGGATGATTGCTGCCGGAGACGTCTCGTTGCTGCTCGTCCTCTCAATGCCTCGACGCTTCGATTCAGCGCCACCCTCCTTCTCGTGGAAAGCCGGAGCAGGAGGTGTTAAATATGGAATCTCTGCGTCCCATTGCGAGTCGCCAACCGACGTTGACGAGTTGGATCGTGTGTCAGCGAGCGATGCAGTGGAAGCGAGTTTCGACGAAGAAACCGACGGTCCTCTGCCACTCTCCGGGGTTCGGTCTGTCAGAGCGTCATCAAAGCCGTGCACCTCCTTGGAGGCTCGCAGCTCTCGGTAGGGCTGACGATTGTTCGAGTTGGAGTATACACTGACATTGTCATCATCGGTATCCGTCAAGTTGTTGCGAGCATAGTAGCCCGCCGATCCGTGCTTGTCTCGCAAAGTGCTGAGTGTGTCTTCGGGGCTGGCCTTGTCGAATCCGAGACCAAAGCTAGTCGGGTCAGGCGGACTGCTCGCCAGCCACGCTGACTTGCCAGGTATAAGCGACAAGCGGCTGGACTGCGATTGTGTCATGCTATCTCGACTCTGGCGGCTGTCGGTCTCCTCGTACTCTGGCGGCCTTTGCTTCGCCTCAGCGCGTTTGGAGTTCCAGTTGGCCCAGCCACGCTTGATAGCATCCTTGGCATCCCGGGCAGCTGCTTGCCTAGCCTCCTTGTCCGCCATACTCGCCTTGGCTTTGTTCCAAGAGGTCAACAGCATGGCCGAGGTCGAGCCTGCCATCGCATTTGCACCCTCCTCTGCACCATGAGCGCTTTCGTTCAGGCCATATCGACTGCGTTGGACGCTGGAAAGTGCTGAAGCAGCATCCTGGCGCGGCACAGATCGAGTCTCTCTCGGCGCCTCGTTCGGTCTGCGTGGAGGTGGTGGTGGCGGCGCCATCGACCTCTGGGCACTGGTTGCATCTCCCGCCTCCGAGCTCCTCGAACTTGTACGAGAAGCAGGAGCGAAGTCGGATATCGCGGAACCTTCTGTTGACTCGGTGCGTGCGAGCTCGCTTCCATCGTCAAACATCTTCTTTGCATTCTGGAGATGAGCAACATCCGACCTCGAGCCGCGAAGGGAAGACTTCGTGCTGTGAGTCAGGCTGGCAGGACTCTCGACAAAATCTCGTTCGTCATCTCCGTCATGCATAGATGGTGCCTCGAGCGTTTTCCTCTTTTCTTGTGCCGGATCTACCGGTTTGACCGCATCTGTATCGAGTGCAAGGAGTGGCTCTAAGGCGCTTGACACGATGAAGGAAGGATTTCCAGACGTGCTTCCTGACTTGACTGGCTTCGTCTCTTGCGAACCCGTTCGTTGCATTTCAGTCAGCGCATCCGAGGTTGTTCGCTCTTCTGCCTTGGCGTTATCAGCTGTTGACAAGATCGACGGAGAGCGTACGGGAGAGATGCCGGTGATGATGCTGGCAGAATCTGATACAGCACGGATCGAGCCTTCGCTTGTGGGGACCGACAGAACAGACTCACTCCTGCCTGAGACGCTGGCTGAATGTGAGCGTTGCGAAGGACGTTCGATGCTCGCATTCCCTAAGGCCAAGCTGCTCTGCTCTCGACGGCTTGCAGCACCAAGTCCGAGCGAGGAGAGTCCCGACGCGGAGGCGACACTTGAGACGGACGACTTGGTCCCAGAGCCGAACCAGGTCCTCCGTTTGGCGGACTGTGAATCCTGCCTTGGCGGCGAGCCAGACAGGGCGCTGCCTCCGCCCGCTGCAAGGTCGCGGGACAAGAGATCGCTGAGGCCGGCAGCAGCAGGCGACGATGTTCGAGCAGTCGAAGAAGAAGGCTCCTTAAGCGAAATCGACGATGGCTCAGCGCCAGTCTTGCGGTTGCGAAGAGCCTGGGTAGATGAAGCACTGGTCTTGATCGAGCTCGTCTCGCCGTCCTCGTCGGCAAGCGCATCGCGCGGAGTGGATGCGCTGGCGCCGTCTGTCACAGGCGTGGCTGCACCAGAGACAGGTGCGCTGACAGCGCCAACCTTGTTGGCCGCAAGTAGATCCGAGACCTTGATGCTGCTCGTTTTTGGTTTGGCGTCGCGCTCTTGCTGCGTTGCTGTAGTAGTTGTGGCGACTGCAGCTGGGTCTGACGGCTCTTTGACCTCGGCTTGGAGCACATCGGATTTCTTGGCAGCGTCGGCAAAGATGCCTCCTCGCAAAGGTAGCGAGCGCGTGTCAAAGAACGAGATGTCGTCCATGTTGGGGACAACGATGGACTCGTTGAGAAGCTCCTTCAATCTACCCTCGATCAGGCGAGTGACCATACCCCATTGCACTTTGCGCGCGCTCACGACTGGCTCGATGTCAATCTCCATCTTGGGCATTGTGGTGAAGCCGAACCAGAGACGACTACTGGGTGGTCGCTTGACGTGCAAAAGAAGATTGCCTTCAAGAGATCGGAGAACGACCGCAAGGACGATAGGAATGTTGTATGGCTTGAAGCGAGCACCAAGCGAGAGCGTGAGGGTGGTGGAAATCGTGATCCGGATCTCGCCAACGTAGTGCACGGCGACCTCCATGCTAGCCTCTCCTTCGCTCGTTAGAGCCTTGAGCATAGGCCGACTGAAGCCAGGCGCGCGACGACCTACATCTACTTCCTCCACCTTAATGTCGCCAAGGAAGCCGGGCGTCTTGACGCGGTTGATCTTCTTCATCATTTTTGAGATGATGTAATCTTCGAGCCAAGCGGTGCGATAGATGGAAAAGAAGATACGACCGACAAGAGCATTAAGCCATCGCAGTGGAAGCGGGTCGGGAAGGCTGTCGAGGGAAACGAGGAGCGATGCCATGTCCTCTTGCGAGAAAGTGGGACCGATCGGATCGCCGAGCTTGCCGAAGAGGCGTGAAAGGAGGTCGGCGGCACCATCATCGGGCAGCTTGGTCGAGAGGCTCGAGTCTGGCAAGAGAGAAGCTTGGAGAAGAGCATGATACCAGTCCTCCATGACGAAGTTGTTCTTGCAGAAGATGAACCACTGCGGTCTTCTTCGGCCAAGGTGTGTTGTGCGGCCCTTCTTGCGTTCGCTGGCGGAACCGACGATGCGAATGGCATTCCTCTTCATGAAAAGCTCGCCATCGCGCACGAGGGCACGCTTAGCCTTCTTCCAAGCTTGTTTCGCATTGAATCCCTGCTGGTCAACGGCGCCGTCTGCGAGCTGTTCATCATCCGTGGTGGTGCCACCGTGCTGTGTGGATGCTGGTTGTTCTGGATCGAGGTCTCCGAGGGTGTCGCCGAGGCCAGCGACGAAGATGCTGACACGCTTGCCACGAAGATCGATAGCAGCGTGGCATTCGGTGTTTGGATTGGCAGTATCATCGGAGGAGTAGAGGTAGAGGATGGGCGACTTGAGAATGCAGAAGAAGTTCTCTTTGCCGGCTGTGCCTGTTGGGGTGGCAGTAGTTCCTGTCGAGGTGGGTGCCGAGCGAGCGTTGCTGATGTCGTTGGCGGGCTTTTTGGCGTTTGCTTTGCCTATGCGATAGTCAAGGATACCTCTGTACATTTGGGACATGTATCCGGCGCCTGCATTTGCAGGAGTAGCGGGCGCCTTGGAGTCAGGGGCTGCACCTTCGTCCTCCGAGTGAAGTTGGCTCGAGTCTGACTCGCCCTCGACGAGCGAAGCTGGAATGGCAGCAGGACTGTTGCTTCCGTTGGCGGCGTTGGCATTGTCCTTGTCTGAGTCAAATGTGGGTCGAACGGTGAGCCAGCCAGATGAGAAGGGCTTTGGGGCAGAGGAGTCTTTGGCAGGCCCAGGACCAAGACGCTTGGCGGTAGGTGGAGCAGTGGCATCGCCCTGAGGGTGATCTTTGCCTTTCGCGTTTTCAATCTCGGCGTGGAGCGCGGCGTTGCGGGCGGCGAGATCGAGAGCAGCCAGCTTCCTCTCGTGTGTGAGTTCGACGTCTGCTTCTATGCTAGGTGGACCATTCTGACGAGTCGAAGGCGCATCGAAGTAGAAGTGCAGGAAGGCACCCAATATGCATAGCGGAAGAAAGGTGACACCTCCAAGGAGGTAGTAGAAGGCCTCTCGCAGCATGATGGGTTGTTGCTAACTGCTGCCTCTTTTGGGGGTTGAGTTGACGTCAGCGCCTATCGGTAGGACATGGCGACTAAGGCTTGAGTGTCAAAGCTGTCTTTCTTTACAGCCCGTCAATGGGAGGTGGCGAAGGGTGAAGATGGTGGTGGGACTGATTACTGTACAGCTTCGAGTAGCTCCAAACAAAGTCACACGCGCAAGACAAGGCTCCTCTCGAAAAGGCAGAGAGCCACGTCAGGGTGCTTTCTCAAACGTCACACTTTTGACACCGAACGAGACGTCTGTGCGCACAGAGCGAAAGAAATAAAGAAACTGATTTCGTGGAAGTCTGCAGAGCGGGGAAGGTCCACATCTTGCATCGACCGACGCTGCTCCTTGGAGCCCAGCTAAGGTGCAGTACACGCACGAAGCATGCCGTCGCAGAGGGGGCTAACTCGCCTGCCTGACGTTGAGAGTCGGGCCGAAGATGGGGGGGAGCTACAGTATATTAGTTAGTGTCACCATCATTTGTAGGTTTCTTCCTCCACCTCAGCCAGTCACAAGTAAGCGCCACTTTCGTCTGCCCCCTGAAGAGCTGCGTTCTGGCCAATTTTAGATCACGATTTGGCCGGCGCGGATTTTTTGGCACGGGAATCTTTGTTAGCTTACAGTTTCTCACACAAGTCAAATGGAGCGAATTGAGAGAACGGAGCTCCAAAAAAAAGAAAAGGAGGCGATTTGTGCGGTGATGAGATCAGAGCGCGAGAGCGAGAGACAAAAGCAAAAGAGCAACACAAAGCACACACACACACACACACACGCAGACTGCACTGCACAGAACACCGCTTCACGCACGCACAGTTGGTTGGGCCACATCACAACCAAGCTCATCCGCCGAACACCTTGCAAACTACTTCGACCTCCACCATAGTCACTCTCCTCACAGCATCTACATATCAGCAACATGGATGAGAAGTACGGTAAGTGCAAGACAATCTCTAGGACAAATTTGCACCTCAGCACTCAGGAAGCTGACATCTTTTCTCTCTCTCTCTCTCTCTCTCTCTCTGTCGTTGTCCTCTACTTCGCCTCCACAGATGCCGTCATTCTCGGCACCGGTGTGACTGAATGTGTCCTCTCCGCTCTCTTGTCCGTCGATGGCAAGAAGGTCCTCCACATTGACCGAGGTCAAGTCTACGGTGGTGAGATGGCTTCGCTCAACCTCACTCAGCTCTACGAAAAGTTCCGTCCAGGTGCCGAGCCTCCCAAGGACTGGGGTCGTGACCGTGACTGGGCTGTCGACCTCATTCCTAAGCTCATCATGGCCAACGGTGAACTCACACAGATGCTCGTACACACCGATGTGACTCGATACCTAGAATTCAAGCAGATCGCCGCCTCGTACGTCTACCGTGATGGCAAGATCGCCAAGGTGCCTGGCACCGAGATGGAGGCTGTCCGTTCCTCCCTCATGGGCCTGTTCGAGAAGCGCAGGGCGAAGAAGTTCTTCGAATTCATCCAGAACTGGCGTGACAGTGACCCAGCTACCCATCAGACTCTCGACCTCGACTCCGACCCCATGGTCAAGGTTTTTGATTACTTTGGTCTCGAGCCCGGTACCAAAGACTTCATCGGTCACTCCATGGCCCTCCACCTCGACGACTCGTACCTCCAGCGTCCTGCTCGTGAGACCTACGACCGCATCATCCTCTATACCTCGTCTCTCGCTCGCTACGGCAAGTCACCCTATATCTACCCGCTCTACGGTCTCGGCGAACTTCCCCAGGCTTTCGCTCGTCTCTCGGCTATCTACGGCGGTACCTACATGCTCGACAAGCCTGTCGACGAGATCGTGGTCGACTCCGAAACTGGCAAGTTTGTAGGTGTCCGAAGTGGTGAGGAGACTGTCAAGGCCGACATGGTTATTGGTGACCCTAGCTACTTCCGGGCCGGTGTCAATGGCAAGGACAAGGTGCGCGAGACCGGCAAGGTTGTCCGTGCCATTTGCATCCTCAAGCACCCCATTCCTAACACCGACAACTCGGACTCGGTTCAGCTCATCATCCCTCAGAATCAAGTCGGACGAAAGCACGACATTTACCTCTCGGGTGTCTCGAGCGCGCAAAACATTGCCGCCCGCGACTTCTACGTCGCCCAGGTCTCGACCATTGTTGAAACTGACAAGCCCGAGCTTGAACTGCGACCCGGTCTTGACTTGCTCGGTCCCATCCTCGACAAGTTTGTCTCGATCAGCCCACTTGAGGAACCCACCGAGAGCGGTAAGGAGGACAACATCTTCGTCACACGCTCGTACGATGCCACTTCGCATTTCGAGACTGTCGTCGAGGACGTTCACGACGTTTGGAAGCGCATGACCAACGGTCAGAAGCTTGTCCTTAAGAAGCGTGACGATGGCGAGGGCGCTCAAGTCCAGGCTTAGACTTCCAACTTATTCTATTTCGTGATGCGTGATACCTCTAAATCTTTGCATTGCATGCAACGCCACACTTTGTTCCGGATTTGAAGACGTTGTTTTGAAAGACCGTGCGCAACTTATAACCACAGACTAGCATCCCTCTTGCAGCACCAGCGATGAAGTCGAGTGAAGCAGTGAATAGTTTGTACTCGTTTATCAAAAGATTCTTGTCCATACTTTGATGTCAATAACAGCAACAGGTTCGCCACGACAACATGTGTGATGCTGCAAGTTGCTTGTTGGACCAAGCTGAAGTGGAGGAATTTTCTTGGACGACAAGTTTCGAGAGCTGAGTTATGGTACGCGCTGATAAAAAGTGAGGAAGTTGAAGATGCGTCGGCACCACAACGGGATAACGGGGTCCACGGAGCATAAGCGAGACCTAAATGAATGTCTAATGGGAAAGGCTGCACACAGTCAGAAATTCATGTGGGATGCACATGCATTGCCATGATGACACACATTGGATAACAACTCAGGGGTGACCAAGAGTGATGACTCATCATGGATAAACATGGGATTGGAAGTGACCATCAGATATATATATACATATATTCATGCACACAGTAGCATTCAATGTAAGGATTCAAGAAGTTATATGACTGTGCAGTTGAGCTTGCAAGTAGCTCTGATCTGTTGCATTTCACTTGCCATCTTCAACTGATTAAGAGTCTGAAGCCCTACCAACTGAGGTAACAGGGAACCCTTTGTTGCCATGACAGACAACACCAAAATACAAGCAGGTGCAAGTAAAGCCAAAGGAGGTAGAAAGGGTAAAGTTCCTCAACCACGAGTTCCCGATAATGATGCCACCAACAAAACTGAAATCGAAGCGACTGACGAAGAAACCGATTCCGATTCTGATCAAAACAGTGGCAGCAAACGATACAACTTTCGCACTCTGGTGAAGCTCCTCGAGCCGGTGCCCAAGTTAATGTCACAAAGCTACTATAGTTGGAATGTCCACATCAAGTCCTTCCTTCAATCTGTTCCCCACGCCATGAAACACCTTGAGGGAACATATGACAAGAACCACCCCAAGTGGAATTGTGTATTTGATGATGCCCTCACAAATGCAGTACATGGCACTATCAACACCACTGGGGAATACAACATCAACTACCTAATCCTTGACATCATTAGGGAATACCACACTTTCCACCAGATCTGGAAGAAGATTGAAAATGGATTGACCAATGAAGCCATCATAACCTCACATCGAATCACCCTCATAGCCCAGCTAGGTGAGCTCAGAATGTACAATTCCAACATCCAGAAGCTCATCCAGGAGATTAGGACAATCCAGATGGAGAGCAGCTTACTGGGAAAACTGTTTGCAGATGACACCTTGTTTTTGACCCTACAGAAGTGCACTATCCACCACCCTGTGTATAAAGAAATGGTTGCCACCATCAGTCAACTCACTTTCAACACACTCACTACAACCCTAACTATCTGACAATCAGCAGTTGAGAATTATCCCACCCAAAAGATTGACCCTCACCAGGTTAGTGCCAGAGTTGCTGGCAGTGACAACCAAGAGGAACCAGCTGCGAGGGATGAGAAGGATGAAGACAACGCCAATGCCAAAGTTAGTGTTCAACCTCGAAAGCTCCAGTGCTGGGTCTGCAAGTGACTGGGACATGGGATTAGCCAGTGCAATGCTATGGTAACCATCCCAGAGAATTCTCCCCTAGCCAAGACCAAATAGGAACCATGGTGCTCCTTTGCACCAAGTTGGCAGAGGCCCCCTGGCTCTAAAAGAACCCCTCACTGGATCTTAGACTCAGGGGCCAGTTATCATATGGTTAATATCTACAGTATGCTCATCAATCCTAAAACTTGCTGAAAATGTGTATTCACAGCTGGAAGCAAAGTTTTAGAAGCAACAGCTATTGGAGATGTCAGCATATCAACAAGTAACGGAGATGTACTACTCCATCATGTACTATATGTTAGGCATCTCAATATTAACCTTTTGTCAACCAACTCATTAACAGATGAAGGAGCATGAGTGATATTGGATTCCACCAGTGGGCAAATACACTTAGCAAACAGTATGCTACTCAAGATGACCAAGAATCATGAGTGAGGACTTTTAGAGTTCTGAGGTGATGCATGGCAAGAGAATGCAATGATCACATCAACATCATTATTTGAGGGTGTTAATGAAGATTTCAAGCAGATAGAAAGCAAAACCAGGATATCTAAGCAACAACTATGGCATGAGCACCTAGGGCACCCAGGTCGAGATAAGACAAGGGCCATTACCAACCTTTTAAAGGATAAGAACATGGCTGAATTGGATCTGGATATGACCCAAACATGTGAGCAATGCATCTGATCCAAGAGTACAATAGCTCAAATGGGACAAGGTAGTGGTGAGAAATCCATCTCCCCACTTGACCTCATCCACATCAACTTGATAGTTGACTCCTCACACACAGCAGAATATACATGCACACTGGTATTGGTTGATGACCATAGCAAGTACACATATGTGCAGCCCTTATTATGGAAGAGCCATGCATTCTCCAAACTCCAAGCCATAGTATCATACCTCGAAACACAGACAGGAAAGAGACTGAAAGCCATATGATCAGACCAAGGAATGGAGTGGCAAAGCAATGATGCACTTGACTGGGCATACAATAAAGGTATAGAATGGCAGATGACAGTCGGGTACAACAGCAAGCAAAACAGATGCATGGAAAGAATGAACAGAAGTCTAGGAGAAAAGATGAGAATGCTACTCATGCAGAGGAAACTGCTGAGAAGCTTCTGGCCATATGTGATCTGGGCTGTGGCATTCAAAATAAATCTCACACCCAATGTTGATGGTGAGTTCCCATACCAAGTCATGTTCAGGAAGTCACTGGAGCAGCTCATAAAGTTCTTACAGGTTTTTGGATGTTTAGCATGGGTTAACATCCCTAAAGTTAAAAGAGACAGCAAGAGGTTGGACCAACAAGCAGTGGCATCCATATTCCTGGGATACAGTTTGGAAAGAAGAGGGTGGCTCTTCTATAGTCCAGACTATAACCCAAACATATTCTGGAGCAACTCCATGAAGTTCATGGAAGACAAGTGCTGGGCTGACAGAACAGAATGGCACCCAACAAGAATACAGTCACCGCCAGTGCTAGCAGATGAGGCAGACCTCAGTGACTTAAGGTACACAAATGAAAATCTATTCAATGAAAGGGAAAGAGAGCCCCATGATGAGCATTTGGATATGAATGCAATTGACAAACCAAATGATGAAAAGGACTCCATTGAGGATACAGCGAAACATACAAAGAACGTGACCGACTCCAAAATACAGGCCAGCAACCCAATTCTCAGACTCACAGCAATGAACCATGATAGACAGAGGAACCTGGATCCGACAGTAAGTGAAGCTTTATCTGGAGAAGACAAGCAGCATTGGAAAGAAGCAATGCATAAGGAGTTGGATGGACTCAGAGCCATGGGCACATGGGAAATTGCCGACCTCCCAAAGGGGATGAATGCTGTCAACATGCATTGGGTTTTAAAAATCAAGACAGATGCAGATCTGATCCTGACAAAATTCAAAGTGAGGCTGGTAGCTTGAGGGTTTACACAAAGACAAGGAATTGATTATACAGAGGTGTTCGCACCTGTGGCACCTATCCAATCTATCTGAGGAGTCTTAGCCATAGCAACCATGCAAGATTGGGAGGTAGACTGCATTGATGTCAAGCAAGCATATCTGAATTCAACGCTACACCATGATGTGTTCTTGAAGCTGCTGATTGGGACCAAGATCCCTCCAGGAAAGCACCTAAAGCTAATCAAGGGACTGTATGGGCTAAAACAATCAGGCAGAGAATGGAACTTGGAATTGGACTCACATTTGCAAAGCATGGGTTTTTACTGCATGCTGAGTGCACCTTGTCTGTACTCAAGAGGGACTGGGAATAATCTAACTATTATTACAGCATATGTGGACGACATGCTTATAGCATCCCCCAGCCAAAAGGAGATAGATCAAACTAAGAAGGAGATAATGGCTAAATGGGGAACAGAAGATAACAGGCCAGTGAGAGAGTTTCTGGGCATATGCATAAACTGAAACAGGGCAGAAAGGAGGATGTCCCTTGACTTATCAGCCTACATTAGAGCCATGGTGAACAAGTGGTTACAAGCAACCAGTCAGAAGTCCTGGGTACCAATACAAGGAACAGTGAGTTTGACTGGAGAAGATAAATGTAACCCAGTAGAAGCCAAGTGATACCAGGAGTTAGTTGGACAACTACTATGGGTTTTGAATACCACATGCCTGGATATATCATTCACAGTAGGGATACTGGCAAGATACATGTCAAACCCAACCAATGGGGCATGGAGGGCAGCCATCCACCTGCTTAAGTACCTGAACCAAACCAGTGAGTATAAACTCATATTTGGAGACTGATCGAACAAGCATTCAGGACATGCAATTATTACATACATGGATGCAAATTGGGCATCAGACCCAATGAATGGATGAAGGAGCACCTCAGGGGCCATAACATATGTACATGGGTGTCCTGTCAGCTGGAAATCGCATGTCCAAAAGTGCATGGTGTTATCAGCCATGGAAGCCGAATTCATTGCTGCCTCAGAGGCAGCAAGAGAAGCACTATTCTTCTCCTATCTCCTCAGGGATCTAGAGGCAGGAATGATCCAGCCAACCTTATGTACCAACAGTCAAGGATGTATTCAAGTGAGTAAGGACCCAGCAAAACATTGGAAACTGAAGCACATAGATACCAGGTATCACTTTGTTAGGGACCACATACAGGATGGGGAAATAGCAATCGAATTTGTGAACAACATGGCAGACATCTTAATGAAGCCACTAAAAGGGTTGGCAACATCTCAGCTAGCACAGTCATTGGGACTCGAGATGCCATTGAAGGGGGGAGTTGAAGATGCATTGGCACCACAATGGGATAACGGGGTCTGTGGAGCGTAAGCGAGACCTAAATGAATGTCTAATGGGAAAGGTGTCAGGGGTCTCGCGCCTGAAACCCAGGTCGGTCTGTCAAGATACTTGGTGACTATCAAACTGTGCAACAGCTATTGTCTTGGTATCGGTGACTATCAAGTTGCACAGTGACAGCAGGTGGCGTTCGTTGTATATACTATCATAGGTTTTGGCTGACCTCTGTGGACACTCTGTTCAGGGGTAGCTCGGCACGATCAATATCAATGCTTCGGTTATGATGACACCAAGGTCTGGTGTGAGTGTTGATGATGATGAGGTTGATAACGTTGGTGATAAGGTTGGTGAGTGTTGATGATAAGGAGGTTGATGGTGTTGGTGATAAGGTTGGTGGCGTCAACATGAGTGTCCAGTGTGTTGACTTGATGCTTGAAGTGATCCCCAGACCACAGTGGACTACTGCCTTCGGTTCTATCTATATCCAGACCACTAACCTGCTATAAGGCACCTTCGGACGTCAGGTAGTGGTGATACAACACACACACTACGATGAGGAGCAACCTTGATAGATTGCTGCTATGCTGACTGAAACTAATGTATACTTATGCTGAAGTGATAACTAGTTATATGGTGAGTAGAGTGGATGGGGATCCACTCAACCTTTGATGATGAGAAAGCATGGTTATATACCTCTTCACAGCATCGCCAGTGATGCTGCTCCTGCTCTCTCTCTCCAGAGAGTACCTTCTTCATTGAGTACTGTTCAGGAGGCCTCTCCTCTTGCTTGGCACCCCTGTGTCTCTTGAGCTGTGTCGACTCCTTCGACACTGCTCCTCCTCCTTACTATCCTGCTGCTTGTTTGGCACCCCTGTGCCTCCTGAGTGGTGTCGACTCCTTCAACACTGCTCCTCCTCCTCAGGACCTGCTTGCCGGTGTCCTATACACTGCTCCTTCTCCTTTGACCAGTGACAGTTCCTTTGACTCTTGTCTCTCGAGCCCCTGAGTGGTAACCATCTGAGCTTGGTCCTCTTCGTGGCTGTGCCTGCTCCTTGAGCTTGGTCCTCCTCGTGGCTGTGCCTGGCCCTCCTTGCATGTGGCTTGTGTCCTCCTTTGCATGTGAGTCCATAGGAGTCCATGGTCTCCATGGAGACTGCACTATGACCATGCTCTCTACTGGTATCGACTAGATCTTCGATACCTGTGCTCCTTCCATATGAACCCGTGACCCTCCTGCTACTTGAGCACCCAGGCCCATGACAAAAGGCTGCACACAGTCAGAAATTCATGTGGGATGCACACACATTGCCATGATGACATGCATTGGATAACAACTCAGGGGTGACCAAGAGTGATGACTCATCATGGATAAACATGGGATTGGAAGTGACCATCAGATATATATATACATATATTCATGCACACAGTAGCATACAATGTAAGGATTCAAGAAGTTATATGACTGTGCAGTTGAGCTTGCAAGTAGCTCCAATCTGTCGCATTTCACTTGCCATCTTCAACTGAGGAAGACGGGCCCCAATGATCAACAATCGGTGAGAGTCGGAGCACGATGTCACTGCTGTTTAGGACAGAAACACATACTCAATTGACTAAAGGGGGTATCAAAGTTTTTGCGATTTTAAAAATACGGGTTTTTTGAAAAGCGCGTTTTTGGAGGGAATTTGAACCCCCCCAAGGAAAAGCAGGTTTCCAAAAACATGATGAAATCATACAGCCGATAAAATATGTAACCTAAAAGTAAGCATAGGAAGCATGAATCATATGGCCGAAAGGAGGTGTAACCTAACAGTAATCATATGAAACATAAATTATATGGCCGATAAGAGATGTAACCTAACAGTGAGCATATGATACTTGTCCTGCTCTCATTGCTATCACCCATTGCTTGCTTATATCTTGCTTTCCTCTTCACACAATGCACTCAATGTAATGTTTCATATGGTGGTGAGAAGAGTTGTATTGAACAGCAGAAGAGAGAGTGCCTGTCAGATCATGTAGTGGACTGGCATAACAACTCTGCAGAGATGTCATGAGAATCATTAGTGGAGGAGGTCATGTTGAATGAGCACAAGGAAGAGGGAGTGAGCAAAAGTGCGACGAGAGTGAGGAAAGGAGAGAAGATGTGGAGTGATAAAAAAACTGTGTTTTCACAAATGTGCCTCCTGAGCTGTGTTTTTGAAAATGCGGTTTTTTTTTTCCCTTTGCGGAGCTTATGTAAGCTTTTGCGTTTTTTTGGAAAATGCGCTCTTGAAAAAACCCGGGTTTTTAAAAACGCAAAAACTTTGATACCCCCTTAAAGTGAACGTGGTAAGAGCCTAGTGCCCCCAGCTTGATATATATACATTGAGGCGGCACATGCCGAATGTGGAAGTAAAACCCTACTTAATGATCGAACTTGACAACGAGCGGGACTGTGTTGTACCCGATCTCTGGACAGATCGGTTTCGCCAGATCTCCGATTAGGTTTATGTCAGCACTCATCATCATATTGGATCACTTCCTTCGGCACGCGCTTCACGGTTACAGCTCTGTCAATTGAACCGGCACCGGCCCTTCGGTCTTTCAACCGCATCCGACTGCGAATCGAATGTGCGGGGTTGATACATTCGAATCATTCGCCATCACTCCCCTCTCCTCTTCAACACATCGAAACCTCATTCGGCACTTTGACCATGGCAGACGACAATAACAGCAACGGGGAAGCATCGTCTTCCTCCACTACGATCGCTTCGTTGTCGCCACAAGCAGCAACTTCAGCCGATGACAGATCTCAGATTCTCGCTCAAGCAACACGTTTCCTAACGTCCGCCAACATCTCAGAATTGGCTTCCGACGACGATAAGCGCGAGTTCTTGCGATCTAAAGGCTTGAGCGAAGACGAGATCACTCGCGCTTTTCAGGACGCAAAGTCACCTGTCGCAGGACTCAGCTCCACGCAGCAATCACAAACAACCGGCGATATCGACCCATTCGAGCTAGCCAGACGGCAATTCGACGATCCTCTTCGTGCGGACTCCATCACACCACCCCCAAAATCATACCCCAACTCACCGCTCGCACTGTACCACGATCCACCTGCCTCTACATCAGTCCATTCACATAATGGTAATCCGCAAGGCGCGGCCGATCAGTCGGCGTCGCCTCTCACTCGATACCAGGTGCTGTTGCAGTTCTTCCGCACACTCAGCTACATGATGATGCTCGGCGGCGGTCTTACAGCCATCCTTGTCTCGGCCTTCAGAGCGTATATCCTGCCCAAGATTACGGCCATGTTTGATGCACGCAGTATCGTTCTCAAGCACCATATCGTCCTCTTTGACAAGCTGAGAAGCAACGTCGCTAGCCTCGCAACATACGTGCCCGTTCAGCCAGCGCGCATTGGCGCCGAAGAGAGCAAATCTGCAAACGGCGGGGCTTCATCATCTCTCAAAGGCGTTCTTAAGAAGGTACACTTCCACGACGAGCCGGCACAGAAGGAGAAGGAGAAGGAGGGCGTCAAGTCGACCCAACACGGAAGCGAGACAAAGTCAAAGACCGAGAAAGTTGTGTTGCCAGGCACAGACGTTGTAGTGGATGCAAAGACACCTCTGCTTTCAGAAGCAGGCAAGGAGGACTCGGACGCCGACGCTTCCAGTCAAGATGGAGACGATGCTGAGGCTGGCGCGGCTGCGCCCAAGCTCGAGCATATTGATGTAATGACACCGATCCGCGAGAGCATGGCTCGTCTAGCAGAAGCGCTTAAAGGCGATATATCTGGCCGTCCTTCCACCTCCACTACTACCCCAATCGTGTCAAACTCCACTGCCTCTTCCACGTCCCGCTCCGCCCGAGTTGCTAGTGTAGCAGACGCTGGTTCCGGTTCAGATGAATGGGAAGATGACAATGAAGAAGATCGAACGGACGACGACGATGACGGACTCGAATTCGACCCTTACGGCGCCTATCAGAAGAAGCACAAGCACACTCAGTCTTCCGCAACTACTACTGCTGCTTCAGGTTCTGGCTCCGCCAGCCTCACAGGTCTCAAAGCAGCACTTGTTAGCTTGAACGCAGACATTTCAACGCATGCGTTCGCAGCTGCTTCCTCGTCTTCAACGTATGGTGGAGGAGCATTCAGGTTCGGCCCCGGAACCACGGATGGCAATGCAAGCAGTGCAGAGAGTTCCAAATCAGGCGATCTGGGACAAGTTAAGGCGGAGATCCGAAGTCTGAAAGGTCTGCTGTTGAGTAGAAGGAACTTCCCGAGTTATAATGCTCGTCCGCCACCGTTGCCGTCGGCCATGCCGGATGCTAGAACTTCGTCAGCAGTTGTATAGCACCATAATTGACACTGCAATGCAGCCATTTAATATCAGCAGAGTTGATGCATTACGAAGATAGAACTGAATTGAGGTGCTGATGCCGATGATGGAACGATGATGGAACGAGATGATACAAATGCTGTGCGCTGAAAAGCGGACGATGAGGAGAATCTGGTAAAGAGCGTAAAGACCTGGAGAAAAGTAAAGGTGGAAGCTTGATATGGTGCTACGCTTTTGGGTACCGGAAGCATCAAGTTTCGCCTTCGCCTACGCCGTACCTGGCGAAGATGGCTTGCGCTGGGAGTTGTTCGATCTCGGCGATCTGTATGGCATCGCAAAATATGTGAGGTGGCGAATGTCAGTTGATCATCACACTGTTGAAAGCTGTAGCTGGAGTCAAGGGTGCCTACCTTGTCAAAGATGAGCTGAGCTGCGTCCTTGACGCTGTTGTACTGGTTCAAGAGCTGCGTGTACTCGGCGACAATTTGCTTGGGTTGCTGTTCAGGTAAGCCTTTGGCCGTGCGGGCTGCATTGTGCCTTGCTAGTCGATCGCTGTTACATCCACATGTATACAAGTAAAGGGATGTGGTCAGCATCTCAGGATCAGGTTTTCCAGCAATCGTGCGTTCAGACTGACCTGAGGATGAGCTCAAGCTCGTCAATCTCCTCTTGCATATCGGACGTGCTCATTGTGCGCAACTCCCGGGCAGCGGAGGAGGCAGCGGTGGCAGCAGAGGGGGTAGAGGGCGTATCGCTTTCTCGTTGTGACGCTTGAGTTCCAGACACGGTTACAGAGGTGAACGTAGTAGGATGTGTTGTCGGAAGGGGTTTGCTCCTGTTATCGAGCCCACTGAGAGGTTTGAACGGGGTCTTGAGAACAGCGCCCGAATCGTCTGGACGAGGTCTCTTGGCAGGTGTCCAAGACCCTTTGGCTTGCGCCTTTGAAGGCGAAGCTGCTCTCCTCATTGCGTTCAGATTTCAGCTTTGGCGCAAGCAATCTTCGAGCAGCAGCTCTACATCTGGTCTAATGGAAGTAGTGAGGCAAGAGATGCTTCCAATATCAGTGACTTGAGAGGAGAGAGGGAAGGTCCAGGAAAGTTGACGCAGCAAAAACATACTGCGGGAGCGCGCAGCTGTCAAAAAGCGAGGAGTAGGTCTGAGCGTTCCGAAGGGGCGTCCCCACCAAGCCCTGTTCCCACGCTTCTCGGCATCTCACCTTCGATCGTCGGCACATCCATCCTTGACTGCCACCTTCATCTGACGATAGACAAGCAAATCCGAGCTGCGTGATAACGCTTCTCTCAGCCTACCTTTGTGGTCGAAGACATATAAGATCGCGATGCCCTCTTCACAAACTTTCCTCTCTTCCCCCATCACTTCTCGCCTTTCGAGGTTCGGTCATGGTCTCTGCATCTTTGTGGCTGTTAGTCGGATCTTGTCGAAGAAGATCACTCCGAAAGAGGACCAACTTTGGCGAGGCCTAGCTAACAGCCACGAACATGCAGAGAATGTGATTGACGCTGCCGCGACACCCAGGCTTACAATGCCAATGCCGGAGACGCCAGCTTTCACTATCGATCGACAAGTTCCAACTCGTGCTTAGGGGAACGAAGGCACATAGACAATGGAACTGATCAAACTACTTCTTTTTTTCTTTCTTTTTCGATTGACTACATGGAAGCGATCAATATCGGAGCATGAAACACAGCAAGGAAGCAAGAGGTATCTTCGAAGCCACAATGCTTAGTAGTCGTTGTTGTTATTGTTGCTCGAGCTGTAGGAATCGCTATTGCCGCCATAGCCGCCGCTGCCACCACGAGCAGACGAGCCGTAAGAATCGTTGTTGTCATCGTTGTTACCATAGCCGCTGTTGCCGCCACGGTTGCCGGAAGATCCATAGGAGTCCTCGTCCTTGTTGCTGCTACCAAAGCTGCCGCTGTTGCCACTTCGACCACCGGACGAACCGTAAGAGTTGTCGTTGTCGTTGCCATATCCGCTGCTGGTGTTGCCAGCTCGGCCGCTGGAGCCGTAGCTGTCGCCGTCATCATTGTTGCGACCAGACGATCCGTAGCCAGACGAGTTGTTTCCACCGCCGTAATTGTCATCGTTGTTGTTGTTGCGGCCCGAGGATCCGTAGGATGAGGAGTCGTTGTCGTTGTTCGATGAGGAGTTATAGCTGTCTTTGTTCGATGAGGAGTTATAGCTGTCGTTGTTCGATGATGAGTTATAGCTGTCGTCGTCGTTGCGTCGCGACGATCCAAAGCCACCACTGCTGTTATTGTTGTTGCCGCCATACGACGAAGAATCGTTGTCGTCGTTGTTCTTGTTGCCGCCAGTGAACTGGTTGAGCAGGTTCTTACCCTGGTCAGAGCCAGCAAACTCCTTAGCCTTGTTAACGAAGCCTTCCATGTTGGAGATTGGATTGTGTGTGATATGCGTCTGGGGGGTTGGGGTTTAGATGTTTGTGTGAGACATATTCTGCGAATTTGAGACGAAGCGACTATATATGCTTTCCTGGAAAGGCGGCTAGGCCAGTGAGAAGTGACGTGCCAGCCTGTGGGTTCGCTTCGCCACCCTTGAGCACCTGAAAGTACAGCATTTTCGCAGAGATTCAGATCAGACAGGCCAAACGTGTCTGCCCCGCGCTTAAGGCCCAGAAAGTAACAACTGTGCCGCTTGTGCACGTTGCGTGATACGAGTTGCTCCGTGCGCACAACGACTCTTGCTCATTTGCCGCCAAAGTGACGTTGGAGCGGCTTCGTCATGGATTATCCCTGTTTGCACAAGCGAGGAAGGGCGTGGGTACCATTCACACGCTGTCTTCCCGAAGTCAGAAGGGGCTCGGCTGCAGAAGCAAGGTGCCGGCACGCTTTCTTTCTAACTTAACGAGAGTCTTTTAAGCACCGGCATTTCGACCACGCCGCCCAACGCATCATGCTGGCGAACGAGATGCTGCAACCATGCTCACATTCCGAGCAGCTTTCCGCTTTCGAACCTGCTTGCCTTGCCTTATCGTGTTCACACTGCTCCCTTACAGCTCAGAGGTGTTGGGTTGCTTCGAGCTGTTCGTTGGGTCGGCTCATCAGCCGTTTGGACGCGCACAGGGCAGCAAGCATCTGACTGTTGATGTGCTGCTATGCAGCGGCAAACCTCAGCATCTTCTTTTCACGACATTACACGGGCGGACTGTGGATCCTTCTCGCAGCGCCCTGACGGAGACAGCCTCAGGGTGAAGAAAGGATGAGCTTGATCGCGCCAGGGCAAAGCTCAATCATGTTGGACAATGGTGGTTGGGATTGTGCGTGCACGGAGCTTCAATTTCACCTCGCTCCGACTTCCGTGCTTCTTGCTCATGCTCCGCATGGCAACCCTTCGATGTGTGTTCAGGCTGTGCACGGCGTTGACTCTCCTGAAGACAAGGTTCGGCCCAGCGAAGCAGGCCTCTTGCGTTCTGGGACATGGTCTCGACCTCCCTTCCACGACTTTGCTATTCTGGCCGTGCTGTAGCAAGTCAATATGATCATGAGGGTGATGAGACGATGATGCAAGTAACGTCCTCTCAGTCACATCCTAGGCATGCCTAAGCTCTCCAATGACCTGTCAATCTGGTCATTGCAGTTCCTCCTCCGACGTTGAAAGACGGCGACCGATCGGACAGCGGAGTTGATGTTGAATCGCCGCCTGCCTGTCCCAATGCTTGTCTTATCGTTAACTTTTGTGTGATACAAAGCCGACCTTATACAAACAAAGTTCCAGGCGAGTGGCTAATTTTCTCTACTCACGGTGATCCCATGCAGCCAGTGCCAACTTGGCCCCATTTTGCGCACCGCTGTCTGATGAGATCATGCCTGTGAGAATAGGCTATAGTTGCCGAAAGAGCATCTGCTGAGAAGGTTCTTTGCGTCTGGATGCAATGCCCTGTGAAGGTAAGTGTCTAGGCCCACTCCTTGGGCACGCCATTTTGCCGGCCTTGTTCGTGCCCAAGTAGCTGCTCGGCCGGTTGACGCTCTTGATTGAGGTTGAAGTCGAGAGATCAACATCGGGGTCAGTCTGTACTTCCTCCCGACCGAGTTCAAGGGATGATGTTCAGCATGGTATTCGTGGACGTGTGCATACAGTATCTCTCCTATCAGGCTACCGGGCTCACGTATACTGACACGCATCCGGCATGGTCTTCTACACCTAGGTTAAGCGAAGTAAGCCTGTCTATTGAGCGAACAAAGGTAGATGAGCTCGATTCAACGCGGCGTCAAGATGCTACCACGTCGAGAAGACGTGTTTATGCCTTTCTCTGACTGCCGATACAGAGCAGCTGCCTTGACCCTGCCTTGTCCATGCCCTACGAGCGTTCGCCAAAAGGCATCTTTGACATCCGCACCGGTGTCGCATACGACGCTCGAGCAGCAACAGCAGTAGCCATGAACATAAGGCTCGTCTTCTCATCTCACTGACTTTCTGGCAAGGTGATGGAGGTGCTGGTTGTCCGTGCTTCCGGCAGCATTGGCGGGATGATCCTTCGATACTGCTTGCAGAGGAAAGAGATCACCACTGCCATTGCCCTGGCGCGCAGACCGCTTTTGCTCAAGACAACAGCAGTGGAGAGTGAACCTGCTTAGAGCGGCTTTCGATCTGCCAAATGGCGGTCTGACTTTACGGAACTTTCCCGAGGCAGACGACCGAGCCATTGGACTTTGCATCCAAGAACATCCCTGATAGCGGTCGTCGTTGATGTCACCAGGAGACGCACAGAACCGAGACTTGCTTGCGTTGACATGCGCAGGCTGCAGGTGTCCTGAGCTGATCCGTAGGGACCTTTCGAGGAACACATGGTGAAGCATCGGCCGATCGGACTTGCTAAAAACCCGATTTGGCGAAATTGGCATCATCTCTGCTCCAGGGATTTTAGGTCGCCTTTTCAGAAGCATCATTTCCCATCTAATTTCCATCACCAAAAAAAAAAAAAAAAAAAAAAAGGTGTGAAAAAAAGGGTCGAAATTTGCCATCTTAGTGCGCCATTATGTGAGATCGGCTCGGACTGAATTTTGGAGTGTGGCCTTAATCACCCGATTCGGCATCAACAGATCTTCCAGATTCCGAAGCTGCAGTGAGAAGGCTTCCATGTCCAAACGAACACACAAGCCAAGTGTGTCTAAGGGACGTGAGAACCAGTGTTGTCCTTGCATTGTCGTTGGTCTATGATCTGCCAGCACGACACCGATACTGTAGCCTGGGGCTCGCCTTTCTAGCCATGCACCTTCGCTCTTCCATGCCGCGACGGGACGAAGGAAGAAAAAAGAAAAAAGAATAAAAGAAAAAAAGAAAAAAAAAAAGGGAAAAAAAAAGGAAAAAAAGGAAAAAAAGGAAAAAAAGGAAAAAAAAGGAAAAAAAAGGAAATGGCAGCCTGCGAGGAGGTGAGAGGTGGACGACTTTAACACGCTTTCGCCTCTCTGACGCATCAATCAGCTTGGAAGACGGCGGCGGTGCTATCTCAACTCCAAATATCCGCCCACACAAAATATCGCACATCCCAAGCGCCAATATCAGACTCGGGCTGACTGCCGTGCAGACATGATTGTAACGAGTGTGTGACTTCAACTCTGCGCCTGCCTAAACAGTCCGCCATCTGAAAACGAGGCCAAGCAGGCTTCTTACCTGGCCTGGCCTGTTCCTTTTTGCGAGCAGGATCTGAGCGAGGTGAGAGAAAGACACAGTCGCGAGAGCGAGATCAGCCAGCTCAGTCAATCAGTCAGCCAATCAAGCAAGCTCATTCCAATTCCTCTCGTCTCACATTCGACTCAATTCTGCCATTCTCTCGAGAGGTCGGTGCTCACGCTACCCATGAAGCGTGCAACTACATTTCCGCAACTCAGCTGAGCTCTACCACATCGCTCGCTCGCTCGCTCGCCCGCCCGCCCCTCGTCGCATCTGCACTAGGCTCACGCTGCGGTTTCATTCATCCCCCCTTCCCACCAACCACACACCTCGGTCACGACACCACTACCACCACCAGCTATCACCGTTCCCCTGAATAGCTGCAAGTGCTCCGTGCCTGGGCAAGCAGCATCACGCAACCGCAAGACCTGCCACTCCGAAGGAATCCACAGCCGTTGCTCTCTCGCATCAGCGATACTTGGCCCTCAGGCAAAGCTGACGGACCACCTATCAGACGCTTTTCTGGGCCCAACGGTGCTACACACGGGAGCTGCTACCTCGCATACAATTGCTACTATCATCTCCCCGTCAAGCTAGGACATGAGTGGAGAGGATCGAGGCTCGGCGTATCGCTACGCTGGGCGCCCCTCGGCTTACCCTGCTGACGGCTATGGACGATACGAACCTGGTCTCAAGAGCTCCATCCCCTCACGATCATTCGACAGGACGCACCCAGAGGAGCCGTATGAGCGTCGCCTACCCGAACGCGTTCATCCTGCCTACAACACTGCTCCTTCCTATGCCGATCCTTCTCATCATCCCCCTCCACCGCCAGAGTATCGTCGACCGCCTCAGCCAACCTATCGCTACGAGCAAGACTATCACCGCCGCCCGACAGCACAGCAGCGCTCTGAATACGCAAATGACTATCGCCGCCAACCTCTCCACAGCAATCCTTACCGAGACATTGACGATAGAAGGGCGTATGGTGAAGTGAGATCCGACCCCTACGCCTCGCATTCTCACCACGCCTACGCAGATCCATATCAGTCAGATCCAGTTCATGACCTCGATAAGCGCCGACACGCGCCTGCATCTGCACCGGTTGCCTACGACAGGTATGGGGTGAGAGAGGGTTCACGCCCTATCGCCGACGTGCGTCAAGTTGTGCAAGAGCCTGCCTACCGCAGGGAGGAGTACGATGCCTATGCTCGCGAGATCCAGCCTTCCTATCGACAAGGTGCTCCACGGTCCCCCGTGCTTCCGCCTCGGCCAGTTGTGCATGCACACGAGCGCAAAGAAGGCCTGCCGCCCCGCGACTACGAAGAAGCGCCAGCCCGCTATGCAGAGCCACGTCAGGAACCCGAGTCCCCGCCCAGACCATCAATGTCGATCTTCAACATGCTCAATGATCGCTCAGCCAATGGTGGTAGCGCTGCCTCGGTTCATTCGAGCCCGGCCAAGTCGGTCGCCGCTGCTGAGACAGATGCATACACATCAGCCTTGCCAGCAACCAGCCGTAGCTCTCGTGCGGCTTTCGACCCAGCCAGAGAATATGCCAACAGTACAGCACGAAGCGCTGCCGCCTGTTCGCGCAGTCGCGAAGGACGATCGCGCAGGCTTGGCTTCATTCCCGATCCCGAAGACGAGCCATCACTCGCACGTCAATCCTCGGTCAACAGGATGTCAATTGACGGTCCATCTGTTCGCGTCAAGCATGAAGAAAGGGCCGCCTCGTTGCATTCGTCTGCACCTGTCGAGACGTCGCCTGTAGAGCCCTTGCAAGACAACAAACCGTCCGACGCATTCTTCGCAAAGGCTTCAGCGCTCGAAAGCTCGACCCTTTCTGGGAACAAGGCAGACAACGCCCATCCATCTTCAAAGTCAGCTCCGGCCAAGACACTTCTCAAGCTCCGCAACACTCCCCTGCCAGCATCCAAGAGCAACGCGAGCTTCCTCGCACCTCCACCGCCTGCAAAGAAGCATCGCGATCCCGATGGCTGGGAAAGCGATCTCTCAAATGGCGAGAATCAAGCAGTATGGCAACTTGAGCTCGACGATTATGTCTTCGACATGCGGGAGCGCATGCGACTCATCGAAGATGCTTTTGAGGCAACTCTGCATGAGAAGCACGTCGAGGTTGAGAAGCGTCTGGCACGCGCCTACGAGGGTCGACACTTTGCAATCATTCGACAGCTGCGCATCCGCGAGCAGCAAGAGGCTTCGCAGAGGGACGCTGAGCGCCGCAAAGACCATGTGCGACAGCAGCGTGACCATGAGATCGATCTCGAGCTTCTCGATACTCTAGACGATGGCCAACCAGGCAAGAAGAGGAGAGGAGGCCACGATGGTGATGATGAAGTCGACGAGCTTCTCCAGGGCGACGAAGATGACGACAGCGACGACGTTGCGCTTGCCGACATTGCTGCCCGTGCCAACGGCTCCAAGGCCAACATCATCAAGCTCAAGCGCAGCAAGGGCAAGCTCGGTTCTGTCGATCCTCGAAGCAAGAAGCGCAGACTCGATGGCGGCGCAGCTTCATCCTCAGCTCCTGGTTCGGACGCCGACTCGACACTTGCCGACCTCGCTGACATGGAGGGGGACGATTCGGTCTTTGCCTCTCGTCAAGGTTCCCCCACATTGGACGACGCCAGCTTTGCTCTGGACTTGGACGCCGCTGGCAAAGTGCCTATCGACGCACGTCGAGCACAGCAGCTCGAAGATGCACACCGACGCATCTGGTCCACTATCGCCAAGCGTGATATCCCCAAGGTGTACAGGACCGTCCTGGCCAGCTCTTCAAGTAAGACCATGTATTGGCGACGTCTGTCGAGCGTCGTTCAGCGAGAGGCCAAGCGAGGTGCTGCGCGTAACAACAAGACGGTCAAGGATGTTCAGCTCCGAGCCCGTAAGGTCATGCGTGAGGTGCTTGTCTTCTGGAAGAGGAACGAAAAGGAAGAGCGCGAACTGCGCAAGAAGGCCGAGCGCGAAGCCGTCGAGAAGGCCAAGAAGGAGGAAGAAATGCGTGAGGCCAAGCGACAGGCGCGCAAGCTCAACTTCTTGATCTCACAGACCGAACTTTACAGTCACTTTATTGGAAGCAAGCTGAAAACCGCCGAGGCCGAAGAGTCCGAGGAGACAGCCGGAAGCAGCAAGATCATCGACCCCAATGCACAGCCATCTGATGCCACTGTTCCTCCCATCAATCCCCATGCTGAGGTTGCGGACGCCGAAGCAAGGCTCGCCGAGCTTGACGAAATCAACTTTGACGACGACGACGAGAGCAACCTGCGCGCCCACGCTGCCCGCAATGCTCAGGAAGCAGTGCGTCTCGCCAAGGAGAAGGCACAAGCTTTCGACGTCGCAGCGGCCGAAGAACGGAGACGAAATGAGGCTGCTGCTCGTGAACGCGAGGGGCTGGATGCAGGTCCCGGCAAGCAGATTGAGGAGAAGGACCTGGGCAAGGCCTTCGATTCAGACGACATGAATTTCCTCAACCCGACGTCGATGGGACAGAGCGACGTCAAGCAGCCCAAGATGCTTACAGCCCAGCTCAAGGAATACCAGCTGAAAGGTCTCAATTGGCTCGCCAACTTGTACGAGCAAGGTATTAACGGTATTCTTGCCGACGAGATGGGTCTCGGTAAGACAGTCCAGTCCATCTCCCTCATGGCCTACCTTGCCGAGGTGCACGACATCTGGGGTCCTTTCCTTGTCATCGCACCCGCCTCTACCTTGCACAACTGGCAGCAGGAGATCAGCAAGTTCGTCCCCACGCTCAAAGCTTTGCCGTACTGGGGCAATGTCAAGGATCGTGCCGTGCTGCGTAAGTTCTGGAACCGCAAGCAGATCTCGTACAACCGGGATGCTCCCTTCCACGTACTCGTCACCAGTTATCAGCTGGTGGTCTCGGATGAGAAGTACTTCCAGCGAGTCAAATGGCAGTACATGATCCTCGACGAGGCACAGGCTATCAAGTCGTCGAGCAGTATCAGGTGGAAGACCTTGTTGGGTTTCAACTGTCGTAACAGATTGCTCCTCACAGGTACACCCGTGCAAAACTCAATGCAGGAGCTTTGGGCGCTTCTTCATTTTATCATGCCTTCGCTCTTCGACTCGCACGACGAGTTCAGCGAATGGTTCTCCAAGGACATTGAGAGTCATGCCGAGCAGAAAGGCACCCTCAACGAGCACCAGCTTCGACGTCTGCACATGATCTTGAAACCATTCATGCTGCGTCGTATCAAGAAGAACGTGCAGAACGAGCTGGGCGACAAGATCGAGATCGATGTCTTCTGCGACCTCAGCGCGCGTCAGAAGATGCTCTACCGCGGTCTTCGAGCCAACATCTCGGTGGCCGAGCTTATGGATCGTGCAACATCGAACGACGAAGCTGGTCTCAAGAGTCTGATGAACCTTGTTATGCAGTTCCGTAAGGTTTGCAACCATCCAGAGCTCTTTGAGCGAGCAGACGTCCGAGCACCTTTCGCTCTAGCCGACTTTGCCCGCTCAGGTTCTTTGGCGCGCGAAGGCGACTTGCTCAACTTGCCTGACTCGACCACCTCATTGATCGAGCTGCAGGTGCCGAAGCTTCTGGTCAGAGAGGGCGGTCTCTTCGACCTGCCTGGTCACAATAGTCGCAAAGGGTTCGACACAGGCTACTTGCAGAACCTGTTCAACATCTGGCGGGCTCCTCACATTTACGAATCGTTGCAGCAGCAGCGTTCTCCGTTTGCCTCGTTGCCATTGATCGGCGTATCCTCGTTCGATGCCGAAAGAGCCTTCCGTAGCACCGGCATCAAGCGCATTCTAGCTGCAGCAGCAGATGAACGACGTTGGCGCTCGATCGAAGCTTTCGCAAGCGACGACGAGTTTGCTGCTGCTTCTATCCGACCCATTGCCAAGATGCTTCGACCGATGCCGACCAACTCGGGCAGAGCGCCTTCGCTGCTGATGCCGTTGGAAGAAGTGTCCGCTGACTACCGCCGACATTCTTACCTGGCCAAGGATTCAGCCCGTGCCGTGGTCGCACCAGCTGTGGCGCCGCCCATCCGACTATACAGCAATGACGGACCCTTCATGCAGGCCCAGGAACGCTTTTCACACGACCCACAGGTCTCGGCGACGTTGTTCGGTCTATCCCTTGAAGGGCGTGAATCGGTCAAGCGCGTGGAAGAGCTGCAGCGCGAGCTGCCAGACGTGCCTCCGCAAGGTGTGATGCGTAACTCTTCCATTGATCAGCTACCCTACAACGGCATGCAGGTCCCGCAGATGAACAAGCTTATTGTCGACTCGAGCAAGATGGCCAAGCTGGACGAGCTGCTCAGGGAGCTCAAGGCCAATGGCCATCGAGTCTTGATCTACTTCCAGATGACGAGGATGATTGATTTGATGGAAGAGTATCTCATCTACCGCCAGTACAAGTACCTGCGTTTGGATGGTGCTTCCAAGATCTCAGATCGACGAGACATGGTCACGGACTGGCAGACCAAGCCAGAGCTCTTCATCTTCCTGCTGTCAACCAGGGCCGGTGGTTTGGGTATCAATCTCACGGCAGCCGATACCGTCATCTTCTACGATCACGATTGGAACCCCTCGAACGACTCACAGGCCATGGACCGAGCGCATCGTCTCGGCCAGACCAAGCAGGTGACGGTCTACCGTCTCATCACCAAGGGTACCATCGACGAACGCATTGTTCGCCTTGCGCGAAACAAGAAGGAGGTGCAGGACATTGTCGTCGGTACCAAAGCTTACAGCGAGACAGGGATGGCCAAGCCGCAAGAGATCGTCTCGTTGCTGCTCGACGACGACGAGCTTGCCGAGTCGATGCTGCGCAAGAAGCAGGCCGAAGAGGCACAGAATGCGCAGGACAAGGCCGACTCTGCAAGGGCCATGGTGGCCAAACGTCGACTCAACAAGGATCGCGCCGCGGCTGCAGCTCGATCACCTGGGCCGGCGGCCAATACGCAATGGTCGCTCGAGGATGACGAGGACGACTTCTTTGGCGCTCGTCCACCTAGCAAGGGTGACACAGACACGGGCGAGACCACGCCGCAGCCTCAGTTAAAGAAGCGCGGTGGAGCATCGTCGTCGAAGCGTGGCAGGGTGAGCGAGGCAGTGTCGGAACGCATGACGCCTCTTGACTTGGACGGTGACGTCTCGATGGAGCCATCGCCCTTGAAAGCTGCGCCAGGAAAGCGAAAGTCCAAGAGCCATCGCAAGAAGACGGTCGATGAGCTGGCCGGCCTTGATCTGGATTAGGCGGCTCTCACATATTGCCCGAAAAGCATAGCATCACTCGCAGGTTGTCGCAAATTGCAATCGCATTCACATTGGTTTCCTTCGTCTGACTTGACTGTGACTTTGCATGATGATCAAAGGCAATTATGTTGAAGTGCGAGCAGCAGTGCACATGAGATCTGCTTCCTGACAGCCGTGCAGATCTCAGCGGAGTCGCTCGCAAGGGCAATGACGTGAAACAGGTGATTTGAGTGGGATCGCTAGCACCTCGAACTGAAGGCTCTCGATGTTGTGTTTTTGCATGATACGACTCGGACTGTGGAAGCAGTTCTTCCGAAAGATGCAGCGCAAGATCAAGTAAGATTTGCCACCCGGGTACGTAAAGCCTGCAAGCCACTTTTCTCTCTTGATCTTCTCCTTTGGCCTGTAAGAACGTTGGTGGCGGACCAATCAAAAGCGATTGTTAAGAGAACATGAACTCGCCAACTCGCGCCAGACTGCAATTGCGTTTCTGTAGCACTGAATTTGAAGGAGGTGTTGTTTGCTTGCATCTGACTCTACTGTGCTCTTTGCTCCTCCTTTGCAGTGATACTACAGGTTTACGCATTTGGACGTTTCATTTCACAGTGACCAGAGTGAAAAGGTGATATGGAAAAGGATATGGAAAAGGATCGACACCTTCCGTGGTGCCAGCACACAAAGGCGGAAGTGACCCTTTCTGGCTGCGGACAATACGATGGAGTTAAAGGTGGGATGGCAGCTTAAACCCGGTGAACAATGGCAGAGCAGGTGTGATGGTGCAGGATACAATGAGCAAGACGATGGAGAGACAGCAGGAGGAGAGCAATCTTGCTCGACTGAGCCGTGAAGGCTAGAAGGGGGAGCTTGGTTGGGATCATGCCATACAGTGAGCTCTGTCCTTTGTTTCTTGAGTCTTGAGCCTGGGCGCACTGGCTCTGAGGCAATCGCAGGTGTGCAGAAGGGGCAGTGAAATGCTGGCCGGAAAAAAGAACAGAATGAGACAAAAGGAGACGAATTTTGCTGCAGTAAGGGTAGAAGCCGATGCGGGATCCAGGTTTGACTTTGTGAACAAGCTTGCTTTCCCAGGGAAATCGGCCGTTCTGTGTGGTCCAGGGCCGAGGGAAGAGATGAGAAAGCGTTGGGTTCCTTTGGCTCTATGTAAAAATCCAAGTGCACTGTATGTGGTGATGTATGATTGCATTCATATATGCCCTGCTCTACTTGATCATACTTGCTCTGCATTGCAACAAACCAGTCTATCGAAGGAGGCGATTAAGTGCACTTTTGACTAGTGGAAACTTGAACCCTTCGGAACTGTGCCGACTTTCATTATGAGCAAGAGCGGATCAACCGATCGCGTACCTGATCAAAGAGGAGGAAGCAAGGCGAAAAAATGGTCCACGCCTTGAACGACAATAGGTGTGAGGGAGCAACCGGCCTGCCCGATGCTAACAAGATCGTTGTGATCCTTCGAATGGCTCGAACGAAAGAGTTGCTTCTTCTGGCATGCAGATCACGATTCGTAAGCGACGCTGCGTGTGCCTGACTCTGTGTGAAATTTGTCGTGGCGAGACCACTGATGTTCAGTGTGCCTGTTTCCCGTTTCCTGCTCGCTCCTCATTCTTCTTGCTTGACAAGCTCAAGATAGATATTTGGATCTCAGCGTATGCTGAACACTGTACGGATCACATATGTGCAAGCGCTATCGCCTGCTATCTTCCACTTGACTGAAAGCAGGGTCTCGACGGAATTGGGGACCGCTTCTGTCGAGCCCACCTGCCTTAGGACAAAGTGGGCAGAGGGAAAGTTGCATGCTTTATGAAACGCATTGCCGAAAGAGGCGATTTGCAAGTACAATATACTACACAATTGTATTACAACAACAAACCTGGATGAATCGGTCAACGGGACTTGGACGATCGCATACTTGGGAATTGCCTTTGACCGAGGCACAGAGAAAGCAGCATCTCTCTCTTCTCGTGCTGTCTTTCCGAGGCACTTTTTTTTTTCTTCTTTTTTTTTTTCTTTTCGAAATCAGAGCAGGAGAAGAAGGGACAGGAAAAGTGGACGGAGTTGAATTTTCACTCGTGTCAAACTTCTGTTCCGCTTGTCAGTTCATGCCTTTTTGCAATTTGCTGCACTTTATCAGAGGCACGGCTAGTTGCCGTCTCTTTGTGCCCTCGCTCGGATTCTAGCCCACCTTGGCCTAAAATGGTTTGACAGCTTGTCAAGCCGAGACTGACGAAAAGCCCCGTTTCTGATTCTGTGAAAGAGAAATCCGATTAATTGAAAAGGCACAGTCCCGCGCCTCTCGAATCGATTGAACTAAGTTAGCAGAGATCGAGGCAAGAAGGTGTCACGCGTTGAAGCGATGCGCCACTGTTCAGGCAAGCCCTTTTTCCATCAACTTCGGAGGGCCGAGTGAAAGAGAGGAGAGAGAGAGAAAGTGCCTGCTCAATTGAATGTGCATAGAGGCGAGCCGCTTTTCCCATGTAACTCTCAGGGCCCAGCCTTTTCCGTCTCGAATTCGAGTCTTTTCCTTTGTTGAAGATAGCATTGTGACACTGTGGAGACCAGACTGCCAGCGCCAGTGCTAGATTCGGATTTGTCTAGGACTGGCACATGCCTTGCTTTGCTTTCTGATTTTCTATTGCGAGATGCTCGGGCAGAAGGTTTGTCTACAAGAGAACAATCGCAATCCATCTCTCAACTTTGCTTCGCCGAGGCCTCCCGGGGCCTATGCATGACAGCAATCAACAACAAGGCACTGTAGCACTCTTGCTATGTAACTTGGGCAACTGATGATTGCAGGACTGGGCATTCACTGACGCTCTTTGTTCGGTTCCTGGATCGTTTCAAAGTGGCCTCTTCCCATACATCGTCGGAGTTGGAGGGAAACACTTGCTAATCACGCTTCTTTTCTTGTTTGACCAGCTTTATGACAGTACTTTCGCTGTTCTCCTGCTACGTCCGGTAACCCTTCCTCCGCCTCTACTTTTTGTATTCGCTTTTTGCACTTGTTAATGATGAAACTTGAAGGTGTTCCTTGTTTTGAAATGGAGGTCAACACTGCTATTGTTTCCTTACTGCCGCTCAACCGCCATGTGGGAAACACAGCCCATCCGCGCAGGCCGTCTCACTTTCCCCTTTCGATTCTCACTCTTCCGTCCTGTTCCTTTCAGTGCTGCACCTCTCCCTCTCTTGCGTCCGTTTCTGTTTCGTTCCTGTTCCTGGCTCTCGAGAGCATACAGCACTGTACTCTTCTGTTTTACAAAGTTCCACCGTAATTTCCCACTCTATTCGACCCTTTGGTCGGCCTTCTGTCTGCCAATCCGGTCCCCGTGGAATCCTCTCCTACTCCGCATCCTTCTCAACTGCCGCTCTCTACTCTGTCGTATCCTCTGCTCTTCTGCTTTGGTCTTCCATCCTTCAACCTCCTCCTTTTCTCGTGTCGTGGCCCCATCGTCGTCGTCGTCGTTTTCTTCCGCCTCCTCCTATGCTTGCTGCTAATCTGCTTTCTGGCACAGCTTCGTTCCCCGCTCCTTCTGCTCAGCTACCCTCTTTCGAATCATTCACATCCCTTTGTGCCTGTGCCATGAGAACACTCAACTTCAAAGTTCCGTCTCCGACCGCGGCCAAAAAGGTCGTACCGACCTGGATCCGCCTCCTTGTTTAGACGTTTTGCCTCTCTTCCCCTTTCCTCTTCACCTTTCCCTTCCCCTTCCTGATACACTCTCCGTCCACTTCCGCTGCTCGTCGTCCTTCCCCTCTTTGTCTCAACTCAACTCCGTCCACTTCCTTTTATTATGGATCCCTTCCCTACCCTCTCCATCTAACGTCCTTTTCCTGATGCTACGCTCTCCATCTTGACCCGTCCCCCTCCTCCTTCACTTCCTCGGCCTAGGTTCTCGCCATCCCTATCTTCACGACTTCATCCATCATCCATCATCGTCCTTGTCCTTGTTCACATACTCAGCTTGTCACCTTTACGCGTCCTCTCACTTCCAACGTACACACGCTTAATAACAGCATACAAACTACCCTCGGAGCTTCTCACCATCGGAGCTTGGTCAGAACAGTAGCAGTTACACCTCGCTGCTTTTTCCGAATCTTTCTTACACTGTCAGATGTCTGGTCACCCCGGCCCTACCTCAGGCGGCATGACGTACGGCATGGCTCCACCAATGCATCCGCATTACCCCACTCAGAACGGCGCCGATTCGGCTTCGTCTCTCCCACCTCAGACCTACCACCAACAGCAGCAGCAGATGAGCCAGTACAGCGCTTCCCAGATAAACTCCAATTTCGCTTACTCTAGCCAGAACTTCTACGCCCATCCTGCTCAGCATCACCCTAGCGAGGTCGCTTCCCAACAGGGCGGCTACTACTCGCACCACGCCTCATCACCACAGATGGACCCAAACGGTCAGCTCTACGCTGCCCACCAGATGAGCCATCCCAACATGATGAACGTTGGTCACTTCCACGGTCACCGCCCCGATCTCCTCGCACATCAGACCTACGCCGCGCTCCAAGGTGCTGGTATCCGACCCAAGCGCAGGCAGGTCAAGAACGCCTGTATCAACTGCCAGAAGGCATGCAAGAAGTGCGATGAGGGTCGTCCATGCGGTCGTTGTGTCAAGTACGGTCTCGTCGACACTTGTCAAGATAGCGCACGTAAGGAAAGGCGACGCGGTATCAAGCGTGGCCCTTACAAGCGCAGGGCCACCATCGGCTCGCAGCCTAACAATCCTGCCCTCTCTGTCTCTGGTCCCATGTCCAACTACGGGCGTGATGGTCACATCTCGCCTTCTAGCCGCAGTGATGGCATGCTTGGCAGCACTCCTGGTGGCGAATCGAGCTTCTCCAGCCCAGCATTCGGTACTCAGGTTCTTGTACCACGCCCACCCATGCCTCTCCAGATGCCTAGCAACGGATGGCAGCCCAGCGGCTCTAGCCCCAACGTCGATGACCGTGAGGGTTTGAGGGCAAGATACAGCCAGCCCGGTGGACCCAACCAGACCTCCTACTACGCTTACGAGCAGGACGCCGCACACCACGCTTACGACCGCAGCTCGTCGGCGCCGCTCATTCAGCCCGGAGGATCCATATTGAGTCCCGTCGGTCGTTTCCCCAACTCTGCCACTCCACAGTCGTCCACATCGCAGCTTCCTAGCTTGACATCGCAGTCCAACGGCAGCTACCTTGGCGGTGTCTACGGCAGCAATGTTGGCAACCGTCAAGGTGGTGGCATGAGCAACGGCTCTACTTCCTCGTTGATCAGCCCACCTTTGCACTCGTCTGTCTCCAACGCAAGCTTCCTCTCTGCTTCGTCAGCACCCAATGGCCTCGCACACCATCGTCTCCACTCGGACAGCAGCCTTGTCACTCTCAGCTCCAACGGTGCTTCCTCTTCGACCATGTCCCCGCGCACACCGCTCAACGGATCTGGTTCCGACCCTCCTCTCCTTTCGCCCAACGGCAACAAGATTTCTGGCTTCGTCCCTCCCCAACCTACTGTCCCTACCGCCGCAGGTACCTTCTTGCAGCAAGACACCACCCGGTTGTTCCCGCTCAAGATGCCCAAAGCCCCCACCCGCGGCCGTTCTGGCACCGGTGGCTCGTATCTAGACCAACAACCTCCTGCCAGCTACTACGGCAACAACTTGGCCCCTACCAACGTCAAGTTCCCCGTCCAGCAGCAGGGTCACCAGACCCAACAGCAGCAGTCGCAACAACAGCATCCGCAGCAATTCCAACGCTCCCCCTATATCGCTTTGCACGGTCTCGATGACCGAAGGCAGTTCTTGAACAACACAACACCAAGGATGGACCAACACATGTCGCCTAACCCCGGCAACAGCGCTGCCAGCAGTGCCATGATGTCGTTGAAGGCTGAACGCGATGTTGCTGGTCCCCCACCGGCGGCTCCTGCTGGCTCTCTCGGTCTGGCTTAAGATAGACTTGCGTTTCTTCCCACTTTGTACGATCTGTCCGCGACTCTCTTATTCTCTCTTTCCTCATGTACACAATTCTTCTTTGTTACCCCCGACTTCTTCTTACCTCACAGTAACGGTGTTTAGATATGATTGTTTAGAAATGGAATTCTTTGGCCCTCACTTTGTTCCTTGCTCTGCTTTGTGTTCCCACTCTCCAATCGAATCAAAGGTCACCCACCGCGTTGTCCAAGGATGAGAACTTAAAGGAGCGGCCTGGTTGGCATTATGAGACTCGACAACGGCGCGGGACGAGGAGGCCTGGGAGAACGGCCATAGAGAAGGCATGTCGCCGTTGAGCCGGAAGGAGCTTTGCGTCGTACAGCTCTGATCGTGTGTATATCAGGAGCCTTCCAGTCGCAGCAGCACCGAGTCGGGCGCGGGGTATCGTTGAGGGTATAAACACGGCAGGTCTAGATGGCGGTAGTAGCCAAGGCAATGGTCCCACACGTCTCATCATCGGAAACAGAAGCCGCCGGCAAACCATCCACTTTGACAGGGTGCAAGCTCTCGTCATCTCCTCAAGTGGGCGATGCATTGCCGCGGACTACACGACCTGCCAGCCCGACAGTGAAGCTGCAATACGGCCACTTCGACTTCCAAGCCTTTGCTCTTACGAAAGGTGAAATGCGCTGTTGTTGCAACGTAGCTGATTGGAGCTGGCAAGGAGAAAGTGCAGTGTTGGATTACGATGTGCGACGTCGATCGAGCCGAGCGTCCATAGAAAATCTCTGCTGAGCACAAGCACAGCAGCGAACTCAATTGCCGAGATTAGCGAGGAGCCAAAAAGAGATCGGATCTCGCCACCTTCTTCTCATCTTCAGGAATGGCTTTGCAGATCTCCTCGCACCATCGAGACAGAAGAGGGAAGGGGTATACAAGTAGATGAGGGAGATGAAACGCTTTCTGCGGCCACAGAACCTCGAAAGCACCGCGTCCCGTCCGATCTGCAAATTTAAGCAAGGTATCGCCTAATCAGTGGCTGCGGTGGAGGACCACGCAGGAATCTTAGGTGTTGCAGTTCTTTCTTCTTCTTTCCTTGCCATCTTCCTTTCTTATTTCAGCCAAGACCAGTCTACAGCAACAGAATCTATCTCACACGACGAATCACACTCGCACACAAAGCTGAGCAACATCATTAGATTGCCCGATAGGAATACAAACATGATGGAAGCGAGAAATGTCCCTGCTACCGCCTCCCTCCGACGTCCGGCCGCTACCGTTTTTTACGCGGACAGCGAGAAGGAAAGCGCCGCTAGGTTCAAGTTGTGAAGGAAGCAGCAGGCCCAACCTCACAGCCCAAAGGCTAGCTTAGGATGCTTGTCAGCGGTCTAAACTAAAGAATTGAACTGCAAGGTCGAGTGGATTAATCTTGGTCCCAACGAGCGCCACGACAACCCATTGGAAAAGGTAGCGGGTGACTCTATAAGCCAGGACCGTGTGCTCAGCACAGGCATTAAAGAGAAGCAGGAGGGAGAGGGTAGAGAAGGGGAGTCGGGGACGAAAGCTCGCACAGACGATGCGGCATCAGCAGGTAAGAGCTTTGTTGCAGTTTGCTCGTTGGAAATAGAAATACAGGTGTTCGTTTCGTTGGGGTATCAAAGGATTGTCGATGGGTATATAGAGGGGTTTAGCGTAATCAATCGTCTTCTTTGTGCGGGGGAGGGCCGCAAGGCTGCAGCATCTTTTCGGCGAGTTCGAACTTGACGCGAGCCTTGGACTCTCCGTCCGCGAGCGCTTGGTACGACAACAGGGGTGGGTGACCGATGATCGAGGCGCTAGTGTCCCTGAGTTGGTGTGTGATCCATTCGCTGTTACAAACGAAGCAGAGACAAAGACAGGAACAGGATATCCCGAGTCAGCGTGGACAGCTCTACATCAGACCGAAGAACACGAGAAGCGGCGGGGTATCGGGAGGCATACTCACTACTTCTCAATGTCAGCGTTGATGGTGCCAGTGTATCTGCTGTGCAGATGCTCCAGCTGCGAGGCTGCCGTATATCGCAGATCCGACATCCTGCGACGACTGTGTCTCGAATCGGAGTGAGAGAGGAAGAAAGACGATGTGGTGCTGAGCAAAGGGATTGAGGCTTGACTGAGCGAGCTTTGGTTGATCGCCATTTTTTTCTTCGTCTTCTTCTCAATCAGCACTTTTGCGATGCAATTTTAGAGTGACCCTCTTGTATTAATCAGGCTGATGTAATCACAGGCAGAGGCTTGAATATTGCGCCTCGTCAGGACTTTCGGCATGCTGGGATTTTTGGCTGCTGTATGCGCTCCGACCCCTGAAGCCTTGGAAATGCAGAGACACAGTTCGACAAGGCGCAGCAGAAGTAACACTTGGCTTCACTCCCAACACTCTGGCTGCTGGGCCATTGGCCCACACCTGCTTCCCCTCGCTGTAACTCGACAATGGAGCAATCCTGAGACCAGATGGACGATCCAACTCCTTACTGCGCCATAGACGAATTCCACACGGTTTGAAAGCCGTTCTAACGATCTCGATTGGCGCAAAGACTGCGTGTCTCGACCTATTTGCAGTCCACTTACTAGGATATGATCGACACAGCTCGTAAAGGCAAGTCTCGTCCGACTAGCTCAAGAGAGATGGATAGAAAAGGGCCATTACGGATGCTGAATGAGGCAGGCTGGGAGGATGAATATCATCTGCCGGTCAGCAGAAAGGGGGCTGCCATTTTCGAGAGACAGCTCGGACTTTTTGACAGCTGCACGCTGCATCTCGGCCATCACTGCCGAGCTACATTACTGCTTTCTCTCGGGATCAACACTTTCAGCCGCACTCATACAGTCTTGCCGATCCCACTCTCGGTGTTGGATGACAGCTGGGCTCGAAGCAGCCTCTGCTGTTTGCTTGACCATGCCCAGCTGTCCCATCTTTACCTGCTCAAGGCCCTCTAGAGAACCAGCATGTCCTCCCCAAGGGCCGAGCGTGCTGTTTCGGATCAGCATGCCCTTTTGCAGCCCCACCTGTCCACCAAGGTTGCCTTGTCGAGGCCACATTCGGGCATGTTCAATGCACCGCTAAGACGGTTCTGTACCATCGGCGCTTGTCCAAGCTTGCCTCCCTCGCCTGAATCAGCCTGCCTGCCAGCTAAATCGTCATGATGTGATGCAGCATGTTCTGCTCTCTGCGATCGCCGCTTCTGTATCCTCGCCTTCCTACTCTACCCTCTGGGACTCGAGTCTCGGCTATTGTGCAGCTTCGAGGACCGCCGCTGTGAAGCTCTGAAGTCTTGGTCGTCGTCCTCTTGCTCATTCGCCAAGCTCTGCCGGCGATCCTCGAAGCGACGGTCTTCATTGCAGCAAGTGCTTACCGACGCTTCACCTCTTCACCATAGCCCTAGGGCCTTGCTGAGAATTGCGATCGTCATTGCTAATGTCTTGACCTCTACTACTCACCCCATCAGCACCACCATCATCATCATCATCATTCATCTACTCTCCTACTCGCTTCAAAGCGGCGCCAGTCTGGTCACGACGGAACGCTTGTCTCTCTTTTGAGGGCGTCACCTGCACAGCATCCTTGCATCAGACGACCAGTACACACATAGCCCACCATGTCCAGCACAGGTGCAGCGACTGCTGGCGGCAGCGGCGGTGTTGGGACGCTGTCTACCTCTCTGCTGGCCGCAGCATGTACCGCCGTCGTCGCCGCAACTATTTTTGTCTTGGTCGCACTTAGACGCTATCTGAAGGGAAAGAAACGAAAGTCGATTATGATCGCCACTTCTCCAGCACCAGCATCAGCAGCTGCTATCTACGCATCACACATCAAGGCAAAGTCAATATCCACCGAAGACGTAGGAGAGCCACATCTTAGCTACGCGCCCCAACGCGCACTCAACGCCCAGCACGATCTCACCAAGATGTCTCTGGCACAAAAGACGGTCATCTCGATGCGTCAAAAAAGCTTCTTCCCATCAAGACCTTTTGCCGCGCCAAAGTTTCCAAAGGCAGCACTGCTTTCGCCACGAATGCAGCCTCCCCTGTCGGCTGATCTCCCTTCTCCATGTACACCAAAATCGCCAGGCCTTACGGAGCTCACCATGTCCCCTGGTCCCAGCATTCTCCTGAAGCCGGTAGTTTACGGCAAATCGCCAAGACTCGTATCGCCATCGTCATTCAAGAGTAGTGCTAAAGAGAAGAAGGAAGAGTCCCCGGAACAGAAGAAGAAAAACGCTCGCAGTGCCGTGCCTTCCTTACTCCTCCGCAGCCTGGGAGTTCTTCCGGACTTTTCAGCCAGCTCATCACAGCCCTCGATGAAGCAGGAAGAGAAGGAAGTGCTCGCTGATGACAAGAAGCAGACTGTAGAGCCCTCAAACGATGCCGATGAACCGTCATTGACACCTATCCTCGATCTCGGAATTGACTTTGGGAACGACGAGTCTTTTGAACACTCGCTCAAACTTCGTGGCGATTTCTCCTTCGACCAGAGCAACAGTGCTTGGCTCCCAGCTTCATCTTCAGCAGAATCCAGGAAGCAGAAGCAAGCACAGATGAGCAAGAAAAGCGTTGGTATGCAGAGCCTTATCGAGGCTCTTTCCCCTGCTCAGCCCGAGGCAGCGACGCTGCCAGGCTTCAAGACAAGCCCACCAGCTAAGTTGAGCGCGTTGCCCTCACCTGCGTCCTTCCGCTCGCCTCTACCAACACCACTACCTTCAGCTGGTCTGCCACCAGCACCAACAGGCGCACCCGTGCCGAATATGCCCTCGAGCAGCTCTCTGCAGAGCAAAGCTAGCCGACAGACAGCAGCGAGCGGTCCCTCGGCACCCGATTCGTTCCACAGCGCAACTGGCTCTATTGGTCAGATCTGCATCAACATGCCACCCATTGACATGGCTCCCTCTCCCCGCTTAGGCGCTTATGAGGAGCAAGAGGTCCTGGCATCGACGTCGTCCTTCCGTCCTCTGAGTCTCGGTCTCGGTCCAGCCAAAAGCCCATCGCAAGGCACGCTCAGCAACATCCTTGGCAATCTCCGCAGACCGTCTCGAAGTGAGGACCTTGATCTTGAAGCTGCCAATTCTTCCATCGGCGAGTCGTCAACCCTCCGATCGTACTCGAGTGACAACATGTCGTACAGCTCGTCGCAGACTAGCGTTGACATCGAAGCCAACACAAGCATTGGCAAGGTCAACATCGTGCCAGCTGCTTCCATCCCTCCCTTGCCACCCATGCCTGTTTCGCTGGCCAAGCTGGCAGAGGATAGGACTCCCCTGGCTCAGGCCATAACCGTCTTTGTTGAAGACAACAAATCCTTGGACAGCGATAAAGTGATGGCTCCTCCCAAGCAGCGCAAGCGCGCTTCGACACTCGGCGCACTCGACCGTCCCAAATTGGTCATGCCAGATCTGATGCAACCGCGTGCTGCCCCTATGCCACCCTCGGCCGTCATGGCTGCCAGGATGGGGGGGCTTACTATTCACGTCGAGTCGATCGAGGTCAACCGTGCCAGCCTCATGAACCTGAAAGCTAAGTCGAGCGACCACTTGCCTCTCAAGGACATCAGAAAGGGCGCTCCCATGAACTTCATGAGCTCCTACCACCGCACCCTTATCCCTGATCTGCCCACCGACAGCATGCACCTGTCTCCCGGTCTTGGAGCCGACAGTCCCATCCTCGCTCAGTTGAGCCCGAAACAGCGTGGCACCTCGCCTTCTCTCAGTCCCAAGCCCAGCTTTGCGGAGAACCTCAAAACGAGGCTCAGTCTATCGCGTAAGTCGGTCACCAGCTCGCCCGGCTTCAACTCGCGCAGCAGCACACCTCGCCTCAGCACCATCAACCAGTTCCCTCAGCCCAACGGCGAAGGCTTTGAAACGTTCGCAGTCGAAGCCAACGAGGCTTGCGCCACCGAGTCGACGCCAAAGATGAAGCCAAGCAAGCCGGCTAAGGCTGCTTCGCGACCTGCCACGAGTCCCGTCGTTGGGTCAAACGGCCTGGGCTTCAGCAGTCCTGCCATTCTATTCAATGGTCAAGAGATGGAGCCCACAAAGCCGCTGCGTCTCCGCAAACCAGGTTCGGTGGGTGGTCGCCTGGGAGGGTCACCAAGCTCAATTCTGTCTCCGACATCGGCATCGGCATCGCCAATGCTGCACGCCGATCACTGGGGCACTCCTCGTGCCGCTGACAAAAAGACTCTGACAGACGCGAGCCCTTCTTCGATCTATTCGCCACTCGTGGCTGGAGCCGAAGGTACTCACAGCCCTTCAGGCGAGCGCATCGAGTTCGGGACGGCTCACTCCAGTCCATGCAACACACCTGTTGTGCCAGCGACAGTAACGATCGCAGATGCAACCAGCCCTCAGATGGATGAAGCTACACCGCGACCCGCGTCTGCTGAAACCAGTGCGTTTGCGCACGAAGAGGAGCTCGAATACCTTTCTCATCGTGACAGCATGATCAGCGTCGCAGCTTCCACTATTAGCATTATGAGCAACAGCACGTGCATGTCCGACTTGATGGGTGAAGATCTCGAGCTTGCTGCTGATCGCCGTGCGAAGCTGCTCGCAAGTGTTCAGGAGAATCTTGCCAAAGCCAAGGTCAAGGATGCCAAGCGCGAAAGCTACGCTGCGAACCGATTCCGAAAGTCGCAGATGCCGCAGTCCTCGTCGCTTCACAACATCCCTGAGGTGCTTTCAGGTGGTGTTCAGACCATGGGGCTTGGCTTGTTCGAGAGCGAGGAAGAGGTTGAGGTGGCCGACGAGGAGGAAGAGGAGCGCGAGACGCTCGAAGACAGTCCCAAGAGCGCTGCTAGTGGGTATGGCCGCAAAAAGCCCAACAACCTGGTGCTGATGCCTCAGCACGACAGCCGACTCATTGGTCCATTGACACCTCCTCTCACGCCTGTAGATGGCACCGCGATGCAAAAGCAGTCGCGCCATGCAGCAACACCCTCAACTGGCTCGGCTTCTTCTGCTTCCTCGGCCGCGTCGGTGCCTCGCCGCATGAGGCCATCGCGCGGTGGATTGGCACCCCTCGACACCAGTGCCGCCAACCGTCTCTCGCCGGGTCCTGATAGTCGCGATGGTGCTAGTTCGCCTTCATCACTCAAGCTGCGGCCTTTGAGTCTTGCAGCAAGCTTGCACGGTGGGGATGGCAGCCCAATGAAGCGATTCGAGCGACCCGCTTTCTCACCTGCCCTCCCCGCCAACATCCCCAGCCCCAGGCCCGTTCACGTTGCTGCCCTCAGCGAGCGGTCTGCACGCTACAACGAGGAGGGTCGCAGCTCACGCAGCACAACTTACCGTCAAGGTGGTGTCCTGCCTACAATTAGCTCCAAAGGTGCACTTGGAACCGGTAGAGCTGGTCACGCTGAACCGTCGTTGACGCATTCGGACAGCACCACGTCGATGGGCTCTATGGCTTCGTCGCTCGGCTCCTTCTCAAGGATGAGCCACTTCCCTAGCCCTATCAAGTCATCTTTCGGATACAACAGCGGTGTGGGAAAGCCAGCGGCCATGCGCAGTGGCATGGGATCGCGAGACAGCGTCATGTCTGACATGCCCGAAATGCCTAACTTGACCAGCATCCAAAGCTTTTCCAGCAGCAACAACACTCACACCATGGTCGGTCGTCTTGCGTACAAGACCAGCGATCTCTCCGTTGCCTACTGAACACCCACTTTTCTTCAACACCTCGTTCGTTGTCACAAACACATTCTTTTTGCTTTGTACTATCGTTCGCTAGATCACTTCCTCCTACCGTACACTTCTTAGTCTCTCCCTTGTAGACGGAAAGCTGGGAAAAGCGCACGATGAGGACATCACCGGGAGACTTTGCCTCCAACGAGATCTGTCTCTCTCGCAGCTTCACCCAAGCTTTCTCTGTCCTTCGTCCGTATTGCCACACTCTCTGCGTCGGATCCCACTCACATCTGCCTCTCTTTCTCTTTGGAAGATTGAAGGCAACATACATTCTCTCTTAGCAGTCTCTCGTTACCACTACTGTATCATACAATTGCAGGAAAGAGCCGTCATCGTACGGCGTTGCACCATCTACTGTAACCGATATCTGTCTGTCTGATTGAGCAGCGTGACAACTCAGAGGAGCGCTTCTCGCAGCGACACACTAGAGGCGCTGAAATTTCGATTTGTTAGGATGCGGGTCGTCTCACATCTACTTGGGAAAATCAAAACTGTATAGTCGAAGCACGTGCAAGAACCGGCCGACTTCAACTCTCGACCAGAATACAGTGAAAATTCGACTGAACGCGCTGTGCCACCGCCAATTCAAATGACGGCGATATCGCAGCGAGCAGGCACAATTCCTTGACCCAGGCTGGATCACCACAGCTCAGCTCAGCGCACCCCAACCTCATCTTCTCAAAGAAATTCGAGATCGCCGCCAGGAAAGGCTGCAAAATTTCCGCTGCTCGTCCGGTACCGAAGCCACTCAATCTCACACACAGGCACGCAGCAGCAACAGGGACAGCAGCAGCAGCAGCGAAGCAGGGCAGTCGAACGGAGCTGGTCATCATCAGCGTTTCTCCATCCTCACCATCCTCAAGACTCATCACAATCTCCCCTTCGTTACCTCGTCAAAATGGTAGGTATCGCATCCGACACATATTTACAACGCATCAGAAGATACCGAAATGATACATGCATGCACGCCAGTCCGACTCAGCCACCTGAAGACAGCACGAAGCGTCGACACTCTTCAATCGCAGCAGCACCAACATATAGCATTCGACAAAAAACGCATACTTTGCAACTTGACTGAAGCAATCCATGAACCAGTGTTGATCAGTCGATTGCATGGGAGAAGAGTCAGGGTGATAAGGTCCAACAAAGACGGCAAAGGAGACATACAGCAATCGGACGCAAGGTTTGGATATTTGATACACACATATCAGCAACGACGGGTGAGACAGTTCGCCCTCCGGGCATGTTGTAGAGGCGACGCTGGTACTACTCATGTTGATTGCGTACACTTCGAAGACTTGCAAAGAATAAGATGTGAGGAGGGGCAAATCTTAGGACGTCACAGTATCGGCTGGTCAACCTATGTTGCATGGGTAGATAGGAACTGGATGAAGAGCAAACCATTCCATGGACCCGACGACTGCATTGCTTCATACACATCGACATTATCACATCGTCACCGACATCGTTTCACATCAACAAAGAAATCTTGACCTCACGTCGACTTGGATTTCCAGCATCACCACCGCATCCTTGCACAACTCTTCGCACTCCTCCGACCTGGGACCAGCATCTGCATTGCATCGTTGTCATCTCGGCCTGCACCAACACATGTCTGCCCAATTGCACAACTCAGTACAGCCACGCTCACATATCACACCACCTCTCTCCTGTACCTTTCAACAACAGGTTGTTAAGACATTCGATCTCCAGGCGAAGTCCAAGGCTGACCTCGTCAAGCAACTCGAGGAGCTCAAGACCGAGCTGCTCAACCTTCGTGTCCAGAAGGTTGCTGGCGGTTCGTCGAGCAAGATCCTCCGCATCAACTCTTTGCGCAAGGACATCGCTCGTGTTCTTACTGTCATGAACCAGAAGCAGCGTGCCAACCTTCGCGAGTTCTACAAGGGCAAGAAGCACCTTCCCCTTGACCTTCGCTCTAAGAAGACCCGTGCTATCCGCCGCAAGCTCAACCAGGTAAGCATTTCACACCATCGACATAGGAGATTGAAGTAGACAGCAAATAGCAGACAGTAACAGTAGAGGCAAACGAAGCAACCGAAGCAGTCGACGTTGACATCAAGGTATGGGATCGGAGGTAGAATGTGACCAAGCAGACGTCCCTGGGACTAGACAGAACCCCACAAGCATCAAATGGTCCTAAGCATGATGGTGGTACGCTGGCTTTGATCAACGATGCACCCGTGATACGCACAGATAGGTCGCAGTATTGCACGTACTTCAAAGACGTCTTGTAGCAAGAGTAATGACTCGACAGGAGCTATTCATTGCATCATCACACGGTTCGACCGTCCACTTCAGCACGAATCATGCCGCTCCGGTCATCCAACCGGCCCTGCTATCTTCGATCTGCTCTCTCACCTTCGTCTCCCTTCTTCATACTCCCCTATTCGAACTTGTCACTGACCCAACTCTTTCCTTCGTCCCCCCTTTCTCACTCTCGCAGCACGAGCGTACCCGCATCACTGAGCGTCAGCACAAGCGTGAGATCCACTTTGCTAACCGCAAGTTCGTTCTCAAGGCATAAGAATGCACTCTTTCCATTTATCACAAACACCTTTCTCCCCTTCATTACGAGGTGTAGGTAGGAATCCGTCTGCGTCACGTTTGTTACACTAGCCTCTTCTTCACATACGCATATGTACGCATTCTCTCAACACACACACACACACACACACACACACACCCAAAAATACACATGATCTTCCTTGTGACTCCCCTACAAAAGGGCTGTTGGTGGGATTGACTTGACTCTTTCACTTTCTCATGATCTTTTATATGACTGTGTGTGTTGGTCTGTGAGACGAAGCTGTGGCTTCGGGTTTAAAGTCTCGAGATCGGAGGTTTGGCTTGAAGGATCTGAACGGGGATTCCAATCAGAAGTCCTGCGTGGGTCAAAGTTCAAGGTCAGATATGAGAACCAGTTGCTTGATAGCATCCCGGCTGAAGACCTGATGCATGCCTTAAAAGCCATGCTTTCGACATCTACAATTCCGTAACATGATCCGACAGTCATCAGAGACGGATACAGGTCATCGTGTTGTAGTTGTTGCTCATCAAATCGTAAGTGAATGCGTCTCAAGCATCAATCTTTCCTCTCGTTGACCTAGAGGTTGGAAGTGCCTCAATGCAGAAATAACTTATTCACCATGCCCTGCAGGTGTTGCGGACGAATTGACAACTCCATGGAAACCAACCTCCTACTGTCAGCGCTTGCTCCAGCCGTCCAGAGTTCATTCCTGTTCTCATCCGTCTCGCCAATCACTATTCTCTTGAGTCATGGATACATTTTGAATGTTGAGTAGGGATCAAGCGCGCAACCGAGGCACAAGTCGAAAGTAAGAGTATTGATGCCGTATGAATGTCAATTGCGAACCTGAGAGCCAATGAGTGTGTTTGTTTGATAGGTGAGAGAGCTTTAAGCACCGCCGCTGGAAGAATAGAAGATGTGAAGTGGGAGATGGGTATGTAAGCATGTGTCTCCTTTCCTTCCGAGCCGGTAGACGGTTGGCGTAGATGTGAGGATACTTACACAAGCTATGATATGATCAACCGCAGGTTTTGATGGCAGAAGAGGGGGCCAGGATGGGAAGCAGGAGTAGGGGTCTGTCAGCAATCTATCATCTAGAGAGCTGGCGATGAGTGGGTGTAATTGTGAGACTTACGATCGAGTGAATTGGGATGTGGATCTGATATCGCCGGAGTCGTCGTAGTTGTCGCAGTGACAGAGTGGAAAGCAAGGTCGTCAGTGACTGGTCCATCGTTTGCACAACATAGTCCGCCCGTCGCAGTGTCTTTCTTTCTATGAAAACGCAGTCTTCGCTCCTTGTCGTGCTGGAACTACTGCACGTGGTCGATACTTCTCCGTTGGCGTTCGGTATGACCTTCGATGCTCTTCAAGAGAGGGCTTTTGTCGAAAGGGCGGTTGATACCTACAAGCTTGACAAAGTACCCAATGAAGCCCATCACCACAAACCCAAGGCCGACCGCTCTGCAGATCTGAATATACTCTGATCAATACCAAGCGAGCGCAACCATCGCATCAAATTAAGGATACACTTATTGTCAGTACTTGAATACTTCTATAATACCATCTCGGAAGGACAAGGGTGGATACCTTTGCGGTTAGGCTTTGTGCAGCGGTTCACAAAGTGAGTTCCTTCACGGAAGAAGTTTTGTGGGATATCGACGATCTCTTTGATTGTGTCCGACATTGTTGCAAGCGGGAGAGAAGAGGGTATAGATGGTGGTGTGAAGACAGAGGTTGATAGAACGTGGAGCGTTTGATTTGAGATCTTCTCAACGGCGGCATAGAATGAGAGGGCGTATGCTTTGGGCTTTTGGCGCCACGTCGTCCCCGTTGTCGGCCAATAAAGGATAGGATTCTCCGCATTCATCTTCTTTTCCACAACCAAGCCTGTTGACTTGCACAGATGTAACATGAGCAGGGAAATTGGCGGTTCCGATTTGAGTTGCTCTGTAGGCAATTTTTGAGAAGAAAAGTTGAACAGCACAACTCTTACACCATCATACTTTCTTCTCAACACCACCAATCGTCTCCTTCCATCATCATACACTCACGGCATTGTCAAAGATGGCTTCTCTTGTCCGCAAAAACCTGCGCTCAGCGCTTCGCTACGCCTCTTCATCCTCCGCGCCCGTTGCTTCCAGCAGCAAAGTTCAACTGACCCCAACTCTCGCTCGATACAACTCCACATCTTCAACTCCTTCCTCATCGGAACCCACACCTTCTGAAGAACCCTCGTCAAATGGCCCAACTTCAGTCAAATATAGCTACTTCGTCCCTCGTGTCGGAAAAACCCTCGACTCCTTCCCCGTCTACACCGACATTCGCAATGGCGGCACTCGCACAATCACCGAGTTGCGCAAAATCCAAGGTTCAATCGAAGACCTCAAAACAGACCTCTCCGTTTTTCTCGCTGAAACATACGCCACTGCAGATCCAGAACTCAACAATGTTGAATCGCCGTTGAAGGTGAACAAGAAGCCTTTGAGACCTAGAGCAGGGAGGAAATTGGTGGAGAAGACTGGAAACCCTACTTATATGGATCCCGTTCAAACAGGAAAAGTGCAGGAGAGCGGAAAGTTGAAGATCCGAGGGAACAGGGTTGAGGAAGTGAAGGCTTTTTTGAAGTCTAGAGGGTTCTAGGCAGAGGCTTCCACAATCGCACCAATTGGCTGCTTCAGACACTGTGCTGTAAGAACCACGTCCGGATGATTTATGTACTCATATCACATTCACGACCATTTAACAACCTTACAGAAGTAACATCACAGACCACACACAAGCTCTCAAGCAATCATCGCGAATGAAGTCACAAGGTAAAGACATGCATTAAGATGCACACTAGATGCAACATGAGTGCTGCAGTTCAATCAAACCCAGCACCAGATCTCTGCTTCTTCCTCTTATTCGCCTTATTGTGTTTCTTGCTCCCTGCCTTCCCCTCGCCCGTCGCACTCGCCGCAGAATTCTTGATCACAGTCCCATCGTTTGCAACCCTACCCTGAATAGCAGCCTGGGGCAGACCCGTCCTACCCACAATGGTCGGCTTGGACGAAGCCATAGTATCAAAGAAAGCCGAATCGATCGCTTTCGATTTCGCTGACTGACGCGGCACACCCGAAGCTTTGCGTCTTGTTTGCTCTGCAAGTTCGGCTTGAATGTCTGTATCAAGATCGTCGAGATCGTCCGCATCGTGTTCTGCGAGGTGATGAGCTGTAGAGGGGTCATATTTGCGTCCGGCAAGAGCTGCACGTGCTCGTTCTCGTTGAGCAGAGTTGTAGAGGTCCGGATCGATTCCCGGTGGCGGGTGACCGTAGAGGAGCTTGGCGTTAACGTAGTCTTTGAGAACATATCGAACGGCACGGGACTCGTCTGGGTTACCTTGACCTTGACGGGTGAATCCTCGTGCTACGGCGTAGGCTGTGAGCATCTCCAGACCTGTGGGGATACCATTTCCTCCCTCTTCCTCTGTCAGTGTCTCGATACGAATACCATATGTTCCCTCGACAATGTCTTTGGGAATGCGCTTGGCAACCAACTCGGCAGGAGCGGTGTACTCGCGCATCTGATCGATGGGCAGCACACCGTCGCAGACCAATTCGGCTGACGTCGTAGCGAATTGCGGGAAGACGAGACCTGGACAATCGCACAGGACGGTGGTGGGCGAGAGATGGATGGTTTGGAAATGCTTGGTCTTACCAGGAGTGGAGGAAACCGAGACCTTCTTTTCACCGAGCAGAGCGTTGATGGTGGACGATTTACCGACGTTAGGGTAGCCGACAAGACCAACGACGAGTTTGGAGGGAGCAGGCTGACCATCGATGGCAAAGTCGTCTAGAGGAGGAGCACAGGCCATGAAAAGCTCTTCGAGTTCGAGAACGTTGAGCACGCGTGTTGGGTCGCGAGTGGCAGAGAGAGTGGTAGCGGCAGTAGCGGTGGCAGCATTGACAGCGTCATCTTGACCATACTTCTTTTCTGCAACGAGATTGTCGCGGACGGTGGCATGAGAGTGGTCGTTCACACGATCAGTGGCTTCTTGACCGACAAGTGGCTTTGCGTCCTTTGCACCTTCGCTGACAGCAGCAGAGGCAGCAGCACGAGCGTGCTCCTCGTTTTCGTCATCTTCCTCCTCGTCATCTTCGTTGCGGGACTCGGAGAGTTTGAGTTGTTCAAGACGCAGTCGCTCCTCCTCCTCCGCTCGGGCAAGCTGAATAGCAGCAGCGTTAGCAGCACTGAAGAAAGCGTACTGAATGCCCTGAGCATCAAAGTAGTCAGCCCAGTACCTTCTCTGCTGGTCATCTAGCAGATCAGCCTTGTTGATAAGTAGCAAGTTTCTCCTGGGTCCCTTTTGTTCTGATTCCTCACCAAGGTACTCCATGCCGTTTGTCGAGCCAATGCCAAGACTGGCAACGTACTTTTCGAGATCCTCACATCGGAAACGAAGCGGATTCCTCGCATCGACGATTTGTACAACGAGATGGCTGCGCTCGATAACACGCCAAAGCTGACGCCAAACCTCCAAGTTCCTCTCGAACGGTGTCAAAACGAGACCGACACCCTCCTGAAGCTCTGCAAGGCCTCTCCTCCACTCTAAGAAACCATCCTTTTCGGCCCTCTCGAGCTGCGCGCGTGTGGTAGTGCTGTCCCACTCCGGTCGACGAGGCACACGCAAACGTTCCTTGTTCTGAACATGCTTTTTGAGCACCTCCTGCTCCTCCTGTCCTGTAAGCAAGTATGGGTTGTGACGGGTTCGTTCTCGGTTGGGAGCCGTAATGACAGTAATACCGCTTCGTCGTTCGGCGGTGAAATCAGCGTCGGCTAGCGAGGCAGTGTTTAGGAACTCTTCCAGATCTCCCTCGTGTGTGACTGATCGTAGGTTGGAGACGGAACCGTAGTTGTTAATGTCGGTGGTGTGGAATTCGGTCTGGTTACGCTGCTTTGCTTCCTTTGCTTTGCGGTTGAGAATGGCTCTTCCGAGACCGACTGTGTTCTTGGACTGAGCGAGCGGCATTTTTGCAGAGGATGCAAGCCGCAGCAGCTGAGTCGAATAGGTGTGGTCTTGTTCGGTGGTGGTGATGAGAGTGGCAAGTTCGAGCTATTTTTTGTCAGTGAATGTATTGGCTCGCACTGTGGCTTAGCGTCCAAGAAGAACAACTGCCAAGGTCGCTCGACTGAGCCACGCTCAGATTGACTGACCTGCTGCCTTGTATTTATTTGGAAGCAGAGCCGAAGAAAAAGAAGAAAAAGTACATCACGAAAATTTTCGGCTATCCTCCACACGGCGGCTCAAAAACCTGTGGTACTCTTGACCCTTTTTCAGCGCTTCACAAGGCAACCACATTTCAAGGCTTGACAACGAGGACCTTCATCTCTTCTCAACCTCTATCACCACCTCATCATACGCCTGAGGCTCACTTTCAGCCATGGATCCGACACTCAAATTGTTGACGCTCATCAACGTCAGCGCTGCCCGACCAGGCAAGCGGCAGCGCTCATCCAACCTCACTCACTACGCCAAGATCACCCGCAAAGCTGTTGCTGCACAACAAGCAACCGCTTCCACCTCGAAAGCCGCTGCCGCCTACTCTCCTTCCAAACGAACAAAGGCTGCATCTGCGTCCAGCTCGCCAAGCAAAGTACAGAATAGCACTGAGCTCATTGGTGAAGAATCGGATGATGACAACACAGAGGTGTTCGACCGCACTGCCACCACCTCGCCCACGGGCAAGAACCAGAAAAGCAGCAGGCAGCTCACCGCATTCGACGCTCACTTTGGCAGCGAAGGCCCGCATGCACAAGCGATCGCGAAGCTGCCTGAGTCCCAGACCACCTTGTCATGGTCCACCTCCCGCTCCACCGTCCCCGCGTTCAACAGCAACCTTGTCATCTCGAAGCCCAGTCTGCCAGACTTTGACACACAGCAGTACTCAGGTCAGCCTCAAGTGAAGGTTCTCGATGCATTCAATGCCTTCACCTCCAAAAAGTACTCTGAGCCAACAGCCTTGCATAAAGCACTAGCCACCACCCTCGGCAGCTACGCCGACTTCTGCGATGTCAACGTCTCCCTCCGCGACCGAGCACAGTACCGCGAAGTCACTGCCATGCACGCCATGTCCCACATCGCTAAGACTCGTCGTCGAGTCCTCAAGAACAACGAAAAGCTGGCCAAACTCGCAGCCTCCAGTTCTTCCGCAGACCAAGACGACCTCGATTTGCGCGACCAGGGATTCACCCGTCCCAAAGTGCTCATTCTTCTTCCCTTCCGCAATTCTGCACTCGAATGGGTCGATCTGCTGACCAAGTTCAGCTTGTGTTCGCAAATCGATAACAAATCCCGTTTCAACAAAGAGTACAACCTTCCCGAGGGCGCCGTGGATAAACTAGCCGATCCTACCGTTGCAGCAAAGTACCCAGAAGACCACATCGCCAACTTTGCCGGTAACATCGACGACTCGTTCAAGTTAGGGCTCAAGGTTACAAGGAAGAGCTTGAAGCTTTTCTCTGGCTTCTATGATTCGGATGTGATCGTGGCTTCGCCATTGGGATTGAGATTAGGGATTGAAAAGGATCATGGAGATAGTGATTTCTTGAGTAGTATAGAGATGGTGGTGGTGGATCAGACTGAGGTGATTAGTATGCAGAATTGGGAGCATTTGGAGTTTGTCATGTCCAGATTGAATCATATTCCGAGACAGAGTAGGGATACTGATTTTAGCCGGGTTAAGCAGTTCTATTTGGACAACAGGGCGGGGATGTTCCGTCAGACTATCCTTCTTTCTGCGCACGACTTCCCAGCACTGCGATCGGTCTACAACCACAATCTGAACAACGTCGCTGGTAAGATCCGAACCGTCGCTCATACCGAGGAGAAAGATGCCGAACTAGCTAGGGGTACCAGTGGAGTCAGACAGGTGTTCACTCGATTCGAAGCGGCGAACCCCCACGCAGAGCCAGATTTGCGTTTCCAGCACTTCACAACAAAGACACTCGCTCAGCTATCCAAATCTGCCGTTTCAAGCAGTCACACCCTCATCCTCGTCCCGAGCTACTTCGACTTTGTTCGCCTCGACGACTTCCTCCGATCGCACAATGAGAAGCGGAAACCGGGCGAAACAGCAAACCTTTCCTATACCAGCATCTCTGAATACTCCACTCCCAAGGATATTCGAAGAGCACGTGAAGCGTTCTTCTCCGGCAAGAAAAGGTTCTTGCTTCTCACGGAAAGAGCACACTTTTACAGAAGGTCCAAGTTGAGAGGTGTAAAGACAGTGGTGTTTTATCAGCTACCGCAGAACGCGAGGTTCTTTAGTGAGGTGTTGAAGTTCCCGTTCATCACTAAGGGCGATTTGGCCGGCGGGAAGGGTAAGGAAGAGGAAGAGGAAGAAGAGTTGGACGCAAACGAGGTCAGTGCGTATGTAGTGTTCAGTAGATACGACTTGATTCAGTTAGAGAGAGTGGTCGGTACGGAACAGGCAAAGCAGATGGTGACTGCGGATAAGGCCACTTGGAAGTTTGTCTGATCGTATAGCATTCAGTCACACTCAATTTAATCAGTCACACATTCCTTGACTCCTTAACTTGTCTGATCGCACTCAATTGCTGAGTGCGAATGATATGAGCGATTGTCCTATGTCTGCGTCGGAGTAGCAAGAGACTCCAGTCTCGCAGCGACGTGTCTTGGTACAACGTTCACTACGCTGCTACAGACCTCTGCTGCAAGTGCGGGATGTGAGCCAAAAGTCTCCAGAATGGTGCTCACCAGATCTTCGAGCAATTGAAGGTGAAGTTTTGCCACCGTTGCTGCCGCCGACTCTGTCGAAGAGAAACTGACGACACGAGACCACCTAACTAGGTTCTTCAACAAAGCATTGACCAACTCCTGTGCAACTTCTCTGGCTACCTGCTCTTCTCCCCCTGGACCATATTGCACTGCTGCTGGCCTCAGTACCTCCTGCAAACGCCTCACCTGAACCCCAAAGGCCCTAAGATACGCCTCAATTAAACCCACACACCTCGCATGCCCGTTCCCGAGTACAGTTTGCACAAGGTCCACCGCTTCCACTGCCTCCCTCGTCTGTCTTTCCGACCAAGGCGAGTACACCCCCTTATTCGCCAACTGAATCAATTTATCCACCAACACTTTGCTCAGGAGAGAAGACAGCACCTCTTCGTCCCCTCCTATCGGATCTGCTCCCGCATGGTCTGTGTAGTCAGAAGCACCATTAAACCAGCTGAAATGGGCTATCGCTTCCGCGCCACTCTTCCACCCTGCCTCGTTCTCGCCTTGAGAAGAAGGAAGGGTGTCCCATGGGATCATCTCGCATCGAGCGTAAAATTCCCATATTTGGGCTACCGATAGTCCGCCCCAGACCTGTGAGTATTCTTCCGGGTAGAGTCGACGCCAGTCTTGGAAGCGGGAGACTACACTTCTCGGGTGAAATTCCTCGAGCCTATGCGACGAGGAGAGGAAGGGGAGCTTGGAGCAAATGGTAGAGGCCGTGGCTGCGGGATGGAGGTATTCCGGTGCTTGAACTTCGGAGAATATGTACTGGAGCTTGGAGAGGACTGATTGCCGAGCGAGGCTATATGAGAGTTCGTCGGCTGGAGTGAGTTGATCCAGCTGCAAGACGTCGTGAACTTCTTTGTTGCGAGCAGTCTCGATAGTCGTGTCCATCGCTTCCTCTTCCTCGTTTTGCTCTTTCGCGAAATCAGGTACGACGCTTGAGCTCGGCCTCAGTCCCAAGCCCTGCTCCAGCTTGTCTTCGAACCATTGCGTCCTTTTCTTACCCAACATCCTAGTCCTTCGTGCAGCGAGTTCAACCGCTTCAGTCTCCAACACCTCCACCTCATCCATCTTCTCCTCCATAAAACGTGCCAAACTGCCCACAAACTCATCTAGTTCGTCAAACCAGCTCGCTTTCTCCTCCATCGCGACCACGTCTAGCTTGTTCTCCTTCTCAGCCTCGTCCAGCGTCTCGAGCTCTTTCGTTGTAGACTTGACCACAGCTTCGGATGCAGAGGTGCTTTGTTCCAATGCTCGTAGAGTGAGCGCTAGACGGGTGGAGCAAGTGCCAACAGATGGCAGCGGCGTTGCAGCAGGAATGGATGCCGGTGTGAACGGAGATGGCTCTCTCGATTGAGCCCTGGACGAGCTTGTCGAATGTGCAAAAGGTTGTGTTCGGCTGAGCTGTGCCCGTTCCCACTCGACTTCATCCTCGTCCACCTCCTCTTCTACCGGCACATCAGCGTCTTGATCAAGGTCACCCCGGACAGCTGCTTCCATCTCCCTCCTCTGCCTTTCTTTCCACTCCTTCTCCGCTTTCTCGCCGATAGGAATGCGTTCGGTGGCGCCCGTGTATTCAGCAAACTCTTCCTCGCCATCGCCGAATTCGTCTTCTTCCCTCTGCAGTCGCGAATGTGGATGCGGGCCATCGTCCACCTCCATCCGATTGCAGCTCTTCAATGCGGAGGAGGTGGGGTTGGGAGCGATGGAGATGAAGTCTTTTCCAGCGGGAGCAGCAGCACGGAGCTTTGCACGCTTCTCTTTGGCTGCTCGGATAACGCTTTCGCTCGGGATGGAGTCATGTGCAAAGTCGGATGGGAACATGGATCGTGCAAGGGCGTCGTCGTCTGTGGGGTCATCGAGGGAGATGTAGGATGTCTGTGCTACCATGGGGTCGTCTATGCGTGTCCCGGGTCCGAATGTGGTTGGTGTTGGGCTGTGTGCACGAGACCGAGTGGTGGGTGTGGATGACCGGAGCTCGTCGAGGTACTTTGATGTGTACAGGTTGGAAGTATTGCTGGGCGTTGCTTCTGCTGCTGCGATGTCTGGTGGTGGGCGTACTTGTAATGATGTCGGCCGGATCGATATAAGCCTCTTCGGAGTACCCTCTGTTGTTGACGAGGCAGCAGCAATGCTCGTGCCGGCCTTCCGAGCATGCTTCCCTGCGATGTTGAGTTTGAACCGTCGGATCTCAAATGCATCGGCGTCGTCTTGATCCTTATCTTCGTCCATTGCGCTGGCCATTGGCCACTCTCCCCTTGAGGGAGCTTTGACTATTGTTGAAGTTGCGGATGTTGGCGTCGCCTTTGCACCTTTCGCCCGTGTTCGGAAGACGACGTTGGACGGGCCTGCATCTTCGTCTTCTTCCATGTCAATTGTTGATAGGGTGCGGCGTGGCGTCGTCGACCTGGAAGTTTGCTCGGATGTTCTTGAAACATCATCGCTAGCTGAAGCCAGCCTCGAGCTGCTAGTTGAGGGGCCGGCTTTCCCGTCATCGTCATTGTAGGAGGAGCTGATTCGAGCGGCCGAGCTTCTCGGTTTGCTCCTCTTGACGAAGCTAGCTCCATTGCTCATGTTATCTGAACGTCTGACCGCATGGAACTAGATCCGAGGATGCTAGCAAGAACGGCGCAATGCTACTTTGAGACAAGCCGGGTTCGCAGGGTTGTGTGTGCTGATTGTGTTAGGTCAGGAAGAAAGCTTCGATAGCTGCACCATCCTCCACTCAGAAAATCACCGAGATCCGAAATTCTCATAGACCCTAACTTCGTTGCCGTTTGTTGCTCACACGACCTTCGATAGTGTAGTGAAGGGCACTCAAGACATACAGACGATTACGCATTCAAGCTAGATCGAGTTTGGATGTTTGAAGTGCTTCATTGAGCTCGATGCAGAACAAGATACAAATACATAATGGATTAGCACTGTGTGCTATACTTAGTTTTTCCGAGGCAATCCGAAGCCCCGTCTCACACCTTCTTCTTGAGCTTCAACTTCAGTCCTCCACCGCCAGCAGGCGTTGGCGTGCCCGTACCAGGCGCTGGGCTCTGCGATGGAGCTGGCGAATCTCCCGGCGTCTGTGCCGCAGGAGTCATTGGTGTCATCGGCCCTGCACTGCCAATACCGATACCCATGCCCATGCCCGGACCAAAGAATCCGCCTCCACTCGCCAAATGTGGCATACCCGGCCTCGCGCCTCCCGCCGGCGTACCCGGTGCATTGCTTCCGCCCGCAGCTCCGCCAGCACCGTTCTTTCCGCCGTCCTTTGGGAACATGGGACAAGAGGTGTTGGTCGACATATGACCAACCTCTCCGCAACGACCACACCTTCGCTTGGTGTCGGTCTTGTTGAGCAGACTCTTGTATCCACCTGGAATGGCAAGACCTTCGGCCGCGGCTTTGGCGTTCTTTCGCTGAATACGACGTTCTTGGTTCTTCTTACGCTGAGCAAGCTCTTCTTGGAGTCGCTTCATACGGGCCATGTCGATGGCGGCATCACCTGTCGGCAAGAGATCTTCGGTAGCGATGGCTTCGTCTTCGATCTTCTTGCGCTGCGTGAGGTAGGCGTTGATGACGGCGGGATCGCGGACCATCTCGCGCTGCCACTTGCCATTGACAAATCGTCGGATACATAGGACCTTTGTTGACTTGTCGCCACCGTCACCATTGACAGTGCTCATAGCACCGGGACTACGGTCTCGACGGACAGATTCGCCTCGGCCGCCATTGCGCGCCTCCGGCTTGCCACCGTTCTCTGCAAGGAGCGCCCTTCGCTCATCTTCGGCAGTCACCTTCGGTGGTACAGGATTGGATAGCGAACGACACTGCGCCTTCCAGATACGGTCGATTTCAGAGCGGTAGACAGCCTGCTGTTCAGCAACGCTATACTTGTGGCCAGACTTGCTTTTGGCCTCAGCCTCTGCTTGAGCAAGCCTCTCCTCTGCATCCTCACCCGCTCGCAAGAAGATCTCCTTCATTGAGACACGAATGAAACTGAACGCCTCGCCACGACCTGTCGGGTCACCGTCACCATGCAGCTTAAGCATGGCCTTGCCCTGTGTCGCGTTGATGAAGTTTTTGCTGGTGATCCATGGTGCAAGCAGTTGTTCGATATCCATCTTGCTTTCATCGTCGTCATCACCCTCAGCAGTATTTGTGTAACCGCAGTCGAGCAAGTGTCGCTGACCCACCTGCATGCTCTCTGCGAGACAAATGTTTTCAGGGGGAAGCATCTTGAGCAGCTCAGCCTCTTCCGGCACGACAATGTGCGGTTTGAGCTTCCAGAAACCCTGGTTGACATCACCTGCCTTTCGGTTGTACTCCATGAACTCCTTGAGCCTCTGTCGCATCTGCAGCTCATTCTGGTCAGGGAAGTAGCGCATGAGACGATGAATCTTGATACGCTGTCGCTGACTCTTCTGGATGAGTTTATATGCGATCATCTGCAGGCGGTACTTGATGTTGTTGGTGATGAGACGTGCATGTGGACCGGGGATTGGCTGAACAGGATAGGTCTGACCGACCACGAACAAGTTTCGAATTTCGCGAAGGTAGTAGCGGATCTCGTTCTTGGTCGTGCTGCGAATGAGTAGGAAGTCGGTATGCGCAGACTTGTGTCGGAAGAGAGGTGCGCGGATCATGTTGTTGTACAGTGTCGGCTGCACCTGACCTCGCTCGATATTACCAAACTTCATGAAAGGTGACTCGTCCGCGACGTCGAGCAAGTAAGACTCACCAATGTCCATCTTCGGTACATGCTCGTCCTTGGCATCCTTCTTCCTGTAATAGTTGACGAGCAGGCTGCCCATACCGATCTTGGACAGCAGCGGTGGGTACTCTTCTGAGTATTCGTACAGCACATACGGACCGGTGTCTTTCAGTGTGAGGTCACGAGTGGTGCGGAGCATCTCGTTGGGGTCCTTGGCCTTTCGTGCGCCCGCACCTTCCTTCTTCTTCTTGGACGAGATAGTCTTGGAGAAGTGAAGAGGCATGTTGGTCGGGAATTGCATGGCGGGACGATGCCAAGACCGGGCTTCGTTTTTGGTGAGCTTGGTCTTGTACCATGGAAGCTGCAGTTTGATGGCAGGCCAAGCATGCTGAACAACGAGCTTGCCGAGAGTCTGACGCACACGTTGACGATGCTCACGTGTCTGCTCGTAGAATTTGTCGTTGGATAGGTTGAAGGGATCTTGCTCGGCCTGTCGGCGCGCAAGATCGCGTTGGGCAGCTGCCGAGACGACGGGTGCATCGGAACGGAGCAGTGAGTTCTGCTTTGACTTTGGACTGAGATCCTCTTCAAGCATCATTTGCGGGTCATTCATGTCAAGCACGAGCTTATCGAAAGCCTCAAAGGGTGTTGTTGCGTCCCAGATGATGCTGCGAGTCCATGCGCCGCGGAAGAGGTCGTGATTGAAAGGCTGGTCTACCTTGGGTGGCGCCAATGTAGCTGCATGCTCTTGTGCCAAGTTGTCCGTCTTGTCGTCATTGTCGACCTGCACGTCATAATTACCACGTCCGAGTGTGTTCCAGACGATCCTTTCTTCCCAATCATCCAGCTCGACCGGCGCGAGAGTAGCTCTGCGTGCTTCCGCCTTGACACCCGGCGTCGTGATGACAGCTATGTCGAGGTCGTCGGCTTCGTCTTCTCGAGTAGAATCTGCTACTGATGCGTCCAAATCACGAGTGAGGTTTGAAAGGATATTCGCGTGGTAAGGATGTTGTAATGACGATGAGAGCAACTCCTCGCGTGTCGACTTCGGTACGGGCAGCTCATCTTCAGGTGTGATGTGAAACTTGGCGGCTGCCGGACCAAGCTTGCGCTTCTTTGGCGGACGTGTCGCAAACAGCTCAGTGAAGTTGAGGATCTTGCCAGGCTCAAAGTCGGGGAAATGTTGACGCACCTCTTCCGTGTCAACATATGGGCGCGCAGGTGGCCCTGTGTGTAAGTATGGTTGGTGTGATGGCGGTGTTTGAGGCGAGTCCTGCCTTGGGCTGTGAGATGTCGGTAGCACGAGCGGTGTTGTGGACGATGCTGCTGCCGTCGAAGATGATAACATGGGCCCAGACAGGAAAGCCATGTCACTATCATCGTCTCTTTCCTCTTTGACCCTAATCATGCCTTCGCCAAACTTAGCAAAGCCGTTGGCTTGAGTCGAATGCCCATTGGGCTGGGAAGCCGGTTGCTGGCGGGGCTGCTGTTGAGACAATGGAACCTCATCGTCGCTATCGTCATCATCAAAGTCGTCATCTTCACCTCGAAGCGGAGCTCTTGGCTGTTCGAGCTGCGCCAGTCCTTGACGGTAGTATCTGTCCAGCTCTTGCCTCTCCTGCGAGTCACGCTCATCGGCGAGCTCTCTCCTCATCTCATCGTCAACCTCTGCCTCCCAATCCTTCGATGAGGGGCCGTTTTGTCGGTATGCATCTCCAAGGTCGTCGCCATCATCTGCAAAGCGGTCGTTGTAGATGTCCTCCTGTTTGATCCTGCCGCCGGCGGAAGCGATACCAAGACGTTCGAGGTCGGACTGGTGCTGTTCATCAATACCTAGATCACGAAGGACGTTGCCGAGAGCGAGACCGTCCAAATGAAGTGCGGCATTCTGTTCGTCTTCCATATTGGCTGTGGTGATGATACAATCAGACCGGCTGTCTGAATGCTACGACTCAGACGGCACACAGCCCGCGCTTGTGAGGCGTTCGCCGAGCTGAGAGACCGGCTGACCGGCTATGCCAGTGAATGAGCGCTGCTGATCGCGACTAGGTGGGCAGCATGTGGGCTGCAGTAGATGGTGGCCGCAGCTGCAGCGGTCGGATGGAACGGTGAGGATGAAGGATGAGGGACAAGGATGCTCAGTTGTTGAGGATTTAAGTGAGCACAAGGCCTTGTGACCGACTACGGCGCGATTCTTTTCCGAGAGCCGACAATTTCGAGAGCGCTGCTTGGACGCGTTTTATGCCTTCTCTCGAGAGGCCATTTGACACCCGATGATCCCGATTTCTGCTTAAAAAGTTAGATTTGTCATGCTCGGCTGAGCACGCTTGAACGCAGAAGAAATGTAATTTTTGCTCCACTCGATCTTACTTCAGCCTCAATCCAACACCTTCAGCGCCTCGTCATAGCTACTGTTGTTGCTGCTACCACCAACAACACAGCGCCAAACGGTTCCGCCATCATTTGGAGATATCAGGAACAAGAGTGCGTCCCTCATCACGGCTAAGACCTACCCGAGCTTCGAGTCCTTCATCGACGAAGGGAGCTTTTTGAGGTTGCACAAACATCAGCCCTCCACACGAATCTAGTGGGTTCCGAAACCGTTCTTTAGTCTTTAGCCCTTACACAACGACACACATGAAGTATAGCTAGAGATCGGACGCTTTGCTTCCTCCTTCACCTTCTGTTCCCTTCCCACCCGCAGCGTGGTCGCAAGGCTGCTCTGTGAGCTTTCTGGCTACCCAACTCGACTATGCGGTACCATGTCCTCGGTGTTGGCTCAATAGGCTCTCTCATCGCCTTCCATCTCAAGCGATCAGTCAAGCTCCAACGCCAACTTCTGCAACCAAGACCATCATCTTCCAAATCCAAACGAGAGCTCCTTCTCTCCAACCTCTCCAACAAGCGTCCACCACAAACCCAAGGCACCATCGTCTCTTCTCTCAGCCTACCACCATATGTCCAAACCGAGCTACCAGATCCACAGCGAACATCAGTAACACTGCATTTGCGGAGGAAGGCTTTCGGTAAACAAGCAAAGCAACGATTCGTCAATTCGATCGTGGTCGAGCAAGATGGCGTCCGAGATATTGAAGGTGGATTTCAGACCGACTTCAACTCCAGCCCCACTGATGTCATTGCATCCATAGTGCGTCGCAGCCGGTCAAATCAACCGGAAGAAGAGGAAGAGGGATCGGAAGATAGGCTCTTAATATCTCGTACAGCCACACCTTCATCGCCAGAAGCAGCGGCGATACGGGATCAAACAAGTTCCAAAACGCCACTACCTGATCATGATGGCGGTATCTCACTCATCTCTACTCTCGAAGGCCTCCATTCACAACCTCGTGCCAGCCCCATCGATAGCCTCATTATCACCACCAAGTGTGATGCTACACTCTCCGCGCTCCAAAGTATTCGAGATCGCATCCACCCTTGGTCGACTATTGTTCTGTTACAGAACGGTATGGGCGTGCTCGACACGCTCTTTGATACATTTTTTAAGGATCCAGATCAGAGGCCAAACTTCGTGCTTGCTTCGACAACACATGGATGCTGGAGGAAAGGACCGCTGGATGTAGTGCACGCAAGTACAGGAACGTTACATTTCGGTATCGTACCCAGCGGCAGGGCAGGTCAAGATGTCATCGAAAAAAACAGAGTTCCATATGGCCAAACAATCGCGCGAGTACGAGGCGTGGTTTTGCCCTCAAGGGGCGAAGCAGCAAAGAAGAAAACCGCACGTGATTGGGAACGTTTCTCTCCCGACACCGATTCCAACGCAATCGAAGAGATCTCGGACCCGGGCTCACCCTCTAAACTTCTTTCCATCGCAAGCATCCCCGATCAACCCAGCCTCCGCACACTGCGAGTCACAGTCGCAGCCCTTCTCTCACTTCCGCTCAACGTAGAATGGGAGCCTATTCGCGAGTTCCAACTCCGCTCGCTCCGCAAACTCGTCATCAACGCATGCATCAACCCTCTCACAGCTCTTGCAGATTGCAAAAACGGCGACTTATTCGGTAATCCAGTTGCAATGGACGCGATGTGGTCAGTGTGTCTCGAAGCTGGAATGGTATTGGAAGCTCAAGTTCGGGAATACCTTGCTTCTGGTGCCACTGCTTCTCCACGACAGAGAGTTTCAGCAAGTCTGTCCGCAGAAGATCTCATTCTGAGGTCAGACGAAACGGGCGAACCAATATTGCACCCGAGTTTGACACCGCAAGCATTGTTCCAGGAAGTGCAGAGGGTGGCGAGGATGACAGCGGCCAATTGGAGTTCGATGCATAGCGATTTGAAGAACAGGAGAAGAAGCACAGAGATCGACCATATCAATGGATACATCTCGGCATTGGGAAGAGGGTACAACATCGACACGACGGCAAACGACTTGTTGACGAATTTGGTCAAGTTGAAGACCACGAGAGTGACTGGCACTGGGAGGCTTAGAAGGGAACAATAAGTGTATCACTATCAATGCAAACACAACTTATGAGCATTCCGTGCATATCTCACGCCAACGTGTGCACAGTATGAATCGCTCTCAATCACGCTGGTAAGAAAGAGATACAATGCTACCATTACTAATGCTTCTACGAACCAACATCTGATCGCTGTTCCGTTCTAGCTGGGCCCGACTCAATCAGCCAATGCACCCCCTCCCCGCTCTGGGGGATTGACAACCAGCATCCGCACATCCTTCATCTCGGCCTTCATATCCGGCATATCCTGTGGCGTGATCATGATGTACTGAACATGCGGTGTCGCCCTTGCCTCGTTCATGATCATCGACAGCGCCACCCTCCTATTCACTTGGTCCATGAAGATGTCGAACTCATCTAGACACCGGATCGGCGAGCTCATCGCCTGCCACAACGACAACAGCAGACAGGCGGTAGCGAAACTTCGCTCTCCGCCGGACATGCCTTTGTTCGAATGCTGCTGCTGTGCTGCGCGTTGCGTTTGAGATGCTGCGTTGGCGCCGGCTGTTGCTCCCCGCTGTTCTCGATTCTGGGTGTCGACGGCAAGCGAGAGCTTTTCGGCCTTGTGGTTGAACTTGAGCGTGCCCTCGTAGCCTCGTGTCGCGAGATTTCGAGCAAAGTTGCTTTTAGCACGAAGAGCGATAGATCGACGGAAGAAGTTCCATTTGGCGTAACGAACGGCCAGAGAGCTATGCAGACGTCGCTCGGCTTCGTTCATGTTAGCCACTTCCTCCTTGGCATCGTTTAGAGCCTGCTTGCGTTTGTGTAATTCTTCCGCGGCTTGTTCGAGTGTGACTCCAGCTTCTGAGGCAGCCTTCTTCTTGAGTTGTTGGAGATGGGCCTTCTCAGCCTCGATCTCAGCCATGCTGCGAGTCGTCTCAACTTCGTCGCAGTACTGCTTGGCGTCCTCTTCCATCTTGCGATGGTCCTCTTCCAGGGTTGTCTCTTCCGCTTCACTCGCCTTGATGGCAGCTTCAATGCCTTCGCGCTTCTTCTGCCAGTGGTCACGGTTGTTGATCTGCTTGACACGTTCAGCTACGGCTTCCACAAGACGCTGTTGAAGATGGCCCATCTTGTCCTCGTACTGGCGTTTGCGCTCGTCGAGTGCCTGGATCTCGCTGCGTAAAGGTGCTCTTTCGGCTTGCACTTCTGTTTTCTGCGTCTGGATATCCTGGAACTGCTGCAAAATGACCTCCTTCTGTGATTCGAGCTCTCGCTTGGCGTCTTCGAGCGCCGAGATGTTACCTGGTGCAGCTTCCTGCATCTGCTCGTCGAGACGGGTGAGCTCCTGACGAAGCACGTCTTTGCGCATTCGCAGGCCTTGAAGTTCGCGTCTGAGTGTCTCCTTACTACGCTCAAGCCGGTTTCTCTCCTGCTTGAGATCGCGTAAGCGCTGGCTGCACTCGGCAATCTCCTGATCGAGTCGCTGCTGTTCGGCTTCGAGGTTGCGAATGGCATCCCCAACATTCTGCGACAGACGTGGCGCTCCTCGATGATCCTGCAATGCAGCGGACAACGAACCTGCTTGACCACCACTGATGCTGAACATGTCGGCAGAGAAACATGCCTGGACATTGTATGGTTGCGTTCGCATGAGCCTATCGCCGTCCACGCGTCGTTCGACGAGGGCGGCTCGTTCGATATGGACGGACATGATGAGCTGACGCTTGACGATCTCGTTGTCGCAGTCCAGTACGCGCAGGATGGTGGTGATTTCTGGGCGTGGCTCTCCCTGAGAGTAGTCGAAGAGCCTTTCGCTACTCGTGATGATCGGTGAATGAACACCGACTCGATCCATGATCGCTTTCAAGCGGTTCCGATCGCCAAAGTTGGACACGAAGAAGGCGTTGAGAGTGTTGCCGATGACACTCTCCAGCACTCTTTGCCAGCGCATGTCCTTGAGCTTGAGATGTGTGCCGAGAGGTCCGAGAGGTTTTGATCTCCAACGCGTCTCGCTGTTGATGGCTTGCAGTAAAGCTGGGATCTTGGGGCCACCAAAAGCTGTGAGTCGATTACGTGTGCTCTCGCGCAACTGCGCTAGTCGCGAGCTGTTATTCTGATATTCGTCTCGAAGGCGTCGGAGCGTCTGTCCTTCCTCCTCCTCTCGTTGACCGATGTCTATCGCCTTGTTATCAATCTCGCGCTGCTGCTCTTCCTTGTCAAGTAAACCGTCCTGCACCTCTTGTCTTTGCCTCTGCACGTCTTGACGTTCCTCTTCGAGTTGCTGTCGATGCGCTTTGCCTTCGCGAGCCAGCTTTGATGTCTCCTCACGGATCTGATCCTCGTAGCGCTCGATGCCCTTGTTGAGCTCGATGATGCTTTCGTTGAGCTCACGCTCCTGCGAGTTGAAGGCTTTGACCTGCTTGCCCAGGTCCTTTTCCTTGACTGCAAGCTCATCGTACTGCTGCTGAAGCGGCGAGAAAACATCGTCGAAGTTGTTGCTCTCACCTTCGAGTCGATTGATGCGCTCGTCGCACTGTCCAAGCGCTTCGAGACTTTCATCGAGACTCTTATTGCACGCGACGAGCTTAGCTCGGATGCGCTCGGTCTTCTCGACGGCGGTCTCGAGTTGGGCGCGGACCTCGTTGACCTGAACCCAGACAAACTCGCGATTCAAGGCATCAATCTTGTCCTGATAGCCTCGTGTTTCGCGCACCTTTTGCCACTGCTGTAATGCTTGCTGTGCCATGGCTTCTAGCTGTTCGAGAGCGCCCGATTTGAGTGCCAAGGCGGACTTCATGCTACGAACGTGTGTCTCGATGAGGTTGTATTCGCGCACCAGCTGACTGAGTTGGGTACCTTCGAGGAAGAACTTGTAGATCTCTGAAGGGTCTGAGCTGCCGAGGAACTGACGAGCAGTATCCTGTGTGAGGATGTGGATCGGATTGTCGGGCTGAATGTTGGCAAAGTCGCAAAAGGACTCGAGCTCTGACTTTGTGGTGGCAATGACTTTACCGTTGGCTGCCTTCATCTTCCAGGCACCACCACCTTCAGCGAGGATGCGGCGCTCTATGACTATCAAATTGCCATACATTTCAGGCCGGAAGGCGTCGCTGCCCTGATTGCGGATGGTAACTGTGATGGTGGCGGAAGATTCGCCCTTCTTGACAAGATCCTTGAGGCTGGAACCACGGTTGGTGGAGCTGGTCTTGCCACCCAATGCGATCATGAGAGCTGTTAGTATGGTACTCTTACCGCTGCCGTTACGACCCATGACAAAGTTGAGCGTGGGACCGAACTCGATGGAGAAGTTGGCATGACACATGAAGTTGCGCAACTCAATCTTTTCAACAATGCCGGACTGTGCAGTGCTTTGATCCGCATCAGCCAAGCGAGGCTCCTGTTCGGCTCGATCATCATCTGAATCAAGTTCGTCTTCCTCGTCTCCTTCGTCATCGTCATCGTTCTCGCTCTCTTCTTCCTCTTCTCCGTTCTCGTGATTGCCCTCGTCTTCGTCCGGCGTCACCATCTCATCTGAGACTTGGGGCGGTGCATTCGCTTGTGATCTGCCGGCTCGTTGGGACGACTGTGTCTGTGATTGTCGAGGCGTTCCATTGGTCAAAGGGACTTGAGCATTGGTACGCATACGTTTGGGTGAGAGTGCATCGACGTCATCGTCTTCATTCTGCAGCGGGTCGTCGCGATCTAGAGCTCTCTTGCCCAACGCCATCGTGAATCAGGCCCCACGCTGGAGGTGGCAATGGAGCAATTACCCTGTAGGAAGTACAGAGTAAGGGCAAGATGGGCTGTCGCTGATCCGATCTGCTTCAAGTTCTTTGTCGAGGATACAATGACGTTTCTCTGCAAGTGAGAGGAGGCGAACGCCGTCGGTTGGATTAGCAAGCCATGCAAGCAAGCCGCTTTGGAAGCAAGCTTGCGTATGCTGGATGCGAACGTAGCTGCGATCGGTCCGCCTCTTGAGCTCCGACTCTTGCTAGCTCAGCAACGGCTTGGCGGATGGTGGTGAGGCGAGGCGAGGTGATGAAGATGTAAAGAATGAGATGAAGTAAGATTGGGGAAAGAACGCGCGAGAAGCAATCGAAGACCAACACTTTCGCAGGCGAAAAAGTGACACACTTCTTGGCTGAGTTGAGCATCCGGAAGAGCCGCTCGCTCATGTGCGGCTGGCTGGCTTTGGCTTTGCTGCGCGTTTCTTTTGGTTGCGTTGCGTTGCCTTTTCGAGGCTTCGAAGACGCTTCGGAACCCTAATCATTCATTCCCATTTCCCACAGCTGGAACGCGTCGCGCAAATCATCCTTTTTCAGACTCGAGCCAAAAAGTGTGGAGAAGCCCGATACTTCCCGATCTGGATACCAGATCTTCTCTCCAATCGGCATGGAAACCTGCCTATTTTGGACAGGTTAAGCGAGCTGCACTTGTTGACGTTTGAGCCCCTAAATCATAGAGTTGGGCGGAGTTTGATCCTAGTTCCTCCTATCCTGTCCCTCTCTGTTTTGTCTGAAGCTCGTAGCATCTGCATCATGGGCCAAATGCACGCTAAGTGGGAAGATGCACACCTTCATGCCAAGATCGCAGCCCTGACTGTTTGCCCGAGTGTGCAGCTGGCTGGCGTCCTTGTCGAAGCCATGACAGCCAAGAACGAGGACATAGCATGGCGCGCGTTGATAGTAGCAAGCATGGATGAGATCCAACGTCACTACAGAAGCGAAAGTCAAAGCTTCAGCGTGACTCCATGTTGAACGTCTGTTGATGAGAAGGCTGCGTCGAAAGCTTTCAACCTTCAGCCCAGCTAGCCGCCAACAGCAGACTATGCTTCCGACTCGGGCTCTTCTATGCTGAAGTCAGAGCCACGGCCACAGCAGTAGTATGCTGTGGCAATCTCAGGCAAAGGCAAGACGAAGGATAAGGCTGAGCTTCTACAGCTCTTCTAGAGCCAAGCTATGGGGCTCGAGCAACTGTACATGCATTCCGCGACATTTTGGCCCCTGTCTGTCTCGGCCCTGCATTTGACGTCCTACTCCCTCTTCTCTTGTCCCTCTCTTCGCTCTTCACCACTGTCTCCTTTGCTGCTTAATCTGGATCCCCTCCTTCGCTTCCTCTAACTCAGTCTCTTGCCCTTCCCTGATCCTTTTTCCTTCCCCCTACCCTCCTTTTTTTCCGAGACGCATTGACGCAATTGACTCGATCCACGAGCCTATTGTCATCCTCACCACCATCTCCACGAACCTTTCTGATCACCACCACCTTCGACTCTTTGTAACGACCCTTCACGACGTCAAGCCGCCAATCCGTGGTAATACGGTACCTTCCGGCTTCAGCACTATCTCATTAACAGAGGTCCGATCGTTCTAGGCTCTTCTCCAATCCTCATCCCCCGATTCAAGCAGCTTCGCCTCACCTTCTCATAGTCACGAACAGAGAGCCAACGTACCGCACCGATAGCAACCATGTGGTGCGACAACTGTCTTCTCGTCTTTCCCCTGCGCACAGGCGCCATGGTCTGGAACGTCTTCATTGCCGCCTACAACCTAGCAGGCTCGATTCTCCTCTTCAACAAGGGACAGTTCCTCTTCTTCAACTACCCCGAATACCAGATCTACGGTGGTATCGGTATGGCCGTTATGGCCATTTGTGTCCTCACAACCATCGGTATGGCTAACAACTCGTACATGTTCATGCGCCTCTGCTTCTTCGTCTGGCCCATCATCCTTATCGTTGTAGCCGTACGTGCCGGCTTCATGATCTTCCAGCTCGACAGGCAGCAATCCAAAATTATTTGGTCCTGCAACAACGGAGGTCAGCAGTGGGGAACGGCAGGAGAAGCTAGCTCGAGCGCAGATACCATGCCCTCTGGGCTATGCTCGGCTGGATTTCATAGCTTGTACATCGCCTTTGTCTTCTCACTCGCCATCGACTTGGCGCTCCAGGTCTACGCCTACTTTATGTGTTGGCGCTTCAAGAAGAGAATCGAGCACTACTACGCCCTCGCCACCAAAGAGCAGAATATCTACAGCTTCTAGTCACTCTTTCTACCGCTCTACCTGGCAGTTCCTGCTCTCACACGCTCTCCTTATCCATCCCACGCCCTCTCATAGTACCCGACCCGCCTGGCGACTTTCTCAGCAATGATCTCCCTGAACACATCATTCTCTCGGACTTGATTGACGGCTTTCTTCGGCGCAGCATCACACCCGCAATGGCATCCTCTCCAACCGGACATGCTCGACGAATTCAGGCTCCTCCAGTCTCTTCTTCGCAGAGCTTCCCAGGAGAGTCGCCTCCTCCAATGCCCGTGCCACCTAGCAGTCCAGCCCTGTGTTTCCCCGAGCGTGCTTGCAGTCCCTCGTGCTCACAATTCCAACACTTCCTCTCACCTTTTGTACATAAGTTACCCCTGCAATCTGACCCTTCTTTTCATGTACACCTATTCTCATACACCTCTCGTCGGCTGCTTCTCCCTTGACAAGATGATGCCAGTTTCTCCGGCCACAGACCATCGCCTTAACTTTACCAAGGCCAACAACAAACGTCCCCATGCATGCAGCGATGCTATCGCCAATGCAGGTGCTGGCTTCTAGGTGCAAGTTGAGGAGGCTGAAGGGACAATAGTTGCAACTCATCTCGCCATGCGTCGTCGCTTCCAGGCGAGCTCCCTTACTTGGCCACAACCCTCCGAAACCACTCCTCCCCTACAACCTACCTTCTTGTCTATCCTATAGTCTGCTTTTCTACCTCATAGGCTCAGAAACCCACTCACCCACCGCTTCATAGGACCTGCATAGGAAATTGCGTCGGTCTCTTCGACACAAAGCCTTCGACGTTTCAATCATGTCCAGTCACTGCCATTACAGCTCTTGACGCTTCGCACAACCGCATTGCCCGATGACTGATCTTGCATTTCCAGTCCTTGTGACGCCATTTCTGCTGATTTTCTCTTTGTCATGGAGCCGTTGAGCTTGGATGGTAAGTAGCTGAACCAAATTGTGTCTCATGCTGTCGGACGTTGAAAAGTGCACCTCTCCAAGATCTCTCACATACGAACACTCATGGCTCGCACACTTTTTCAACTTCATGTGTGTTTTGACAACGTAACAGTGACATAATTTCTTGGATCCCCTTCTTCCGAATATTTTTCGCGCCAAGATTCGTCACTGTGGAGCTTCAACAAGATCATGCCTCCATGTTCACATCTTCACCGTAACCAAGCAGCAAGTCATCAGGCTATCCTCAGGAGCAGTCATTTTCGATCTTGATGGAACAGAGGCCAGCGGGACTATCAAATTGCCGTGGAGATTCGGATCCACTCTGTAGATCTAGCAGAGAAGCAAGGCTACGTGCTCACGTCAACCCGAGCGCCGAACACCGCAGAGGCTTCCGTTCGACAGCGAACCTTCTACCTCAGGTGCTCGCTCCACATCATCATCGACTACATTCAACATGGACGGCTTGCATCTCTACAACCTGACGCTGCAGCCATCTGGCAGCGTCAATGCGACGGTCGTGGGTCAGTTCTCAGGCACAAGACAGCAAGAGATCGTTGTAGCCAAGGGCAGCCGGCTTGAGCTGTTGCGACCCGATACATCAACCGGCAAAGTCGAGACTGTCCTTTCGCAAGATGCATTCGGCGTAGTCCGCAGCCTAGCTGCCTTTCGACTCACTGGCGGCTCCAAAGACTACCTCATCGTAGGCTCCGATTCTGGACGGATCGTCATCCTCGAGTTCCAACCACAGACCAACTCGTTCGACAAGGTGCACCAGGAGACATTCGGACGTTCAGGCTCGCGTAGGATTGTACCTGGACAGTATCTCGCTACGGATCCGAAGGGACGAGCTACTATGATAGGAGCCATGGAGAAGGCCAAGCTCGTCTACATTCTCAACAGGGATGCGCAGGCCAACCTCACTATCTCGAGTCCACTTGAAGCACACCGACCCAACGGCATCATTCATCATATCGTCGGCGTAGATGTTGGGTTCGAGAACCCGCTCTTCGCCTGTCTCGAGATCGACTATTCAGAGTCCGACCATGACCCATCAGGGCGAGCCTACGATGAGGCGGAAAAGACACTCACATACTACGAGCTGGATCTTGGACTCAACCATGTCGTTCGCAAGTGGTCAGAGCCAGTCGACCCACGTTCCAACTTGCTTCTCCAGGTACCAGGAGGCTACAATCACAACCTCGAGAAGTGGGATGGTCCCAGCGGCGTCTTGGTCTGCAGCGAAGACTACATCACCTACAAGCATCAAGATCAGCCAGAACACCGCGTTCCCATTCCACGACGTCTCAATCCAATCGAAAAGATGTCAGAAAGGCGCGGCACATTAGTCGTCGCCAGTGTGCTGCACAAGATGAAGAACGCCTTCTTCTTTCTTGTGCAAACAGAAGACGGGGACCTTTTCAAGATCACAATGGAGCATCAGGACGATGAGATCCGCTCGCTAAAGATCAAGTACTTTGACACCGTACCTGTCGCATCAGGCTTGGCAATCTTGAGATCGGGTTTCCTCTTCGTTGCATCCGAGTTCGGTCCACAGCTGCTCTACTCTTTCCAGAAGCTCGGCGATGACGATGATCTTCCAGAATACATCTCGACCGACTATGACGAGAATGGAGCTGGCAGGAAGCGGCCACAACTACCCACCTTCACACCAAGATCGCTCGATAACCTGGTCCAGGTGGATGAGATGCCAAGTCTCGACCCGATCTTGGACGCCAAGCCGCTCAACCCACTGGCTTCGGACTCGCCGCAGATCTTTGTTGCATGCGGTCGAGGCGCGAGGAGTAGCTTCAAGATGCTCAGGCACGGTCTTGAAGCACAAGAAGCTGTCAGCTCTGACTTGCCTGGTGTGCCTAGTGCAGTATGGACAACAAAGATTACACGGCAGGACGAATACGACAGCTACATCATTCTCAGCTTTCTCAACGGTACACTCGTTCTGAGCATCGGAGAAACGATTGAAGAAGTCGGCGACAGCGGCTTCCTCACCTCGTCACCAACTTTAGCGGTACAACAACTTGGCGAGGATGCTCTTCTGCAAGTGCATCCATATGGTATTCGACACATCTTGGTGGATAAGCAGGTCAACGAATGGGCGACGCCAAGCTTGCCAAATGGTGTCCAGACAACGATTGTCGCAATATGCACTAACGAGCGCCAAGTGGCCGTTGCGTTAAGCAGCAATGAGCTAGTCTACTTCGAGTTGGATATGGATGGGCAGCTGAACGAATACCAGGATCGCAAAGCGACGGGTGCGACCGTGCTCACAATGAGTATGGCTGATTGCCCTGAAGGTCGCCAACGTACGCCATACCTAGCTGCCGGATGTGACGACTCGACGGTACGAATCATCTCTCTCGAGCCAGCTTCGACACTCGCCTCGATCTCCATCCAAGCTCTGACGGCACCAGCATCGAGCATCTGCGTGGCCGAAATGAAGGACGCCACTGTCGACCGCAACCAGGCAACTACGTTTGTTAATATTGGGCTCAGTAATGGTGTCCTCCTCCGCACTGTGCTTGACGCAATGACAGGACAATTGACAGACACAAGAACGCGATTCTTGGGCAGCAAAGCAGTGCGACTCATTCGAACGAAAGTTCATGGTCAGAGTGCAGTAATGGCTCTCAGCACACGAACGTGGCTTTCGTTTACGTACCAGTCACGCCTGCAGTTCACACCGCTCATATTTGATGCGTTGGATCACGCCTGGTCGTTCAGCGCAGAGCTGTGTCCTGAAGGTCTGATTGGTATTGTTGGTAGCACGCTTCGTATCTTTACCATTCCATCCCTAGCGAGCAAGCTCAAGCAGGATTCGGTGGCGCTGTCATACACACCACGCAAGATCGCACACCACCCAGATGAGCAAGGCTTATTTTATGTGGTAGAAGCTGACCGCCGTACGCTGTCGCCTGGGGCGCAGAGGAGGAGAGTGGAGGCACTAGAAAAGGAGCTCAAACCGCATCAACGAGGCGTGTTGGATTTGAAACCAGCAGAGTTCGGTCTGATAAGGGGAGAGGCAGGTAATTGGGCAAGTTGCGTCCGCGTCGTCGACGGCCCACAATCACAAACAACACACAAGATCGAGCTGGACGATAATGAGGCAGCCTTCAGTGTCGCCATCGTTCCCTTCGCCAGTGCTGAAAAGCAGTCTTTCCTCGTCGTCGGTTCCGCTGTTGACGTCGTCCTCTCGCCGCGCTCGTTCAAGAAAGCCTATCTCACCACCTACCGACTCATCAATGGCGGACGCGAACTCGAAGTGCATCACAAGACCGAAATCGACGACATCCCCCTCGTCCTTCGACCCTTCCAAGGCCGTCTGCTAGCAGGCGTCGGTAAAGCGCTCCGCATCTACGATCTCGGTAAGAAGAAGTTGCTACGCAAATGCGAGAACAAATCCTTCCCGACTGCTATCGTTTCCCTCGACGCTCAAGGCTCGCGCATCGTGGTGGGTGATATGCAAGAAAGCATCGTCTTTACTTCCTACAAGCCTCTCGAGAATCGCCTTGTGACATTCGCAGACGATGTGATGCCAAAGTTTGTCACACGCTGTACGATGCTCGACTATGACACGGTGGCAGCAGCGGACAAATTCGGCAACTTGTACGTGCTTCGTATTGACGCAGACACCAGCAGGAGTGTCGACGAGGATCCGACCGGGATGACGATTGTTCATGAAAAGCCAGTTCTCATGGGTGCAGCTCACAAGGCTACTCTACTGGCACACTACTTTGTGGGTGACATCATTACGTCTCTCAACCGCACGGTCATGGTTCCAGGTGGAAGGGAAGTGTTGATGTACACAGGTATCTCAGGGACGATCGGAGCACTAGTGCCTTTTGTTAGCAAGGAAGATGTTGACACGCTTTCGACCCTCCAAACGCAACTAAGGCAGGAGAACAACAGTCTCGTGGGTAGAGATCATCTGGCATATAGGAGTAGCTATGCTCCAGTGAAGAGTGTCATCGATGGAGATCTGTGCGAGACTTTCGGATTGTTGCAACCAGCGAAACAGAATGCTATCGCCCAGGAATTGGATAGAAAGCCCAGCGAGATCAATAAGAAGCTTGCTCAGCTCAGAGAGGGTGCTACCGGGTTCTGAATGTCCGTCTTCACATCAAGATCTTACATCCTGCATGCTCTGATTTGTACTTGTATGCCTCATTGCTGGGAAGAACCATTCCTCGTTGCTGCAGAAGTGTTTGTGCTGCTCTGTGATTGCGAGTCTATTGCAAAGGACGATGAGGCCTGGCGGTGCTTGAAGAATGTTGAGGTAATCCACAGGCTGGGGCAATAGAGCGAGCGGCTAAATCGTTAGCATTTTATGAGGACTAGATACAGCAATGCTACGAATATATATGCTTTACTGTGAGTGTGTGAAGGCGAGGTGCCACGCATGACTGCATGGTGTGCTAGGATGAGATGAGCTGGGATAGGGGCCGTTGGTGGGCGATGACATGTGCTAGTGGGAGATGACGGGTGGCGACGATGAACGAAGTTGGCGGCGCGTTAAAGCGTGAACGTGACCACGCGGTCATGTGATTTTACTAAGAAGGCAGGTTCTAAAAGAGGCAGTTAACTTAAAATCCAATATCGGCAAAATCGGGCAAACCTCGCGAAACTTCTTGCATAGATCCCTCTTTGAACCAGAAAACTGCTAAAGATGACGATCCAGCAGGAAGCTAAAGTGACGAAGGATCGGGCAAAATCAATCTGGAATGCAATCGGGGAAAGAAGATCTGATCGTAGATCAGGCAGAGCCGATATAGCAGGAATCGGGGACAACTGGGTCATGCCCAACTGCTTCCGCCTTTGCCTCCTCGCAGCTTTCTTTTAGACTAGTTGCTGCAGTCTGAGTTTGATAGCCCTCGGCTTACAGCATGCTTCGAATCAGCCCTGACCGCCTTTCGAGTTGGACTTGTCCTCAATGATGCTGGAGAGCTCCAGCCTTGTTTGCCCGATCCGATAAAGTGCATTGCAATGTTTGTCGCTGATTTTTTCGAGCGTCACACGGAAAAAGTCGACCGCCTATTCAAGGCGGAAGAAAGGGATGGGTTGGAGAAAAGGGAAGCCAAAAGATCAGAGTTGAGCTTAAGCGAAGCGAAGAGGAGCAATTGAATGATCAGATCTGCATCATTGCGGCATTGCAACAAGGGGCTAGCGAGCGATAGTGGCGGCGGCGTACAGCATTGTACCGAGCCCCCTCTTTGCCGCTGCTCGTGAAGATCATGAAGAGCGTCGGGGTGCAACGATGGGAGGCAACATCAACATGTTGTCCCTCTGCAAGCAAATTGCTCATCCCTCTGTGCGTTGTTGCTTGTTGATCGCCCTTTCCCAATAATATCAAGTGTTGTCTGCAATGCAAAGAAGACGACAAAAGACCAAGCGCGGTAATCACAGCTTGACAACGAGATCGGGCAAAGTCGGAGCTCGCCATGTCGAATAGCGTAAAGGCGCTCGAGCCATGCCCCCTTTCCAACTGATCCCGTCTCGAAGAAGGTTGGCCACATGCAGACTGATACACCTTCTCCTCCAGCCTCCTCGGAAATGCGCAAGTGAAAGTCGCTTCGACAGTCGACAGAAGGAAAGGGAAGTTGGCTCGATCAGGCAAGTGACCCGGCGTGATATGGTGAACGCGTGTCGGAAGCTAGCTTTTGTGTGTGTTTCAGACTCGTCTCTGGCCCATGGCTTCCACACGCGTTTGTCGAGTAGATCTGTTTAGATTTGCCGGTCATCAGTCTTCCGATGTCTCACGATTCTCGGATCGCAATAAGCTGCGAAGACAACCTTGACTGCCGAGCTTGATGTGACTTGAAAGTCAGATCCTTCTCTTCACGAAAGGCACATGAATGTTGAAGGGGCTGCAGGAAGCAGAATTGAGAGCGAGCAAGGAGGAGGATGCTAGAGAAGAGGAGTTTAGAATCGAAGCAAGGAGGGCACCGTCTTCAGGGTCCGCACTGAGCTTTCTGGCGTTGTTGTTGTCATGCGCCTATTCCGCCGCAGCGCCGACTTGGCATGCTATGGTATGTGCTATCACTTTTCTTGCTCTTTCATCGTCCTTCTTTCCCACTCCGCGAACCTGATTGTCAATGCAAGGATCCCAACCTGCTTTGTGACTCAGTAGCATGTCTGTCTGCCACGTCACAAAAAAAAAAAAAAAAAAAAAAAAAAAAAAAAAAAAAAAAAAAAAAAGAAGATAAAAGAAGAAAAAAAAAGGAAGATCGGGGCCAAGTCGAGAAGAAGAAGAAGCAAGAAAAAAGGGTCTCGGATTTGCGCTTCCATTTTTGGGGTCCTCTCTCTGATAGTGCCGCTGTGCTGTTGCTGCTGCGAAGATTTGAAAGATTGGTGTGATTTCTTGGTGCAACAGCCGTGCAGCTCGGTTAAGGACGTTTGTGCCAAGCTGGACCCCTTTCTTGCTCTTCGTCTTGCTCTTCTTCTTGAAACCCAATCGTGATGTTCCCTTTGTGTCAGTTTGCTGCATACGTTGGCGGCCAACAGTGCTTCTTATACAACCAGAAGCATATACATCAAAGACCTGCTCTCAGTGTGGCAATCTCAACCAAAGACTAGGTGCAAGTAAACAATTCCGTTGCCCAACCTGCCTCTACTCGGCAGATCGTGACCACAACGGAACTTTCAATATGCTTATTAAGGCTATCCGTAGGACTCCTTTAACTTCGATGTAGCATTGCATATGATTATCATGAGGCCCTGGGCATGGGGTCCTGCCCGCTCTGGGGGTTAAGCGCGGGGCAGACACGTTTGGCGTGTCTGATCTGAATCTCTGCGAAAATGCCATAGAATCACATGCACCCTCCTCTTTGAGCAGCTCCGATCATCATTCAACTGCAGGCTGCACTTGGCTTGATTGCTCACGAGGCTCACCATACTTGAACTTTTCGGATCATCCTCACTCAATACCTATCTGTTCCCAAAGTCCAGCTTACAACCTTATCCTTCAGGCCTTACCTCTTCGACGACGACGAGAAAAGTTTTGACATCACATTCTCAACACGCAACATCGACTTTGAACCCATCGCCACTCCCATCGAACCTGCAGCTCTCCCACCTTCAATTCGATCCGTCTCATCTGTCCATCTTTGCTCGACTGATCGCGACTAGTTCATCTTGCAAACGCCTGAAGCCGGTCTCCAGGATCCTCGTCATTTCCACATTGAGTCTCGTTTCCCACAGCGTAGACGCTAGGGTCTCAGCAACACTGCAACAGCTCATTCATCACCACCATCGAGACTTCATCGACATTGTTTCCTCCATACTCACGATTGTGATCAAACATCGTCGAAGAATAGGAGCAGAGGTTTCATCTCTCCATCAAACTAGCTCCACTCGCAGTTCCGACGTTCTTCTCACGACTTCAGGTCTTCACGGCAAGGTTGACTTTTCCCCCACTCTCTCATTCAGGAAAGCACAAAAAAAAAAAGAAGAAAAAAAGAAAAAAAAGGTTTCGGAACGTCCGCCTGAGAGCAAGAAGGGTCCTCGCTTCATCTCGCTGCATCTTCGCACCGATCCTGCCCTCAAGTCATCACAATCGTGACCATCATCTAAGAAACTGCGCAGAAACGAACCACACTTCGGCCCCTCCGATTGCTGCGGCTCTCCGCGCTTTGGCACTAGTCAAAAAGCCATTTCGTTTCGCGGACTTAGTCTCTGGCAGTGCTGTGCCGCTGTGCCGCTGTGCCGCTGCATTACAACATTCATTAGCCTTTGGCCCCCTGTCTGCGAGAGCTCGGCCCTTCCGCCAACAAAGACCCTCTGCTGCGCTTTAAGATTGCATCGAAGCGCACTCTGTTCCGCTGCTGCATGCGCACTTGCTGCAGCTAAATTAGAGCAGACAATCGCAGAAGCAACCCTTAGTCTTGCATTGCTGCGCTTTCACCTTCTCATCGGCCTATCCGTTGCAGTACTGCGCCTGCTCTCCTCCGACACGACACACCACCAACTATCGTCATGTTAGCTTCACAACTTACCCCGAAAGCTAATCCCCTCACTCTGCTCCCCGAAAAGTCTCTACCGCCACCACCACCACCACCACCACCACCACGATTCTCCTACAGTGCCAACACAATCAAGGCGCTTCCACCGCGACCAAACATTCAACGCAGCTGGACAGAGCACAAACCAGCAGCAACCCCAGAATCGAGTCAAGACGCTTGTCTGCTCGCTCAACACCCTCGATCCATGTCGAGCGGAAACACTGCTTCCTTCCTTGATCTCGATCTGGACTCGCCCGAGCGTCTGCTGTTTGCTCAATCAACGCAGGCAACATCACACGTTGGACAGAGCAACCGGGTAGATTGTAAGTGCTCTCAACACTCTTGCCTCGTCTCCTCTCTGAGGGGCCCCACGACGCTTGATCCGACGCTGACAGCTTCTCCTCCTTCCGCAACTACTATAAATGCTACCTCGCATGCTCTGCCATTCCGTCTCTCCGACACTGCAGCTGCAAAGCACGCGCCGATTCTTCCGCCTACCGAGCCGGAGTCTTCGCTAGTCCAGCCATTCTACTCGCCTTGCCTCAACTTGCCAAGTTCGCGGCGAACATCACTTCGACCTGAACAAGTCGCTGCCATGTCGTCCGGACTTGTCTCCGCCTCGAATCGTCGCGCACCTCGCCCGTCATTACCAGTGGAGTGGAAGAGCACTGCTCCCAACACGCCACCGCTTGTCAGCTCTGTCGAGCCCGCAAAGCAGCCCGATCTGTCTACCTTTATTCAGCAGAATAGCGCTGGGCAAACGTCTCCTGCGAGTCAAAGACTCAGTTCGCATCACACCAACTTCTCTTCCGACTACTCCATCCGCGATTCTGCATCAACAACGCATACATCCATCTGGACTGAACGCAGTCTGCCGAGCTGTGGCACCAGCCCTGCATGCACACAGCACGGTCTCAAAACAGAAGACGCCGCCAACGTGCCAGGCAGCGACGGACAAGACCCAGCTGAATCTACCGAAGAGCTCGACGAGAGCTCTGTCGGCCTTGGCATCACTTCCGACCTTGAACACGATCTCGCCAGTCGCAGATCCAGTTTTGCTCCGGTCTTGCCTTCGCCTATGCTTCCTGGTAGCGTACAAGCACTGCAAGGTCCTTTCTCTCACCACCGCGCCCCTTCCTGGACAAGACGCGCTGACATCTCGCCGCTCGTCGGATCGTCTTCACCGCATCAGCCTTACATTTTTGGCGACGCTTTTGCTACTCCAGCTGATGGTGACTTGCGAGCTTTGGGCTTGGACGTAGGCAACCAAATGCAGCGCGCATTGAGCGACGTCACGCCTGTATCGTCTGCAGGCTCAGAGATGGCTGCTGCAGTAGCTCTGGCTTCCTCTTCTTCCGCTGCTCCTCCTTCCATTCCCCTGCGTCGCGACTCGCGTATCCGCTGCTCGTCCGATTCAGCCAACTACCACGGTCCCGCCTCCAATCTGGCCAAGCACTCACCTTCGCTCTCAATCTCGTCTACTACTTTTAACTCGGGTCGCTTCACAACCGCCTTCCCATCCACATCAAGCTATCTCGGCGGCAGCGACATCAGCACCTTGCAGAGCCCTCCACGTACCAGCTCTTTGCGTCAGTCGCCTTCCATCACCTCATTGCGAGAATCTCCTGCTGCTTTGGCCAAGGAAGGCTCACAGCGTACTCCGCCAGCTAAAAGACCCATGCGTCCTACATTGGATCGCATCCCCACCCTCGACGATCTCAGCAATTCCGTCGTCGCAGTACAGCAGCCTCCGTCGGCTGAGCCGGGTCGCCAGTCACCCTCCAGCTCTGTCCGAGAAGCCTCCTTGCGCACCACCTCAGCAGCTTCGAGAAGTCGAAGGGTTTCGGATGTCTCAATCAACAGCTTCTTGCAAAATGGCGAATTCAACCACATCGTCGGCACATACACCAGCAGGATGCGATGGGAGGAAGGTCTATACGACTTTGACGAGAGCGCCGAGACGGATGGCGACGAGTCGAGGGCTGTCAAGACCGCAGAGGAGGGCAGTGCTGCCATTGTCCAAGGCCGCGATCTCACCTTGGCACAGATTGAGGCCGAGACTGGTCCCAACACTACCCACCTTTTGCTTGGTGACAACCAGACAGAAGGCCTTCTCGAAGTGCTTGACCGCGTTCTACCACTGGCCACCAACCTGCTCGTCCTCGACCTTTCCAAATGTGGCCTTCAGCAACTGCCCGACACCATTGGCGCGTGCATCGCACTTGAAGAGCTCGACATCTCGGGCAACGCCGTTGGTCAGCTCCCGGACTGGACCCTCAACCTTCGTGCCTTGCGCACGTTATCGGCAGACAGCATTGGATTGAGCCATCTTCCGTCCAGCTTGATCCAGCTCCAGGAGCTGCAGCGTCTCAGCCTCCGCAACAATCAGCTTGTCTTCTTGCCTAGCTGGCTCCACCGCATGTCCAAGCTCAGCAATCTCTTTGTCGAGGGCAACCATTTCCGTGGACCTTGGCAGGACATTGTTGCTCCTCTACTATCTCAACAAGCCCAGCAGGCACAGCAAGCGCAGGCTCGCGATGCTTTCGCCATGCACACTGGACTACGCAGCGTCACTGAGGCTGATCTGGGCCAGACTCAGGCGCGTCCCGTGATGTCTCGCATGCGCAGTGCCAACGATCTGCAGACCATGCTCAATAGCAACTTCGGCATGCAGACTACACCCGTCTCGACACCTGACTTTCAGAGCGACGACAGTGGCTACGTCAGCCCAGCTGAGCTTCACTCGCGATCCACCACTGGATACGAGGATCGAGTCACCAGGCTTTCGTATGCGGATGAAGCAGACCCACATGCCACCGGTGGAGGCAAGTGGGGTGGCTTCCTCAAGAAGATCGGTCGCAAGGCTTCGAGCCACAAGCTCGCTTCGGCTTTCCACGACTCGACCACTAGTCCCAGTGAGAGCCGCTTCTCGTCGCCAAAGGCTTCGCGCAAGTCACTGCGCTCGTCTGGTAGTGCTGCGAGATCCAACTCTGTCTGCAAGACTGGAAAGGCTTCCTTCATGACTCCGTCGCAGTCAGAGCCGCTTTCACCTTCGGCTGCCTTCTCCTCGCTCAATCTCGCAGCTGCCATCGACGAGCGCCGTGCTCCAATGACACCGCTTGACCCTCCCTCGGAAACAGTCACTCCTTCTGAGACCGGCATGCTACTCCAGCCCATCTCGCTGGACGCGGAGGCGAAGAAGGCACGCCGACGCAGTTTTCTACCTGTCTTCACCACTGCTCCTGACGCCACCCCGCAAGCGCTAGGCCAGGGCAAGCAGGTGGAGACATCTGCCCAATCACAAGAGATGGATGAAGAGAGTCTCGCCAGGCATCGCAACCGTCTGCGTGGCTTGATGCATTACTTGCGCGATCTTGACGACCTCACTGCCGCACGCACTGAAGCAGCTAGCTTCGTCGGACCCAGCAAGAGCACTCTCGTGCACCTCCGTGAAGCAGGTGGCAGCAGTCACTCTCGCTCGCCCAGCATGCACCAAGCTGAATCGAGCAACCCTTCCACCAAGTCGCGCGACTCGGGTGGAGAGTACGTCGCTAGCACAGCTGCCAGCTCCATCTCGGAAGGCACTACCTCTTCGGAGCCAGCTCGTCTTAGCACAGCTCGATGCAACAAGGACAACTCGGTGCGACGATTCCGTATCATTGCCGAGATTGTCTCGACTGAGCGCACTTACGTCAAGGGTCTTGGCGAGTTGGTCGATATCTATGTCAAGCCGGCTATGGCTCCTGCCGATGGCAACAGTGGTGTTCCCGTCATTCCTCCTAGCGAGCACCGTGCCGTCTTTGGCAACGTTGAAGCATTGTTGCAGTTCCATCGTACTGTGTTCTTGCCGTCGCTTGTGGCAATGGCCAGCCCTGTTCTGGGCCATAACCAGGAAGTACCGTCCGAGATGGCACCCGAAGAGACAGCAGCAGTCGCTGAGAAAGTCGCCTCGGTATTCTCGACCCACGCAGCCTTCTTCAAGATGTACACGAGCTACATCAACAACTGCGATTCTGCCCAGAACCGCATCAGTGCATGGCTGGCGCCTTCTTCCGCAGGCAACGGCGGTGGTCTCTCGCTTCGTGGTACATCTGGCTACAGTGCTCTCCAAGCGTTCGGCGCTATGTCTGTACAGCAAGGTGCCGCTGCAGCCATGTACGCGAACGGGATAAGCGGCGGCTCGATGGGTGGCAATGCCGGTTCTGGCATGTTTGGTGGCGATGGCAGCAGTCTTTCCCCTTCGCAGCGTAAGAAGATCAAGACCTTCATGAAGCGCTGCCGCACGCACCCAAGACACACCCAGCTCAACGTCGAGAGCTACCTGCTTCTACCCGTGCAGAGGATCCCTCGATACCGTTTGCTCCTCGAAGATCTTGTCAAGAGCACCGACACTACTCGCCTTTCCGATGGCGACGCTTTGGCTACAGCCCTGGAGCATGTGACACAGATCGCATCAAAAGTCAACGAAAGCAAGCGTCAATCAGAGCAAGATCGACGTCTTCTCGCATGGCAGTACCGCATCCGTGGACCCATTGAAGGGGCGCTGGTCCAGCCTCATCGTCGATTGCTCAAGGATGGACCTCTACAGTTGAAGCGAACTGTTCGCCGTATCGCTGGCTTTGTTCGCTCTAACCGAAGCGGTTCCGTCGGTGCTGCTCAGCAGCGAGACAGCACTGGTGCTTTATCACCACTCAGCATTCCCGGTCAAGGCCACGTGCTCTCGGCAGACCACTTGCAGCAAGTGACCGAAGATCAGAGCATGGCTTTGATTCTCTGCAGTGACGTTGCTGTGCTCTGTGCTGAACAGACCAGGACTAAAGATCCCAACGCGCCCGTCCTGCTTCGATCGATGCTCAAGCTCATCCGACCAGTCGAGATCCTCGGCGGTGTCAACTTGCGCATTGTCGACCGTTCTGAGATTCTTTACCTTGCAGCAAGCTCGCCGGAAGAGGCAGTGGCCTGGAAGACTGCTTTCGATCTTCATTTCTATCAGTGATGCACACCCTTTCTTGCTTGAACAGTGCCGGCACTCACGCTCAATCACACAACACCTTCGTTTTCGAACCCCACTCATTGCGCGATATCACATCATCGCTGCCCCACCGTCCCTTTGATACTGTCTTTTTAGTCACTTCTTCTCGAACCATCGTTACCGTGCTTATCTGTAATACTACTTGTCATTGGCATTCCCAACCCAGCTCCCAGCTTTTTTGATTTGTGCTCCATGTCATTGAGAGCGAGGATGGCTCGCAGCTTGGGAAGTTGTGGGAAGGATGATGGCGGGGTGGGAAAAAAGAGCTCAATGCAGAGTGACGCGCACAGACCGATTTCAAGGCTGCGTGGCACTTTCATTTTTTCCCAGCACACCGTCCACAGCGTGTGTGTGTGTGTGTGTGTGTGTGTTGCTGTGATGTGCAATTGCGCGAATTTCGGCAACGGAAAGCTCTTTGATTACTGAGCCGTTCAAGGGTTGAGAAGGTTTCGCTCTCCACACAAAGCTCACATCCAACACTTGAACCCTGACCATTCCTATACTTGGACCGTCAGTTCTGCCACTCGCTGCAGACACCATCTCAACCGCCTATCAATACCCTGCCGCACGCACGACCTGGTACATTCGGTCGTAGCGGCTAACCCACGTCTCTCTCACATGCCAATCTGAACCGCCGGCAGCGCCAGCAACCCAGTTCTACACCGTAAGCAGCATCTCCTTTTCGCCGGTCCACCCCCACACCTTTGGAGCATGCATTTGTGATAATACCCAACCAACATAGCTGCTGCTAGGATGGTCTCACCCCAGTCGTCCCTGCGTCGGCGAGGGGGAGGTTCGGTCAGCAAACCCCCCGGTCACGCACGGGCCGAATTCGATGGGTTTGGGTCCTTCGTCGATTCTTCCTCCGCTTTCCCTTCCAGCTTCGATCCAGGGTTGTCAGAAACATTCGATAACGAAGCGACGTCCTCTTCAGTAGCTGTGTCGTCACCAACACAGGCATGCTCCGACTCAACATCACAGCCGCAACCACAGAACACGGAAAATGAAGATGCCGACGAATGGACAGAAGCAGACATGGTCTCAAACTTCTCGCCTGTCGAAACGCATTTTCCGAAGCACCACCTTGATCAACCAGCATCAGCGTCGACGTCGTCATTACACTCAACGCCTATGTCAAACAGCAAACCAGTAGCTAAGCGCAAGATCAGCGGCAGAGGAACATCGTCAGAATGGGCCGATTGGAACACCTTTCTAGCAGCACATACTCTTCCAAATCAACAACAGACGCCGTCACAAGCTGCTGCTGCTGGAATATCGACAGATTCCAAGCCTACAGCACCAATTACTGTCAATCCTGCCGATGACGCCTTCTTTGACGCCTTCGAAGTGGCTACCAACCCGAATCGAGCGCCTTCTCCGCCAATCATCGATCTTCGTGGTGTCGAAAAGAAGCTTGAGGAGAAGAAGAAACAGCATCAGCAGCAAAAGGGGACTCCAAGTCTGGCAGATGATGACTTCTTCTCTCGCTTCGAGCGATCGCCTCAGACAGCGCTAGGGAGGGCAAGTCCGTTAGTGCTTGAGCCGGATCAGTTGGAAAGCATGCACGATGCAAGCACAAGTCCACTAGCCACCTCCTCGTCGAACTCGTATTTTGGGCTCTCGGCGCAACCCAAGCCAATCAGCGGTGGCGGAGGTGGTGAGCAGAGGCGTAATACAGGGTCAAGATCGGGAGGAGCTTTCTCCCCAGCCTCACCATCAAGTTGGACCGGCAGTCTGAGAAAGACATGGACAACACTGCGTGGGATCCAAAGCGAAATCGTAAGCCATCTGCCGAGTGCAAGCGACTTCATCGTGCCGGCGGAAGAAGCCGAGGAGGCCAAAGCTCCTCCAGGGGTTGGTGCAGTTGACACCAAACCTGGTGGAGGTCTGCTGATTGCTAGTGATGCACTTTCCACCCATCCCAACGGTGATGACCAAGGTCGTCGATCCTCAAGTACCGGTCGTAGGAACAACCAAACATTCCCGCACGCCTCTGCCTACAGTCAGACCACTCCCTTTGGCTCTTCCTCCGCATCATCATCAGGCTTCTCTTCGGGCGCAGCAGCACCTTCTCACAACCCTTCAGCACCTCTACGCGCACGAGATCTGTTCGCTTCTTCCAGTACTGCTTCCCTCGGCTCCCACCCTCCTTCCATCAGCTCGAGCGGGACTCTTCGTCGAGGACCAATGCATTCTTCCACAGCCCCCATCTCCGGTGCACCTGGCTTCGACACCTCTTCAACCCGCCAATGGAATACTGGGCATTGGACACTCGACGATGAAAAGCAAAAGCGATCTATTCCAGTAACACTGTCTAAGCGTCGTGCCGAGACCGAAACAGTTATTGAAGACTCTCATGCTGCTCAATTGCAAGCTCTCCTTCCGCCGAGATTGCAGTTGGGGAAAAGGTGGAGTTTGCTATATTCGCTGGATCAGCATGGGATTTCATTGCAGACATTGTACCATCAGGTAAGTGCGGGGTTAGATCCGATGAAGAGGGTTGTTTCCGGCAGTACTCCGGGTGGTGGAGAGGAGAGTGGTGAGGCGGAGGGCTGGTTGAGAGGTGCATCAAGAGAAACGCAGGAAGCATTGGGTACGCGATCGAACGGCAAGATGCACGTCGGTGGAGGTCTAAGTAGCATAAGCGATGCTGGGTTGGTGATCGCAATCAAGGACGAGAAGGATCACGTTTTTGGTGCATTCGTGAATGAAAAGCTGAGGCCTCAGCAGCATTACTATGGCTCGGGGGAATGTTTCCTTTGGAAGACCACCTCCTCTACCAGTGAGAACGAGGAGGGTAGGGTGGAGAGATACAAATGGACGGGCAGGAACGATTACATGGTTCTTTCAGAGTCTACATTTCTGAGTGTAGGAGGAGGCGAGGGCAAGTTCGGCTTATGGCTAGATGGTGCCCTGGAGAAGGGTGTTAGTAGCTGTTGTCCCGCTTTCGATAACGAGGTCTTGTGCGATGGGAAGAGGAGAGGCGAGGGGAGGAAGGATGGAGAAGGGAGATTCGAATGTTTTGGTCTGGAAGTGTGGGCTGTTGGCATCGACTAGTCTCTCCTTGCCCCAATCAATTAAGTCATTTTGTCGTTCTCCGCAACATCGATAGATTTGGTGCTCCCGATGCATTGCCTTTGTGCAGGCTAGGTCCATCCGGGTTGCGGTTGAGCATTGAAAATAAAGGCTTTGAGCTGGAACATTGTCATCATGTCGCTGTGAGTATCAGAAGCGGAAGGAACAAAGCGTTGTCTTTCCGTTCTGTTTGATGATGGTGAGGCTGAGTGCTCGTCTCGTCGAGGGTAGAATGAGGTATAAGTATATCTCCCAACGATTTCCCCTGGCTTTGCCTTTCTTTCTTCGTCCACAACTCATACTACTGTATCTTTCACGTTCCACCTCTTCTACTCTCGCAGCTGCATCTTGAGCATTCCTACGCATCACATCTTCATCGTCATCTCCGTCTTCACCTTCTTCCACACTGATCACCATCTCTTTGACTCTCCCTTACCACTCTTCGACGCTGTCTCCAAGCGTTTGGCTTAGTCTTCTTTCAAGAGGAGGATCTGAACTTTGTCTCTTCTGACTCTTCTGCTCCCTTGACGCTCTTTGGCTGAACAACAAACCTACTCCATCACGTTCTGTTGCATTCCTCGTCCGCTTCGGCCCGCGTTTGAAATCGTTCGGCTGTCTACACACATCACCAATCGCAACCTCCTTCCACAATAAAGCCATACCTCATCCACAATGGCTGATATCAGTACCATGACTCCTCCCAGGCTCCGGCCTAGCACACCAGGCGCCTTTTCAACGCCTAGTACCATCCGTAGTGACACTTCAAATGCACGTACACCCGCCACTCCCACAACAGGTGCGACGCGCAACGACTCTACTTCGTCTGCTGAAACTATACGGTCCTCAGTCGTGGGCTGTGCCAGCCCAGCCACTCCTACACCGAACCGCGCTCGAGCAGGCACTGCTTGTCTTGGTCCTTGTACACTGTCCCCTCATGTAAGTTCAATCCCCCTCCCTCACCGATCATTTGTCCGTAATCGAAGCTGACACAATTGACATTATTGTGCTGTGTAGGGGAGAGTAAAAAGTGTAATTGACCTCACCAGATCCACTCCTTATCCGATCCCCTCGCCCATCACTGTCAACGGCCAGATGGTAACGGGCGGGAACTTGACAGCACAGATGGCGCAAGCCTTTGCCACTACTGGTCGTGCACAGCCTCGCTCGGGGTCGTTTAGACCTGCTACCCCTGCTGCGGCTGCTAGAGGAGAGAGTGTTACGCCTACTCCTGTTTCGGTCAACATTGCTGCAGCAGGCGCAGATGGGGTTAGGGTGAAGACGGAAGAAGGTGTGGTGGTTAAGGCTGAGAGCACGACCCCTTCGCTTAGCGACGGAGCGATAGGTCCTCCTACCACGACGCCCATCAGACCTGGAACTCCGATCGTCAGCCGTAAAACTCCAGCTCCTTTTGTTAGGGCTAGTCGCACCATTCCTCGCTCTACACCTTCTCCTTCGACGCCGCGCATCACTCACACGCAGATTCACAGCACCCCAGCTCCTCCTGCTAGGGCTACGAGCATGGCTCCGCGCTTACCTACTCCAGCTCCGCGCTCAGCTACGCCAGCAACCATGCCTCGCACTAGGCTCCCCTCCCGCCCACCTGCAATTGCCCCCACGACGACGCGCAACCTTGCACTTTCAGCACGAACCCCAACCCCAGCTCCGCGCTTCAACTTGCTATCCAACCGTGGTCGAGCTCAAGGTGTTATGCCTTATGATGCAGCTTATCGTCGCCATACGATGAGACAGGATGTTGGCTTGGGTGTAGGTGGAGGAAGAGGTATAGTTACACGTGATGTTGAAGCGGATGTGGTTATGGTTGATGCTTTTACCCCTGTTCCCACTGGATCGACTTCTATCGCTTCTTCTCCTGGCCGTGCCGCGAGCAAGGCCGTTGCTACTGCCTCCGCTTCTACTGCAAGCAGCGCCCTCAACACTCGAACAAACGTCACACGCGCTCCCTCACCTAGCTCGACTATCGGTTCTTCAGATGAAGAAGAGGGAGAAATAGTCGTACTGGCCACGCAATCAGCGGCGATGCAACCTCAAAATAAAAGCAAAAAGAAGCAGAAGAAGCCCAAGAAGCAAGCCGAACCACTTACACCCACGGCCACTCCTTCTTTCCTTATCGGTACTTCGCCCGTTCAGCAGGGAGTTGTGAAGTAAGTAAACCCCTCCTTACCCAATTAGTGACATTAACCTCATCTTAGGATCACTGACACTTTTGGACCATTTTGCTCCGCCGCACCACATCCAACGTTGTTGGGCGTCAGAACAACGATTTCAATCCAGCTCCGATCGCCCACTTTTTCGTACAAGCACTCTTTTGAATTAGATTCATTTATGCATGCGACTCAAGAGAAGGTGGCGGATCTAGTGGGGAAATTCGAAGGAGGACTACGAAAGGTTTTACCTCCTCCTCCCCGACCTGCACCTAGACAGGTTTGAAATGGCGCTTGAAGATTTGATTGGGAGTGCGAAGCGATTGAAGGAGGATGAGAACAAGGGTAGCAGGGGAAACAAGTAAAGTGAACACCAAGCAAGGCTCGGCGTGTGGTGGTGAAGAAGATTGACTCTAAGCATTTAGGATAGCGAGGAAAAGTAGCAAGCAGCAAACCAAGCTTTATTCGGCAAGAGACGAGAGGACAAGTCTCAGAAGAAGCGCATTAGTATAGAGAGGGGGGGGGGAAACACAGCCTACTAGGATGACGAGAATGATCAGCTGCAACAGAAGGGAGTCCGAAAACAAGTCAAATCGCTCATGCCACCAGACGCACAATTCGAACAGCAAATGCAGCCGAGACATCAAGAAAACAGAAGAAAGAGAAATGTCAAAAGCGTTCCGATTAGCCAATCCTTCTCATCTGTCTGCTTGTGTGTGCCATCATCTTTGACACTCTCACCAATCGTCCTTCTTCCTCATCTCCATCCACCGCTTCCATCAGGATCTCAATTTGCACCACAGATGCACGCTCAATCTTGGTCGGATAAATGAAAAAGAGTCATTTGCAAAAGAACCAAGATGACAATCAAAAACTAAACAAACAGAATAGTGAAACCGATACGGCCCCCCTTACCAAACCATATATAGTGGGGGGGGGGGGGGGGGGGGGGGGGGGGCGGAAAGATAGAGAAACCAAAACAAGTACAATAAACACACCAATAAGCGCCAACCGCCATGTTAGTAATTGATCTTAATCACTCCCAACGGAGACCTCTGGACCACAATCGCTCTCTCTGCGTTCCTAGCCGGTGTAGTGGGTGCAGGTGCGAGCTTGTGACTACCACTACTACTGGTTCTGGGTAACTTCCTCATCGCCGCAGGCCTAGAGGGTGTATCTAGTGCGCCAATGGACATGAGGTTTTCCACATCGTCATCGTCACTAAACGTGTCATCGCTACTGGGTCCACCTGCGGCAGAAACATTCTTCCTGTAGTCCGCGTCGAAGATGTCGCCTTTGCCCGCAGCCAGAACTGGAGAAGCAGTGCGAGACTTGGAGCAAGCCGCAGCGGCGCGACTGAGAGTAGAGAATTTCCTCTTTGCGCTCTTCCTCATCGATCCCTCCGCCTGAGAGTGAGACTTGTACACGGTAGGAGACCCTTTCATGGCCGACTTCCTAGTGCTGTCAGGCCAGAAAACAACTCCACTACCACCCACTTTGGCGGTGGAAAGCGGAGTAAAGCCACCTAAGCCACTCAAGGCACCAAGTCCAGAATGGAACGGCGTGCCACTTGCCCCAACAATAAGGCCACCTGACATTCCGGCTACACTGGGGGTCAACCCTAACGATGAAGCGTAGCATGCCGATGCGTAGGACGAAGTGCGTGAGATCGAGTGTGGGGCCAAACCCAAAGATTCGGTGAGGTTGAGATGTTGAGGCGAGGAGAATTGGTCGTTGGAGTGGTGACGAGATGGTGAAGGACGGACTGAGTTCGCCATTGACCCGTCATGGTGCATGGCAGAAGTGGCACCCATGGTGGAGTTGCAATCACCACGTCGCATCGCCGAATACCCAAGATTCGACATCATAGGCTTGGAGAAAGGAGTCGACATCATCGGCGCACTCACTCCCGCACCGCCGCCCAACTTCTTGCTTGCTGAACCGAGCAATGGCGGCAAAGAGTCCATCTTGATTCTCTCCATACCCATTTCAGTACCCTCGGTCTGCGAAGAAGGTCGGATAGGCGTACTGACAAGAGGAGGAAGCTTAACCCCAAGTGGACCAGTCGAAGTAGAAGTAGAGGAGACACTTTTGCCCATACCAATGCCACCACCGATTCCACTGTTTACGAAAGTGATATGCGTCGGCGAAGCAATCGGAGAAGCGGGAGCACCAGAGTAGCTGAGCTTTCGACGACCTTCGTAGGGCGAGATCTTGTGTTTGTCGAGACTGAAAGGGTTTTCACCCGAACGAGAGGAAGGTCCTGGTGTGGAAATTGGCATCACTCGAACTGCCGACGTCGATCCCGCGCCAGACGCCAGCGTCCGGGAAACAGGCGAAGGGCTCAACCCACCGATCACTTCGTCGTTCTTCCTGCCCGTGATCTCTGCCGCTGTTGAGCTAGACAAAGCAGTAAGAGCGGCGTGCTCGGAAGCAGCTTTTCCGCGACTAGGCGTCGAGGACCAAGGTGCATCTCCATCGCTTTCTCTTCGCTTCAGACTCATCTTCCTGTCGTCCGCAGGCGAATTCGACCCAGATCGAAGAGCCAGCAGCTGGATAGCAGCGTCCTTGTCACCCCTTGGCTGCACACGAGGTTGACCTTGCATCGCAGCTGCAACCTTGTCGCCATCGATAGGAGGTAGAGCAGGCCAAGTCGTCGCAGGAGTATCAATTGAAGTGTTGGCAGTCTCGCTACCGGAGTTGCTCATGTTGCCTCCAAAGCTGTCGTTGAAGAAGCTGGCCGAGCCGGGTTGCGAGTACTCGCTGCTGTTGGAGCTAAAGCTTTCGTTGGGGTTGGAGAGCATTGTCGGACCCATCCCTTGCTGTTGTTGGTGAGGTTGTGGGAGTGCGATGGAGAGACCAAGACGACGCATGGGCGAGCTAGAGTACATGCCGCCGCTGGCTGCTGCAAGCTCTTGTGCGACAAAGGCGCCACCACTCATCAATGGCAACGCGGTAGGATACTGCGAAGGCGTTGTGCTAGGACCCGCAACATTGGATGCGGTTGAAGGAGCCAATGCTTGTCGCTTGGCTGGGCCTTGGGATGCAAACGTCTGATGCGAAGTCTCCCAGTGTGCAATCGACTCTGCCTTGAGCGAGGCTCTCCTATGAGCTTCGGCCGGCGTTGGCATTGAGAAAGTGTCATCGCCGCCATCCCCATTTCCACCTTGAGGGAAGCTCATCGACATGCCGGAAATGTCAGCATCAGCTCCATCATCCCCGTCATCACCCTCGTCATCAGTGTCTTCGAGGTTAGGCGTGTTGCTACCAGACTTTCCCGCCTGGGCCGCCTGTTTCTCTTGTAAACGCTTCTTTCTCGCCCATCTACGCTTGCTTTCGAGCATACGTGCGCGGCGCTCTTCGGCATTCTTGGGTCGGTTGACATCGCCATCCCATCGAGTTCGACGGGGTTGTGCGCTGAGAGGAATGTTGTGCTTGTCCTGAAGATGGCGACGCCAGATACTACGAGCGTGTTTGCCGGTGTAGACCTTGTCACAGTACGTGCAAGGGAAGGCACTGGCATCACCGTGGTTGCCTGCCTGTGCACGAGACATGGCAAGTAAGTTGTCGATGTCCTGCTGTGTCATAGGCCCTGGCGTTCCGCTGGAGGACGCATCGCCAGACATGGCGAAGGAGTTGTATCGCATCATCGGATTCGGCGGCATCGTGCCCAAATCTGAATGTGTGTATGCGCTGTGCGAGGGGAAGCCAGATGGAAAGTCGGGTACGGGACTTGAGCCTGCAAGCGAGGAGTAGGATGTCGAAGCGTAGAGGCTTGGATGGTACGGGACTGGATGCGGATGGTGCTGCTGCTGCAAGTGGATATGTGAGTCGAGCTGCTGCTGGTATGGATTGCCGTAGTCGATCACAGGTGCAGTACGTGGGACGTCGGGTACGCGGAAAGCAGCTTCATTCGAAGGGCCAGATGGATCATGCACGATTGAGTGGAAGCCGCGTGCTGCTGGATGCTGGAAAGCGCCGTTTGCAGCAATGAGATTGGAATGCTGCAATGGCGGTGGTGGCTGCGGTTGATGGTGGATGTGTTGGTTATGTTGTTGCTGTTGCTGTTGCTGTTGCTGCTGTTGGCCCTGGGATGCTGGATCAAATAGAGGCGACTGAGCAACGGGAGGCGAAGCAAAGAGACCTGGTGGAGCTGCTGCCAAGTATGGTGATGTGGACTGTATCGGAACGATGCCGCTTGCAGCCAAAGCAGTGCGGGGAGGATGAGACGATTCGGCCTGCATCATTGCAATAGGAAGCGCAAGGTGATGCGGCGGGGTGTATATGCGGTTGGTGAGCAAAGATCGAATGTAGGTCCGTGTGATGATCACGGGTCGCCGATCGGATGTAAAGCGGTTCAAGGTTAGGATGAAGAAAGGGTAATGATGGTTTCTTGGTCAGTCGAGCAAGTCCAACAGAGAGAGCGATGCGAGGTGAGATGGGGCAGTGTCAAGGTGGTAGAGGTGGCGGATGCGGTATGAAAGGGGAATGCTGGTCACGACGATGATGATGGTGATCAAGAGCAACAATCTAGATGGTGTCAAGGACCAAGAGACGAAGAGCAAGCTGCACGTTGACTGTAAATCTCTCAGAGATGCAAATAGTGCAAAGCCGAGTCGTCGAGTCGATGGTCACAGGTGCTAGACTGAGTGTGTAGATGCAAGAATCGGAAAAGGCAGGAGGAGGGGGAGGTAGTAGGAGTGCAAGGGAGCAGCGGGGATTGGAAGAGGGAGGAGGAGGAGGAGGAGGAGGAGGAGGAGGAGGAACAAGAGGGGGACAGGGAGGGAGGGGAACGACACGGGCAGGATGGTAAGGGTAGTAGGGTGACTGGGCATCCATGCAACCCGAACCAATGCTTTACGAGAAGGTGCGCAGATGACAGGCAAGCAGTGACCAGATGCAAGGCTGTCTGATCTGCAAGGACTGCACGAGGTTGCAGACTCTGCAGATACGAGTTCGGTATCGAGGTTTACGAAAGAGATCGAACAACACGAGAGTGAAAGAAAGAAGGAGGAGAAGGGAGACAGGCAACTTACGCAAAGAAGGGCAGAAAGTCGGATGGAATGCAGCGTCGATCCTGGCGGGGCCGAGGATAAGCTACTGGTAGGACAGATCGCTTCTATGCCGGACAGCGGATGAGATGCAGCAGCTCTAGTCCGAGGGCTGGAGACGAGAGGCAAGGAAGGATGAGCGATGAGGATGATGTGTTTACTCGACGAATTGAGCGGGCGGCAATCGTGTTGAGTGCGCGAGGCGGCGAAGAGATTGGCTGCAAGTGCAAGATGAAGCGGCGAGAGAAAACAAAGCTGACAGTGATGAGGTGCACGCAGAAGCCCAAGTCGGTGTGCAGAGAAGGGTCGGGGTTGCGAAGGAGGCGGAAGGGCGGCAGATGAGGAGGAGGACAAGGCCAAGTCAATGGTCGAGACGGGCGATGTACCTTGGCAAGCAGCATCAACGTGGCTTGCGACTGGATTGGCACTGCAAAGAAAGTTACCGAAGAGCTAGGCGATCAGTAGATGTGCGGCGGCAAAGAGATGAATGAGGATGATGACGATGGCGATGGATGAGTGAGACCGAGTGAGTGATTGAGAAGATTGGGGGCTGGAGGCTGGCTGGAAAGAAGGAAGAAAGGAAGGAAGGAAGAAAGGAACAAGGCGAGAAAAGCCGGGTGGAGCGCTAAGAATGATGCAGTGACAAGGCCGAGGGACCGGCAGCGGCACGCATGAAGCTTTGTGTGGTCGAGGAGGGAGAGAGCGAGAGAGGCAGGGCTTGAGTTTGGTGGTGAGAAGGAGGAGGGCAGAATGTCAAAACAAGAAGGGAAGCAATGGAAGAAAGTAAGAAGCAGATTCCTCGGCAATGGAGAGACACGCGTCCGAGTTGTCTGTCAAAGGAAGAAGGCGCAGCAAAGAGGCAGCGCAGCGCAGAGAAAAGCTTAGAAGAGAGCAATGGCGGGCAGAAGAAAGAGAGATGATGTGTTTTGTGCGTGTGTGTTGTTTGTCGTGGGTCCAAAAGAGCAGTTCGTGCTCAGACAGTTGTCAAATTGTTTTGCTTGCGAGCGGCGAAATGGCAGAGGGGAGGGGGGGGGGAAAGGGAAAACAAAAAGCAAGACTGGCGAAATGCCCAATCTTCCCGAGTCCAAAGCAACAGACGAGAGGAAAAGCCGAAAGGCAGTCGAGGAATGATGATGGCCATCTCTCCCACGCCTCTTCCCTCCTTTCCTCTGAGACTGATGCAGAGGAGCGTCAGACAGCGCTTGCTTCCAGCGAAATGCAGCATGTTCTCGGTGTCATTGTGCTGTCGGTTCGAATTCAAGTGCTGGAAATGCAGCATTACAGAATCAGCCAGAATCAAGCCCGAGCTACAGCATCACATACAAACCGCTTGGCCGAGCCTCTTCCTATGTCGCTACACCGATGGCAAAGCAAAGCCTAAAGTCATCTGACCATCGGCTTCTCCGTTCTTGTTCGGAAAAGACGAGGCTTTGGTTGGCCTTTGCTATCTAGAACCTCTCTGTAACCACCAGTGCAGTGAGCATGAGGCTCGCAATACTGCTCGCACTGGCAATCTTCTTCCTCATCATTCGCTACCATCATAATTCTGTCCTCCTCACCTCCATCATGAGACGGTTTTGAATGCTCTACTCTGGCGAAACGACTGACTGTGAACGGGGCAAATCGCCCAGGGAAAATGGCAGTTCCATTCACAAAATCATTTACCCCAAAGCGTTTCTTTTCAAGTGCCAAATGATAGGCGATGGGCGCGACGTGTCCGGCGTGTCGCATCACGTGCTCCATCCTCTTCATTTTCTTTGGATCTGAGACAGGCGCAGAAATCGGGAAGCGAGGGAACCGATGGTCGGGACGCAACGATCCACTCTTCAGTCTCCAGGCAATCTGCAGTCCGCTATCAACTCAACATCATGCGCTGGTCAGGGCATGGATCACTGTTTTGAAGCCCTAACATCCTCAGCTCAAACATGTGTTGGGCACACTCGAAACGGAAGCATAAGAAAAAGTGTCCATTAAGAAAAAACAAGACCAAAGGATGCGAGGTGAACAAAAAAAATAAATGATAACGTGCTATCGTGATTTCAACGGCGTTGAACTCCAGCAACGGAGGAGCGTTATGAATCATTCTGCATCAGCAAAAGCTCCGAAACCACCATGCCTCGTCAACAGCCCCCACCCCGAGACAACAGCGATGACTACGGTCGCAATCAATCCAATAAATGCAGGATGCATGGCCTTCAACCCAGTCGCGCCGCTGCAAGCTGCACAGATCCAGCCACTTGCCAGCGGCGTGTAAGCCTGAGGATTGTACAACGCAAATTGAACCTTGGTGTTGGGCTGCATCAGACCGGGCGAAGCACCGACAGACATTCCACGCTCATCATAGATCAACAGACGGTACGAAGCTGCAATGAGTTGTGGCAGGTTAGGATTCGATGCTTCAACGCTCGTCGAGTAGTTGTATGGCGACCAGACAACACTTGTCGCCGTACCTGGAAGGGCAGTGGCGATGTCATACGTGTTCAGGTTGTCCGAGCAGTATGCCTGCACAGTGAGCGTACGTGGGTATTGGAGTACCGAGGTGAAGTTCCAGCCGAAAGTGACGTCAACGCCTCTTGCGATCTTGTAGTAAGAAGGATCGGCCGTCTGAATAGGTTGTGTCACCGTAACACCACCAACGGGTGCTGATGATGGAATGTTGACCGAGGTAGCTGTGTTGGTCGCTTGTGCTCCTGTTTCTGCTCCGCTCGTCAGTCCTGGTGTGAAGGCCGGTGGATCCGGAGCGAATGCACCGCTAATACATAGCAGCGCCCAGAGCGCCAAGAACAAGGGAAGGACACCGGTCATTGTAGAGCTAGGTCGCGCCACGGTATAGCTTTGTAGTAGTAGTAGAGAGACGATTCTGGTCGAGGTTCTGCTCCTTTGTGATCTCGCAAAGCGCTGCGCTTGGTCGGAAAGAATTTTTCACTAGCAAACCAAGGAGAGGGGGCCGATCTAGGAGACGATGCAAGAAGCTATGAAGCGCTCGAGATAGGTTAATAGGAGTTCCTGTGAGGTGTCTTGGAACCCTGCGAGAGAGTCCTGTTGCAAGTCCACTGGGCTGACGCTGGCCAATGTGCGTCGATGGCTTCTGAAACAACTCTGGATGTATTACGCTGGTCGAAATGTTTACTTGTGTGTCAGAAGGGAAGAGGACAAGTCGTCGCTTCGTCTGTCAAGATGCTTGTTCGAATCTGAATGTTCCAATATCAGATGTCGGTCGAGAGGGTTAGACGAAAATGTTTTCGTTATGTGTGCGTACCCAAGCAGAGCGAAGAGATGCAGAAGTAGCCGGTCGTCAAAACGATGAGAGGATGAGGATGGAGGTGATAGTGATGAACCAGGAGGAGTTCCGACGCCCAACTCTCAAACCAATCCCATATAATTCTCTGCTGTTGCTGTGCCTACAATTCGTGGGCTGAAATTGGAAAATCAGGAAATTTCAACTGCACAGCTGATCAGCGCTGAGAAGCACAGCGCGCGCGTTTCCGATTTCGACAATTCAACATTGAAGAGCTCCTGCTGGCGCGTAGAGAAAAAGAAAAAAGAAAAAAGAAAAAAGAAAAAAAGAAAAAAAGAAAAAAAAAAAAAAGGGGTCTCTGGCTAACTTAGCAGCCCACAGCTCGTGAGCATCGATAGAGAGAGAGTGCAAGGGAGAGAGAGGGCGGTACACAAGCGAGCTGAGCTCAAATAAGGCAGGAGGAAGAGAGAGAGAGAGAGAGAGGTTCGTGCAACTGCTGATCGCTCGGTGAGACACACACAGCCAGTCCTCAGCCAGCCTCTCTCTCTCATTTCGAGATCCACAGAGGAACGCTTGGCGAGTCTCATCAAACCCTTGAGTGGTCTGTCAGGTCACTGTTCACACATTGCAACCTTGCTTTTGTCACCATCGTCTTTAGGTACTTTCGAGCTGCTGCTGCTGTTGCTCTGACCGTCGGTTTGTGCAGCGAGATGATGGCCTCTTGCGTTTACTCTTCTTCTGCTTGCCTGTCTGCTGCCACGAATTCCGCATCTTGGACCTTTTCACTAATCACTCCTGTCTCCTGTCAAGTTGGTTGATTTCGATGCAAAGATATCTCACTCTCAGGCTCACAGGGGTGGAACGAAAAGGGAATCATCATTTCATCATCGAATGCGAGTCATGAGGCTGGGCCTGCCTGGCCTTGAAGCAAGTAGTAGTACAAGCTTTCAACGCCGACACTGTCAGTCAGTCCGGCGCTACAAAGGGGAACAGAGGGATCATCGTGATAAAGGTCGTTAGGAATGCCTTCATACCTGCTCGTCACACCAAAGTGCACAGCAAGCTGAATCTCTTGTGTGGACTTGAAAGAGAAAGGGAATCACTGGGTCTAAAGAGGAGGCGCCTGCTGAAGAAAATACGCAGGATAAATGCTGGCAAGGCGGATCACCTAGTGATCCGCCTTGCCAGCATACGCCTCAGCACTGGACAGCGGTACTGTATCAGCTTGTGACGCCTGCTGAGCTGCATAGGCATCGCTCTCGCCAAGTGTGCCGCGCTCCCACTTATCGAGCTCGGAAGCGATGCTACCGTACGCCATGCTGTCTCGTGCTCGCTCGCCACCGTCTTCGTGTGTCGACTCGATTCGTCCGAGCAAAAGCTGGAACTTGTCGTCCAGCTCCTGCAGACGCTGTGTCAAGTTGGCATTCTCGCGTTTCAGCTGCTCGTTGCTCGTCTGCGCTGCGCTTAATGAGCGACTCAGCGACGAAGCATCCTCGACGCCAGCCTCAGTCGACTTGCTGGCCGAACTCGAGCTGAGCTGTGTCTGCAACTGCTCGTTGCGCTCCAATGTCTTCTTGACTTCCTTGCGCGACTCTTCCAAGCTGGCCTGCAATCGAGCCACCTCGCTCTCCAGTTCGGAAACCTTACGGCTCGAGTGGCCATTATCAGAGCTTCCGGCTATGTCGTCAGTCTTGTCGAGCGAGCCACGGTGTTGTTCCTGCTCTGCCACAAGCTGAGCTACTCTGCGCTCCAGCTCGCGGTTCTCGGCTGCGATCTCCTCGCTCTGCTGTGTCACATCGGCGAGGTGGCTTCGTAGCGCCTCAATGTCACGTGCTGCCTCTTCGGAGCGTGCGCCATCGTCGGTGCTCAGACGTCCACCGCCACCTGCAGATCGCATCGAAGCAAGCTCGTTTTGTAAGGCGGCGTTCTCAGTCTTGTACTTTGTCAGCTCGTCCTTCATCCTACGCAGCATCTTTTCAGTGCCCTTGACGAATTGAACAGCGGTCTGATAGTCGTTCTCGAGCTGTGCCATCCTATCCTTGTATGAGGCGGTCGTCTCGGCGAGCTCACGCTCGGCCAGCTGAGCACGTCGCTCTGCTTCAGCCACTGTGGTACTGTCGGCAGTACCGCGGCTTGCAGTGAGCGAGGCATGGTGTTCAAGCTCGCGTGTGAGCTCTTCGACGCGGCTCTCGGAGTCCTGTAGACGGTGCTCTGCTTCCTGCAATTCTCGTCCTCGTGCATCGATTTCATCCTCGAGCTCGCGGATACGGCGATCAGCATAACCAGACTTGACGCTCAGCTCGTCCTCGTTGGGCACGCTGACACCATGCTCAGCCATAAATTGCTTGAGCAAGCTCGACTTGACCTGAGCTGCCTCGATGGCACGGTTGCGGTCACGCAGCTCGAGATCCTTGGAGCTGGCAGTGTCCTTGAGTCGTGCCGCTTCCTGCAATGCCACAGCAAGCTGACTGCGAAGAGCAGTGAGCTCGGAGCGCAACGCCGTTGCTTGCTTCTCTGTGGTCAAGTGACGATTCTGCATCTCTTGAAGCGAGCTAGCGTGCTCATCGGCCATCTGGCGCGCCTCGGCATGGAGCTGTCGAAGCTGCTCGGCCTCGTCTTCCAGCGCTCGCATCTTGTCCAAGACGTGCGAGGGCACAGCAGTAGAGGCACCAAGATCCCCGCTCGATGTCTGATCTTTGTGAGCAAGCAATGCTGCAAGTCCGCTCGTGGCAGCTGTGCGGTGCGTCTCCGCTTCCTGTCGATGTTGGTGCAACAAGGTCTCGAGCTCAGCAGCTCGTGAGGCGTGGTTGGAAGCCTCGGCCGACTTCGCTTCAAGTTGAGCCCGGAGATCAGCAATGTTTGACTGGTGCTGCTGAAGCATGCCCCGCTGCTCGTCGTGCAGACGCTCGTATTCGGCGGCACGAGTCGTAACCGAGCCGTGTGCAGTCTGGAGTTGCATCAAGGCTGCAAGGTGCGCTGCGACACTGGCCTTGGCCTCGTCCAGCTGACGAGAAGCATGCTCGTGATCGGCTCTGTGACGCGATAGGAGCGACGAGAGCGTCGTGACCTGCTCAGTGTGCTCGCGCAAAGCGCTCTCAGTCGAGTAGCTACGCTTCTGCAGAGCTGACAGCTCATCGTATGCCTTCATTTGAGCAGCCTCAGCGGCCATGGCACGCTTAGCGGTCTCTGAGAGTCTCTCTTCTGCCGAGTTGCGCAGCTGCTGTTCAAGCTTGGCTTGTTCGCGAACCGACGATACTTGACGTTCAAGCTGTGTGCTCTCCCGAAGAGCGTCGGCTAACGACTTTTCGAGCTTGTTGGCACGCTCACGGTCGAGACGTGTCACTTCGTCACCGTTGCCGGACTCGATAGCTGATAACTTGGCGCGATAGTAGGCGGCTTCTTGCAAAGCAGCAGAACGGGCTCGATCTGACTCGGCGTGACGATCAGCCTCTCCTTGAGCCTGTTGAGCGATGGTAGCTTTGGCGATCGCAAGCTGGGCCTTCAGAGAGATGAGGATTTTGAGGACGCGATCCTTGTCACTGCCTTCAGCACCCGTGTCGATGCCATCGAGACTAACTCGCTCTGAAGTGATGCTCTGCGCATCTCCGATGCTGAGGTCGCCGGCATTGAGCTGATCAGGCTCGACGAAGCCCTTCTTGACAGCAAGAGCCAGCGCCGCCTTGTACCATGCCTCGCGTTTGCGCATCGCATCGACCTCGGCTGGCATATTTTGAGGCGACATGTAGCCATTGGTGCCAGGTGGACTGGTGGTACGACCGTAGTGGAAACCGTCCTGAGGCGCAGCTGGCGAGTCCCTCTTGCTGACGACGCCGTTGATGCTGCGCATCGAGTTCATGTTGGTCGGTGAAAGAGCACCACCAGCACGCATGTTCTCGATAGAGCGCTGACTGCGTGGACCATCGTAAGAAGCTGGAGCACTGGCGGATGCAACGCCAGGTGTGGAACCAAGTCCCATCTGCTGTTGATACGGGTAAGACTGAGATTGGTTGGGCACCTGTTGCTGTTGAGGCGGCAACTGACCCGACTGCTGGGTCAGGAGCTGAGATGGTTGTGACAGCTGAGTCTGGTACTGTGGAATGCTGGACGGAGGACTGATGGCGCGCATGGCAGGGTCTCCGTTCATGACACCAGCGCGCGGTAGTTGCTGGTAAGGTGACTGTAATGTCGACGGTCCCTGTAGAGGAGACACTTGGTTTGCGAGTTGTTGTTGCAGCGACGGCTGTGACTGGATCTGTGCGGGAACAACAACGCCTGGCGCAGAACTAGGTGGCATCTGCTGTTGCTGTTGCGGTTGCTGCTGCTGTTGCGGTTGCTGTTGCTGTTGCTGTTGCAGTTGCTGTTGCTGTTGCGGTTGCGGTTGCGGTTGCTGCTGCTGTTGCTGTTGCGGTTGCGGTTGCTGCTGCTGTTGCTGTTGCGGTTGCGGTTGCTGCTGCTGCTGCTGCTGTTGCGCAAAGTTCTGCTCGATGCCACGTTCGGGAGGAGAAGTAGGCGCGCTACCTTGGATGGGTCCGGGAGCTCCGCGCGTGGTCGGCGAGATCGTCCTGTGACGTTCGTCGCCCTCTGCAAGAGGAGACATGGCACTACGAACGGATCCGTTGGTACCTAGGATCTGCGAGCCTGGAACAGCAGCGGGACCGGTAGAAGTACCATTGCTCGGCGAGGTGATGTTGGACTTGGATCCGCCAGGTGTCTTGACCTGCGAGGCGTTGTTGTCGGTGGGATACTTGATCTTGGCCGTGTCGAGAACGTGTAGAGTGGCGGGATCGTCGGGCTTAGCGCCAGTGAAACTTTCACCACCGAGCACAACGACCTTGTTCTGGAAGGTCGACAAGGCGTGGCCGGAACGACCGCTGGGAGAAGGACCCATGTTGGCGAACATGTACCAGCGCTGGTTGGTGATCTTGAAGCTGGCCAGATCACCGAGGTCCTTGCCGTCGACACCTCGACCGCCAAAAATGTACATGACGTCATCAACAACACAGGCTGCGTGCCCCTCACGAGGAACAGGGATGTAGCCGATGCATAAAAGCTCCTTCCAGGTGTCGGAAGCAATGTCGTAGCACCAAGTGTCATTGTAGTGGTATTGGCCATCGGTACCTCCGAAGACGTAGATCTTCTCCTTGTATGTGACGCTGGCATGACCGGTACGCTTGGGTGGAACGTCGCCCTGGGGCTTGAGACACTCCCAGGTTGGTGTCCCCTTGAGACTGTTGAGGTCGAAGCACCAAAGGTCGTTCATGAAGGTTCCATCCACTTGACCACCAAAGACAAAGAAGCGTGAGCCGACGATAGCGACACTGTGGCCGTACCTGCCAACAGGGCAAGTCTCGGGACCATCGCCAGCCTTGACACGGGTCCATTCGCGGGTGCTAAGATTGAGCAGGTACAGGCCCTCATCCTGCTTGTCGTCAGCGCGAACCTTTGTGTCACCACCCCAAAGGATGAGGACGTTGGATACGAGAACCGTTGCATGGCCAACACGTGGTGGTGGAATCTCACCGGTCGTCTGCACGAGCGTAGCACTGGCGTAGATCTGGCTAGGGTTGACCGAGCCTGGGCCAGTGACATTGGGAGGAGAGTTGGATGTTTGCGAAATGAGCTTGTCGACGTAGACGGTGTAGAGGTCGTTCTTGACACTCTCACGTACCAAGCCACCAAAAAGGTAGAGCTCGCCGGAGGCGCTTGCCATCTGGTTGACAGCATGTCCGTAGCGTGGGAAAGGGAAGGGGCTAAGTGCGCCTGGAGGAGCTTGACGAGATTCGTCGAGGAACTTGGGTGGCTTCATCACAAGACCACGCTGACTCCATGGGTAGACGACTTGTTGAGATCGACCCTTGTCGAGTAGTGCTCCCGGCAGATTGGGGTTGGAGAGCGGTGGACCGGCATCAGGACCAGATGATTGAGAAGGGAGACCTGAGATGCTGCCACCATTCGGACTGCCGACACCGCCGCCCATGCCAAAGTTGGAGCCAGGTGGAGCACCGGCGGCCATTATAGGTGCACCCTGTTCGCTTATCTTACGCGAGCGAAGAGAGCCTTGACCACCTGGAGTAGGGATGCCAGAACCGATGCCATCTGGACGAGGAACTGGTCCACCGAAACGGAAACCTGATGCGGAGCCGAGAGGACCTGAGCTGGAAGCTGGGACACCAGATGGACCTAGCTGACCGGGATAGGGTGCAAAGCCACTGCCCATCGCCATGGGACCGCCGGGTAGACCAGATATGGAGCCCTTGTTAGGGATATGAGAGCCGCCAGGAGTTGGGATGCCGGATGCTTCCCTCGAATAGGGTGACTGCTGCTGCTGCTGCTGTTGTTGTTGTTGCTGTGAAGGCTGTCTGGCGGAGGACTCCATGGCAGGAGATGGTGATGAGATGCTGTCGCCAATGGAGGGGCCAGAAGACTGTGACTGCTGCTTTTCCTTGTCCCTGTCCTTGTCGGACTTTTTCTTGCCAAAGATGGCCATAATTGCTACTGATTCGCCTCCCGATCAGGAGGTGCGCTGACGTCGGTGTGGATGGTACCAAGGTGCTCGAGAGTTTCAGAGCCAAGAAGCCTGATTATCTGCGCTGGATCGGCTCGTTGCCTGTTGGATGGCTGGTCAGTGCAGCGCACGGTTGAAATATTGGCTCGATCGGACAGGCCGAGCAATGGGCGTAGGAGTCGTTAGGATCGTTGCAATGGGGATAAAGTGGGTCGAAGAAAGATGAACGAGATCGGTGCCTCTGATGACGAGAAGAGGTGTGAAGAGGTGTGGTGGAATGAAGAGATGTTCGAACAAGTGGAGACGGGCAAAGTCGCTTGCTTCAGGAAGCGAGAGGATTAACGAGTGAGGCTCAATCCCAGTGTCCGTGTGCTTCACCGAATGGAAGCTACAAAATCACGCAAAAGGCTGAAGAAACGGCGAGACAACTTTTGCAGCCTTGAGAACACAGGCAAAAAGTCAAAAAAAAAAAAAAAAAAATTAATTAAATATATATAAATAAACAGGCTACTTCGCGAGAGCCAAAGCATCGGAAGCCGGGCTGGGACGCACACAAGCTCTTCGCGCAGCACTCTTGACTGGCGGAGAACCAAAGTCGCTTCACGCTTCACTCACTCATCTTCTACGGCTGCTGTTCCTCTCGCACCCCGAGTCTCGCGCCTTTTTTTTTTTTTTTTTTTTTTTTTTTTTTTTTTTTTTTTTTTTTTTGGGCCCTGCCCTGCTTCTCTTTCCTTTGTGTCTCCGTGACAGGGGAAGAAGGTCGCGAATATCAAAAAGCAGCGAAATGGTCCTTTGCTCGGCTTCTGCCTCAACAAGATACAGCAGCGTGCGAGAATATCTTTTCCGGCAGCAGACGGCAGGCAACCTTTTCTGTGGTGCACACGTGTCTTTCATGGCCAAGTAAGCTGCACACCCACCTCTTCTTGTTAGTCGCTGAGCACGCCAAATCGCAGCCAGCGTCTTTTTATATTGTCATTGTGAGCACGAGAGCCAATGTATGATCTTGCTGATCAAAGGCAGTTACAGAGTAAAGATTCAGAAAGCTACTCTGCGTCCAAGTCTTCTCGAGATCATCGCGGTCACAAAGCATGTTGATTGTGATTCTACTCCACGCTAAGCCGCCTCGATCTCGGAGATCGGAAGCAATCGGGCAAGATGGTAGCCCGCATCGGCATCGCTTGTTCTATGTATGCTTCAATGTCTGTTCTGATCAAGGGACCAATCTAGCTCTCCCTTCTGATCGACAATGCAGAATGCATAATGGCTATGTTGATCCGAATAGCCTGGCTTCTGTCTGGCTGATGATCCAGTCAACTTAGGCGCCTATCCAGTCTTTGAGACCGTTGTGTAGAACCGAGTGCGTCGAAGCGGCCCTGTCGAAAGACGAGCTAGAACCCAACAGGAGGTTCGTCCCATTCCATGCTGTGAACCATATGCATGCTTTGCCCACGCCAAGCGCTGCTCCGACCAGTGTCTGCGCCGGAGTATGTACGCCGAGACGCACTCGAGACCACATGACGAGGACAGGGGCCGTGATGCCAACTAGCGCGATCCAAATCCGAGTCACACCGTCAGAGCTAGAATCGAGTGAGAAGGTCGGATGCAGGGGCAAAAAGAGGGCCGATAGCATGATGTAGATGCCCATGAATGAGATGGTGCTGTCCCAAAGCAAACGTCGAGGTAGAAAGTAAGATTCTGCAAGGGTCAGCATGACGATTGAACTCGCTGCACTGCGAGCTAGGAGCTTTTACTCACGCGCTATGTGTCGACGGCATCCCGCTCGTCTTTTTGACTCGTGAGCCTGGTGGGCGAGGCTGTTTGATCACCCTCTTCAGGCCCTTGGCAGAGAAGCTCGTCGCAAGGCTGCCGATCGTGAAGTATAGGACATGTGTAGTTCGCAGATGCAGAATACCGACAGCGGTCGCCGTAGTCACGATGCCTTGCGTGTGCTTCAAGAGCCAGAGCCCGGTTGACAGCTCATCCTTGGACTGATATCCTGGTCTCTTGCCGTCCTTGTCCTCGCTCGCTTCAGCATTGACCTGGGAAGGCATCGCGAGGTCGATGCTGGTAGGTGGGGTTGATGTCCTGGCACTTAGCGTCAAAGGTCATTTAGTTGGTCTGCACTACTCTAAGACCATCTGGAAAGCTGCTACATAAGCTGCATTGGCATCCATGATGCTGCGCGAGAAGAGTCCGTGTCCAAGGTCGAAGCAAGGGTTCACGTTGCGCAAGTCGTGTGAACAACGACAGCTATGTGGAGATCGGGGCGCTTTTTCCTAGTTTGCTAGACGAAGTCGGTCTTACACTGTGCGGAAGAAAATCCTCTTGGGCCTAACAGACAGTCTCGCGACCAAAGACGTCTTCTTTTTTTTTTTTTTTTGTGTCCTTCTTTTCGTTCAACTTTTGCTCCCGAGAACTGTCAAGACCTGTCACCTGAGCTCGAAAGGGTCTAAGAGTTAGTCCACCAGCAACCCTGCTCGACCATACCAATCCGCACAGTATGCCACAGTGCCTGCATGTCTTCACAGGTCAGCGTCACAATGTCAAGTTAGCCCTGAAAAAGTGCAGTCGACATCTTTCCGACATAGGCAGCGCTCTTCTCGGACACGGATCACCCAAAGTTTGATCAGCGAAACCGATGCTTTGGTTGATAGCGATCCGCGCGAATGGAGAAAAGTGTCCCTAGAAGAAAGATGCCAGCGTAGTACAATAGGGGATTGAAACCCACGGTGTCAATAATGACTGTATCTACTTTGATTGTGCGACGAGAGTGTCAAAGATGGTGGAGCTACAAGGTGGTTCGGATTCCGGAACTGCTTCATTTTCCGGCCGACACTTCATGTTCCGGCCGACACTAACCCTAACTCTTGCTTGGCTTTGAAATTTAACCCTCTAAAAACACAGCTTACATTTGGGGGCATTAATTTCCTGAGCTTTTTTGAGTATTGGAAGACTCTAGTTTTCGAGGGCAAAAAAATTTGAAACCCGCTAGTAGTGTAAAGTTCCTCTCGGAGTGCTTTACAGGATCGATGCAACTCTCTTCCGGTAAAGCTACAAAAGCACACGCCTTGAACGGCCCTACTGACACAACAGGCAGAAATGGGCGACGCGCGTGACAGACGCACAGGCGATCAGTTTTGCAGATGATGCACAACAACACAGACATGGTCCTCACAAAGCGCACAAGCTAACAAGCAAGCAAGGAAGATTCGCATCGGCAAGAGGCAAGTAGTGTGGCACAAGGCTAGCAGCTAGCAGACAAAGAGGCTCTTGCTCTAACTTAGCGCCGACATTCCCGCAGCAGCTCACTTGAAAACGATCATTTGCCGACACAGGTGCCGCCAACAGAGCCAACTCGCCTTGCACATTGAAATTCACCCCGCACAACTCGATGTCCCGAGTAACGGATGACCATCTATCGATCCTCGTCGTTTTGTAGCATTGCCAACAATCGTCATCTACACTTTCCTATGTACTGTACATCATGGAAATCATACTCGCTGAAAGCTGAAGAATCTGCCGCCGCAATGAAAGGTCCTCAAAGCCACCTGGCACTGGGTGAGCTCGAGTGGTTTTTACTCGCACTAACGCAGCTGCTACCTCCTCGCCTAAAGGATGATGCATGCAAGGGTTGCTTCCGCTCCCTCACTCGTCTCCTGTGTCCTTTGCCTGCGGTCGTGACTCTGATCGAGGCTCCCTTGTTGCAATAAGCTCCCCCTGCTTCTTGCTCGCTACGACGACTTTGATGCAGTTTGTCGATCCTTGTCCTCTGCCCGCATCTTCGCTTGAACCCCTTTTCCTTTGCGCCTCCCTCCCCTCCTGACTGTCAATCAACAATCCTCCCTTCCCTTCCTTTAGCGTCATCACCATCTTTATTACAACCACCATCACCTTCCCTCTTCAATCTTCCCCGCAACGACCCTACTCCCTCCACGCACGTTCGTCCCTCGGCCACACACACTCATTTATTCTCGTCAGCACATTCGTTTCAGCACAACACCCAACGCATCGCAATCCCATCAACCTTGCGGTTTCGATTCAGCCCTTCTCCCACGCTATCGACGCTAACAAAACCTCGCTTCTTACATCAATCCCTGCTGCTCATCATGGTCGGCGTCAAAAAATTCTCGGCAATCGCTGCCGTCTCTGCCATCGCAGTGACTGGTGCAGCTGCATCCCTCCAGCCTTCCGAAGCCTCTTATTCACAGCACTTCCGATCTCATCGCCGACACCTTCAAAATCAGCAGCAGCCATCTCTGATCAAGATTCAGAAACGACTTGGCTTCACCGTCCCTGATGGTCTCGGAGGCATCATCAATGGTATTGGCAAAGACCTCGGCCTGAATGGTACGTATTCAACCCTCTGACTCCGAAGAGGGGTGGCAGTCAAAGCCTCGTCATCATTAACAATGGCTATGAGTACAGCTGTCGCTTTTTCTTTACCATCTCTTGCACGCGATCTAGCAATCATGAGCTTTCCCACGAGATCGTGACTCTCGACAATGTTCACCCATCCTAACTCAATCCTTTCCTGCTCCACTCTCTCCCTTACCCTTCCTTCCCTTCCCTTCACCCTTCCTTCTCGATCTTGCCCGCCTACCCATCTAATTTCCCCAATCTCCCTCCTTCTCCTGCTTTATCTACCACTCTGCCTTATCCTCGACCCCTTCTCCAAACCCTTTACCACTCCTACGATCCCCTGATCACTCCATACCCACCAACCCTGTTCTCGCTCGCCTTTGATATACTCCATGCCTTCCTTCCCTCCCTCGATACTGCCCGCACAACAGAGCTCGATGATACACAGGGACACCTGCACAATCTTCGTCGAGGCCTCGTTGGTGACCTTGTTGGCGCTGGTGATTATCCTTCCCCCAATTTCCTTCCCTTTCCTACCACCTCTTCCCCTCCTCTTCCCTTACCTGCCTTCTTGTTTCCCGAACTCGTCTTCACCCCACTCCTTTCCTACCACCTCCACTTTCCTTTCTCTCCTTCCCCTCCCCGTACTCCATGCCATCTGTGCATTCACGACGGTACTGACCCTAGCAGCAACTGACCATTCGAGACCAAGAAAACTGACTCATCTGCGTTCTTCCGAAACACTTGCTCTCGACAACAGGCGGACAGCCTTCGAGCTCGGCCAACTCGCCACCTCCCGCAAGCACCTCGCGGCCAGTAAGCAACAACAATAACGGCGATGCATCCAGCAACAATCCTGCGCCAACAACCTCGTCAAGCCCTGCACCGGAAAGCACCAACAATAACAACAACAGTAGCAACAGTAGCAACAACAACAACAACAACAACAACAACAACGACAACAACAGCAATAACAACAGCGCTGGCAACACAAACAACAATCAGAACCGTCCAGCGACAAGTTCGTCTAGTTCCAGCAGCAGCAACAGCAACAGCAACACCAGCGGCGGTAGCCGTGGCTCCGAAGCCAACCAGAGCAATGGAAGCAACCGCGGGTCGGGCAACACGAACTCACAACCACAAGCAACAGCTGCCAGTGTTAGCTCTGCTGCTGCACCGACGAGCGTCAACTCGGCGATAGCAGCTGCTTCAGCCGCTTCCGCTAGTCTTCTCTCTGCTGCATCACTGTCGCAAGCCAGCGCAGAAGCAGCTGTTAGTGCAGCTGCAGCCACTCTGGACGGAGGTGTCGCGTCGGGTGCTGCCAACGCAGCTGCTACCGGTGCCAATCGTGCCAACAGCAGCGGCTCCTCCTCTGGCAGCGATGGTACCACCAAGGTCGTTGTCCCAATCATTGTCATCGCTGCATCCGTCGCTTTGATTGCTGTAGCATGGACCGTGATTCGCCGCATCAAGAAACGCAAGGACGAGCAGTACGACCCTCGCATGCAACCCATCGAAAGCTCCTACCACCATCGCAGCATGATGGACCCATCCCTTGCCGCTGGGGGAGCTGCTTTCGCTGTCGGTGGAGCCGCTGCTGGTCTTGTTCGCGATCGTCCTCGTCGTGACAGCTACGAATTGTTCGAAGCTGGTCGACCGATGAGCTCGCTCACTGAAGAAGAGGACGAGCTCTCAGGCAACCCACCTCTCATGCAAGAAGTTGCTCCTTACGCTGCTGTCGGTTCTGCGTACGCTCCTGCTTCAAGTCTTCTTCGCAATTACGGCTCCGACCGCGGTGGCAACGCCAACGGCGCTGAGGACTTCCCTGCAGCCCACCGAGTGACAGACAGCATGTACATCGACGATTACGCCGGCGACGAACACGATGCCTACGACGTCAACTACTACGACGGATCCTCAAACGTTGGCTACAACAATAAGGCGACTCGCGGACTCGACGCTGCAGGTGTATCCAGTAACGCTGGTCGACCTTACTCGCCTTACGCAGATGTTCAGCGTGGCGAGGCAGGTGACGAGTATTACGATTACGACCGAGCGTTTTCTTCTCGTCGTGATCCTTTTGCCGATTCCGAACGTTGGTCTGGTTAAAACCCCATCCCCTTGGATGATACACACACTCTTTTGCTCTGATCTCATTCTGCTCTGTCTTGGTCCGCTTTATACCACTGTCTCTCCGCTCGTGTGCTTTTTGTTTGCCCACTTCGCTTTCTTATCAAGTCTCAACATATGTTCGAAGCTTACTCCTATTCTAGTTCTTTTGCTGTAATCAAAGTCACTATCAACAATCAACTTTCTCCTTTAGTCTGTGCTGTCGTTTCCCAGCATGGTTCGCAACAAGCGACCGCTACAGACACCTGGCCTAATATGGTGTTCGCGGGTCTGAATCCGTATCTGCGGCCATAGAACCTTGAAAGCACCGCATCCCGTCCGATCTGCGAAGTTAAGCAAGGTATCGCCTAGTCAGTACTGCGGTGGGGGACCACGCGGGAATCCTAGGTGCTGCAGTTCCCTTTTTTTTTGCTGCTCGACTCTGCTCAGATAATGAGAACACCCTACTCATTTTGTCAATGACAGTCCTCAGCCTAGAAGTTGGATCACACGATATGCATGTTCAGAATGCGAGTAGGGCATAGTTGTAGATGTGTGAGTAAAAGTAAAAAGCTAGTTGATTGAGAAAGAATGTGCTATGCGGTGCAGAAAGGTGTTAAGGTGCTGAAGTCGATGCAAGGGTGGATAGTATTTAGACTTGGAATTGCTTCGGGTCCATGCTCTGTCGCAACGTAAGACAGCAGATGAAAGAGTGTCAGCAATTCGGTCCAGGTAGATCCCGCTGCTGAAATGACTGTGAGCTACTTACGAGCTTGCACAGTCTCGCAATGAGACCGCCGAGCTGAACAACGGTGGCAACACCTTCGAGGATCTTCATGTGTGTCCAGCCGATTTCCTGTTCCAGAGTGCAGGCAACATCAGAAAGGGGTGGGGGGGTGGGGTTTCAGGGGAGCGAGGTTAGTAAAGATGGACGCCAATAGGCAGATTGCACATTTTCGGAGTTGATGGTTAGAACATACCTTGATGAATTCGAGCTTGGTAGCTTCTGGAACGCCATCCAGCGTCTTAACGACACGGAAGAGCGTTGTGACGATATCAACGGCAGCATACCCCTTGGACCAGATCTCATCCAGCTTCTCCATCGCCTCATCGACAACCCCCTTCTTACACGCCATCAACAACGAGCGGATCAAGAATGGATGTGGCTGGTCGCACACCTTGAACACGTTCTCTGGGTTGACGAAGCCCAAACCCGTATAAGTCGACTGCAAGTTGTTGATCGCCTGACGCATATCTCCCTCAGAAGTAAAGATGATAGCACCCAAACCCTCATCCGAATACTCGACACCTTCCATCTTGCAAATCTCCAATAAACGCTTCAAGATCTGCTCGTCTCTGATTTTAGCGTACCGCAAGATAGCACATCTGGACTGAATGGGCTCGATGATCTTGTTGCTTTGGTTGCAAGCAAAGCAGAAACGTGTTGTGTTGGAGTAGATCTCCATGGTGCGACGCAAAGCTTGCTGTGCTGCTGGTGTCATACTATCGGCTTCATCGAGGATGACGATCTTGTGCCTGCCTGGCGGGAGCGAGACTTTCTTCTGGGCAAAGTTCTTGATCTTGTTTCGGACGATATCCACACCTCGTTCATCGGAAGCGTTGAGCTCAAGCACACCTTCTTTGTAGGCATCTCCGAGAAGTGCACGCGCGAGACAGAGGACTGAAGTGGTCTTTCCGATGCCCGGCAATCCCGAGATGAGAAGGTGTGGACAGTTGCCGTCGTTCTGAATCACTTTCAGACGGTCGATGGTGTCTCTGTTACCAACCACATCGTCGAGCCGCAACGGCCGATACTTTTCCACCCATGGTAGCTCGTAGCCTGTGACTGTTGCTGTTGCTGCCGGCGCGGCTGATGAGCCCGAGTCCTGTGTCATTGCGAACAATGCCCTTATTGTGAGAGGTCAAGTCGGCTTGAAGGCGGCCTCTCCGATGGTGTTTGCGAAAAGGATGAGAGCGTATGTGCGGATGTTCCCCGACTGTGGCAGTGCTATTATAAGTCGCGGGTAAGCTTAGAGCAGTTGTGAGCTTGGTGACGATGGCGTGGGAAAGAGAATCTCCTTGACAGAGCAGAGTGTGAAATGATGACTGGAGCTGTCGGTCCTTCCGAAAGTATCACTCTGACACACACAGGCCAACTTTTTGACAGCCACGCTGCCACAAATTTGACCGAGGAGTATCGGTGAACCCTGAGTCGCGTGTCGCGTTGAGTAGTCACACGCCGTTTCCTGGGCAGAATTGCGCATCAACGGTGAGTTATCGCCCTTGACAACGCGTGAAAATCCTTGGAAAAGGAGCTGAGAAATTGAGGAAATAGAAATGTTAAATTGCCTAACTCGAGTGAGTCGCTTGCGAGCTCCCAGCTCAAAGCGTTGCGACGAAATGTGAGTGTCGCGCGTTGGTCATGTGCCCCTTCGCTCACCATTGAAAAATGCGCATCTATCCATTCGCACGATAAGTCTACTTTGTCTGCGTCGCACCCGCGGCAAGCACACACAGGAGTCGAGGCTTGGAGAATTTCCCTTTGCTTCATAACGAAGCGGGAAAATGGGCTGAAAATTGGCTTTGGGTCCTTCCGGCTGTTGCGCTTGGACACTTGGTCGAGCGTCGTCTCTTCCTGGCTCACCACCATCCAACTTTTCGCACCATCACCGCTGCCTCATTCAACTCGACGGCTTCTTCAACACAGTACACGCAACATTGATAGCGCTGAAACTGTCGGATACCTACACTATTCAAAAGAACGCACCCAGGACAGGCGACTGCGGAGAAACTGGTTGGAAGATTGGAACAAGTGAGCATATCACAGCCGCTATCCACCCACATGCCGCTATCCTCTCGCTTCGGGCGAGTCAAGCCAGAAGCTGATGACATAGACTTGTCCTTCCTCGACGATGACGAGGACATTGCAGCACTCAGAAAAGCAACGTCAAGGTCATCTAAGGGCAAGGTTCCTGCCACATCCAGCTCACAAAGATCCGCCAAAATCACGACATCCGCAGGCTCCAGCTCAACTCGGACTCATTCGAGGAGCTCTTCCTCACAACAATTGAAACCCTCTCCGAGACGCAGTCGGAATCCGCAGCCGAAACACAGTCATCGTCGTGATTCTTTCGTCGAGGATAATGATGACGAGATCATACAGGAATACGACAGCGATGTTGATGACAAAGACAGTGATGACATCGATATTGATGACATCATTGCTTCCATTAACGGTGGCGGATCGCGCAACGCAAAGTCTCGCCCCGGCAAGCAGAGTTCAGCACCGAAAGGCAAGGGGAAGACGAATGGCGCTTCCCGCTCAAAAGCACGGGCAACTTCCAGTCGTCCGCATCCATCCGCCGCTTCAATTCCTGGTGGAAGGCAACTGCCTCCGCCTCGCAAGCGCTTCCTGCTCGCCAACCACTCAGATGAGGGCTCTGAGGACCAAGAAGATGACTTGTCCAGCCACGGCAGCGACTCGTTGCAGCAGGAGCTGGAGGACCTCAAAGATTCCAGTGAGGAAGAGCAATTGCGCCCGTCCACACGACGTACACAAGGCAACACCGGCACAAGCGGTCGAGTTCTGGGCGCAACCAGGTCGAGACGAACACAGGCACTCGATGATCAAAAGGATGACGACGACGACGACGACGAGGACGACTTCGAGCAGGCAACGCGCGCACGCAAGAAGAGCGCGATTCGAAGTCGCAAAAACAAGAAGGACAGATCTCGCCGCTTCGACGACGATGAAGATGAAGAAGATTGGGATGAGGAAGTAGACGAAGATGATGACGGCGAGGAAGAGGAGGAACAAGACGAACTGAAGAACTCCGATGACCCAGATTACAGCCACCACTCCAAGCGCAAGAGGTCATCCGCAGCCAAATTCACATCAGGTTCGAAGCGTCAGCGTGTTACCAAAGGAGCTAGGCACAGACAAAGCCGAGCCAATCCGCGACGGAGGATAGCTGTGCGTCGAACTCGCTCGACCCGGGCGCGCCCACCGAGGATGCGCTTCGCTTTGCAGGGAGAGCTCCCAGAGCCAATCACCGATCCGCCCAGCCACGCCACCGTGCCAATCATCACCATCGACGAATCCGTTCAGGCACCTATCATCAAAGGCGTACCTTTCATCGACGACATCGAGGCTCATTACAGCCTCTCTGAGCATTCCAGCGGGGAGGAAGAAGTGGCGAGCGACGATGCCCTCGACGAAGACCAGATGGTATCAGACGCCGTCTCCATCTCATCATCCGACGACGTTGAAGCCTATCAGGAGCCCGAGACGCAAGTCGAGAAACACTGGCCAGGCTGCAAACGTTGCGCCGATGGTCCCGCTCTGCCTCTCTACAACAAGGCACTCTCTCAACTCAAACGCGCACAGAAGCGCGAAGCCAAGAAGCGACGCGACAAGTCTCCCGAAAGACTTGACTCCCGGGGCCGCCAGCGAAAGACTTTTGTGGACGACACTACCGGTGCACCTGGTCCTGTGCAGCAAGCCGAGGAATGGATCGAGGTGCTCGAAGATCGCGGAGGCTGGTTCGAGTGCAAGACCTGTTCCGTGTCTTGGCATTGGGGCTGTCTTCCACAGGACTCCCAAAAAGCCATACTTCTGCGGATCAATACAGAGCGCACTGCTCGCCATCGGGCCGTGTTTGGTGAAAAGGCGCCTCCCCCCGCTCCTATCCGATACATCGACATCGACGAGATGCTGGATACCGACTCGTGTCCTGACTGTGCCGGTTACGCCTCATATTGCACCCTGTGCAAGGCTAACGTCGACGGCCTGCGCACTGTCGAGGAGCAGCTCGGCTTCACAGAAGCGATGCTCGAGCAGTACCCTGCTCCACCAACTACTCTGATTGCCAACAGGCTGTTTCGCTGCAAGCGCTGCTCCCGCGCGACTCACTACGAATGTCTTGCTCGCGCGCAAACGGACGGAGAGGACAAGACCGTCGAGGAAATCGCGCAGTCCGTTCAGCAGGCAGGCTGGCTGTGCTCCGACTGCCACCGCTGGCCAGCTGTCGAGAGAATCATCGCCTGGCGCCAGCTGGACCGCAGCCTTTGGAACGACGAGGAAGCCAAGCGCTGCGCATACGCAGTCCTGTCGCCGCGAGAGAATTTGCCTCGCGAGTACCTTGTCAAGTTCAAGGGCAAGTCGTTCCGCGAGACTGAATGGGTGCCGCATGACTGGTTGCGCATTCTCCATCAAGCCATGCTTTCCAGCTTCCTCACCAAGGGAGGTCGTCTCGAGCTGGAGCCCGCTGAGCTTATCGAATCGACCGCCGCTTTGGCCAGCGCACGTAGGAACCGCGCTTCTCTTGCGCTGAGTGGAGGTCGAGCCTTGCCATCGACGCCAGTGCAGACGCGGTCCGTCGAGAAAACGCTTCAAGTGGACGAGACAGGCCAGGTCGACATCGGCCCACCCGGTCCTATGCCCGACGCCCATCGAAGAATCCCGAAGGCATGGAGAACGCCAGACCGCATCCTGGCTGTCAAGTTCTTCTTCTCGATCAAAAAGGAGGATGACGTTGAAGATGAGATTGGCGGCGAGGTCGTTGACTCGGACTCGGTGCCATTGGAGAAGGTCGAGCCTTCTGATTACCTTCGCAGCTGGAGACATGTAGCCAAGCTGCTCGTCAAGTGGCAGGATCAGTCGTACGAGGGCTCGACATGGGAGGACCCACCTAACCGACGCAAGCAAGGAGACATCTTCTACGACTGCCAAGAGGCTTATCGGGCGTTTCTCCTTGCTCAAAAAGTGACCTTCCCAACTCTGACTGCAGGAGAGAATCGCAGAAAGCAAGAGCGTCGTCTCGCGAAGTCCGGCAATCGCTTCCGTGCTTTGGACGACCAGCCGGACTGCATCGAGGGCGGCGACCTCATCGACTTCCAGCTTGAGGGTGTCAATTGGCTCCGATACGGTTGGTACAACCAGAAGTCGGGCATTCTCGCCGATGAGATGGGTCTGGGTAAGACAGTCCAGATCATCACCTTCCTGGCTTCGATCTGGAAGGAAGGCAAAGCCGGGCCCTTCCTCGTGGTCGTGCCCAACGCGACTCTACCCAACTGGATGCGTGAGTTCGAGAAGTGGATGCCTCAATTTCGAGTGGTGCCGTACTGGGGCGAGGGCGAGGCACGAGACATGATCTCGCGATACGAGCTCTTTCACTCTAAAAGGACGCTCGCCCAGGCTGATGGCGCGATCCGCCCGATCAAGTTCCATGTTGTCGTTGCCTCGGACACAAGCGTGCGAATCGACTCATTGCCGCTTAGGAAGGCTGGTCTTTGGGACGTCATCATCGTCGACGAAGGCCAGAACCTGAAGTCCGGCAAGTCACTCTTATTGAAGCGCTTGAACGAGATGCCCACAGAACATCGCGTCATCATGACCGGTACGCCTCTCAACAACAACGTTACGGAGCTCTTCAATCTGCTCAACTGGCTTGAACCTGGAGGTCAGTGGAAGGATGTCAAGGCCCTGGAGAACGAATACAGTGTTCTAAAGCCAGAGGTCATCGGGGAGCTTCAAAAGCGCTTGAAGCCGTACTTCCTTCGTCGTCTCAAGAAAGAGGTGCTCGACCTGCCACTCAAGGTCGAGCTCATCGTCCCCGCCTCGCTACGACCCATTCAGAAGCGTATCTATCGATCCATCCTGGAGTCCAACATCGAGGACATTCAAGCACTCGCAGCCTCTCGAGAGACCGGTGGGAAGAAGAAGAAGAAGTCGACGATCGCCAATCTCAACAACACGCTCATGCAGCTGCGCAAGTGCATCCAGCATCCATACCTGATTGCTCCTGATCTCGAGACACGCGAAGGCGATGACAACTACGAGGCGACGTGGGGGCATCAGCGATTGGTCGATGCCAGCGCCAAGCTCTCGCTGTTGCAACGAATCCTTCCCAAACTCAAAGCGGGCGGCCATCGCATTCTGCTCTTCTCCCAATTCGTCATCAATCTAGACATCGTCGAGGTGTTCTTGCGCGGCGAAGGATATAAGTACCTGCGACTGGATGGTAACGTCGGCCAGAAGCAGCGTCAGAAGGGCATCGACGCTTTCAACGCGCCCGACTCGCCCTACTTCATTTACATGATCAGCACGCGCGCTGGTGGTGTCGGTATCAATCTTGCAAGCGCCGACACTGTCATCATCATGGATCCGGACTGGAACCCGCACGTTGACATGCAAGCAATTGCTCGTGCGCACCGTATTGGTCAGACCAAGAAGCTGCTCGTGTTCACGCTCATGTGCAAGGCGACGGCAGAGGAGAGGATCATCGAAGGAGCAAAGCGCAAGATGATGTTGGACCACCTGATCGTTCAGAACCTCGACAAGGAAGATGAGCGGCCAGACGAGCTCGAGTCGATCCTCAAGTTCGGTGCTCAAGCGCTGTTTGCTGAAGGCGGTACCGAGGAGTCGGAGCGGGACATCCGATACACCGATGAGGATCTCGACTCGCTATTGCGACTACGAGAAGATGCTGGTGATGAGGACGAAAAGGAGCAGGACAATGCTGCAGGCGAGAACGGGGAGCCAAAAGGTACCTTCTCGTATGCGCGAGTGTGGGAGGCTGACCAGGTAGCCAGCACCACCACCAGCGGAGTTGCGCCTGCCACCGTTGTCGATGATGACTTCTGGGCTGATCTGTTGCAGAAGCATCGCGAAGATGCAGCGAAGCGCGCCGAGGAGGCTCGTGAGAAGGAAGCACAAGAGAAGCGTGCCTCGAGACGTGACCGCATTAAAGCGATGCTGCAGGAGGAAGAGACCGGGAACGCCGAACCTGTAGCGGCTCCAGCTAGGCGGGGCCCCGGTCGACCAAAGAAGGTACCCAAGCCGGTTGTCGACGAAGACTGGAACGCTAACGGAGCCAATGCTGAAAGCGACAGTGATGACGTCGAGCTCATGGACGCCGTGCGGGAGGAGGACGAGCTTCTCCCTGCTGTACAGGCTTTGCGACGTCGACAGGCCTTGTCTTCAAATGCTGCTGTTGCAGCTGCAGCCGCTGCGAGATCGGCTGCTGTCAAGGCTTTTGCCGGCGGTGCTAGTAAGGGAGCTGCCGCTGCTGCCGTTGTTGCTGGCGCTCCTTCAGTTTTTGCGGCTACTTCCAAGCCGGCAGCACCGAGGCCACCTGCATCATCGACTGCATCAGCTTCGGCGAAGAAGGCCAAATCCGCACCACAGAGCCTTGCCGCGTTGCAACGCGACCTCATCGCCGAGCATCGATTACCGCGACCATTGCCACTCAGCGACCTAGACCTGTCTCTTCCCACCAGCGTCGTGCGCCCTGGCCACCTGGCCGCCATGCGCAAGGTGCTGCTCTCGCTTTTGCATGACAGCCAATTCGCCCAAGAAGTGCACAAGAGGTCTCTCACCAACACCGTACCAGATCTGTCTCCGCCGCATATGCGATTCCAGCTCACGAACACTCATATCAACTACTACATGCATTCATTTGGTGCGCCTCGCGCACTGTTCGAAGCTGCTTTCAACATCATTGCGGAGGACAATATTCCTGCGGAGATCCTAGCCTTGCCGCATGGTGGTGCCATCGCTCTCGATTGGAGGAAGATCAGAGAGTTACTTCTCAGGACGGCAACGTACATGGTGATGACCCTTCGCAAGCCCAAGAATGAGCAGCCGTGGAAAGCTGCAATCGAAGAGTGGGCCAAGACACAAGCGAGCAGGCCGACGTCGAACGTTATTAACATTGCCGATTTGCTCTTTGCTAATGGAAGACCGAACTCCGCACCAGCTCCGTATACGACCGCAGCTGCAGCCGATGTTCTCAAAGACAAGGCAAGATCAGACGCATGGCTGCATAGCATCACCACACGTGGTGATGCCGAACTGACCAAAATAGCAAGGCTCATCACCTTCAATCACTTGTCTACGACTTCGCCGAATCTGATGTTGATGGTACAGCATTTCGTTGACGGCAAGGGCGTCAAGCCAGCATATGGACCGGCAAAGCTTTCGATCCGCTCGGCTATGCCAAGGGATGTACCGTTCGCGGATCCAGAGGTCATGGGACCACCTTCGTCGATCCCTGCAGCACAATCGTCGTCGTCTGCTCCCGCTGCTGGAATTCCATCTCCAGCTCCTCCCAGTTCACAGGGCCGCAACCGAGTCTTTGCTGCCCTCTCTCGCTTGTCAGCTTTCTCAGGCGGCAGTCCAATGAGGATCGACGTATCAAAGAAGGACCTCAGCAAGCTCAACGTCGACGTGGCGGTCAACTACCGCAAGCCTCGCATCAGATCTTCGCGAAGCAGCATCAGCGGCTCTCCTCGCTCGTCTATGGGCCCTTCACGCTCGCCAGCTTTGCAAGGTGACAGCTTCACTCCTGCTGTATCGGTCGACGGCGGCTCAGATGCGGGTGGCGAAGAAACGGTGTACGTGGCACCTTCAGCCCAGACATGCATCATCTGCGGCGGAGACTTCCACTTCCTTAACAGGTGTCCAGAGATGCAAGACGTGACGAGGGCTTCAGCTCGATGGTTCCAGCTGTGTGATCAGCTGCGTGTGTTGATGCAGAGGGGACAGACGGATGGCGATTCGGACGTGGCGACGATCAAGACCACGATCAAGGTGATGGCGAGGAAGTTGAACGGTTTGAGAGCACAGAGTGGGCAAGGTCCGCTGATGCCTCCTTGTGACTAGTGGTGTCGGGTTTGTTTTGTTTTGTATTTAGGGCTCATTCGAGTGATAGATTGTCCAAAGTTCCTCCTCTCGTCTCTGCGTGTTGCGTCTGAAGAATTGAAAGATGTGTCTTTCAGATGATGCCATTCGGTTATAAGTGTGACGATTGGACCCTGTACAAGCTGATATGATGCCATAAGAACAATGTTGATACTAGACCTCCTTGCCTAACCGTGCGAACGAGCCCACTTTACAAGAGAGGAACTGATCGGGACCTGTCGCAACCTATCCTTCACCGCCGCTACGATCACTGGAGGCGAGAGAATGCACCTCACCTTCCAAAACACCTTCCTGATGGTGTTCTGATTCGCCCTTCCCGTTTGCGTACTCCCCAGGGTCGCAGCTGGTTTTGCAACGGGATTGCTAATCGTCAATGTCGACACATAGTTCTGTGGCAAAAGAATCTCTAAGCTGAGCAAAGAGTGGAAGGACATGAGCGCGATCTTCCGATCAGCGTAGAAAGGAGTTGCAAAGGCCGCTCCACCGCCCGTTGTGTTGGTAGAGGTAGAGGCAGTAGACGCTGCTTGTCTCTCCCTCGTATCTTTCGCTGCGAAACGACGGAGTTCGTCGAAACACATTTCGAAGTTGAACACTTGACGATCTCGTGTTTGTAAGTGTTTGACTGCGATAAGAAGGGCGATCTCGGGTTCGGTTAGGTCTCGAAGGATGTGAATCATTCCATCGCCTATTTCTGTTGATGCTGTTTCGAGGATGTGTTCCAGGTCGAATGACGGGTCGAGGACGGAGAGACGGGAGATGGTAGGGGTGAGGATGCGATAGACTGTACGAATGTCGTTGGATAATTCGTAGATTCCTCGGAGGACATCGCGGAAGTGAGGATGGGCGAAGAGTGTGCTGACGTCTTTTTGCCATGCTTGTAGGAACTTCTCCTCTTCTGCACCCGCCATTGTAGATGTAGACTGGGTGGATGGGGAGAGGGCGTTTAGAACGATTCGTTCAAACACTTCGTAGCTGGACGGTGGACGAACGTGGAGGATTCTATGCGAGAATCTACTTTTGACTCTCTTCTCCAAGAGATCAACTGTGTCTACTCTACTTGTTAATCCCACCACCGCCAATCCAGCACCGTAGGATGCAGCTTGAACAGCATCGAGGAGACAGTATAGCATGGCCTGCCTAGGACGGGCTGTGAAGAGATCGAAATCGTCCAGCGTAATAACCAGCGGTTTCCTCCGGCCCGATCCAGAGGAGGAAGTGTTGGAGAGAAGCGCGATGATGTTGCGGATAATATTGTTGAGCGAAGAAAGGATTGCTCCTGCTAACTCGTCTTGGATTTCCGCTTCTTCGTTCGCTGCTGCAGCAGCGATAGCGTTTGTATCTTCTTGTTCTTCGTCTTCTCCTTCCCCACCGAAGACGTGGTCGGTGGCAGTACTGCGAGAGTTTGAAGGGTTCTCGTCGTCATCTTCACCATCAAACGAAGGAGAGTGCATAGCTTCAGACACGTCCTCCTCAGTGAATGCTCCTTGAAGAATGAGTTGTTGCGCCATTTCTTTCATCGCTGATCTGTCATTAATCTGTACCGAGCCTGCCAAGTGCACATGGTAGTACGACTTCTCTTCACGCATATCTGCTGCTTTCGTCTTGACTGCGCTGGAGATGGTATTCAGCACCGAATCTACAAGCAGCGTCTTTCCAGACCCCGAAGCACCGATCAACAAACAACTATTACTCTCCTGGGCCGTCAGAGTAGCATGTAACATACTGTGCAGAGTGTACCATTCTTCCTCCAATCCGACACATGCCGAGACTTGCTGGCTTGTCCCTTCCGCTCCATTCTGCACCCTTGAAGTGGTATCTTCTTCATCAGCACCGACCAAAGTGCTGCCGGTGGAAGCTATGGGATGAGCTGATGTACTCGGCGTTGGAGGAAGGTTTCCGACGAGAGTTTCAAGACAGTGTCGTTTTTGGGTCGGGAGGAAGCATTCGAGTGTGTCGAGTGAGAGATGACGGAGAGAGCTTTCAACAGGTTGAAGACTGGTGTTGTTGGGTCGTTTGCGCTGAGCAGAGTCGATTGCATCAAGTGGAGATGGGTCGATGTCGAGTGGTGCGTCGTCATCACCAGCGTCGGAATGAACGGAGAGGGCTGGTGATGCTGTTGCTTTGCGTTTGGCTGTTGGCATGGTGGAGTGGTCAGCTCGAAGCTGCTGATGATGCTTAACGTAGTTCACGTACATGTCAAATTCACGTAGGTCTCGGATTGGAAGTGGCCGGGGGGACTTGGGAGTTTCTGGACTCAAAATTGCTGAAACAGCCAAGTCCCCCTCTCAATCTTGAAATTTTGAGGCAGCAGCTCCACTATGATTCTCACACTTTTCTCATCTTGAACTTGTCTTGATCTCATCTCCATACACTCCTTTCTTGTCAGCACTGCTCAACATACACCACTTTGACATCAATGGCCAACATCTCACCTAGGAAGAGGGTTGCAAAAGCCCAGCTGCAGACTGACAGGGACCAGAAGGAGCATGAGATCCAGGAAGCTCTTAGAGCATTCCAGAAGGGTCAATTCAAAGACTTGAAGGCTGCTGCTGAGCATCACAATGTCCCTTACAACACTCTCTGGGATTGCAGCAAAGGGTGCAAGAGCTGCACTGCTGCCTTTCAACATCTGCAGGCTATACCACCAGAGGCTGAAGAGCTCTTAGTCTGACATATACAGAAGCAGGCTCACTATGGTTTCCCAGTAACACCACAGAATATCAGACAGTTGGCCGAACAACTTCTCAGGCAGAGGACCAACAACAATGATGCTACTCTTGGACCTAATTGGGTGTCTGCTTTCAAGCAGTGACATTATAGGATCCTACCCAAAAACATCTTCAACATGGATGAGACTGGGTTTCTCATTGGACAAAGTCAATGCTGATACATCATTGTACCCAGGGAGAATGGGAAGAATCAGTGCTTCAGGTCACAGCCAGGCAATTGGGAGACTATCACAGTGATTGAGTGCATTGGTGCACAAGGGACAAAGCCACCACCTATGGTTATCTTTTGGGGCAAGAACCACATGCAGGGTTGGTACCACAATCACACTGCAGCTAAGGACTGGGTCTTTGCAACAAGCCAGAATGGCTGGACCAACAATGAGCTTGCACTACACTGGCTCAAGGACTGCTTTGACAAGCACACCAAGCAAAGGGCTCAAGGAAAGTATCAGCTGCTTATCCTTGATGGTCATGGCTCCCACATCACAGCTGAGTTCATCCAGCAAGCATGGGACTCCCACATTGTCTGTCTCTGCCTTCCTCCCCATGCAACACACCTCCTACAGCCACTTGATGTTGTGATATTTGGACCTTTGCAGCAAGCCTTCACCAAGGAGGTTGACAAGTTTGCTGGAGCAAATCTTTCAATCAGTAAGAAGGATTTCATTGACATGTACAGCAAATCATGACAGGTCATAACAAGCACCTTAGCATCACAAGCCTTCAGAGATGTTGGGATCAACTCAAAGCTCCACCCAGAGAAGGTTCTATGGCACATGCCCAGCTACCATTGAGAATCAATACCTCCATCTTCAGCTCCTGCAGTTGAGGAGACTCCAACAACACCTTCTACTCCAGAGGAAGCAAAGAAGATGTTAGCACAGATGTATGCCATCATGGATTGGGATCAAGAAGAACAGCAGGCACTTCTGGCAAGCAATCACTGACAAGGATGCATTTGGATGAAGAAGGTAGGTAAGTTCATGGACCTTCTCTTTGGCCAGCATGCAATTGATCAAGCTCACATTCAAGAGCTCACAGCAGCCCACTCTAAGAAGCAACATGCACTCCCAGGTGATAGGAATCAGTTGTTGCAGGCCAGGGTACTACACCAAAGCAACTTACCAAGGCTACTTGCAGCATGAGAAGAGCAGGCTCAGAAGGATTCAGGAACAAGGGCTTGAAAGGGCAAGAAGCAAGCAAAAGGCAAAGAGCAAGCAAGCAATCAAGAGAACCTGCCAGTCCAGCCAACACCAACCTTGTCATCTGAAAGAAGCTTCTGGCCTCTGCAATTAATGTTGCCTTTTCCAGGTTATGAGTCTATGTCAATGGTACCCCTGCCTCTGCCTTTTGCTAGTTCAAGTACCTTCCCTGTCAAGCCCCCACTGCCCAGGTGGCAGCCAATGCCACCCTTCCTTCCACCCATGCTGCCCTTCATGTGATCCTATGTTGCATTACAATTCAAGTGTTGTTGTTATGCTTTGATATAGTGAAGGTCCACATCTATGGTGGACTGGCCTGCTTGTTGTGTGTGTGTGTGTGTTGAACAAAAATTGACTGGAGCTGCTGCCTCAAAATTTCGAAATTGAGAGGGGGACTTGGCTGTTTCAGCAATTGTGAGTCCAGAAACTCCCAAGTCCCCCAGCCACTTCCAATCCGAGACCTACGTGAATTTGACATGTACGTGAACTACGTTAGCGTTGAGCCTGTTCTTCTTGATGCCAAGAAGCAACCCTTTCAGTCATCGGGTAGTTTTCGTTTACTGTTAGGTCGCAAATGCTCACATGAAAAGTTTCTGCGAAAAGAGGTGGCAATCGGTTGCTAAGCGAAACAAGGATGTGAGCCGTTGCATTTTGGTTCCTAGCCCGGCAAGCGGCCATTCAATAAGACTTGAGGGTGGCAAAAATGTAAGTCTCTCGCAAACAAAGGCGCAGAGACCGAGAAGCACGAGAGAGCTCTTCTGACTTGACTTGACTCCAGCAATCCTTTGATACCATCGGAAATGGTGGAAAGTGAAAGCAGAAGTGACCTGGTGGAGGACAGCTTAAGTCAGCTTTCACGTCGACGTTTTCTGCTATACACCTGAAGAGGTCTATCGTTTATGATTGCGCAGTCTCGACCTCTCCTTCCTTATCCAGCTTCCGACGGGCCGTTGAATGTGATCGGGGTAACTTGGAATTGCACAAGCCCAAGATAGCGAAGCAAAAGCCAATCGATTCTCTCTCGAGCGAGCGAGCGAGCGAGCGAGCTTGACGGCATCTCACAGATGCTCTTAGGCCGCCACTTGTGTCACGGTGACTCCCAAGACGGCAGCCAAGCTTTTCATTAAGATTGAAAGAGAGTCGTGCTTTCCTTGTGGTAAGAGTAAAGCGCCAACGCCTCATCCTGCCGCGCTTTTTCTCACGCCCCGAAAAGTGGAGAAAGGAGAATGAAGATAAAAAAAAGAAAAAAAAAAGAAAAAAAAGAAAAAAAAAAGAAAAAAAAAAAAAAAAAAAAAAAGGAAATGAAAAGAATACGTCAGTGTGTGGCAGAAATAATGAAATCGCGCGTTGAGCCGAGACGGGTGCTCCAAAGGTGAAGACAGCTCGAGAGCCCTTTCATTTCGAAGCGAGCACAGCATACGCACTTTCTCTCTCTTTCGTGCCGTCATACAGAGATGAGATTGGCGAGGTGGTGGCGCTACCAGAACACACCAACGTGTTCATCTTCTTTCACAATGATGTCTAAGTCAGTTGAGAGCACAGACATCACATAATGGTTAAGCAGCAAGCAGCTAGGTGCAAGAGTATGGCTGACTGATGCATCTGCGATAGATCGGGTGCAATGGTTGTATCCGATCGAAGAAAGAGATGCAGTGCGTTATGCATCGCACCGCACGCTTTCTTGGCTGCCTGCTCTGGCATTGGCTAGACGAACAAGAAAATAAGAATAAAAAATACAGTAATAATCATTAAAAATTAAGGGTCCAGAAAGAAGCGTGACTCTTCCGGCAGACTGCTCAAGTGTTGCACGTTTGTGGCGTGTCACACTTTGAAGGAACAAATTGTGTTGTCCTCTTTTCTTGTGGATCTGCTTGAAATTCCCCTGAAAAAGAAAAGAAAAGAAAAGAAAAGAAAAGAAAAGAAAAGAAAAGAAAAGAAAAAAAATAAAAACACAGCAAAGCATCATAGCAGAGGGCGAGCTTTGTTTTGAATGTGTCGCCGAATACGACAGCGAGAAGAGAGAGAGAGAGAGAGAGAGAGATGCTGGTGTAATGAAATGTGCAACGTTGGCATTCCTTGTTTGTCTCGTGCTACGTATCGTACGTCTGATGAACAGAGTTGCACAAACACAATGGTTGCAGTCGAATGCAACGCGAGCGAACCCGTGAAGTCAAGAAAGGGGGGTTTGATAGGCGTTGACCGGCGAACAAAGCGTCCTTCTTCTCCAGAGCTGCAGTTTCAAAGGGACTGGTCGCCTCCTTCTACGGGAATAGAAGTCGCATATGAACAAGAGAGCAAGGCAGGCGACAACCACCAACGGATCAGCGGATCAACGGTTGGGCGTAACAGATGAGGACAACGCTGGCAATGCACAGAAGCGACCAAATGTCTAATATGACCAATGCACAGCAACGGCAACCAAGCCCGCAGGAACCTTCAGGAAAGGATCGTCCTCGTGCATCATATAAACCCGTTTCGTTTGCCTCCGTTCCGTCTCCGTTCATCCGCTCCTGCCCGTGCTTCCCGCCTGCTGTGTTCTCTTTTCCTCCTTCCGAACAAACCTTTCATCTGCTAGTCTGACGACCGTTAACTCGTACCACCGTATGTCTTCTCCCCCTTGCTTGGCTTGCTCGTGTGGCAATAGAACAGCAGCGGTGGTTCAGTTGTACAATTCTGTGCTTCAAGCCCTTCCGCTCCGTCTGGCAGATTGAGCGCTCGACCGATTCGCTTGCCACCGTGCATGCATTTCAGCATGTTTGTCTCCTGCGATCCTGCTTCCATCATCCCTCCGCCCATTGTACTCTACGCGCTTGCACCTCCTTTCTCCTTCCTTCCTTCCCTCAAGTCTCCTTCTCCTTCTCCTTTTCCTCCCGGTCCTCCTCCTTCTCACCTGTTCCGGCTGTCACCCCTGCCTCGTGCTGCATCTCCGTTGTCGCCTCTGGCTTCCCGTCGCGGACCCCGTTTTTGCCTCCCCTGCTGCTAATTACTGCTACCGCCACCTGATGTCCCACCCCTATCGAAGCATTCCCCTCTTTACCATCGTGTCCCGCAGCGTGGCATTCCCTTTGCCAGCCCTTTGACTTGTCACCAACGCCAACATACCACACGGACCCCGATTCGGCGCCCCTGCACCTCCACCATCTTGCACTTCTTCTTTCCTCCTCCATCTCGTCCTCTGCTCACCATACCCGCCGCTACCATCATCGATCATCTTCGACTGCATCCGACACACTCCATCCTTACTCACTAGAGAAACTCGATCGGACTGCTTTCGGTACAACCCCCTCCCGCTGCAATCTCGTCAATCCACTTCTTGACAAGCCTGGCCCTGCATCCTCATCCGTGCCTTCATCTCCTTGCGTCCGTCTACCCGCATCTTTGCCCATCTCTCGCCTATCTGCGTCTTAACCCTAGCCTATCCGAACAGCCACCTAGCCTGCAGTACTTAGATTACCGTCAGACTCGTAAGCTTCCCAACTCCACAGGTCTAAGCTCAGAGCGCTTCGAACTTCATCGCCTGGCTTCGTTGCATATCCCCCGCACGCCTCACTCTCGGACCATCTTCAGGTGCACATCTCCCTACGTCACCGACACGACCAACCTCTAATGTCGTCTCCGTTGAAGGCCACCTAGTACCATCCCCTCCTTCCACACATCCCAAAGTGACTGCTAACGCCAATCATCGCACAAGATGAATGGTCGTCTAAGGTCTAGCGTTGACGAGCGTCTAGCAACAGCACAGGGTCCCGGCGTGCCATTGACGCAGCCGCTTCGCATTCAGAAACATACCCAAGCAACGCAGCCAATACAGACTCCCCTGCAAGCACAACCAGCACCAACATCCCTGCCAATACAGCCGATTCAACCGGCATTGGAGCGATTAAATCCAACAAGCCGCCTCGAATCACCTGCTGGTCACTCTGGCTATTCTTCATCTTCCAACTATCCTTCCCCATCTCCTGGGCCATACGATGACAGCAGCCGTCCGGAATTGTCAGCACAAGGAGCTGCTCGCTTCGGCTGTGTCAGTCCCAATACGGTTCCAGGAGCGCCGCATCGAACATTCTCAGATCTAACTGTGCCCATGTCTTCCGATTCCTCCGGACAAGGGTCGATTCGATTTGGTGCCGTCAGCCCCAAGACGGTGGAGCCACCACAACATCAGACCTTCAACGACCTGTCTTCTAATGACCCTCAACCTAGAGCGATTCACCATACCAACGACACTTTCGGACGTACCAGTGGCAAAAGTGCACTGAGCGACAGTCACAGCACCTCCGCCTCTCGACGAACGGCAAGCCCCGCCGAGAAAAGCGCGTTCGGCTTTCTTGCGTCCAGCTGGATTCAGCCAGCGAGCTTAGGACAGAACGACGAGATCACAGAGTGTCTCATTCAAGATTCCGGTCCAGCAAGTCGACAGAAGAGCATAGATGCGCTACAGAAGGAACTCAATTTGTCGGGTTCGTCGGATCCGACTATGGCCCCAAGTCTCGGCGAGGATGACGAGGAGATGTGGAACAACGGCGCAATTGCCAATTTGCAAAGGTCAGCTTCGGCAGCACAACAGCAATCGAATCCGGCATGGACAGGCGTGAGCCGGAGTGACGAGACTCCAGATCAGACATTTGGTAGACCGTCTCAGGAGCCAAGTCAGCCGACCCATCAGAGCAGCGGAGACAATCGGCCAGGTCACGAAGATTCTCGCCCTTCGCACTCGCACTCGGATACCACGTCAAGTCGTGACACGGATCGCTCGCACAATGCCGCCTATGGCGTAGGCGAAGCAGGAGGCGACGAGCAGTTTGCGGTCCTCACTAGAACACTCACACCAGACCAACGACGACAGCAGGAAGAGCTCGGCCGCATGAGCCAACAACGCAACAGCCTCACTTTTCCAACATCTACATATACCCCATTACCCTCCCAACTCGCCGCAACCTCACCAGGTCAGGCGAATCAACGAGCATCTCGTCAGTCGAACGCAACCATCATGGCTACCTCTATCACAGCAGGTTTAACCTCCCTCGCATCCTCTTCCACGCCAAGGCACGATGCAAGACTGAGCCGACAAACACAGGGAACTTCATCTTCGAGCGCAGCTCGACCATTGTCGACCGCAGAGCAGCAGAACTTTCATTCTACGCACGGGACACTATTGTTCGTCGGCGAAACTGCTGATTCGGATTCGCAGGATTCGCTCGATTTGCTCTATAACCCGAATTCGCCTCCCATGGCTCAAGGAATGACTCCAACACGATCCGCTTCTGTTCGGGTCAAGACGCCAATGTTCGGCAATACGCTTGCCGATCTCCCACCTGACCAGAGGGCTTCCATGGTGGGCGCGCTGCACGACGAGAGCCCACCGTTCCCCTCACAAGGTTCGATACATGGTGGGGTTGTCAACCTTAATCCTCTGCCCAAATCTCAGTCGGGACTGCAACAACAGTCTGCGTTGTATGATTCGGCTGTTCAGCAGCAAGATCAGGCCGGTCAGCAACAGTACGCTGCCGCACAACCGCGGTCACAAACACGATCTCAGACACAGACCTACATTCAGATGCAGCAGCTACAGCCGGATGCACAACAGCAGTATGAGCAGACTCGCGGATACTATGCGCAGCCAGGAGACCAGACAGCGAACGTCGATCATGGCTTTGTCGATGACAACAACCATGCTACAGGCAATATGGAAGGTGGCGCCCGCACACCTCATCTTCCCAACCTGGGCGACATGTACGCTGTGGCACCAAAGTTTCCCGCAGCTCCTTATGGCAAGTTTCGCGACGTGCGTTTGTCTTCACCTCTTGCCAGGGTTCATCACACCATCCTTCCGCTTCTCACATATGCTCACATCCCAGCCACGCTCTTCCTCGACTACAACGTCATCTTTGCTCTCGTGCAGATCGCGCTTCATCCCGATAGCACACAATCCGGGTTTAGAGCTGCGTGGTGGATTGCTACCGGCGTCTATGGTGGCTGCGTGCTTATCTGGCTCGTTGGAGTAGTCATCTTATACGAATGGCTATGGAGTTATAGACGACGATGGACGGTTTCACAGCCGCTCGTGATGCCCATCTACCTTTCCACTCCTGCATTTGTACGGACTGCGATCACGGACTACTCGCTCTACAGCTTGCTCTATCGCGCTCGCAGCAGCGGCGATCGTAGGGATGCGCTAATCGAGTCCTTTTGGTACTACTCGCAGAATTGGCCAACCGTGTTGACCCTTCTTCCACGCGGTGTCATCTCCGTGATCCTGTTGGTGCTTTACAAGCCTTCCGGTCCGACGCTTACCACACAAAGTCAACGAGATATCGTCTACTTTGACAGAACCACGCAACGGCTCACACAATTTGCGTTCATCTTAATCATAATCCAGGCTGCTTGGGCTGCTTGGAAGCTCGCAGTCTTGCTTCTGGCCTACATCGGTCTCGCTGCCACGCTTGGATTCAAGAGCCTCATTCAGCAAGAGCAGGTTCGAAACGCAGTGGCGGATACAGAGATGACCAGCTTTGCAGGGCACAGTCGACGTGGTCTCGTAGCAAAACAATATCCTTCGCAACCAGGAGGCGGACAGGTCTGGATGCAAGATGGAGAGGCCATTCAGCAGCAACCAGCGAGTCACAGGAGATGGGCTTGGAGGTGGAGAGCTGAGGACCGGATCAGGACGATTCTGTTTGATGCTGGCGTGCTGCATCAGTCGGTTCCCACACAGGTCTGGCATCAACAGCATGAACATGAACATCTTGCTGCTCATGGAGGGGAGCTTGCTGGAGACAGAACAATGAATTCGATTCAGGCTCCACTTGCAGCCTACGCGCAACCACAGGGCGGGGCGGATTACGGACAGCAGGGTCAGCAGCCTCGCGACTGGTTCGGACCGAGCCTCAACTTCTCTGAGTCGCAGACAGGATTGGCGATCACTGCGCCCGAAGCCGTGCAGCCTGAAGAGTGGGCTAATTTGCCGGATCTGGGTACAAATGCTGGAGTGATGACAGCGATGCCGTTGGGTCCTGCTTCTCAAGCATTCCATGTTCAGCACGACGCTTCATCACCATCGGATGATGGGAATAACAGCGACACCAGTGATCCTTACTCTCCTGCTCCTTTGCCGATTGGACGCAGCCCCAGGTCGAAGGAACAACTGCGTGACGCTTCTTCCATCTCGTCTCGCAACGACAGGGCCAGCATGCGCGCTTCGAGCATCTCCTCGCTCAACCGACTCGCTGCGCTGAATGCAGCATCAACTGCTAATCGCAGCTCGCCAACAGCAGTCGAGGGTGCTGCTACACCAGCGTCTGACGAGCAAGGCAGTACTATCGACTTCCCTCCCACCAACGCAGCCCCGATCGTAAAAGCAAACGGCCGTCCGGCCAGGGCTCCACCGACTGGTGCTGATCCGCCTGCGCAGTCAGCTAACGGTACACCTCTGCTCAATGAGTGGCGCGGACGCAAGCGTCCACGAAGCTCACCCGTGCTCGCCTACTTCCCCGGCCTCAACCCTGGTGGAATGGTCACCGAGACCCAAGACTGGATCCAACATCAGATGGACGAGGAAGATGACCAAGATGACAACCGTCCCGACCAGCGACGCAATCCAGCTGAGCTGCCCAAGAAGCCCGTCGGTGCATTCGACAACGACCGTCGCGTGATGCACACTTTCGTGCCCATGCCTTCGTCGTTTGCCATGTCGAAGGACTTGTCTCTGGCTGGCTCGCCTGATCAAGGTGGCAGCGATACGAAGCACGGCTCGTGGACAGCTGCTGCTCCTAATCCGGAGATGTTTGCTGTCAAGCCAGCAGCTGCAGGGGGCCCCGCTTCAACACCTCCACTCCGACAGCAAGTAGATGCACCCAACACATCGACTACTTCGCTTGGATCGTCCGTCAAAGGCCGCCGATCAGGCACCTACTCCCGACCTCGATCTCCCGGACATGGTCACGAAGCCTCTTCGGAAGATGGTATCAGCTTCGACGGCGGTGAAGGGAACAAGAAGTGGGGAAGAAACTCTCTGCTAGGCAAGATGACCACGTATTCTTCCTCAGAGAGTAGCAGAAGGAGCGGCAGTGGAGGTCGACCTGAAGGCGAGTCTTGGCTCAGCTCTCTCTTTTCTCGAAAGGTCTCCGCCGGTGCCGCTGGATCCTCTTCGCCTCAAGTGGAAACCTCACCAGCGATGCAGCCTTCTACTTCCACGCCCCGGTCTGAGTCAGGGCCTGAGATGGACGCTGTCCCCACATTGATCAGCACATCAGCCTCCACCAGTCTGCCCACAGCTGACAGTGGAGGTGTGCAACAGCACGAAGCTCAGCCTGCTACTTCATCGCAGGAGCCGGTATCTGGATCCTTGCTTCTGGCTCCCATCGGTGACCGTTCCCCATCTCCTGTCAAGTCTAACGCTTCCGGTAACACGGACGACTCGGAAGAAGGTCGACTCTGGGCTTCTTTCCCCAACCAATCTCGACGTCATCCTCCCGGCCTCATAGCTCTTGATATCGAACAGCGCACCATCGCTGAACGCCGACTTGCAGCAGCAGCGAACGAAAACAACGCTGCCATGCAGCAGCACCGTCTTCTCTACGGTCCCACCTCTTCTGGCCCTGTTGCCGCTGCGCAGTCCTTGGCCGGAACCGGCATTAATCTTTCGCCATTGGTGCATCCCAATGTGCTTGCAGCTATCTCAGGTGGAGTGCCAGGAGTGGCGCAATTGATTGTCAGCCCGTCAGAAGGTGGCTTACATGCAATTCGAGAGGAGAGTTGGAGTTCGAGTCTAGATTCGAGATCACAAGGAGCGACGGGAAGCACAAGGAGTAAAGGCACTGCTTCGGCTGTCACAGCTTCACCCGTGGATGCTGATTTCCCACTGGAACAGATCGAGGAAGCCGCAACACCGCATCCACTCGGAACCAGAGGTAGCAGTGGCCGCTTGAGAAGAGGCTCGAGTTAGACGACGTACTGCAACGAGTATACCCACACTCACTTTCTGCCTTTGTACGGATCTTTCTGCTCATAATACACGCATATCATGTATCTTTAGTGTACTCATAATCTATGTCTTCCCTGTCAAGACCGTTTACGTTGTATGAAAGTTTGTGTCGAGGAGCAAAAGTGTGAGGTGAAGGTGAAGGTGGGAGAGAGGAAGGAAAAAAAAAAAAAAAAAAAAAAAAAAAAAAAAAAAAAAAGAAAAAAAAAGAGAGACCTGCAGCACCTAGGATTCCCGCGTGGTCCCCCACCGCAGTACTGACTAGGCGATAACTTGCTTAACTTCGCAGATCGGACGGGATGCGGTGCTTTCAAGTTTCTATGGCCGCAGATATCATGCATCCTCACACAAACGTATACGCCACTGTGCTGGTCTGGATTAAGGCATGTGGTGTTGGACCCTTGCCAGGGTTTGGCGAGGTGAGGAACGGTCGGTGGCTAGCTCAGGTAAGCGAGGCGAGCGAAAAGTTGCCGTTGGAAGTCGGATATCGGAACATTTCGTCTGACCTTATTTTGTTTTCCGATTGCACCCTGTCTTCTCAACCCTCACACACGATCATACCATTGTTCACTACTTATCGCTCGCATACGTCCTACAAGCAGCTTTGCGCTGACAGACAGGACTGTATTACACAGTTCTGCATCACATAGTAGCCCTCGCTCGACATGTTAGGCCGAACCCTGGTCTCCGCCACCTCGGCAGCGACATCATCAATGCGGTTCTCAGCGATGGCTTGCACACGCAGCAACGCAAATGCTCTCCGACATCAAGCATTCGGCGCTCAAAGAAGCTCGCCACTGCTAAGGATGGCTCATACATGGGCGCTTGAAGCCAGTCGACCAAGCCCTAGCTCATTCCACTCATCCAGGCCCGCATCAATTTCGCTTAGAACGAGCTTACTAAAAAACCACACTTCAGCTTTCAGCACAACATCACGGAGCCTTGCCGCTTCGACACCTCACTCTTCATCATCCTCCACCGCAGCCGGTGCACCGACCTCACGAGCAGCAGCATTGACGGAAGAATTCCAACGCCATCAACGCGAATCATATAAGCGACGCAACCAGTCCCTCTTCATGTACTCTGCGGCCCTGATGGTCTTTACTCTCGGCTTCAGTTATGCAGCCGTTCCCCTCTATCGTGCTTTTTGCTCAGCAACTGGATTCTCCGGTACTCCCATTACCGACCCTGAGCGATTCGCACCCTCTCGTCTCATTCCTGCCTATCTCGATCCCACCACGAATGCCCCGACAAAGAGGATTAGAGTAACATTCAACGCAGACGCATCAGACGCAATCCCTTGGTCCTTCACCCCTCAGCAAAAGGAAATTTATGTGTTGCCAGGTGAGACTGCACTAGCATTCTACACGGCAAAGAATAAGAGCGATAAAGATATTATCGGTATCGCTACCTATAATGTCTCTCCTGACAGGGTAAGCACAACCCTCTCCTGTTAATATCTTCTGTCATATGATGGAGTACCGACTAACTTTCAATCGTGTTGTTGTGTTCGGGCTGGTAGATCGCACCATACTTTGCCAAAGTGGAATGCTTCTGTTTCGAAGAACAGAAACTCTTAGCCGGGGAAGAAGTGGATCTTCCGGTGTTCTTCTTTATCGATTCGGACGTATTGGACGACCCGAGTACGAAGGGTGTAGATGACGTGGTCTTGAGCTATACGTTCTTCTCTGCTAGAAGGAATTCCAAGAATGGTCAATTGGAGTAAGTAGTGCCCGCATCCCACCTCAACTTACCCTCACGGACATAGTGTGCTGACGACTTCTTCTCGCTTTCCGCTCAACTGCAGACCTGACACCGATCTCAGCAAGTATACTGTTGGAAAGGATCTTTAGACCTCGTTCTTCGCATCATAGCCTCTTGGATACACTATTCACCATGGCAACCATGCTTGTACTCTATCATTTGGTTTGTGCGAGTTTGTCATGTGAGAGCCGACAGTATTGGGAGGCCGAGTAGCATTCTGTTAGAGTGCGTTTGAGAACATGGCGAAAGGGCGGCAAAAATGGCAAAAGATTCAGGGTTTGGTCACGTGCATTAGACTCCCCACCGAAATTTTTGGCTGGAAATTTGGTTTCGCTGCACGGTGAACAGAAGCTCAGCCTGAAACTCCACCTTCGCAGCAGCAAGTACCAACTTCTTCTCCTGACCCTATCATCCTTCACTTACATACCCGCCTCAAGGGCATCGCATCCATAGCATCTCATCATCATCATATACAGCGGGTATCCACACACTTGCAGGATTCCCTGGAATTATCTTCTTTCTCCAGGTCGCAACTATAAAGCAAAACCTCGAATCTAATCTCCATTGGATAGCTCCAGCCACATCCGAGCACTTTAGTTCCGTCCTCTAGCATCTCCACTATCTCCTCAATTTATTACTCTCCCCCACCAGTTAATACCGCCCAAAATGGCAGGCTCATCACTACGAAACGCCGTCCATCGGCGCAACCACAAAGAGCGATCCCAACCGGTCGGTCGAGCTAAACTAGGCCTACTCGAAAAACACAAAGACTATGTCCTTCGAGCCAAAGATCACCACAAGAAACGGGATATGCTCAAGAGGTTGGCTGAAAAAGCAGCTATGCGTAACAAGGATGAGTTTTACTTTGGCATGATCAATTCTTCCACTCGCAAGGGTGTACACCAGCACGCCAGACCGAGTGAGGTGCTGGACAATGATGTAGTAGCATTGTTGAAGACGCAGGATGTTGGCTATGTAAGGGCGCAGATCGTTGCTGAGAAGAAGAGGGTGAAGGGGCTGGTGGAAAGAATTGCGCCCAGTATTGCAAATCTAGATACGGAATGGTTGGATGGGAAGGAGGGGAGGAGAGAGACACTTCAGAGGGCGGGGTTGATTGCAGCGCCAGGGAAGGGAAATAAGGTTGGTGGTGGGAAAGAGGGGAAGATTGGTGCACAGGGGAAGAAGACGGTTTGGCTGGACGACGCTGATGCGATTCGCTCCTACTCTTCCTCTTCACATTCCGCACCAGAGAAGGAGGAGGCGGGGGAGAACTGGATTGACGACCTCCCGTCAGACTCTTCCGATCTCGACGACGAAGATGATCTTCCACCAACCTCGACCTCCCCCCCTACCTCCAATTCCGCACTTCGAAAAGGATCCAAACACTTAGGCTACCTAACAACAGAACTAGCATCCCGTTACGCAAGGCTAGACCAACTTCAACTCGCCGCCGAAAAGTTGAACCTGGTTAGAGCACTAATGACGCATAAAGGTGGAAGATCGAAGGTGGTCAAAGCGAAAAAGAAGGATGAATTGAGTGATGCTGTGATGAAAGGTAAGGCTATGAGTAATGGATTGGCACTGCCGGGGAATGAGGATGATGATGATGACGATGGAGAAAGAGGGGTGCCAAAGAAGAGGGTTTACAAGTTCAGCAAGGAGAGAAAACGCTAGATCTCACTCAGGAAAGATCAGTTGATGTCCGACATGTCAGGCATTCATTCAATATGTACTTGTATCGCAATTCAGCATGCATCGCCAACTTGCGTCTGTGTGTGACTGGTAGCGGAGGATTTCTTTGCATGTTCACGAAAAGATAGTTCTGGCGCAGATGTTATTGCACCAGCCAAGCTTTCGACAGGTTGGGGTCCGTGTGTGGACGCGCAGTGCACTGTGCGCCAGACTGGTGACAGGCTATCAGTGACGGCGCGATGCCCGAGTAAGGTCACAAGTACGGAACTGCCACACAAGGAGAGGTATGACCATAAAAAGTGACATTAAGCAAATTTGAGAGGGTATGAACATCAAGAATACAGCATATCGTAGGAAACAGAAAAGAGATCTAAGCTTTGGTGCCCTTCTCCTCGTTACTTGAAGCATCATCTTCCTCGGTCACCCTCTTTTCCGTTAACTTATTTACCACCTCCCCATCACTCCTCCCTTCCTCATCTCCCGGCCCAGTCCAACTCAACTTCTTCCTTCTATCCTTTCTCTCCAAATAAACAATCGCCAGTGCCACCGCCGTAGCAAACACCGATAGGGGGAACATACTAATCCAGCCGTTCGTATATCTTGGCGCACTCGTCGCAGGCCAAAAGACAAAGTTCCACCAACTGTTTACAATGTTACTTAGCACGTTCATTCCTGCTAGTACCATTGCCCTCTCTTGTTCGTCTTCTGCGCAGACAATGTTAGCCCAGGCAAAGTTGGTCGCTTGTCCCATGTATCCTGCTCCTTGAATGGCGAAGGCGAAGAATTTTGCGGAGTAGGGAATGTCCCAGACTAGGAGCATGATGGAGGAAACGCATACGATCACGCCCATTACAGGGTTGACCCACCATCGAGACCCGACGTAGTCTGACATGTAGGCGGCAAGGATGGTGGTGAAAATGGCGATCGAGATGAGCGAGAGAGGGTAGTAGTTGATTTTATCTTTGCTGAAGTTGAGAGATTTAAACCAGAATCCCATCACACTGTTGATTCCTGCACTTTCCAACATACTCCCGAACCCGAAGAGAAGGGAGAAGAGATAGATATGCCATCTGCCGAACACCCTCTTCAACAGATCCCAAGACATTTTTGTGGGTTTGTGTTGAGGCAATCTGGCAACAGCCAACTGTCTCTCCTCCTCGCTCAAGAACCAAGCCTTCGTCTTGCGAGGAGTGTCAGGGAACGACAGAATGCCAAAGATAGCAATCGGCATAGCAAGAGCAAAATCAATAATAAACAACCACTGATAACTCTTCAATCCCAAACGACCATTCATTGTCTGCGAAATCCTACCCTGCATTACGCCGGACCAGAGTGATCCCATCTGTGCAAAAGTTGAAAAGATTCCTGACCTCTTCCCTAACTCCTCCTCCTTGTACCACGACCCTAAAATCCAGTGACAACCAGTAAACGTTGAACTTTCGAACAGCGCCTGGAGGAATCTAATCGCCATGACTTGCTCTGGCGTTTTCGTAGCGGCTAAACAAGCAGAGAGGATTCCCCACATGGCTCCACAGAACGGCAACCACCATCGAGGAGGAACCACTTGAAGGATGAGATTGTTAGGCCAGAGACCGATGATGTAACCTGCGGTGAAGATCGAGTTGACTTGGTTGAATTGTTTGCCTTTGAAGTTAAGGTCTTCTTTCATTCCTGTGAGGTAGGCGTTGGAGAAGTTTGCCCGATTCAAATAGTTACTCAAGAAGAGTAAAGTGCAGAAGGTCATAACGACGCAATCGATCTTGAGGAGAAGACGTTGTTCTAGTTTGGTGGCTGGTTTTTGGCCCCAGAGGAAGACGCGGGCTTTGTGGAGGAAGCCCATTTTGGCGAAGGTATGCGCAGACGACGGCGGCGGTGGGATGGGATCGGATGAAAGTTGGTCAAAGTGCTGGCTAGCGGTTGAGGTGGGTGAGATTCCAGCTTTAGGAGTTGGGTGGCGCGGGAGCTCTATGGAGAGGTAGCGATGGAAGGCGATGGTGTGCAGTGGCGGCTGAATTCGCGAGCACGGATCCCCTAGGGTGGGCTGCAGCGTCTGACAGGTTTCCTGAGGGGTCGAAAAGACCGCTGAAGGTCGGCGCCGTGGAGAAAGAAGTGGCGAGATGAGGGCAGACGAAAGGGGGGAACAATGACAATGGTGGACGTGAAGTGTCACGGATAGTTATACCTCTCCTCCAATAAAATCGAAAAGGAATCGCGGGAACACCAACTACCAGCAATACGTTGCGCTACAACAGTGCACATGAACCTGGCCCGGTTGGTGCATACACAGAAGCCACAATCAGCTTGGGAGATGATACCGAGCCACCGGCCAATCGAGCGCTCGATAAGCGATGAAATGCAGGAACGCAAGCCGGTCTTTCCCAGCAACGTTCTTGTCAGCTGATACGAGATAGGGACTCTCATGCGCTACTTTCTTCGTGCAACAGCGAATGCAAGGAGAGGGGAAGGTGGAAAGCGAAGGCGGTCGGTCGGAGTTGGCCTTTTGTTGCGAGTGTAGATAGGAGATATGCACCCTCTGTCTTGGTGGACTGGTTTTGCGGGGTAAGAGACGCCTCTTTTGGTTGGCCGGTGACAAGACGGGAGATGAGGATCTGTGCAGAGCTGCTTGCTCATGCGATGCTGCTGCTGCTGTACACAACCATCTTGCATCTCCCAGGTGAGATGTGAACAAGATGAAAAGGAATGGCAGCTCGTGACCCGAATCTCGGATGTCCACTTTTTTGATAGCCGACCTTTGTGCGACACAAAGTGATAAACAAAAAGACTGCTGCAGAGGCTGAAAATCAAAATTCGATCCGCCCACGCTGGTTGCGCGCCTCCCACACCCACACATACACCCACACCCACACATACACCCACACCCACACCCCCCCACACACAACAGTCCCCACTTTGGTGTGCCAGAATAGCTGACCAATCGTGCTTTCCACCGGAACCTAACCTTCTCCCTCTTTCACCCTTTGCTTTCCGTGCGACGAACACTTATCTGTCCACTGTATCTCTCGATCCAATGCAGGGTCCAATCAAAGCATATCTCGGAAGCCAATCATATCTTCAGTGTTGTTGTGTTTGCTATCACATCGCTACTCGGTCATTGCGGTGAGGAGGAAGCAGCGGTTTCTAGATCGGTCAACTTTGATTCATCGGGCTTATGGTTCAGAAGCCGCCCGTCAGACGGCTAGCAGCGCTTAAACGATCCAATCGCCCCTCTGCCGCCACTCTAAGAGGGAGTGGAAGGGCCGATTAATTGGCCGAGCACCCTGACGCCCATTCCCGACAATTTGTTGGAAGGGTTCGATAAAGCAGCGTTTTCCGCGTCGCTTGTCTTTGTGATCATCGTATTGATTCCCGTTAAGGTACGGTTCTAAGAGGAACGTTTCAAGATGCCTTCATGGACGCGTGCCTCGGTGTGGGAGATACGGGAAGGAAGCCGATCAAAGATGTGCGAGTTCGTTAGCACTTTGTACGACCAACTCTTCACTGTCAGCCGGTCGAAGCGACCAGACCTTCAACTTCTCGTCTTCGCTGTGTGTCTAACCCCGAAACATCACGAGACCCAATCTAAAACTCCTTTTCATGCCGCTCTTCGTAACTCACTCCACCTTGCCGCGTGGGAAGCTGAGATGGTCGCTGCGGTACGGTTGACTTTTACCCCAATTATTGCTCATCTCAGTCCCCGCACTCACAGTAAGGTTGACCGGTCAGTGAGATTCGCCGCGCCGAGCGAACAGGATCACATCCAGTGGAAGAGAACGAAGATGGTTGGGCATCGGCCAGCTTTCCGAGATCAAGATTGATCTCGAATCCGGAAATGATCCAAACGCTGTTAGAACGCGACTGTTGACATTGAATCTCTCGCACGAAAAAGGCCAGGTGCCGGAACACGCAGCACAGGATGACGTCAATTTGCCGGGCTCGCCGTGTTCGACAGATTCGACTTCCGCCACCAGAAAACACCGCACCTTCGACCTTTCAACGAGCGTCACTCTACCTGACACATTATTGTCTCAACTGCCTGACTACAGCGAAAGTGTTGACGACGGTGGCTGCTACTGAGACTCACTCTGTCCAGAATCACTTCGACTTCGAAACGGCAGGCTTTCAGAGAACAACCTTCGTGGGCCACCTTGCAACCTTGCACAGTTAGTCAATCCTTCGTCGACAGAACTCAGAAAAGCGAATGGTCAATGCTAAGTTATGGCAAGGTTCAAGCAGCCAGTCCGGAAGTCCACGGGGTTTAGCGCACGAAGAGCGAAGCTTCCATGCAGTGAGAGAGCGACTGCATCTTCCAACCAGGTCGAGCTCTAATGCTTCGGCCCGTATGTCTCACACGACAGTTTCAAAGCTGTGTTCACTATATGGCTCCACCCGTGGACCCTCAAAATTTCGAGCTCACGCCGTGTAACTGTTATTAGTAACCCACTTGATTAGCTTTCATCTCGCGCTCTTTGACGCATGAAACATCGTCACTCTCCAAGTATCAACGGCGTTTACAGCCGGTGCTTCCACATGCTTCGACAAGTGTTCACCCTGATTCAGCTGGGTTCGACGGGCCAGTGCCACACTGCCTTCTCCTCGGTCACCGCTGAGCATTGCTGTGCATTGTGACCTTCAGGGTTTGACGCCGCTCAGGCGTGATCTAGTAAGGGATGACGAGTTTGTGCTGAGGCAGCTTGAGACTTGTCTCTGTCCGCCCCCTTGGCTCGCTACCAGGTTTGAGAAGAGCATGCATCCCAATTCGCTTTGCCGCCTGTGCCCGCTGCGCATTGTTTCATCGGCTCTGCCCAGGCGACGAAGGTTGAAGAAATGTCTGTGCATTGTTGCAGGTCAGGAACCGGAAGGTGGTCGGGAGAATATATAACCACAACACATCGTTCAGATTTAAGATCCAACATCGTAACCACCATTGTCACCCCAGAGTCACCATGAAGCTCACTTCCTCGTTCGTTCTTGCACTCGCCGCCGCTGCCGGCGCTACCGCATCGCCTGTTTATCGTCGTCAGGCCGGCGGAGCCGGCAGTGCTGCCAGCACCGCGACTGGTTCTCTTCCCATCCCTTCAGCAGTTTCAGCCATCTCCAGCGCTGTAGGAGGGCCATCCTCTGCCCCCGGTGGCCCTATGTCGAGCACTGCTTCCGCTCCTCAGCCCTCTGGCACTGGCGCCGCTGGTGCTGGTGCTGGTGCTGGATCCGCACCCAACGCAACCAGCCCCAGCGGTGGCTCCGACACCCGCTTCAACGACACCCAAATCCTCCAGTACGCTCTCACCCTCGAGCACCTCGAAGCCAATTTCTACAACCAGTCCCTGTCCAAGCTCTCTGCTTCCGACTTCGAGCAGGCTGGCTACAACGCTTCGGTCCGGAATCAGATCTACTCCATTGGCCGAGATGAAGCTTCCCACGTGGAACTTCTGACCACTGCTCTTGGAGAGAACGCTGTTCCAGCCTGCACTTACAACTTCAGCTCCGTCACCGACGTTCCCTCCTTCTTGGCCACTGCTCGTGTGCTCGAGGGTGTCGGTGTGAGCGCATACCTTGGCGCGAGTAAGAACCTTACCAACCAGACGGTTGAAACGGCTGCTAGCATCCTTGTTGTGGAAGGACAACATCAGTCGTATTTGATTGCTCAGACAGACGACGGAGGGAGTGCAGTTCCCAGCCCCTACGCCACCCCTCTGAACTTCAAGCAGGTCTACTCTCTCGCTGCACCTTTCATCGAGTCTTGCCCCGAGAAGGCCACTCTTCCTATCACCGCTTTCCCTGCCCTAACCCTCGCAAGCGCATCGGGCGAGAACAATGGAACTTTCACCCCAGGTCAGCAGGTCAACGTCACCTACGACTCTTCCAACGGCACCTCCTCTTCTGGCAACAAGTACCTCGCTGTCATCCAGGGCATTGCTGGACCTCAGTTCCTCCCTCTCGACTCGGGTTCCAACAGCTCCTCCACTGTCACCATCCCCGCCAACCTCACTGGTGGCCAGATGTACGCTGTTGTCACTAGCTCCGACAGCGGTGTGACTGACGACAACACACTTGCTGGCCCTGCGGTGGGTTACGTTTCGCTGCCCCTGCCTGAGGCTCCTGATGCCACCAACACCTCCTCTTCCTCTTCCTCTTCCGCTTCGGCAACTGCAACTGACAGCGGTGCGACGGGTGGTGCAGGTTCAGCTCCCACCCCTACTGACGGTGTGAGCAGTGCCAGTGGTGCAGCTGCCACTGCTACTGCTAATGGAAGCGACTCGATTGTATCGACCGAGAGCTCCAGCACTACTGGTTCGGCCAGCGCAAGTGGCGCCTCCAACACAAGCCAGGGCCTTGCTCCTTCGCTTGCCAGCTTGGGTAGTGCAAAACTTCCCACTCCTACTCCCTAAGCTCACACTCTAGCAATTGAGTTGTAATTTGAACATTTTCCCCCTCGGACAACATTGTGTGTGATTGTGAATGCGATTGATTGAGCCTGACATGATTTGTGCCGGGATGACCTAGAACTCCAAGTCCTCGGCACGTGTATTTGCGACCCTGTTGGTTGGCTGTCGCCGCTGCAGTTGGCCATGTGAGTGCGAATGTGCGTGGTTATGAGTATCCGTGTCCACCTCAACAGCGTACTCTTTCTGCGAGACTGCACTTCCGCTCCCTTCCGCCGCCGCTTTTGCTGCCAATCCACGTTGACGCAATGATGCTAAGCCGCCGAACTTTGGTCTTGCCCCTGAACCTGCTGGTACTTCTTGAGCTGCAGCTGCCGGCTGTCTCTTCACACAAGACGGTCCCGCTGGTTTCACCTTCTCACTCTTACTCTCCTCCCCGGTCGCAGATGATGCTGATGTAGTCGAAGCACCAGATTTAGGTGCAAGCGAGGCATCCATATTCTTCGGCGGCTTCGTCCGTCGTTCACTGACTCCTCCTTCCACATCCAGATGCAGTGTCTCTATCACTAGCCTCTTCCTTCTCACTTTGAAAGCCAAGTTGTTTTCTCCTCCACCTGCACCTCCTTCCCCTCCACCACCGGTTCCGCCACTCTTCGCTCCGCCGACTCCTGCGCCTGTCCCCATACCCCTCAGCACCGATGACCGGATGGAAGGGTTGGTGAGCGTACCCACGGCGGGAGTCTTGAGGACTTTGAAAGCACCAGTATACGCCGAAAATGCACTTCGGAGAGCGGGAGAAGAAGCAAATGCACTGAGAGATACTGCTGCGTCTACTGAGTGGACCATTCGGTGTGCCAGGTTCACTGACGGATGGGCGGCAGTAAGAGGAGTGAGGAGGAAGGAAGAAATGGAGATGGTTGCAATTGCAGGTATCGCCGCAGTTCTTGAGGTTGAGTCGACGAGGGAGAGCGATCGAAGTAGGCGCTTTAGTCGGTTGAGAAAGCGAATGACTTCAGAGTGTGCTGTTTGGCCTGGAGATACGGTCCATACTGATGAGCCTAGTGCGCGGATTGCAATGCGAAGTACTGGTGGCGCTGCTCCTGGTTGTTGCATCTTCCTGCACCTTTCCGCTGCGGCTGTGATGCGGCTGTATGCAACTTCGTACGCATTCTCTTCCCCAGCCTCCGAGGTGTCTACTGTCTCCAACTTCCCACTATCCACCGCATGCTGTAGAATGCGACCATCCATACGCTTACTCAGATCGAAAGTCTGACAAAACGGTGCTGGCTCATTCCCGCTACTCGCCTCATTCACGGTAGTATTAAACTGCTTCATGTTTTGATATCTCCAAGCGATCTTCATCTCTCTTTCCCTCTGTGCTTTGTTTTCCCGTGCCGCTGCTTCCGCCCCCTTCGCTTCCTGTTCATCCTCGTCATTCACCGTGTTGAGGTGCTCTGACGGCCCCTCCGCAGCCTCACCTTGCTGCTGCTTCGCCGCGCCAAGCTGTGCCAGTAGCTGATCGTCCGAACCTCCCGCTCTAGCCATCAACCCTCCGACCAACCCACCGACATCTTCTCCCAAGATCACCCCATAATGTCCCGAAGCGATACCTTGAGCAACAGAGTAGCCTAGTAGCAGTTCAACGTAGGGCTCTGCTGCAGTTCGTGCTGCATGATCCGTTTCAGCTGTTGCAGAGGGGGTCGAGCTAGAGGAGCCGATTTGCGCTGCCGATTGTGCTGCTGTACCGGATGCTGGAAGGATGAGTAAACTTGAGCCTGATGAGAGACCGCCGCCGGAGAGAAGGTCGTCGAGCGCTGGGACGCCCGTTGAGACGAGTGGGACGGGTGAGGAGAATGAGGAGGGCTTGACGCCGGCTGGAAGTGGGGCGTTTGAGTTTGATGATGATGGATTGACGCGGCGCTTGAAAGACGACATTACGACGAGTTGCTGTATTGGGTACCAGCTCGTCACTGTTCGTGGTGGTGTTGGTCGGACAGAGGTGTTGCACAGGGTCAAGGCTAGGGAGCAAGAGGTACAAGAAGCTTCTTGCACCCTGCAAGACCAAATTTCGCAGGTGGAGGGAATCAAGATGAATGTGTATTATGTAAGCAAGCGATGCTCGGGTTTGTTACACCGAGAGGAACTATTTCGAGAAGATTTGGTGTGCCGCTCCACTGCAATGCATTGCCGGGACGTTCGAACCATCATCATTAGCTTCTTCCGCTGCGGGGTAAGTCGCCGGCGGCAGCTGTTGACGATGTAAGCGTTCACAACAGCATCGCTTCGTCGATTAGCTCCAGACCGATTGCCCTCGTCTCTCCTTCCATCAGAACAATCACCAAGGTAACCATATCTTCGTCCCATTAGTCTAATTTCACCTCCGATCTTCCAACCTCCTCCACAATGTCGTACAGCACCAACATCACCCCGAAGACGAACATCAAAATCGTTTGCGGATGCATAACCTTCGGTGCGCCCGGTGCTGAACAAGCCCGTGTCCATGACCTTTCCGATTGTCGCTCAATTCTTGACATCTTCGCCTCTCATGGACACACCGAACTCGACACGGCCCGCATGTACGGCATGGGCAGCTCCGAAGATTACCTTCGTCAACTAGGCTACACAACCCCTTCTTCCTCTCACTCCTTCCTAATTGCCACCAAATGCTATCCCTCCGCACGTAAACCCAATACCCCAGCCAAAGACAAATACACCTTCTCTGCCCCTGACATCACCCGCTCCATCGGTAACAGTCTCTCCATCCTCGGTACGGACAGCTTTGACTTGTTCTACGTGTACTCACCAGACCGAGAGACAGAATTGGAAGAAACACTCCACGCAGTCAACGAAGCTCACAAGTCCGGCAAATTCAAACGTTTCTGTCTCTCCAACTACTGAGCTGATGAAGTAGACCAAATCGTCTCCATCGCTGAAAAGCATGGCTGGGTGAAACCAACCGTCTATCAAGGCCTGTACAACTCTCTCTCTCGTACAGCCACGGCTCTTTTCCGTACCCTCCGCAAACACGGAATCGCATACTACGCATACAACGCGCGGTGCCTTCCCTCCGCAGTGGAAACATGCCCTCGTCACTGTCATTGCCAAGCCAGGTCATGGTAACCCCAGCCTCCCCTCCTCGTATCGTCCAATTTCTCTGCTATGCGTAGCGAGCAAGATTGCGGAGAGCGTGATCAAGACTCTCTTACAATGGGAACTTGAGCGTCGCGGCCTCCTTCGAGACCAATACAACACTGTCCCTGGTATCTCCACCACACACGCCGTGGTACATCTGGTGCATCGAGGCAGAGATGCCGTTGCAGAGGGAAAACAGGTGGCGTTGATCAGCATCGACGTAGGCGGCGCCTTCAACCAGATCGAACATTCTGCCTTAGTAAAGCGACTGCTGGATCTCAATCTTCCCGACATTGCTCACTGGATTCGTCTTTGGCTCCTTCTGCACCCAGATCGCAACCTCAGCCAACAAATCCACCTCGACGACGTCAGCCTCATTCTTCTACAGAGCCCCCTCCAATCGATATCACCACGGATGAAGCTCCTGAAGATCCACCGTCTCACAATCCTGACATCACAATCATCTCGGACAACAGCGACGACTCCATCATCTTCGGGCATTCACCACCTGACACTTCTCGATCGGCACGACTCATTGGCCAACTTTACCTCAAAAGGGGGCCGCGAAGGCCTCGCTGACAGGTAGGGGATGCCCCCTTCCGATTGGCTTCTAGCCGATTGGAGCCGCCAGACACCGTCTCCCGCTACCTTCTAGGTGGAAGGTTTTTTCTCCTTTTGGGTGAAGGCGCCCCCTGGAGCAGACTTGTCTGGCTTCGGGGAATAGGCATAGCAAGCCACCACCTTTTTTCCCTCGGTGTGGGGGGGAAGTTAACGATACCGCAAGGGAAAAGGATGTTGGCTTTGCCGCGCTGGATCCTGGTGTCAGCAAATGGATCTTAATCTCCGTTCTCCGCATACAACCCCCTCTTAGGTGGGCTATTCATCGGAACCCACTCATCTCCCAATTCTCAACCCGAAGCAGGCTCCAGGTTCGACCGAACCCATGCTCAAGGCCAAATGTACCGTGCTCGTTACTGGCAACAACACTATTTCGACGCTCTGGACCTTATTCGTCCGGTTGCTGAAAAGCACGGACTGGGCTTGCCAGAGGTGGCATTGAGGTGGACGATGTATCATTCTGAACTCAACAAGAAACATGGAGATGCCGTTATTATCGGTGCTAGTTCGACGAAGTATATCGAACAAAATCTGAAAGACTTTGAAAAGGGACCCCTGCCGGAGGAGGTGGTGCGGAAGGTGGATGAGGCGTGGAAGATTGTTGAGCCTAATGCTCCTCCTTACTACCACTGAAACATCTCTTGTACACGTTCATAAGCATCGTGGAACGATTTCGAGCATCACGTCATTTGCTTTGTGTATATCTAGCAGGTTATGTATGGAGAAGATGGTACATGCCCTACGGCGAAGGGCGATGACTGGTTGGCAGCGAGGGTATAGGCCTTCTAGAAGGCGGACGCATCGTTCTGTCTCTGTCCGTGGCATGCAGAACTCCCGCATCGCTGCCCTTTACTTCATCCTCATCCTCCATCTTGCCCCTTGTAGCATTCACATCCATCGAAGCGTGCAATGACGGCGCTCTTACCTCCCCAGCATCGGCAGTATATGCAGCTGCTCTCTTGATCTCATTCGAAATGCTTCTGCTTCTTGGGCTCATACCTCTCTGCAGCCCGCCAAATCCTGTCGGCAGATTAAGTGCAATCTTCTTCTCGATTGCTAACGTCGACTCAGGTGAGCCATCCTCGCCAGCTACCCGTCTGGAGCCCATCTGCGGCTGCGAATGTTGTCTCTGCCTCACTGCCTCGCCCTGCGGAAGTGGCTCTAGCGGCATAAGGGGTAACGTGCGGGTTGTGGGAAAGCTCGGATGACTGCCACCCATCAGTTCTCGATTTGGCGTGATGGAGCGGCGCGGCTGACCGAGACGACCGACAAAGTTGCGCATGGCAGCGCTGCTGCGGGAATTTGATGGCGTGCTCGCCAAAGACCCGGCTGAAGCGGAGGATGGAGAAGAGCCCATCATCGAAGTCGAGATCGAACGCTCATGAATGATGGAATGAGCAATGCTGCTGGACGATACATCTGCTGCATCGCGATTCCCGCTAGCCCCATTTGAGATCTTGCGTCGGTAAGGGGCAGAAGCTCGCATGCCTACCATCTGACCCAACGCTGAGCTAGGCAGAGGAGGCGGCATCGATTGAGGACTGTTGCTACCAACCGATCCGGGACTGCGTGTGCCTTCGCCAACGTGTGTATCCGAAAGAGTCCGCCTGACGGTTCTTTCGGCTTCTGGTTCGGCTTGCCTTTGGCTGAGGATGTCGCGAGCAAGCTCCTTAACCAGCACAGCATTGTCTTTGGCGCTCAGCTTCTCGACAACATCGTATACATTGAGCTGTTCCACCAGTGGCGATCGTGCATCGCCTTTGAGATCGCATATCATCTTGGTGATCCTGAGCAAGTTGAGCCTGACCACAGCCTTGGGATGGGAAAGTCGTTCCAGCAGTCGCTTGACGAACAGCGTGTTTCGCGCCATGGCAGCGACGATGCCGCTCGAAAGTCGACACATCTTGACAAACGGCTCGAGCAGGTTCTCAAATGAGTTGGCCTTGCTTGTCGCGAAAACGCAGAGCAACGACTCGATCGATGTGCTCTGCAGCAGCACTTCCTCCACTCGCGCTGTTTCGTCTTGCAGCCACACGAGCACGCTTTCGAGCGCTGACACCTGCCAGTACGGATCCTCGAGCAGCTTGAGGTAGAAGTGAAGACCGCGATGCTGCCAGAACATCTTGCGTGTAGCCTTGCCTGCATGAGCAAAGTCGCACAAGATCGGCAATGCGAACTGACGCAGCGGCGAATTGGTACGAGCAACTCGCAGGAGTTGAGGAATGATACCAGCCTGAGCAGCCTCTTCCTGCCGCGACTTGGACAATCGGCAGAGGTTGTACATGGTGTTGAGCACCTGGTTGGACATCTCTGTGCCATGAGGACCGCTGTGGTGTTTTGCAAGAATGTTGGTGAGGATCTCGATAGTATTTGCGTTCTGCATCTCGTCAAGGATCGCTGGAGACATTGAGAGGTTCTTGACAATCTTGAGCATCAACGTTAATGACTCGGGGCCGAGCGAAGACGCTGACCGCAGGATTCGGCGGAGAACGCTGCGTGTCGCGACCTGCTTCTTGAGGAAGTTGTCCGACTGCGAGTAGATGAGCAAAATCTGGAGAATGTTTGCACGCGCCTCGGAAGCATATTCGTCCTCTTCATCATCGATGACACTTTGCAGCGCGGAAGAGAGAGGCTCGAGGAGACCCTCCTGTGCGAGCATACGGCAGAAGTCGTTCCGTGAGGCCGGACTCTGCAGCTCCAGCACACTGCTGACGCAACCGACACCGATCCAGACTAAGTCTTTCTGCTCGAGGTAGTCTTCGTCGATCAAGTTGACCAGCGTGCGTAGTCCACGACAGCTGAGAACAAATTGGAGTGTCAGCCGCGAGGTCGAGCACATGGCAAAGACGAAGTGAGCAGCTTCCAGTCGAAGGTCGTGTGGCCATTTCTTGGTGGTGAAGGTCATGACGACGGGGATGGCGCCGATGAGGCAGAGGTTCTCCTGTGCTTCAGGGTCCTCAAAGATGATGAGGTTAAGGATGCCAAGCAGTCGAGTCGCCAGCTCGCGGTCCGCTGCTGCCTCCAACAGCTGGATGAGAGCTAGAGCACCATGAGATGCGAGAAGTTGTGCCTTCATCTCGGGCATGTCGGTCAGCACCTGATCGATGTCTTCACACACTTGCAGGAGCTCCTCGACACCAGCGGGTGTGTCAAGCGACTCGACGAGATCGGTGACGAAAGCACACATGCGAGCATGCTGATCGCGTGCAACGTTGGCTTCCAGGTCGGCTTCAGCATTCAAGCCTTCGTCAATCTCGGCGAATGGATCATCTTCATCACGCTCATCATCTCTCATCCAGGATCGGTTCGAGAGACGAGCAGTGAGCTGCAACGTGTTGCCACTACTAAAAGTGGACTCGTCCTTGCTGCTGCTGTCTTGATCCGGCTGACCGAAGAGGTCCGAGTAGTCTTCGGCAGAGTGATCTTCCGAGTACTTGCCCAGAGTACGACGCATTTGCTTCCATTTCTCATCTTTCTCGAGTCGCAGGGTTGCTTGCGGGCTGGCAGGGTTCGAAGGTGGGCGATTGATCGAGGTAGACAAGGAACTGCGCAATGCTTCGGACGAGGCCTGTCTGCGACGATCCGAGGCGCGAGAAGGAGAGTCTAGCTCAGCTTCGGCGACACTTGACCGCGTGGCCTTTGCACCAGGACTCGAGAGACGAGCAAGATCATTCGGATGGAAGAGACGCTTACCGACGCTGTTCTTCATCTGCAGATCACGAATGCGTCGGTTGAGGACATCTTCTTGCCCGTCCCCAACCAGGTCGGAGTAGTCGTCGCCATCGTCGTTCGAGAAGTCAGCCAGAGATGATGAGGTAACGTCCTTTGCAGGTTCTTTGGAGGAGACACGGACCTGTGGAGAGGAGGCAACACTTCGTAGGAGCGGGCCAGAGACAGGTCGGATCGTTCGCTGATCAAAATCTGCTTCGAAGGCTGCGTGGCGCGAAGGAGAGACAGAGAGGGAGTCTTGTGCATCCGGCGAGGCCGAGAGGAGCTGGGAGGGTTTGGCGGGTGTTGTGAGTTGACCGTTTTCCTGTTTGCCTGCTGCGCTTTGGGCTGCAATTGGACTGATGTAGGCAGATCCTTCCTGACCTTGAGACGATCCAGTCCTTTCAAGAGCAGCGATCTTTGTGGTGGTGATATCCTCCTCGAAGTCGTCGTCCCAGTTGTCGTCGACACTTTCCGGTTGCTGCAGGTCGGCGAGCTTGACACGATGGTCCATGAGCGACGTAGCTGGAGCTGCTCCCACAATTGGTGTTCGGAAGCCTGACCCATTGGCAGGTGAAGGAGGTTGCTTGACAGACGAAGCCTGACTGACGGCGTTGGCCAAAACGGCAGCGGTGTCGCCCTTCGAGCCGAGCAACTTGGACGCTGGTCTCGATGCACTCTCCTCTGATACCTCTTTCTGCGGCACTGCTGGAGGAGGACTGAAGTCGACAGGCAAAGTGGGTCGACTCGGAAGACGTCCTTTACGGGCAAGTGGCTTTGCAGTGCCCAACTCGGCAGCAATGGCGTTGACTCTGCGCAAACTAGGCTGCATAGGAACCCGGACCGTCTCAGGCTCCGAGAGACGCTGGACTGCCTGCTTTGGTGGCTCCTTGAGCGCTTGGTTCCATTCCTGGACACTCTTGACAGCTTCCTCGTGGGTGGAGTTGAGAGCGATGCCTCCACCCACTCTGAGGGAGCCACCTGCTTTGAGTTGTTCGAGCTGCTTGCGAGCGCTGACCATCCAAGGGTGTCGGTGCAGCTTGCGTGCTGAAACGCGCAGGTTGGCGTCCTTCTGAAAGCAGTGTAGCAAGAAATCTTTGACAACGGGCGAAGCACTCTCGGGAAGAGGCGGGCAGTCGTCCTGGACGATGCGGAAGAGGGCTGGCATTGGCGCGAGAAAGTGGTATGGGGGTTTGCCTTCGAGCAACTCAACGACAACACATCCAACACTCCAGATGTCACTGGCGGTGGTAGCGCCGCTCTGATCGATCACCTCGGGAGCCATCCAGTAAGGACTGCCAACGACTGCACAGTCGGTCATGGCTCCTGTCTTGGTCGCAACGCCAAAATCGGCAAGTTTGACGGAACCATCCTTGGTGGTGAGGATGTTTGCGCCCTTAATATCGCGATGGATGACACCTTGATCGTGGAGATAGATGAGACCTTGAAGGACCTGAGAGATGTAGACGCTGACGAGCCCTTCTGGGAACTTGCCGAAGCGTTTGCAAATGTTGTGAAGCGAGCCGTTCTCGCAGTACTCGAGGATGATGTAGAGGTAGTCCTTTGTTTTCTCTGAGCCCTTGTACTTGACGATATTGGGGTGATGAAGATTCTTGAGGAGGTCAATCTCTGACATGATCTCGCCTAACTCAGCTTTCGGAATGTTGCCGAGCTGAATCTGCTTGACGGCAACGGTCTCTCCATTCATCCAATTGAGTCCTCGGTAGACCGAGCCAAAGGCGCCGCGACCAAGACAGTCTCCAAGCTGATAGTTGCCGAGTGTCGTAGTGGACGGTGCATGTGCAGGCTTGGTCGCAGAGACAGAGACATTGCTGGTATTTGGTGATGGTTGCGAGGGTGTTACACTCGGCCTTGACAGGCCAGCGACATGACCTTGTTGTTGTGGCGGCTCCACTCGGCTGTTTGAGACCTTACGACGGCGGTCGGATGAGGTGGAGGGCAAGGGTGCATTGGCATCCACAGGTGCTGACTTGTGGCGTGCATCGAGAGGGATTGGCGTGGTACTGCGAGAGCTGTTTGAGCTGCCAGCATGCTGACCGGGCGGTGCTTGTGAAGGGAATCGAAAGATGGACTGCGATGGTGGAAGCACGTTGTGCGGGTGCGGAGTTGGACTGGTGGACGAAGCATTGCTGGCTCCGTCGAGCGAGGGACGGTGATGCATGTTGTGCACAGCGCCGAGCGAGATATAAATTATTGTTGGCGTTGCTCTTCTACGCAAAGCTAATTGTACATCACGAATGTTCCTGTGAGGAGAATGTAATGCGCAGAAGTCGTCGACACTTCCTCGTCGAATGAGGGTGAGGGTGTAGAGGCTGAGGGTGTAGAGGCTGCTGGTCGCAGTGCGGGTATCAAATCCAGATGCGGATTCGCCTTAAGTTTTGTCGTGATGGGGTGGATATTGAAAGGTGTCAGGTCTTGCCATCAGCTGAATTTGGTGGTAGTAGGGAGAAACGACGACATGTTCAGGGCTGAGTTGCAGTAGCGCCGCCCCTCTCTTTGACACTTCTGTGACGTGTGTGAGTATATTGTTGCATTCCAAAAGTCGCTCGGATCTGTTGAAATGTGAAGATGTTTTGTCCCGATAACTGGCGATCGGGGAGAGTCCGAGTACGATGTCACTACTGTTTTAGGGCAGAAACATATATACTCAATTGTCTGAAAGAACGTGGTGAGAGCCTAGTGCTCTCTCAGCTTGATATAAATACATTGTCGTAGTACATGCCGAATGTGGAAGCTGTTGTACTTAATGATCTAGCCTGACAACGAGCGGGACTGTGTTGTACCCGATCTCTGGCGAGATCGGTCATCTAACCGGATCGGCTCTGCCTGATCTCCGATCAGATCGGCTCTGCGTCACCTTTTAGCGTCTCACTGGATCGTAATCTTCAGCAGGATCGCCTGCTGCTGTGACTTTTCAGAAGGGACCAACACTTTCAGTTGAAGATGCGTCGGCATCTCAAGCAAGATGCACATGTTACGGCCGAGACACCGAGGCATGGGAGACTTACTTAAGTGAGAAGCACAATGAGGTACATGATTGTTGTCATGGCGACAGCTCAGTGGCACTCAGTATCATAGCAACACAGGAGTATGAATGAAGTGACACATCCTGTCTCAGATAGGACTAGAGTGGTGAATGGAGTATATATATGTGTTTGTCATTTAGGTTCACACTATGAAAACTAAGCATTACATAGAACACACAGCTGTGGTAAAGGGAGTCTGATTGTGACCCCAATAATGCTGAGTATTAATTGTTATCTTCAATTGATTAAGAGTCTGAAGAAGCTATCACCGAGCTAACCAAAACTCATTGACAACAATGGTAGAAGACTCCAAAATGAGGATCAAAGGAAGCAGAAAAGGCAAGAACACCCAGGTTCAGGTCAACAACGATGCCACAAATGAGAACAAGCCAGAGGCCATCGACAATGAAGCTGATGAAGACACTGATTCCAACTCTGACTTCGATAATGATGACAAGTGATATAACTTTCACACCCTAGCAAAGCTCCTCGAACCTGTGCCAAAGCTCATGTCATGCAGCTATTATAGCTGGAGTGCTCACATGAAACCTTTCCTCTGATCCATGCCCCATGTGATGAAACATCTCGAGGGAACATACAACAAGAAGCACCCAAAATGGAGCTGCTCCCTCGATGATGCTTTAATTAATGCCCTGTGCGGAACAATCGACACTACTGGAGAATACAATGTAAACTACCTCATTCTAGATGTAATCAAGGAGTACCTTACTTTCAACCAAGTATGGAGAAAGATCGAAAACAGTCTCACAAATGAAGCCACCAAGACGTCTCACAGACTTGCACTCATCTCGCAGCTCAATGACACAAAGATGTTTCACTTGGATGCCAGAAAGCTAATTCAAGAGATCTGGTCCATACAGACTGAAAGTAGCCTCCTCAGCAAACCATTCGCTGATGATACATTGTTCTCAGCTCTGCAGAAATGCATGATCTGGCATCCAGTGTATAAGGAGATGGTTGCCACCATCCATCAAATCGATTTCAACACCCTCGCCACTGCACTAAGCATCTGACAGACCACTGTCGAGAGCATCCCCATGCAAAAGATCAACCCCTGCCAAGCCAGTGCTCAGACTGCTGGCAACAATGATCAAAGCAAATGGACTGGAGAGACCGAAGCCAAAGCTGACAATAGCCACATGAGCCCGAAGAATGCAGCAAGATCACGCCGAATCCAATGCTGGATCTGCAAGTGACTGGGACACAGCATTAGTCAATGCAATGCTTCAGTTACCATTCCCAAAGACTCTCCCCTTGCCAAACTTAAATAGGAAGTGTGGTGCTCCCTCACCCTCTCACAAGACCCCCTGAACACCAAGGAAACAGCTCATTGGATCTTGGATTCAGGGGCGAGTTATCACATGGTAAACAACTATAGCATGCTCATCCACCCAAGAACTTGCCAAAAGTGGATAATTACTGCTGGAAGCAAGGTTTTGGAAGTGGCAGCTATAGGAGATGCAAGCATATCAACAGATTACAGGGAAATCTCCCTCCAAAATGTACTATATGTGAAGCATCTTAATGTTAACCTTCTGTCAACAAATTCATTAATGGATGAAGGAGCACAAGTGACATTGGATGCAACCAGCAGCCAGATTGTTCTAACAAATGGCATGACACTTAAAATTGCAAAGAATTGCAAGCAAGGACTTTTGGAGTTCCAAAGCAACACATGGCAAGAAAGTGCAATGGTCATGTCAGCATCACTGTTTGAAGGTGTTGATGAGGAGTTCGAGCATATTAAGAATGAACTGAAAGTTTCAAAGGAACAACTATGGCATGAGCATCTTGGACACCCAGGAAGAGACAAAGCCAGGATGATCATGAGTAAATTAAAGAATAAGCATACCATGCATCTGGATCCAAACACTGCTCTGACATGTGAGCAGTGCATACGATCCAAGAGCACAAGTGCCTGGATGGGGCAAGGTAGTGGCGAAAGAGCTGTGGGGCCCCTGGTTCTCATCCACATCAATCTAATAATAGACTCATCCCACGTGATGGAGTATATGTGCACTCTGGTGCTAATCGACGATCATAGCAAGTATGTGTATGCACAGCCATTGGTGTGAAAGAGTCATGCATTCATGCAACTCAAAAGGATTGTTTCATTCCTGGAGACACAGATGGATCAGAAGCTAAAAGCGATCCATTCCAACCAAGGAACTGAATGGAAAAGCAACGATGCATTAGAATGGTCATTAGAAAAGGGCATAGAGTGGCAAACCACCATGGGGTACAACAGCAAACAAAATGGGCAGGTGGAGAGAATGAACAGGACCCTTGGAGAGAAGATGAGAACATTGCTGATGCAGAGGAGACTGCCAAAGAGGTTTTGGCTGTATGTGATCAGAGCTGCGGCATTCAAAATCAACCTCACTCTGAGTGTTGATAATAAGTTCCCTTATCAAGCCATGTTCGGCAAGTCACCAGAGCGAGCTTTAAGACTCCTACAAGTGTTTGGTTGTCTGGCATGGGTAAACATACCCAAAGTCAAATGGGACAACAAGAAACTGGACCAGCAAGCTGTTGCATCCATTTTCTTGGGATACAGTCTAGAGAGAAAGGGCTGGCTATTCTACAGTCCAGACTATAATCCAAACATGTTCTGGAGCAATTCAGCAAAATTCATGGAATCAAAGTGCTGGTCAGACAGAATGGAGTGGTGACTGGTCGACACAAAGGCACCTCCAGTGATGATGACAGAAGAGGATTTTGAAGACCTAGGATATAACAAAGAAAATATATTTGATGAAACAGATGAAAGGCCACTACAAGAATACATGGGTATGGAGACAGATTCAGAAGAAAGGTTAAGTGGAGGAATGGCAGAGGTGATGGAACAGGGATCAATTGCCAAAACTCAGTTTGACAGTAAATCCTTTGGACTCATAGTGATGCAACCGGAATGGAGAAAGAACCTGGACCCAACCATACATGAAGCAATGAGTGGAGAAGACAGAAAGCACTGGGAGGAGGCCATGCAAAAGGAGCTGGATGGATTAGAAGTGATGGGCACATGGGAGATCGTTGACCTCCCAAAGGGTGCAAACACTGTCGACATGCATTGGGTACTCAAGATCAAAACCGATGCAAACCTCATGCCAACAAAGTTCAAAGCCCAGCTCATGGCATGAGGTTTCACCCAATGCGAGGGCATCAACTACACAGAGGTCTTCACACCAGTCGCACCCATCCAATCCATTTGAGGGGTGATCACTGTTGCAGCAATACAAGATTGGGAAATAGACTCTATTGACATAAAGCAAGCATACCTGAACTCTACTATACACCACAATGTATATCTAAAGCCCCCAGTAGGAATCAAGATACCACCTGGAAAAGCATTGAAGGTAGTGAAAGGACTGTACAGTCTGAAACAATTGGGCTGAGAATGGAACATTGAGTTAGACTCACATCTCCAGATGATTGGATTTCATTGCATGCCAAGTGCACCATGCCTATACTCAAGGGGGACAGGTGACAAGATCACAATCATTACAGCATACATGGATGACATGCTGATAACATCACCCAGTCATGATGAAGTAGACCACACCAAGCAAGAGATCATGGACAAATGGGAAACACAAGACAATGGAAGGATCAAAGAATTTCTGGGTATCAAGATCACACATGATAGAAAATGGAGGAAGATATCTCTAGGTCTAATGGCATACATCAAAGAAATGGTGAACAAATGGTTAGGAGGAACAAACGAGAAATCTTGGGTACCCATGCTAAGTGTAGTGAATGTTGCTGGAGGCGAGAGATGTGATCCTCAGCAAGCAAAGAAATATCAAGAGTTGGTTGGCCAACTATTATGGGTCTCCAACACAGCCTGACCAGATATTGCCTTTGCCATTGGCATATTGTTGCGATACATGTTGATCCCAATCGACAGTGCATGGAAGGCAGCCATTCACATGGTAAAGTATCTGAACCAGACGAATGGATATCAGTTGCACTTAGGAGGGGAGACAAACAAGCACTCAGATACACTGGTAACAATGTATACCAATGCAAACTGGGCATCTGACCCCACAAATGGACAAAGGAGTACTTCAGGGTTGATAACATATGTATATGGATGTCCAGTAAGCTGGAGGTCTCATGTTCAAAAGTGTGTGGCACTATTGGCAGTTGAAGCCGAGTTTGTCACTGCTTCCGAAGCAGTGAGAGAAGCATTGTTCTTTTCATACCTGCTCTGGGATTTGGAGATCACAAACGTTTGGCCTGTACTATACACAGATAGCCAGGGGTGCATGCAGGTGAGTAAGGATCCAGCCAAACATTGGAAGTTAAAGCACATTGACACATGGTATCACTTCATCCACAATCATGTGCAAGAGGGCAATGTGGAAATCAAACATATCGGAACAGCAAACAATGTTGCAGATGTCTTGACAAAACCTTTACAGGGTCTCAACACCTCACGATTAGCTAGGATGATAGGGCTGGAGATCCCACTGAAAGGGGGAGTTGAAGATGCATCGGCATCTCAAGCAAGATGCACATGTTACAGCTGAGACACCAAGGCATGGGAGACTTACTTAAGTGAGAAGCACAATGAGGTACATGATTGTTGTCATGGTGACAGCTCAGTGGCACTCAGTATCATAGCAACACAGGAGTATGAATGAAGTGACACATCCTGTCTTGGATAGGACTAGAGTGGTGAATGGAGTATATATATGTGTTTGTCATTTAGGTTCACACTAAGAAAACTAAGCATTACATAGAACACATGGCTGTGGTAAAGGGAGTCTGATCATGACCCCGATAACGCCGAGTATTAATTGTTATCTTCAATTCTTTCGCTTCTGCTGTCACGCAGTTTCAGAACAAAACACACACACACACACACACACACACACACACACACACGCGCACAACGGCAACTCTGACGCGTCGGTGAAGACGATTCGAAAATTTACTCAGCTTTGTTACATCGTGTATCCTTTACAACGAGCGTAAAAGGTCGCATGTTCCTGGCGAGACTGTGCTCGTGCATCTCTTCGGCGAGGTGAAAGGGTTGCCTGGCTTGGACTGAATTAAGCGCCAACTGATAGGTCTCAGGCTGTGTAAAACCGCCATGTCTGACGGCTGGCTGCCGAACGACTGTATCAGAATCCGAGTGCACGGTGACCGCAAATTGCAAGCCAAGTTGCACTTCAGTCACTTCGCCCTTCGATCGACGGACTTGACCTGATATGGACTTTTGAACTTCGCTCATCTGAAAGCTTCATCACTCGCTTCCAAGTCGATCTCGAAAGGATACCCACGGTATTGCATCTGCAGTTGATGTGAACCCGTTACCATGTCGAACCAACATTCGAGGTCTTCCACTCCACCTTCCAGCGAGGTTGAGCGCAACACCTACGCCAATGGTCCTGGTTCTGCTACTCCAAATGGCCACGGACACCGTCGACAGCGGTCAGGCACGCTCAGCTCTATTCGATCTAACGGCACAGTAAGAGCCCCACTTGTCTCGATGGATCAAGGTACATCCCCCCTGGCAAAGGTCGGCATCAAGGGAGATGGTCTCATGCTCTTCGTCACCTGCTTCGCCTCACTAGGCGTATTCCTGTTCGGTTACGACCAAGGTGTCATGTCCGGAATCATCACAGGCCCCTACTTCAAAGCATATTTCGGCCATCCTACATCCTACGAGATCGGCACCCTCGTTGCTTCCCTTGAGCTCGGTGCATTGGTGACGAGCCTAGCCTGCGGTCGACTCGCAGATATCTTTGGACGCAAAAACACACTCTTCTGGGGTGCCGTCATCTTCTCTGCAGGCGGTGCCGTTCAAACCTTTACTTCGGGTTACGACTCCATGCTCATCGGACGTGTCATCTCTGGTCTAGGAGTCGGTGTGCTCAGTATGATCGTTCCGACCTACCAATCCGAGATCTCACCTGCAGAGAACCGTGGTAAGCTCGCTTGCATCGAATTCACAGGCAATATCATCGGCTATGCCAGCAGTGTCTGGGTCGATTACGCAGCATCATTCATCGAAAGCGATATGGCTTGGCGCTTGCCCCTTAGTTTGCAAGTCATAATTGGTACCACATTGGCAGTAGGATCCGTTCTGCTGCCAGAGTCACCTCGTTGGTTGCTTGACAAGGACATGGATGAAGAAGGAATGCGGGTGCTTGCTGATCTGCATGGTGCGGGTGACCCCAGCGAACCAAGAGCTAAGCTCGAGTTCAGAGAGATCAAGGAGAACGTCCTCTACCTTCGCAAGCAGGGCGACAACTCATACAAGCGCATGTTCACTCAATACCGCTATCGCACGCTCATCGCTATGTCCAGTCAAGCATTTGCGCAGCTGGTTGGCATCAACAGCGTCTGCTACTATCTTCCCATGATCTTGGAGTCGGCTGGGTGGATTGGAAGGGACGCTCTTCTGATGACAGGTGTCAACGCTATCATCTACACTCTTGCAACGGTTCCGACGTGGTTCTTGGTCGACCTTTGGGGCCGTCGTGCCATCTTGCTGTCAGGTGCTGTTGGATGTGGTGCTGCACTGACAGCTTGCGGATACTTCCTCTACCTCGACAAGGACTACACACCACAGGCTGTTGTCGGATCTATCATCGTATACATGGCCTGGTTCGGATACAGTTGGGGACCCATCCCGTGGTTATATCGTAAGTTGTTGGTTTATGAGCCCATTTCTACTATTATCTGGGTCTCTCCGAGCGACCGGACGCTGTATACTGACCTCATCTCCCTCTATTACGCTACTGACAGCACCTGAGATCATGCCCCTTGCATTCCGAGCAAAAGGTGCATCGCTAGCAACAGCAACCAACTGGTCCTTCAACTGGCTCGTCGGCGAGCTGACGCCCATTCTGATGGAGAAGATCGGCTGGAAGCTCTACATCATTCTCGCCTTCTTCGCTCTCCTAGCCTTCATCGTAGTCTACTTCGGATACCCAGAGACATCAGGTGTACCCTTAGAAGAGATCGGTGCATTGTTTGGAGACGAGATCACCGTTCCACAAGACGACGATGACGAGTCCGACTCTGATGACGATGAAGAGAGGGCAGAAGAACGCAGACGACGACGAAGCATGAGCGTCGATGGCTCTGATGGAGAAGGTTATACTACTCGACCGATCCGACGATCTATCTCGAGTCATCCGCGCCTGCAGTCGGAAGAAGAGCGGGCTGCAAGAGCCGCAGCAGCGAGAGTAGCAGCGGAAGAGAGGAGAGCTGCTCAGTCGTTATTTGGTCTCGGTGGCAGTGGGTCATTTGGTTGGATCGGGAGGCTGTTAGGAGGTGGAAAGAAGGATGAGACACCAGACAGGAGGTTGTATGAGGAAGTCAGGAGGGATGAACATTAGGAACTCGGCCTTTTCGATTCAACGCATCACCGCAGCAGGAAGAAGGAGACAAGCAGGAAGGAGCATGATGGAGAGAGCATGCCTTTGCATGTTATGTCCCAAATGCATCGTCTGTCTCGCGAAGAGGAGAGCAACTTTGTTGTAGAGGATGATGAAGAGGAGGACGATATGGAGTGGGAACAGCAGAAGGAGTTGCAGCGGTGATGTAATATCTGAATCGAAAAGGCCAGTCTCTTCTCTCTCCAGCATCTGTATCCTCGTACACGTCTTCTTCCTTGCTGGTTCGAAAGAGTCTTGTACATACATACCCAAAAGAAGCACAAACAATATACATTGCATTCAATCGTGGTCTGAGAAGAAGTATGAGGCTGTGATGAACAGAAGAGGCTGACCTGAATATTGTTCGCCTGCATCAGCACGACCACAGCGAGCGCGGACTGAGGGAACTCGACACCAGACTGACGTCTTGAAAAGGGTGAGAGGAGCACAAGGGTGAGTTGATTTGAGCGAGCAAGAATGCGGCAAACACTGGAGCTTTCGGAAAGTGCGTTGCGATCTTCATCTTCGAATAGAGAGCGAAGACCTTAGACTTAAAGATGTCTGAACGTAGGCGGCTGAAGAAGAGTGTTGGGAGTCGACACTGTTTCTTATTGCCATGTTTCCCAAGCACGAGGACGTCTTGTGGTTGCTTCAAACATAATGTTGGATGTTCTGCTCGAAACCGGGAGCGTTTCGCTCGAGAACAGAACAGCGTCGAGTGAGTCCCATTGACAGACGGAGCTTCAGGAGTTGGAGACGCATCCCGTTTAGACTCAATCGCACGAAACAAAACCTAAAAAATATAACCTAACACGAACAAACTAAGTCGATTGCAGGCAAAGACCCGTGAGGTCCTCGAAGCCCGCCGTAAGAGGGGGCCGGTCGAGCGCAGAAATGAGCGGCAAGGGAGGGTATACAGGGAGGGCAATAATCGACGAACCAGACTGCTAATCATACGCCTTGGCTTTGGTGGAGATGATGGTAGTGAAGAGAGGAGCAGAGAAGCGGAGAGAGTTGTGAAGAGGCTTAGTTAGAATTAGATACACCACTCAGGAGGCCACGGTCAGGCACTCCTTTTTAATCTGATGCTCTATGTGTAAAAGGCATAAATTGTGTAAGGAGGTAACAACTAAGCTAAGAACATATATATGTATTCTCTGCACCTGACTGTGCTCACTTTGTCGAGTCATGCCCATGTGCCACATATCTTCTTTCATAAGTGTTGTCATATCAACATGTCCCCTCCATACCATGGTGTCAATCCTTGTGCATAGGCTGTGTTAGCTCCCACTAGCCTCTCCTCTTGCCTGTCCTCCTCATCACCCGATGCCTTCCTGATTCCCCGATCCTGTGAGCTCCCATTTACTATGTCATGCGTTAGCGATGCCGGTGCCTCTTCAACTGGCTTCTCCGCTCCGCTCTTCACAAAGCGGACTATTTTCGATTGCTGAGTCCAGCCCAGACGCGCACGCCTACATGACTGATCACGTGATGCAAATAGGAGTAATGAGCGCGAAGACTTCAACTAACTATAATACAGTGTGGTAGAGTGTTCGATGCTAAGTACGAGTCCAGATACGCTTTGCTTCTTTCGAGCTTAAAGGACTTTGGATCCATCCGGGTTCCTCTCCCCATTAGCGAGCTGTTGAGCAGCACGGTGCTTGCTACCCTTCAACTTGTTGAACCCATCAGCGCCCACATCGATGGTCTCCTTGCGGTGGGCCCGGTCCTCATGCCCGAAGAACCACCAGCCAATGAACGCGAACATGACGCCAACAGATGGGACTAGGACTCGAATGGTTGAGCGGGTGCGAGCGATGTTGATTTCGGGCGATGGGTGGGCGCCGGGGACAGGGTTGTGGGAGTGGTCATCGCGGAAACCGGAGACTGTGTCTGGTCTTGCAGAGAGGACGCGAGGTGTTGTGGCGAATGTTCGTCGTGCGACTGGTGCAGAAGCGCGGAGACCGGCGCGGGAGATGAGAGCTGATGTCGAGGACAACATTGTGTATATGTTCTAGAGGTAGTCTAGTTTGGGAGGAATCGCGGGGTGTGTGCGTGGTGCTTGATTGGACAGCAGCGTCGTTTGCGATATAGATGTTATGCAGGTGTGGATGTGAAGGAAATAGTTGTTGTGATAGGGTTCAGTGGTTATATACAGCCATCACCTGCTCCCCCTCAAGGCAGGTAGAACAAGCTAAGGCATGTCAAACAGCGCAGTAACTTACTGCAAGACAGTACATCAAAGAGTAGAGGCAAGAACGTGACTGTGTAGCGCACAAAACCCTTGTGAACAGACATCATCATTTCTCATCACGACACCTCTATTCTCAGCCCTGGTCATAGGTTGGCCAGCGTGTGGAGAGCACCATTTGTTGCTTCGCTTTCCCACACTTTCTCGTTCGCACCTAGCTCTTCTAGACCTCGGATCGAGATCAGGACATGCGACGCTAGAAATAGCTACTGTATCCTTCCTCTTTCCCGCCCTTACACCAACTGTGACGACGAGAGGGAGAGATGCTTAATCAACGCTGCCGAAACAACGGACCTCGGCTAGCATTGCACATTAGCGGTGGCGGTCGACAGATGCACACAACGGCGAAAGGGCTAAGGGGCTGCACGATGAGTTGTTTGACGGGCAAGCATGCAAGCTTTGTGTTACACAACGCCTAGATGTAAGTGGAGGCGATTTGTGGGGAAAACGCGGCGGCTACGTCAGAGGCACAGAAGCCGAGTGCGAATGCCAGACACCAAGAAATTCGCCCAGCTTGATAAGGTAACACAAAAGGCAGCAGCTCGCAGGGTCCACTTCGTCTTCGGCTGCAACAGTGCTGAGCCAACTCCAATGTCATCCTGCTTTCTGTCGTGAAGCTCTTTGCGCCGGGCTCATACCGATTGCGAGCTTGGACCAACCGTGACCGGCGAAGTGAAGCAACCATGCAAGGTAGTGCATACCAGAGGACTACCGCCGGATTTGTCATCCCCACATCTCGCCATGTCTCGCTCTTGCGCTTGTCTTGCAGCGGGCAAACATCTTTCGTGCGTATAGCCCTGGCAAACACCAAGCCAGTGGCAATGCTAATCCTTACCCCACAAATGCAGCTCACCAACACCCGAGGATGTTATCTTAGCGAAGAGAAGCGATTGCGAGTGAGCGTGCGAGGGTGTGGAGAACATGCTTCGGTGTTCTAGAATAGCACTTTCAATCCAGCTACAGGCACTGATAAGGAATTGCCTCGATGGGTCTTGCACGAGTCACAAGCCACCGCATCTCAATGAGCATCTCCTGTTCACTATCATTCATCGAAATAACTCATCATATCAATTACAAGCAAGAAGATGTGTGTATCATGTATCAATTGAGCACAAGAATGAAAATTGTCGACATATGAAATCAACTGAGAGAGAAATCTACTGCGACTGAGCAAGAGCCTTTGGCGAAACAGGAGTACCCATGTTAGCAGGGAAGGCGTACTGAGGGTCCATATCCTTCAACCTCCTTCCACCGACAAGCACAGGACCGTTCTTCTCCTGGTACAATCGCATCCTCTCCTCGATCTCGGGTCGGAACCAACGCAGCAAACCCTGAATGGGCCAAGCAGCTGCATCGGCAAGCGCACAGATGGTGTGACCCTCCATCTGCTTGGTCAACTCGTAGATCATGTCGATCTCACGGTTGTTACCACGGCCTTCCTCGAAACGCTCCATCATGTTGGCGAGCCAAGTAGTACCCTCTCGGCATGGAGTGCACTGACCGCACGACTCGTGCTTGTAGAACTTAGCGAAACGAGAGATGGCCTGAACAACGTCGGTAGTCTTGTCCATCACAATGACGGCACCGGTACCGAGCGAAGACTGGTTCTCACGGAGCGAGTCAAAGTCCATGAGGACCTCCTCGCATTTGTGCTTGGGAAGGATGGGAACGGAAGATCCACCAGGGACGATACCGAGCAAGTTATCCCAACCACCACGGACACCACCGCAGTGACGCTCGATGAGCTCCTTGAGTGGGATCGACATCTCCTCCTCGACGACGCATGGCGTGTTGACGTGACCAGAGATGGCGAAGAGCTTGGTACCCTGGTTTTTGTCACGACCGAAACCGGCGAACCACGCTGGGCCTCGTCGGATGATGGTAGGTGCAGCGGCGACGGTCTCGACGTTGGCGACGGTGGTGGGGCAACCAAAGACACCGACATCGGCGGGGAAGGGAGGCTTCAAACGAGGCTTACCCTGCTTACCCTCGAGCGACTCGATGAGGGCGGTCTCCTCACCGCAAATGTAGGCACCGGCACCCTTGTGAACATAGACGTCAAAATCGTAACCGGAACCGCAAGCGTTCTTGCCAATGAGACCAGCGTCGTAGGCCTCCTTGATAGCGTGCTGAAGGTGGGCGACCTCAAGGTAGAACTCTCCTCGAACGTAGATGTAGGCAGCGTTGGCGTTCATGGCGCGACCAGCGACAAGGCAGCCCTCGATAAGCTTGTGGGGATCACCACGCATGATCTCTCGGTCCTTGCAGGTACCAGGCTCACCCTCATCGGCGTTGATGACAAGGTAACGAGGGCGAGGATCCTTCTCCCATCCTGGCTTGTTCATGAAACTCCACTTGAGACCGGAGGGAAAACCGGCACCACCACGACCACGCATACCGGACTCCTTCATCTGCGAAATGATCCAATCGTGACCCTTGAGAAGGATGTCCTTGGTGCGGTGCCAGTCACCACGTGCCTTGGCGCCTTTAAGACCGTGCTCGTGGCGCATGTAGGCGTTCTGGAAGATGCGGTCCTGGTCACGGAGACCACCGAAGGAGCGAACGGGGGTGTCGGTGACGGTTGCAAGGCCGCGAGCCTGCGATGGTGTGGCGCAGGCGACCTTGGCAGCATTGTTGAGGCTCTTTGCTGTTGCCGAGCGAGCGGCGCTTCGAGCGACCAAGCCTGCAGTGGTCATAGTTGTAGAGGAAGCGATGAAGTGGCGATGCAATGCGAAGGATGAGATGCGATAAAGTAGGTCGATTGTTAGAAATCGGACGAAGTAAAGGTGATGGTGTATTAAGGCAAAGGTTGCAGGGCTGTTATCAGTAATCTGAGCTTACCTGGTGTTGGTCGGGGAGTGAAAAGTATGCTGGTATTATCAATGAAAGCTATTAATGCTACTTACTAGCTCTCTGCATGATGTGACGTGTTGAGTAGGTTGATGGTGAGGAACGAAAGGTGGAAGGAATGGCAATCTAAGCCATTTGAGATTGAAACGGTGGTGGCACTGACTTGCTAGCTCTGGAATCAGCTTCTAGACGGCTGCTTGCCGAGACTTGCGCTGCTGCCCGTTTCTTGGGTGGCAGATATGATAATCTCAACACTTACCGTACGAAGAAATGCAGAATTCACAGTAAATTCTCAAAGCTTGCTGACCAAAGCACCCAACGTCGCTTGGCGCGCGCTCAAGGCTCCAATCAGCACACTTTGAATTTCTCAGCTGCTAAACTCGGATCCGCTCGGCTTGCCTCGTTGCATCGGGAATCAGAATCGGGCAAGCTACGCAGCTCGATACTAGATCTCGATACGTCTGTAGACTCTCACCGCGCAACGCACTTCACAAGGCAAGCTAGTTTTCTGTCATCTGTCCATTCGTTGGTGGCTCTCGAAATGTTTGCATACAAAGCTTCAGTATCGGTGCGGGTTCGGTAGCGTACTGCGATAAGGAATCGGACTGAGTGCATTCGAAGATGTGTCTCCATCACCGCTATTGGGACAAGGTCAAAGACAGGTTAGTCGATTGCGTTGTCGAAGTCAGGGTTCAGCATCAGAACATGTGATCCACTTACGTCTCCTTGTCGCAGCTTTCCAGCTGCTGAAGTGCAGCCCTCTGCTTCTGACCATACGCTCGCTGGAAGTAAGAGAAATACACCTGTCAACACGACACGCTTCACTGTCAGCTCTTTACGGTTCCATCTCCGCTGCTCTTCTTTCCGATCCTCATACATACCTGAGTAACAGACAAAACCAGCACCAGACCACCCATAGCAGCAGTCTGAGCCCACATGAAGTAATCACAAATCTTTCTACCAGGTGCGAACTTGTCCAACCCATCAATAGGCACACCGTTCGAACTATTCAGCGGCGGGTTCCCGTAGACCCTCGTACAGACTTCTACCGACTGCCTGTGCTTTGTCGCAATCACCACCGTTCCTATTGACCCTACTATCGCTGTGATCAAGACGAGGAGGAAATTGATGCGAATGTTTAGGCGGTAGATCGAACTCATTTCTATGCGAATCGTGGCTAGGCCGATGACTTGCCATGCCAGAGTTGTGATGGCTAGGAACAGGAGGACGAGTGGGGAGATGCGGGGAAGCGTGTCTACAGCAGCAAGCACGGTGGGTGTAGTGGTGGTGAGGACGATGATGCATCCTGATACGAAGGCAAATTCGAGTGGGATGAGGTAGCTACCTGACTTGATGAGCGGATAGGTGAGGCAGCAGAATTCCACTCCACGGCCTCAGCGTCCTCGTTTGGTTTGTGTGTGGTCTTCCATCCTGCTCAATCCTCCTTTGATCAGCCTGGCAATGCTGGTGGTCCTGACAACGAAGTTCGTTGGGTTGTTGGTTCTTGAAGTTGATGCTGGAACCTCGTCTACCAGAGACAGAAGTTTCTTGAGGCGGCTGTTGAACCTCTTGATACCCAAAAGATTGCTGCAATACCAGATTGCACGACGACGACGATGAATTTGAAGAACCGAATCTACCAGTGACCGAGCTAGACGAACAAAACGGAACGAGTGCAAGAAAGATGATGATCAGAAGCAAGATACTTCCAGTTGATATCATTGAATGGCCTGCGGAGGACCGGTGGTTGAAACATAGCTCAAAGCGCAGTCTCAACTCTGGCGTGCTACGCTGGCTCCCGAAGACGGTCAGCACCGGCGACAAGAGCAGACATGACGAGGCAGCCAACTCTACATTCAAAACGAGGTGGAAGAGGAGCCTTCGTCAACTGTCAAACTTGGCAACCGAGTTGCAGGGCATATTGGCGTCGCGCTCTGTTGCCGCGATTTTCTGCAGCAAAATTGAGCGCAAACGCGGCATCGGTCGGGACATATCACTTCGCTCATCATCAAGCATGCTCTTTCCACAACGTCATCTTGTCAAGGCTCAATCACTGTGCTGAGCATCCCTGGCTCCCTCGATAGGGCCACAACTTCTATGGAAGCTCATAATTCGCCGAAGACATGTCCCGTTCCGCTTAATCGGGCAAGGCTGAAGCCCGAGAAACTTGCATCTTAGTCGCCGCATCGGGATGGCCTGACATCCTTGTAAGCAGAACGAGTCGGTTTATTAGAGCAGTGTCGTTGGACCATCACAAAGTTCAAGTGTTGTCTGTGTCGAGTGTATCAATTGCAGCTTGCTCGCCTGGCCACGTGGACGACGTCTGATTCCGAGTGTCGTCTGCTGGTCCGCTCAGCGGTGGGACGGAGCTCAGAAATCAGTCGAGTCTGTCTTGTCCTTCTACCTTCCGTCAAATGGCGGACTGCACAGGTCGAAATCGTAAGAATGGTGTGTGCTGTTAAAGCTTTTGTAGTACTGATACAAGAGGTCGGGGATGATGAAGATTACGACATCTGTCCTCGCTGTTCTTGCAACTTGTTGACCTGCGATCGTCGTATGAGCACCAAACATTTGGGAAAAGGCACAGCGTCAGCGATCGAGCTCAATAGTAGCTAAAAGTATCGTATGCGGGGTTGCTTTGTGAGGCTTACGATGAACAAAGAAGTGTCGAGGAATCTGCATAAGCAACAAGCGATCGACCGAGCGCGAAGAAGAAGAGAGGCTCTCGTCAGAAATGTCCATTAGCTACACCGATCCCATGCGTACCGTTACAAAGAGACTCCTCCGAGCAGGCTGACAACTTGCGAAAGGCTTTACCGGTGAAGTATGCTAAATGTGTACTTACCGTTCGACGCAGTTACTCAAACAAGCTTCTTCGCCACGACCAAAGCTAGATCCGATGCTTGACTTGATGCACTGATCCCAGCATCGGTCGGTGAAAGTGTGAATCGAAGACTGAACACGAGCCTTGGCCTGTTCGGCGTCGAGAAAGGTTTGCAACTCTGTTCGATCCCATCGCCAAAAGAAGAGAAGGAAGAGTCTTTGTCAGAATTCTTTACCCCACTTACTTCTCGAAACGAAAGGTCCGCTGTCCGGCGGAAGCTGGGTACCAGGGAAGAGAGTGACGGAGTGCTTACCCTTCTGATCAGCTTCTGCGAGTCCGGACATTGTATATAATATGGTGTTGGTTGATGTTCGAAGAAGTGATGCGGATGTCAAAACTTTCGATGTGGAGATGTAAGCGTTCTGATCTTCTCCTTGGGCCAAAAGCGTGAATTAGTCATGCTGAAGTACTCCAAATTTTGCAGCGTGAAGGTTGGCAGTGAAATTTGACTGTCTCCGCGAACTTTTTTTGTGAACCCTGAATTCAAAATCTTCCTCAGCCCCGCTCTAGCGCCTCCCCATCACCTCTCTAACACCTCCGTACTTCCTATATTCCGGCTCGCAACAGGACAGATTAGTAAGATGGCGGAAGCAAAGCTCACAAAGAAGCAACAAAAGAACGTCGCGTTTAGGGCAAAGAAGGGCAAAGCTACTGCCTTGGCACACCACCCCGCCACCCCTGACGATGTTGTCGACGCTGAAGATGTTCCTTCGACCAGCACGGTCGAAATGACCAAGGCCTCAACATCGTCAAAGAAGGCAGCAAAGGCAGAGAAGCCAACAAAGACCATGAAGGTGTCCAAAATGGAGGGTGACGCAGTAGCTGACGATGCAGCAACAGGCGAAGCTCCAGCCAAAGAAGAAAAGCGATCCCACAAACGCAAGCGTCTAGCAGCCGAAGCGGCAGCTGGCATCACCTCCCAACCCGGACCTTCCACCAGCAGCCAACCTCAAGATTCATCAAAGCCCAAACCCACCACCAAACCCAAAAAGACTGCCCCTGAAGCACCCGCCAAGAAAACAACTTTCGGCGAGGACGGAGAAGTAGCAGCCGAACAAACGGTCAAACCTACCATCCCCACCACAATCGAATCCAGCGCAAAGGGGAACAAGTACATCCTCTTCATCGGCAACATGGCTTTCACCACCACTACCGATACTATCTCCAAGCATTTCGGTCAGACATGTGGCGAGGTCCCCTCCGTCCGACTTCTCACGAAGAAAGCAGACCCGAATTCACTTGCGAACCTCCCTGCATCAAAAAGGAAGTCCATTGCAAAGGGTAAAGCTCAGGATCCGACCAAAGCTCAGTCGAAAGGATGTGCTTTTGTTGAATTCAAGTCCTCAGAGGCGCTACGCAAAGCGCTGAAGTTTCACCATACTATGCTGGAGGGGAGGAATATCAATGTGGAATTGACAGCGGGTGGTGGTGGGAAGAGTGAGTCGAGACAGGAAAAGATTAAAGCCAAGAATGCTGGGTTGGAGAAGGAAAGGCAAAAGTTGCATGGGAAATATGTGGCGCCGAAGAACGAGGCGCGGAAGCAGGCGAGAGGGGCGAAAGGGGCGAAAGGTGGGCAAGAGGGTGAAGGAGAAGGGAGGGAGAGGAAGAGACAGAGGAGGGATGGAAATGCGGAAGAAGGTGGAAGTCGATGGGGAAGGAACAGCGGGAAGGAGAGGAAAGTGCCAAGATTCATGGCGACTGGTTCGAATGCTGTGCGTGTTGCTCCCACGTCTTAAGCTCAACTTCCATCGCAGGGTGGTGTTTGCTCAATGATATACCAATGCACATGCTTTTGGCACAAAAGCAGATGCGAGAATGAGAGGTTTCTATGACAATTCAGATTGATGAAAGTGAAGTGATAACGACAACAAGCAAAGCTAGCAAGAAGGAAAGGTTGTGAGAAGGATCAATGATGTACCCTTTAGCCAGTGGAGCTATCCGCAGCAGCATCATCGACATTCCACAGACACATTCCAATATGAGGATCCTTACTCTCCCCACCCTTAGCCGCACAATCATCGCCGAAAGCCTTGATCGCCTCATCAGCAGCATAATCATAGTCCAACTGACAGAACCCGTATGTGTAACTGATCGCGTTCGTCCACATAGCACTGCACTGTTGCTTGGTCTTTTCGTCCACAATAGTATCATCTCCACCGTCAATAGTCGTGTAACCTTTCAGCTTCTTCGAGTTAGTGATGGTGGGGAGGACGTTGGCGCATTGACGCATGAAGGCGGAGTTTGTGACTTTGCGTTGTGCGCATTTGCTCTTGTGAGGGGTAAGGATGGGTGCGTTGGAGGCTTTGCAGCAAGCAAGAGCACCGGTGATGGAGTGATCGACGAGAGAGTAGTGGAAGGTTCCTTGGGCCTTGAAGCCGTCTTTGTCATTGGTGCCTTTACCGGAAGCGTTGGGGTTAGAAGCAGGAGTACCAGACGCAGGGTCATGCGTACCAGGCTTTGGTGCGGGAGCATCAGGGGCAGGGGCAGGGGCAGGCTTCTTGTAATCGTCTTTGTAGTTAGGCCAGATTTGAGGACACTGGCCTTTGTCAGGATTGATATATTCGCCTGGATATTTCGAGCAGCTATCTTTGAAGGCTGCAACAGCTTCTTCAGGTTTAGAACCGGGGAGGTGGTGGCAGAATTGTATGCCCATTCGACGAGAACCTGGAGCGCTGCCCATATCAAGCGCTTGATGCTCAAAGCATTTGTACTCGGCTGCGGAGGGAATTTCGGCAGAAGTGCCCATACAGCAGAACAAGTCGTTGACCTTAGTGTTGTCAGTAAGGACAATGTTGTACTGAAGGATGACTGCCAAGTTGGGGTCGGAGATTTGCGTGGTAGCCGAGATTGAGGGGAGGAGACTGACGCAGATAGCGCCCAGAAGGGTAAGCCAGGAGCCGTTGGGTTGCATAGTGAAGATTTCCGGCGGTTTTCAAGGCTGATGTAGGGAGGTAGGGAGAGGGAAGTTGGAAGAGTGGGCATTGGAGGTGCTCGAGCATATATATGATGAGACTTCTTGCTCTGGCAAATGAATCAACAGCTCGACTCGGATAAGACCCACCAAGCAGCACAGGCAGTGCGAGACAACACCTAACCAGTCCTACGCATGATCACACCCACTTGTATCCACCGAAATGAAACCTGCTCCGTCAGTCGAGTCGATCCCAGCGGCCATGAATGTCGGTGTGCCTCAACATGTCGACCGCGGACAAATGAAGGTGGGAGTTAATCCAGCAGCCCTAACTCTAGTGTTACGCACCAATCATCACAGACCATACGCTGCAAAGCAGCAAGAAACATGTTGAAATGTGGTGAAATTGAGTGCGTATGTTGAAAACGAGAGAGCAAATTAGAGGGGCAAACCGCAGATCTCGCAATCGATGGCACTCGACTCGTTGTGGTAGGTACAGTGAGAGCATACTTTGACGCCCGCCGGTCCGTCGTCTGCTGACGCAGCAGCAATGGCGGCCGCTGTCGCTGCGTCCGCATCGCTAGATTCATTTCTGGCAGATGCTCGACGCACGTGCGAGATCTGGACATCGTCATCGTCATCGTCGCCCTGTCCATTATCGTAAAAGTGCTCATTGGCATCGTCAAATCCAACATCGTCGTCTGAGTCCATGCCTCCGTCGTAGGTGAAATCATCTTTCGGTGGCGCAGCAGTCTTGTTCTCGCTGTTGCTAGACGGAGCGTGTTCGCGGGCAAGCGCCATGAGTGTTTGCCAACCGGGGCGCAAAAGGAGCGCGTCGAGTGCAGCGCCAGAGTCATGGGCTGTGGCAAGGCGACAGAGAGCAGCCATGTCATCCTGGTCCAGGAAGCCACTAGTGTCGAGGAAAGCAAGCAGATGCCAATCACTGAGAGCGCCGACGAGCTTCTCCCGCACCTGATCATCGTCCGCTCGCGACTTGCCCTTGGTGCTCTCCACGCCATCGCCAACAGGGTACAGCTCCTTCTGCCCCACGATCTTGCCAATGCTGGTGAGTGCGACTGTGAGATCTTGGTCGTGCAGTCCCGGACGGTTCTCAATGGGAAACTTGGAGCTGAGGAAGGTCGGGTTTGGAGCGTTCGGGAAACCATGTGTCGCATTGACAATGAGATACTCGACTGGGAAGGTGGGCTTGGCGCTCTCCTTGACGTCGATCTTGTACTCGTTGGTGTAGCGGTAGAAGACTTCTGGGACGTATCGCTCGCCCTCGCTAGGCTTGACTCGAATGATGTTGGGATTGACACTGGCCTCGATCATGTCAGCCTGCACCATGCCCATTCCCTGCTCGCTGATCTGGTAGGCTGAAACGTCGATGGCGCCGTCCTCTGTACCGCTCAAAATGCAGGTGACGAACTTGGAGTTAAATCGACCCGACGAGCTGAAGCGGGATGGGTTGGGGTTCCCAAGTTGAAGCTGAGCTGCAAAGATGGTTTCGATACCGGAAAGGAAGAAGCTTTCCTTGTGGCGTTTGCATACGACTTTTCCAGTCATGGATGGGTCTTGGTGCGATGGGTCGGCAGGACTCAAATCCGAGTAGATCATACCGACAAACTCGAGACCACAGAGCTTAGCGAGCTTCTCAATGCGAGGCTGCTCGTCCCATGGCACGCCAAGTGTCAGACCATCAAGCTCGCCTTCTTGTGGTGGCTCGTGAATGGCCTCGACTACTGCTTTGACGCCCATCGGCACATCCGGATATGCCTCGTATCGTCCGAGAAGGAAGCCAAATCGTTGGGTAGCAGTGCTTCGCCAGAAAGCGAGGATGTTCTCGATGAGGTCGGGGTGTGCGAACTCGACATGGTCGACCATTCGATATGGCTGTCGTTGAAGCGTAATGGCAGAAGGCTGACATTTAGTACAAATACCAGCGGGCCAACTCGGATGGCTTTCCGATGGACACGGCTTCTTCACGGTATAATTGACCTCTTCGAGTGGTGGGATGAAGGATTGACTTGGCTTGTTGGTGGCAATGTCCCGCTTGCGCAGATATGCATGGAAGGAAAGATGCTTGATGTTGTTCTCGGTCTGATACTTGGAGTCGTAAGGTTCAAGCGGCATGCAGTAGTCGCACATACCCTTTGGACCGTGACGACAGAATTGCGAGTCCTTCTTGCGGGTGATCTTGCATTCTTGTGCCTCCCAGTACGTGTCCACGCTGTGCTCTTTGGCAGTCTCCCATGGCTTTTTGGGTCGAGAGGACGATGCTGAAGTTGTGGTGCTGGACGAAGTCACGGCTGCTGCTGCTGATGCTGCGGGTGCAGTCGATGATTCAGCGGTTGGAGTAGAGGGTACAGCATCGGCACTGGAAGATGAAGCATCTGCGGTAGCGGCGGCGGTTTCGGCGTAAGCTGCAAAGAGAAGGTGCCCGTGACCAATACCTAGCTCTCCAAGCGTACTGCCCTTGAGAGTGTTGGCCTCGAACTCTCCTCCTCGAGGCTGGTTGGAGAAAGTGAGCGAGTTTGGATCGGCACCCGGAGTGGTCTGGAGCACCTTTTGGATGAGGAGCGATGCATCGTCGGTTGGCTGTAGCTCGAAGCGGAAGTTGCCATCCTTGGAGCGGACACGGACGATCATGGTCGCCTTCCTTCTAGCGGTCGAGGCTGGCTGGCAAGATCTGTTGGCAGCGCTTAAATGATCTGGACCCGCGTGAAGATGCTGAAGGATGTGGCTGTAACCAGACTTGATGCTCTGGAAGATGAAGGTGATGTTGTTTGAGGCTGAGCTTTGATCTGATGGGTGTCTGCGTGTGAAGTGTAAATTGAGAAGGAAGTGGAGGTTTGAGCGTTTCTTTCTTGTCGCTGTGCTGATTGCTGCGCCTTTCGTTTCATCATTGAGATACGGTCCACGCGTAGCGCAGTCGATCACGATTTTCGGACCAGCCTTGTTAGAAGAATAAATAAAATAAATAAAATAAATAAAATAAATAAAATAAATAAAATAAATAAAATAAATAAATAAATAAATAAACAAATGAAATAAATAAAGAAATAAAGAAAATCCCGCGCGAAAGCAATTGCAGGTCTAACAGATTAAAAGCCAACCTTCTGACGGTCGGGCTCGTCTGGGAAAACGACGTTGTCGAGGATGTCTTTCGCATGGAATCGGAGCACAGGCTTCCGTCACGAGCATAATGGGGCCAGCGATGGTCACAAGCTTATCACCCAATCAGCATGATATGCGACTCACTCGCTGATATGACCATCTTTCCTTTGGAAACAGACTAGGGAGGAAACACGAAGGTACAAGGAGACACTAATTACAGCTCAACGGTGACGAGGTCTGACACCATTGATACTTGACAGAGGTGCTTGAGAGGTGGTTGGTCTGTTGCACCCAAGACCGGCGACGAGGACGTTGCCATTGAGTCTTGTGAATTAGGTGTCATTCAAGGCGGTTCGAGTCATTGCCCAGAAAGTCCGTCTTGTGGCTTGAGCATGCTCCGAGATTTGAAGCATGGTGCACATGGTTTTTGGATGAAGCATGAACGTTATGGTACGACGAAGCGTGCCGAGCAGCTTGCACGGCTCGCACTTATCCAGGTCGGGCAGCTGGCAGGAACAAAAGGGACAGAGGGGCTCAACATGCTTTTTGCTGCTTTTTGCTGCATCACCAACCGACGCACCAGTTACCTGCACTTACTCGGAAATAGCGTGGCGCTGATTGGCAGCTTCCACTCGCACACACACACACGCGGATTTTGTTCGTAGCTTTCCTGGAGAAGTCAAGTCCGCGGACGGACGTACACGTTCAATAGACTGCAGCGCTGCATGCGGCAATAGAACCAAAGCGACGGCCCCAACGTGCTTTCGTGTGTACACAGGATCCTGCTGTACGCTCAACGTGCTGAACCAGTCTTCGGTGCGGACGACAAAGTAGCCTGTTCTGGATACATAGCGATCAGTACGCTACAGAAGGAAAGGAGGCAACTCGATTGAAATGGTAGACCTGACTTGGGTCGATTGACGATATGAAAGTGTTTGACAGCCTGTCGAACGGCGTTCATCGACAGCAGTAATTTATTTACTTTTGAATTAGCCGTGAGTTGCAAATACCGCGCGGTCACAAGGAAGAGGTTTGCCGCGCTGCCCTTTTTGCTGAGTGTTTCTTGAGGCAGCCGAATTTGCAAAAGGGAAATAAATGAATGAGCCGAGTGTGTTGCCATGCGGTGCTGAGGTAAAACTGACTTGTTTTCGATCCAAGCGGACAAACCAGAAAATGCATGGCCGAGCAACGAATCTTCAGACTCAAGACGATCGATCCTCTTTTCATGGCAATGCCACCGCCACTTGGCGCTGTTCACTGCCTCTCTCGTCGCTGCTGTTGACTGAGTTCGTTTAGATCCAACTACATGATCAGGAGAGTGAGCAGCAAGTGATGATGACGACGTTGTTTTTTAGTAGCCGGTCACCATGTCGCGTTGTTTTGCATCACTTTCCACCTATTCAATCGAAACACTTGTATGGCATGCACAGACCCTTACTGTGCCTGCGCCATCGCTGCACATATCTTGCTTGTCAAGCAAGCTGAAGAAAGAAGGTACAAGGGTCTGCAAATGTGACTTTCGTCGGCGTTGTTCTGTGTGCTCGCCTGTTTCTCAACCGACGACGTTCCGGTTTGCTCTTCTCCGTGACTTGGCCGGTCTCTCTCTCTCTCTCTTTCTCTCTCTCTCTCTCTCTGTGTGTGTGTGTGTGTGGGTCTCTGTGTGTGTGTCTCTCTCTCTCTCTCTCTTTTGCTGTCCCTGTGTTTGTCACTCTTGTGGTGTGTTCCTCTAACTACTGTAAACCCCGCCTTGCCTTTGAGGCCCCTTGTCCCTCTTCTCATCCTCATCCTCATCCTCCTTCCCGTCTCCACTTTGCCGACGTTGGCAAAGCTTTTTCTTTTCCTTCCATCACATCTCCTACTGGTTGAGGTCATTTCTTTCTTCCTCACCATCATCTTGTTCGCGTCGATCGTTATCGCCTTTCCGCATCTTCTTTCTTCCTGTGCATCGAAATCCATTCCGACAACAAGCGCACATCAGCATACTTTTCGCGCATCAACCGCTTGTTATCCGACGGCTTTCTGTTTCTTCAATTGAGCGAGCTTGCTACTCAAACAACCACCTTCCACACCCTCTGTTAACCATCAGTCTAAATTAGCGCTTCAATCACCGTCCATTTCGTTCTAGACCGGACCACCACCTCATCGGCAGCCTGCCTTCACCAAGTGACACCGTCGCATCTACCCAGGCGCCTCGCTACGCTTTAGCCATGTCGACTGCGCCAGATAAAGCTGCGCAGTCGGCCATCCCAACACCTGAGGTGGCCCCTCAGCCCTCCTCCACCTCCGCAGTCCAGTCTGCTTCCTCGGCAGTCATCGCAGGCACAGATCATGAATCACATAGCGAGTCTTCTAGAAGTGCAGCTCCTTCCAGCGAGCAGACGCCACCGCTATCCGTTGCTGGGGAAGAGAAGCCAGGTTACGAATACAATCCAGGCGTCCGTAGCTTCATTGGAGGCAAACACAAGGAAAAGTGGTATCAGATCTGGCGACCCAAGAATCCACCTTCGCCTCCACCAAACAGCCTCGACGACGCCCGTCTCATCCCTCTAGCCAATGCCAGCATCATCAACCGCATCTTCTTCCAATGGATGACCCCCATCATGGTCCTCGGATACCAGCGTCCTCTCGAAGCTACAGATCTTTGGCAGCTCTCCGAGGATCTCAGCGCAAAGCAGCTCGGTGGCCAGCTCAACCGCGATTGGGATCGTCGTGTTCGCGAGGCCAAGGAATACAATGCCAAGCTCGTCTCTGGTGAGATTAAGCCAGGCTGGCGACGTCGCACATCCTGGGCACTCCGCTCCACTCTCAAACCTAAGGCCGGAAACACCAAGCAGCGCGAGGCCCGATGGCGAGCACCACCCAAACCAACACCCAGCAACGCTGCTCCCGCGGGTCCCGGCAAGCCAGCCAAGACTGTCAAGGATCCCTCAGGACACAAGAAGCCTTCGCTTGTCTGGGCCATGCACGACCAGCTTGGTTGGAAGTTGTGGTCTGGTCTCATCTTCAAGATTGTTGGTGACGCTTCGCTCATCACTTCGCCTCTCGTCCTCAAAGCTATCATCAAGTATGCTCAGGAGCACTACGCCGCTAATGCTAGGGGCGTCCCAGGTCCCTCAGTCGGTGAAGGTGTTGGCCTTTCCTTCGCTCTCTTCTTCATGCAGATCATTTCGTCACTCGGTACCCATCAATTCTTCTGGCGCTCCATGTCATGTGGTGTTGAGTCGCGTGCGGCTCTCATCACTGCCATCTTCGACCGTGCCATGAAGATGAACGGCAAGGCTCGATCCAGTGGCAAGCTCATCAACCACATCTCCACCGACTGCAGTCGTATCGACTTTGCCTCGGCATGGTTCTCCGTCGTCTTTGCTGCTCCTGTTCAAATGGTCATCTGCATCATCATCCTTCTCACTCAGCTCGGTCCTTCAGCGCTTGCTGGTTTCGCCATCTTTGCCCTTGCTACACCACTTCAATTGCAGGCGATGAAGGCCCTCTTCAAGATCCGACGAGCTTCGATGAAGTGGACCGATGCCCGTGCCAAGACCATCCAGGAGGTGCTTGGAGGCATGCGAATCGTCAAGTCGTTTTCTCACGAGTCCAAGTTCCTCGACCGAATCTACGACATTCGTAAGAACGAGCTCAACGGTATCCGCAAGATTCTCATCATTCGTTCTGCCAACAACGCCATCGCCTTCAGTCTGCCCATTCTTGCAGCTGTGCTCGCCTTCATCGTCTACAGCTTGACTGGACACGACCTGAACCCTGCCATTGTCTTCCCCTCGCTAACGCTCTTCCAGCTTCTGCGTATGCCGCTCATGTTCTTGCCCCTTTCGCTTTCCGCCACCACGGATGCCAGGAACGCCTTCGACCGTCTCTACACTGTCTTCACTGCCGAACAGCTCGAGGACAGCGTGGAGCACGATGAGGAGAGCAAGTTTGCTCTTGTTGTGCGTGACGGATCGTTCCGATGGGAGACTGCTGAAGCCGAGGAGGCTCTTCAGTCTAAGACCAAGCCCAAGGGCGGCGCTAAAGGTGCCGCCGGTGCCAAGTCGACATCCGGGCAAGGCAGATTTGGCAAGACCAAGAACTTCATGAAGAAGTCAGCGACTCCACCTGCTGCGAACGAATCGGGTCTTCCCGCCCCCGTCACGGCTAAGAAGCCCGACACCGACAACGGACGACGCCTGCAACAAATCCAGGCCGAACAGAACGACTCCGCTGTCGAAGATGACACTGAGGCAGTCCTCACTGAAGCTCAGCTTGAGCCAAATATCGGCGAGGCAACGTCGTCCGAGAAGGTCGAGATCGAGGAGCAAGTGCCTTTCTCCATGAACCACGTTAACATGACCATCCCCAAGGGCGAGCTCGTCGCCATCGTTGGTCCTGTCGGTTCCGGCAAGTCATCCTTCCTTCAGGCCTGTATCGGTGAGATGCGACAGACTGGCGGTTCAGTCCAATGGGGTAGCGAGCGAGTTGCCTACTGCTCGCAGAGTGCCTGGATCCAGAACGCCACCGTGCGCAACAACATCCTCTTCGGCCAGCCTTTCGATGAGGAGCGCTATTGGCACGCGGTCAAGGTGTCCGAGCTCGAGACTGATTTGGCTATCTTGCCAGCAGGCGATCTTACCGAGATTGGCGAGAAAGGTGTCAACCTTAGTGGTGGTCAGAAGCAGCGTGTCAACATCGCTCGTGCTCTCTACTACAATGCAGACATTGTCTGCCTCGATGATCCGCTTTCGGCTGTCGACGCTCACGTCGGCAAGGCTCTCTTCTACAACGCCATAATGGGTCTGCGCGCCAAGGGTACCACTGTTCTTCTCGTTACACATGCTCTTCATTTCTTGCCAGATGTCGACCGCATCATCACCCTTGAAGATGGTCACATTGCCGAGATGGGTACCTACGACGAGCTCAATCACGCCAACGGACCTTTCCAGCACCTGGTACTCGAGTTCGGTGGTGAGAAGGAACAAGACGAAGAGGAGAAGAAGGAAGACGAAGACGAGGCCATCGAGGAAGCTGATGGCAAGAAGGGGAAGAAGGTGGACCGCAGTCACTTGACTGGCGGCAAGGGTGGCGACAAGGCCGGTACTCTCATGCAAGCTGAGGAGCGCAACACCGGTTCTGTCTCCCTTCGTGTCTATCTCTCGTATCTCAAGTTCGGTCGTGGCTCTTACATGGTTCCCATCTGTTTGGTCAGCTTGGTCCTCATGCAGGTGGCCAACATCTTCAACTCGTACTGGCTCATTTGGTGGCAGAAGGACCACTTCAACCAGCCCATCGGCTTCTACATGGGTATCTACGCAATGCTCGGTATCGTCATGACCATCTTCACCTTCATCATGGGTTGTGCTATGGGTTTCCTCAGTTATTACGCCTGCAAGCGTGTCCATCACGAGGCTATTCAGCGTGTCGTCTACGCACCCATGGCTTGGCTCGACGTGACACCTATCGGACGTATCATGAACCGATTCTCAAAGGACGTTGATGTTGTTGACAATCAGCTCGCTGATGCTGTTCGTATGGCTGCCAATACCATTGCATCCGTTGCAGGTGCTGTGATCTTGATCACCATTCTCACGCACTACTTCGTGATTGCCGTTGCTGTCATTCTGATATTTTACTTCTACGGTGCTCTCTTCTACCGCTCTTCGGCGCGAGAGGTCAAGCGACTCGACGCTATCCTGCGATCCAGTCTCTACTCGCACTTCTCCGAGACTCTTTCGGGCCTTGCTACTATTCGCGCATACCGCGAGACCGAGACTTTCATCAAGGAGAACCAGAAGCGAATGGATGTCGAGAACCGTGCTTACTACCTCAGTATCACCAACCAGCGATGGCTCGGTGTTCGACTCGACCTGCTCGGTGCGCTCCTTGTGCTCATTGTCGCTTTGCTCACCACTGCCAGCTCTACACCCATCACCGGCGGTAACGCTGGTATCGCGCTCACGTACATGCTTACTGTCTCCCAGGCCTTCTCCTGGATGACGCGTCAGATCGCTGAAGTCGAGAACGACTCGGCTTCCGTCGAGAGATTGCTGTACTACGCAGAAGAGCTGGAGCAGGAGAAAGCTCAGACTCGTCCTGACAACCCAACGCGTGAGTCGTGGCCTGAAGAGGGTCGCATCTCGTTTAAGGATATCTGGCTCAGCTATCGACCTGGACTTCCTTCTGTGCTCAAGGGCATTTCGCTCAAAGTCGGCAGTGGTGAGAAGGTTGGTATTGTTGGACGTACTGGTGCGGGTAAGAGTTCCTTACTCACCGCATTGCTACGATTGGTTGAGCTCAGCAAGGGCTCGATCGAGATCGATGGCATTGATGTCGGTCAGATCGGTCTTGAGGATTTGAGACGCAAACTTGCCATCTTACCTCAAGAACCTTTGCTGTTCAGTGGCACACTTCGCTCGAACCTTGACCCATTCGGAATCTACGATGATGCTCGACTCAACGACGCGCTCAAACGAGCCTATCTCATCGGCGATGACACGCACACTCATAGTGCAGCTACCCCTGTCATCCCCGCACTTACAGGCGACCCTGACGCATCATCGCTCCACGACGCCGACTCCGAAAAGAAAGCCCTTGCTCTCTCGGGCGACTCAACCCCAACCCGCACCGTCTCACGCATCAATCTAGACACAGTCATCGAGGAAGAAGGTGCAAACCTTTCCGTCGGTCAACGCTCGCTCGTTTCCCTAGCTCGAGCTCTCGTTAAGAACTCTAAGATCATTCTGCTCGATGAAGCCACAGCATCGGTTGATCTTGAGACTGACGCAAAGATTCAGCAGACAATCAGAGAGGAGTTTTCCAATCGAACAATCCTGTGCATTGCGCATAGATTGAGAACGATTTTGTCATACGATCGGATTGCGGTGTTCGATAAGGGAGAGTTGGCGGAGTACGCTAGTCCACTGGAGTTGTTCGATAGGGAGGATGGGATCTTTAGGAGTATGTGTGTGAGAAGTAATATCACGCGGGAAGAGATTTTGAGGAATGCTAAGACCAGCGGTTTTGAGGCTTAGTTCCAGACTTCAAAAGGTAGCGGTCTAGCTTGTCGCTTCAGCATATCACATACACAGTCATACCTATAGGAATTGCATTCTGTTCATCTAACTTCAGACTGTGTTGCAGGGGATGTTACTCTGAGTGCTATTTGAGTTCGTCTGATTCGCATCACAAGTGTCACTACGAATGCAATCAGCATAGACATGCACATGACGAATCTGCGACTGAGAATCTCCTTAAGCTCAGCCGTAGCTTCCCATCTGATTCCCACTCTTAGGCTTACTAATCTTACCAATGTTCTTCTTAACAATATCAAACACTACCGCATACATATTCCTCATATCCGTCAGATGCATCTTTAACCTATACACCATCTTCCTATCATGTTCTCTTAACGCTTCTGCATAGTCTTCCACACCTGGATACCTAACCAACTTCGCCGCAAGATCTCCTCTCGCCGAATGATAGGTGAAAGGAGTAGAAAGTAGATTGTACGCCGAATCCTGCGTCCTCACTATCTCATTCAGCGCCTCTTCTTGAATGGAAACTCCAAACGTGTCTCCGTCTTCCATTTGGGGCATCTGGAGGTTGATGTACATCTTGAGAGAATCCATTGTTTCGATTATTTCGTCCCATTCTGCGCGTAGATCGGTGAAAGCGGTTGTGAGGTAGGAAGGAGTGTGGACGACGCCGGTATAGACGTGCGCTGAGCCTTCGGCGTTGGTGCAGGAGGAGGAGGGCTCACCATTGGTGGTGGTAGTGGAATCGGTGGTTTTACGCTTCTTACTGCTCGGACCATCCTCAATCTTCAGTGTGGAAGATGAAGCGGGATGTACGGTGACATCAGTACCAATAGGGCTGGGATCAAAGTAACGAGACTTCGAGAAAAGATGGTCTTTGTTACGGTCGATTTCGGCGATTTTAGCGTTGAGCGAGAGGATCTTAGCAGGGAGGGTGGTTTGGATAATGTTAATGGCGTTGGAGCGGATCGATTGTTGCCATGCTTCAAGGGCGTCTGTTGTAGACTGGTCGAATTTGAGCGTTACTGCCACTGACATTGTGGCAGTTGTTTGCGGTGAATGAGGGTAGGAGGGAAAGGAGAAGAAAGCACAGTTAAGGCTTGACAGGTGTCAAGAGCTCCACATCTTCCTAAAATTCACTACTGCGCTGCGCGAGAGAGTCGAGGGTCTAACAAATTAGAATTTGGACAGCAGCGCACCGACCAACACTTCACTCGCTTAGACCTGCATATCAAGCTGCCAACCTGTCATGCTTCCAACACCATCAACCTCATTAACTCGACCCTGCTTTGCTTCGATCGGCCCTGGTGGCAATCTGACAACCACAACAGCAGTCCATAAGCTTGCTTCAACACATCTCATGATCCAGTACACATAACCAACTTCCCTCCGACCAGCTTCGCGTCCTTCGGCAAGTTTCTGGCAAGATGGCTCTGCAACACGACGAAGCCGAACTTCTCAAAGCCTACCATCTCGACTCGCTCGAACCCACTCGCTGGCACACCACCGAGCTCGAAAACGACGACAAAGAAACCGCAGCCTCCACCTCTGTCGCCGACGAACCTGACCCCCTCGGTCTCCGTTCTTCCATGGCAACCTTCCGTGGGCTTCCCAAAGATGTCAAGACCCAAACCTCGCTCTCATCTAAAGCTTTCGATCCGAAAGTGTTCCTCTCCACCATCCACCCCGATGCGACCTTCGCTGATCTCTCGCATGGTATTCAGAATTTGAAAGCAAGCATAGATCAGAGGTCGGAGGCGTTGAAGGTATTGGTTGAGGATAACTTTGACCGGTTTGTTGCGGTTAAAGCTACCACGGATGGAGTTTATAGGGAGATGAGGGATACTGAATCTGGGCCGTTGCGGCCTCAAGCGAATTATGGAACGGCGAATCTAAATGGGATTCTGGCAAACGCATCAGCAAAGGCAGATCAAGTGTTTATGCCGGTACTCGAGAATAATCTCAAAACCATCAAACTAAGGTCGACGCTAGGAGTGTTTGAGAGATCGAAATTCTTCTTCAACCTCCCTGGCTCCCTCTCCGAATCTGTGGAATTAGGGAGGTACGAAATGGCACTACGAGATTACAAAAAGGGCAAATACCTACTCGATAGCCGACCAGGTCAACTTCTCGCAGTAGGGAACAAATCCGAACCCGCAGGTGGAGCACGTAACGACGTTCAACAGAAACGCGTATTCGCTAAAGTATGGGATGCGGTGGAAGCGACGATGAAGGATATGCAGTCTCGTCTCACCGCGCAACTGCGGGAACCGAAACGAAGTGTGGAGGAACAGGAGAAAACGATAGAGATCTTGCTGGAGTTGGATCCGACTGATGATCCGGTATCGATTTATTTAGAGGCTCAACATCAGCATTTAAGGAGTGTGATGCAGAAGACGTTAGATGGTGGAGTGGCGAGGATCGAGGTTAGTCAAATTGGGCAGAGACAGAAAGGCGGAGTGGGGGAGAAGGATAGAGCGAGGGATTTGCAGAAGAGTATGCGACTGACAGAAGCGATGGATGCGAACTTTGACAAGTGTGTTGGTGCGAAAACTTGGAAGGCGATTTACGATCTGGTGAAATCGTTGTCAGAGACGATCACAGGTTCGTTGCCGAATTTCTGGAGGGTGGCCAAGAATCATGCCGAGGGAAAGTTCGTCAATAGCAAGACAAGGCTTGGTGCAAGTGCAGGGCAAAACGTGGGACCGGGAATGTCAGCGCAAAACAAAGCATGGGCAGTGGAAGCGCTAGATGCGTACATCAGTCTCATCTCCCATCTGTTCTCTCTCACCGACGTTTCCATCCTTACCCGTCAACCACTACCCATGCAACAACCGGATTGGGTTCCCACCAACACAAGCTCCCCAACCGCGGCTCACTATCTACGCGAAACGCTTACCCAACTCGTGGAAGCTTGCAACGATTTGGCAACGCTAGGTATTGCTTCAGCCAGCTCGTTGCGAGGATTATTGGCCAATGCGAGATTCAGCTTTGTTCAGGTGCTATGTATAGTTTGGCAGGAGGATGCAAAGTTGTTCCACATGTTGGAGGATTGGACGTTGAATCCAGAGGAGCAGGCTACGACGTTGCATTTGAGGGAGATTGTGGTTCTTCATAAGTCTAATGCCCGGCAAGCATTTCATCTTGCAGGTGGAAGATCGGCATCGACACCAGTATCAGCGTTGGAAGTTAGTCGGAAGCATCGAACTGCAGAACAGCCTGTTCCTCCAGAGTTCACGCAAAGGATCAAGGGGGCCTTCCTCGATGCGTTGTACGCTTTCCTAGACGGGTTGGTGCATTTGGCGTTTTCAGACTACAGTCCTTTAGAACCTCGAACAGCGCTTAGTGTCCAAACCGTCCCTGGGCATCCGGGTACTTCAGTCGATGTACGAGATCTGGATACAAGGGTGTTACTCAGTGTAACCAACCTCTCCCATCTCTCTCGAGTCATCATCCCAAGCCTAGTCAAGCAGTTCAGCGACGCATATTTGGTTAAGATGGAAGAAGATCTTTCCACACTCAACGAAGTTTCCTCCCAATTGGACAACACCTTGTTTTCGGACTACATCAAACGTAAATCCTCTACCCTCTCCGCTATCATTTCGCACGGTATTCTCTCATCCCAAATCGATTGGGCCGGAATTCCAAAGCCTAGCTCAGTACATCCGTTTATATACGAATCTCTCCTATCCCTCGTTCAGGTTCATGCGCATGTTCGGTCCATTGCAAAACCGCTCGTTGCCAGAACTATCACCACTTTGGTTGACGACTTAGCTGCGACAACACTCGATAGCTTCCAAAAGGTGGGGAGATTCGGAATGGGTGGAATGCTGCAAGCTACATTGGAGATTGAGTTTTTGCATCAGACTCTGAGCGCGTTTATTAGTAGTAAGGCAGAAGGGTTATTGAAGCAGGTATACGAGACGATCAGTCAGAAGTATAGAAGGGTTGATGCAGGGGAAAAGGAACAGTTGAATGCGGAGTTGGAGAGGGTGAAGCAGATTTTGGTGCAAAGTAGGAAGGCGACGGCGTTGGAGTTTTTGTGTTTTAGAAAGCCGAGGAAGGAGAAAGATGGCAAGGAGGGGGAGAAGGATGGGTCGTAGAATGTGGCTTCTCGTCGAGTTAGCGTGCAATGAGAATGAGTCGTTCTTAGCAAGCCTTTCGCGAGATGTGGTTCTGTTAGAAAGTGTGTGTTTGTATCTGGTGTGATTACATTGCATTGCATAAAAACAGAGGCAGAATGGTGGGATGGTGTGTCTGAAAACTGTACATACAAATACTGTGCCACTATAACGCCGAGAATGGTAGTGAAAGTGGTGGTGGTGATGAGAATCGTTCTCAATATTCTTTCAGGCGGTAATGCTGGTCTATGACGAAGCTGGCAGCGCCCCCTGCGCAGGCGCCGTACCAGACAGTGTGTCCGGAATGATCGGAGCAACCTGCTTATTCCCCTCTGCCATCATTCTCTGCATCAATACACCCACACCTTCAAACACACCCAACAAGATTCCGCACATGATCCCCGAGCCGATCGCCGTCTTAGGTCCACTCCTGATCGCCAAACCACCACCAGTCATGAATCCAGCAATAATGGCATTCCATGGATCTTCTTTTTGCCTGATCCCCTTTACTGCGCAGTCGAATGAGGAGAACATTCCACCCCAAACACCAAAGTTTCCTCCCAGAACTGGTGCTCGGGCTTTGATGGCTGATAAGGAACCGGGGAGTCGTTCGCCACGGGGGGAATTGCGGGCTCCTTTGATGCCGTGCCAGATTGTACCGCCGACTGCTCCCATGGCGAATGCACCGCCAAAGTCGTTAAGAATGACCCATGGACAGGGGTCTCTTGTGTGGTCTGCGTGGGACATTTTGTGTGGCTATGGGTGGTGAGGGGCTGAGGTGAAGGTGAGGGTGAGGTTGCTGCTTTTTGGCGATGAGGAGACTACAGCTGCGAACAAGGAGGTTGACGTGCTATGAGCTGATGCAAGGGCGATGCTGTGATGCTGTTGTCGAGAACGAGGACCGAGCGTGCGATGCGTTACGCTAGTGCTGTGTCGGTCGTACGATGCGAGTGGCTGCGAAAGATTCCGACACGAGGCTGAGTGGTCCCTACTCAGATGGTGCTGTTTCTGTGCTTTCCCGTTGCGTAACACAGAAGATGCCGGACAACGTGAGTCGATCTGGATAGGAAAGAGGTTCTGCAACGTCGTTCAAAAGCGTGCTGTGCAATACTTCCAGATGCAGCTGATTCGAATGAAGCTGCTTGTGTGAGGTCGAGCTGGACCGAGAGCGAGGTGAAAGGGCTCCGTGGGATATGCGATAGGTAGTGATGGTGATGGTGCAGAGGTTATGATGATGACGATGATGAGAATTTCGACACACGACCTCATAATCGTCCTTCCGAGAACCCGCAACAACTCTCGGGAAGAACAGAGTGGAAAGCTGAGCCAAGAAAGTCCACTCTTTTGGCAGGTTCAAATTTTAAAAACGATCTCACCAGATCGGGCCTTCTACCCTATCTCACCAAACTGTCCGTACTCAAAATTTCGCGCGAGAAGAAATCACACTCTAACAACATCATCCCTTCCTCACCATAGCAGGTAGATATCGTCGGTCACGACAAAGGAAGTCTATTCTACATCTGGCACCTGGGGCAACTACGCATCCATAGCAGCCCTATTAATCTGCGGAGTCTCCTTAGGATCAACATACGGTACATGCCCCAACCCAACCTTATCACCCAACACCTTCCACCACGGTACACCCTCCGGTCTTGCGCTACCCCCCTTCAACCCTGTGTATTTGAAATCAGCCCACTTGGGGAAATGAGATCTGCACATGAAATTCACCTGCCAATCAGGTTGCATCGAAGTAACTCTCCCACTCCTTTCATCGATGTACCAGCTCTTACAACCACTAGTGAAGACCAATTTGGACATTGCTTTTGCGATCCAGTGCTGTTCGTCCAGTTCCGCTTTGAGTTTTACCTCGAAGGTGGGGACCTTGGCTCGTTGGATGTGTTCGTCTGCGCCAGTGCCTGGCATGTGCTCAATAGCTATTAGTGGGGGTTTGGCGGCAGCAAGGACGGGCTTGGCTACTTCAAGAAGGAAGTTTACCGTGCATTCTGAGGCAAAGATGAGGGATTGGTTACCTGTACCAGTGTTGGCAGCGTTAATCTGACCCATATTCGGGAACCCAGAATTGAGCGAGGAACGATAAGCGATCATTCCTCCCTCTCCGTACTTCTCCCAATGGTCATGTAAGGTTCGGTTGAGACCGACAATCTTCATCGGTGCTCCGGCTTTATGCGGTAGGAAACCGTTAGCCATCACAATGACGTCTGCTTTAATCTTGCGCCCGTCCGCAAGGACGACGTGGTTGGGTTCGATACGAGCGAGTTTCGTGTTCTCGACCTTAACGTTGGGCCTGCGGAGAGTGGGGAGGTAGTCATCGTCGATAATACGACGTTTGCACCCAACCATCAACTCGTCCTTTTTGGGTAAGAGCAGGTTCCAGTACTCCTTAGGAGCGTTCTTCTTCATGTGTGCTTCACATTTCCGTCTCCAGTTCCAACGGAAGAGCCTACCGAGTGGGTTCTGGAGGATCATGATGAAGTGCGATTCCAGCACCAACCAGATAAGCAATCTTTGAAACTTGCGGACGAAAACAAAGTGCTGCACAAGCCACTTAAACCCGGGGATATCATCGAATGGGTTGTGCGGATGAGGTGCAATCCAGTGTTTAGACCTAACGAACTGCGTCAATGTCTTGCTGTGCTCCGCGAGATAGGGTACGCACTGAGTAGCAGAACAACCATTTCCCACCAAAACAACATCCTTTCCCCTAATATCGACCGAATGATCCCAAGCAGCAGTATGGAAAATGGCCCCCTCGAAACTCTCATGCCCTTCGATCTCGCACGGTTTCGGCTGAGAAAGTCCGCCTACAGCACTAACAAAGAACTTGCAAACAAAATGGTGCTTCCCCTCCTCTTTCCGATCTGGCCTCCAATCTTGACTCCAAACATGCCACAATCCCGTATCTCTATCGTATCTAGCCTCGAGCACGGTTGTTTGGAAATGGAAGTTCTTTTGGAGGTTGTGCTCGGCTGCTACGGTACCAAAGTATTGCTTGAGCTCCTTTTGCTGTGGGTAGAAGGTTGACCAGTTGCTTTTGGTGGCGAAGGAAAAGGAGTAGACGGGTGCGGGTACATCGCAGGCACAACCGGGGTAGGTGTTGTTAGTCCAGGTTCCGGCTGGGTTGGGAGACTTTTCGAGGATCTTGAAGTCGTGGATGTTCATTTTGCGCTTGAGTTGACATGCCATCGCAATGCCAGAAACGCCGGCACCGACGATGACCACATCATGATATTCGGGTGTCAGCTTGGGCTGGTCGCATGGTGGGAGTCGGTCGGACATCGTCTTGTTGTGTTCCTTGTGTTCCCTGTCTCTTTGCGAAGGCTCGAAGGAGAAGTGGGGAAGATTGAATCTCGATGAGTTGAGGTCCGATGGCAAAGAGGGGCGATCCTGGTGAAAGAGTGTTTTATAGACAGTGATGACCAACCGTGTTTGCTTAGGACATTGAGAAGAGTTGCGCTGCTTGGCCACGATCTGCAGCAATATAGAAATGCGGAGAGAATGAAGGTAACCACCAGGCACAAGACAGGTTCCCACTAACATTTCCACCGCTTTCACACGCGCCCAAGAATTTCTTCTGACGTCGACGCAACGCCTCGCTCTCTCTTGGCTGTGATGCTCGGCGGTCACCTTCGTTTCCTTTGCTTATGCCTTCCCAGGCGCGCCATCGAAATAATACACGGCCAGGGCCGAAGAAAGACGATTTCCTGTTCAACCTGAGCGTATTCGGCTTCGGGTTTGCGATTGTTGAGCTTCGCTGTTGATCGACTTGGCTTCCATTTGTACAGACCAAGTAGGCTCGAGAGAAGTCAATGTTGAGCTTAACAAAGCGATACGCAGCGTCAAAGTTGATCAGCATGCGAATGATAATGATGAAAGCCTAGTGGACCATCAACTTCGGACTCAAGCGATAGTTCTGAGCTACGCCGTGACAACTCACGATCACAGATACTCGGCCACAGAGATAATGACACGCCAAAAAACGAAAACGACAGTGTGATTCAAAACAAGGTACGGGAGTGTTCAAAATATCGCAAAACTCCGTGTCGGAACTGAACCCCGCACGAAGATGCGAAGCAGTGAGCGGCTAGCATGGAAGAAAAGAGAACGAGTAAGGAATGTCCGTGTATAATATATATAAAAAAAACTTCAAGTGGGCAGGTGATGATGTGCTCTTCCTGTAGCGCTGCTCCTCTGTATAACGAGAGGGTTCTTTTCTTCAGATGTGCTGACCCCTTAGTTGTGCGAGGTAAGGCTCCACTGACTGAGAGGAACTGACTTTGGAGTAGCCTGATCAGCTGCCGAGAGCGATTCCCACTGAGGCTGCCACACGACCTGCAAGGTCTGGGCGCCAGACTGAGCTCCGCCGAGGTCGATCGAAAGCGCAGTGACACCGACGTTGGCCTGGTCCGAGTCCTCAGGTGGCGCACTGTAGACAGCGGTACCGTAGATGCGCTGGGCAGGGGGACCTTGCGAAGTGAAGACAGCGTTGGAAGGGCTCAAGATCTGCAACTTCATCGTTTTGGTGCCTCCAAGGCTAACCTTGCCTACGACACCTGCGTTAGGGTCGGTGATGGAGCTCTGCGTCAAAGTAGCAGTCTTGCCATCGGACGAGATGGAAACAGTGCCGTTGGTCTGAACACGCCACTGAACACTGGTGATCGAGCTGGACTGAGCGATCTCATCCTGAACGAGAACCTGTCGTCGACCGTTGAGCATGCGGATACCTCGCTGAATGGTGCCAGCATTCTGGCCGTAGCAGCTTGACAAATCGCTGATGAACTGGACAGCGTCGGTAGCAGCGGGCTTGAACGAGAGATCACCCGTCTGCGAAACGCCAGTGGATGCGAATGTGTTGTTGGGAAGGCAAGTGGCAACCTGCTGATTCTGGTCGTTGATCACAAGCGTGTTCTGACCGTCAGTGGCCTTGCGGTAATAAGTCCATCGTGCCGATTGCTGAGTCTCGTTCGAGAAGTAGTCGGTGGAAAGGTAGTTGCCGTTGCCGTACTCGCCAGCCCAACGGGTTCCTAGCGCATCGATAACAAAGTCACCAGCATCCAGATCACCGTGCGTCTGGTGACCAGTGAGATTCGAGGCCTTGATGCCGACAAAGACAGCGCTAGGGTCGGTCCACGAGCTTCGCATGCTAGCCCACTGACCTCGCTGGTCGTCGAAGAACCTGTCGAGAGGAAGACCATTCCAGAAGGCACCTTTGGCGGTAGGCTCGTACCAGAACATGCTAAGTGGGTCGAAAGCAGCATCGGCACGGTCACGCTGGTAGAGGGCAGGACGAGCATCGCCGGTGAGCCTGGAATAGAGCATGAGCTGATTGGCAGTGGTAGCAAACTTGTTGGGACCGTTGTCTCCGTAAGCAAAGAGACCACCGGGACCGTTGACGTACATGTGGAAGTCCGAGGTCTTGTACCAGTTGGGGTTGGCAGCCATCATTCCTTGGTCCGAGCCAGTGGCGGTGATGAGCGAAGAAAGAGCGCGACCCTGAGCGTTAGTACCGAAGTACCAGTAGTTGGCGGTCTCAGACCAAGTGCCGTCATCGTAAGCACCTCGCATGCAGTTGTCCCTCATGTTTTCGAGTGCCGAGTTGATAATGCTGTCAGCAATGGCAGTCTGGTTGCTGTCACCGTCACCACGGATGGCAAGAGCACCAGTGAGCATACCACCGTTGCAAACACAGTTCCAATTACCGTTACCGTTGGCAGGCAACTTCCACCAACCGTCTGCGGTAGCGTACTGGTTCTGACCAGGAACGAGGCCGTAGTTGACAATGGCGTCGCGGATCATGGTCCTCTCGGTGTTATTCCAGTCGTTGTAGAGCCAGTCGTAGGCCATAGCAAAGGCCGAGGTCATCTCGGCAACATCGAGGAAATGAGCAGCGTTCCAGCGAGTGCCGTTCTGACCGAAGGAGCTTGGGGTGTTGCCGGCAGCGTTGTTCAGCTCGAGGTAGAGACGGTTCTTGAAAGCGGTGTTGTTCGAGATCTTGTAAGCATAGGCGAAAGCCTTGACTCGCTGCTGAACCTCACGGCTGACATCGAGAATACCCGAGCCAGTGAAACCTCCATCAGCTACATAAGCGACGGGGGGTTTGCTCGACCAGTTGGTGGCATTGGTGAAGATGGTGCTGTTCCAGACGGTGAGGTAGGCGTCGTTGGCGATCTTGGTGGGCAAGCAATCCCATTCGGCTTCGGTGGTCATGATACGGGGGTGAGGACGAAGGCTGGTAAGGCTGTTGGTGGCAGTCCACGAGTCGGAGCAAGAGCTGTTGTGAGCCTGACCGTTGTAAGCAGGTGCGGAGGTGTCGACGTTGCTGGCGACAAAGGAGGGGTTGCTGTAGGGGTCGGTGCCCTGGTAGAAGAGCATGTTGTTGCCGCCGTTCTTGGCAGCCTGCTGAGCAGCAGTAAGAGCAGCGCCTTGAACGTTGGGCGACGAACCGCTGCCTAGACCACCAGATCCGCCGCTGCTGCCACCACTGGAGGAGTTGTCGTCCTTGGCAGCGCGTGAGCCAAAGACACCGCCGAGAACGGCACCAGCAATGACGAGGATGAGGATGGGAACACCGATCTTGATCCACTTGGAGACACCGTGCTTGGGCTTGGCGTAAGAGTAGGTGGCAGCAGCCTGAGTAGCCGCATTGCGCTGCTGACCGTAACCGGCAGCGTTGCGACCGCCGTAGAGACCCTCTTGAGACTCTTTGTAAGCAGAGCCCTGGTATCCGGAAGCGTGGTCGGGGTAGTCATGGTACCCAGCGGCAGCGGGACCACTGCTGTAGCCCTGAGGGTAGTCTTGCTGGTAGGCACCCTGCTGGTGAGACTGCTGGTAGCGCTCATCGTACTGAGACGCGTTGGAGTGAATGTAAGGGTCCTGGGGTCGTTGATACGACATGATGAGAGAGGGAATGTAGGGGACCTGCCTCGTTGTAAGATCGCTGCAATGCAATAGATGGTTGGAAGGAAGAGGAGAAAGATCAGCGACGTGTCCAGTTCGACAGTCGAAGGGTGATTTTATGAGGTGCTTGCTTACCTTCTGACGATCTAGGGACCTAGGTGGCTTGTGGGGTTGACGGTGATGGTGGTGGTGGTGGTGGTGGTGGTGATGACAATAGCAACGACAGCAATGCGAGACGCTCAAGTGGGGTTCGGCGAGGCTCAAGCGTCAAGAAGGGTTGCTGGACTTGGCCAGGCTCTCGCAAATGAATGTGAGGCTTGACAGGCTTGGCTTCCCGCGGCAGCAGCAGCAGCACGGCAGAAACGCTGCAGAAACGAAAGACACACAGGGGCCAGCAATGGAGCAGTGTGACCTGAATTTCATTCCTGAGCATCGAAAGCAAAGAAAAATCAAAATGCTCTCTTCCTGGCTGTGCAGCCGCAAACCATGCTTAGCTCGGCGCGCAGGTCCGAGCGAGCCCTTTTATTTTTGATTCTATTCGACGAAAGTTCAATCGGCAGCGTCGGCAGAAAGGGGCTCTGCTGGCATGGCGGCAGCGAAGCATCCTCAGCGAAGCATCCTCAGTGAAGCATCCTCAGTGAAGCATCCTCAACCTCGGCGACTTTCTTTCTTTTTTGGCTGCTCGGCGCGAAGCTGCAGCCACATAAACAACACTTTTAAAAAAAAAAAAAAAAAAAAAAAAAAAAAAACACACACACACACACACATATATATACACACACACACACACACATATATATACACACACACACACACAAGACCAGGTTTCCTTCCCCTCACGGTCACGGATGAGCAAAAAGGCGCTTCAGAGCAGCAGGATTGCGTTGCGTGGTGCAGCTTGTCTATTCGCTCTGAACGGCGCTTCGTCGCCGACAAGCCTTGCTCTTCTGAACATCTTCGAGCCATGTCCATCTCCACAACCAAGTCCCAAGTCCATCGCTGGCTATGATAGCCACTCGACAGAGCCTGCTTGATATTACATCCGGAAGATGAAACCTGATGCGGGCTCTCAGACCTTCAGTGATCAAACCATTCAGAGCAATCTTTTCTGACCATCGACGAGCCAAAAGCCAAAGTTTCGCTTTGGTGAGCGCGTCGACCTTCTCTTCTTGGCGTTTCGATCCTTGATCGTGTGTGTGTTTCCAAGCGCGTATGTGGTGTTTCTCTGTGTGTGCCTGCCGAGGTTCGAGTTTTTCAGGAATGGTTATCACGTGATAAAAGTCACCTGATGTGATCCGTGGTCAGAGATTTTGCCAAGTCATCGCGCAGCTTACAGAATGCACTCTCTCCAATCACCACCTATATTCACGCAGCTGCTCGCTTAGCAGAATCTCGCCGACTCTTCAGGTGTTTTCCCACCCTGTTTTTCCCCCCCTTGTCTTGCCGCTCTCTTGCGCTCATCTGGCCCCCTTTACGGCGGTCCGGGAGCCTCTCGAGCCTGTGAGCATACTCACGCTCATCACGCGATCCTAATCTCCTTTATGCTCTCCTATTGTCTTTGTTATGGTATGAATTGATGGTTCGGAATGCTGTAGCCCGTTGGCTTAACCTTAAACAGATCTCTCTTAGAAGGCAGAATTTGCTGGCTGTCATGCTCCGCAGCCGATCGAGAGTCGAACAATGTCGGCGCTGCTTCTGTTCGGCTGCAATGCCGATCGGTTCTCAAAGACGCTTCGCTTTGACCCTTTCTATGATGGCGTCAAACGGACCCCGTCGTGCCTGCTTCTACGGCATGACAGAGCATTCGCGGATATCTTGCGGCACACCTGTTGTGCCTGGTGAGGCCAAACATCGCATACAAAGCTCGACGATGCTCAGACGTTCCCATACAGACCAAGCTGACCACTGAAAGCCGTTGCTTGTTGCCGAGCTATGCATCTTCGCTCATCATTATACTTTTCACAGAACTCTGCTTGATGCACAGTGTGACGATGTTGCTCTTCTCATACTGTTACATTTCAATGGAGGAGAATTCATAGACATGATAGGATTCCACTTGCAGTGGGTAAAGGCTTCATCGGCGATGCGAACCCACTCGCATCGATCCCGATAGCATGCTCGGGTCCACCGAAGCTGGCATGATACCGTCTTCTGGAACAGGCGATCGAATGAATGGACTCGGACTCGTCGATCCACGACCCATGTGGCTGGATCCGACATCAGACGGGAGCGAAAAAAGCCCATTGCGACCATGATCTTCAAACGGCGCAGCTCCACCAACCAGTCCACTCGGCGCCATGGCCGTGTAGCTTCCACCATCTACATCTGAGCTCTGTGGGATCACCAGCGCGTTGCTTCCATGCATTGACGCTTTCGCCTCGTCCTCCTTACGTGCTTCTTCCTCCTTCGACTTATCCTCTTCAGCCTCAATGATCGGAGGAGGTGCTACTTCAGGTACGACAAGACGGCCTGCTTTCCATCGCGCACCGCAAGCGTTGCACAGCTGCGATGGTCCTTTGGGTCCACGTCGCCACATGGGTGTCTTGGTCTTACCGCAAGCACCGCAGCTCTTGATCGAGCCGTCAGGGTTGTGTGTTGCAACGTGTCGCTTTCGCTTCGGTGGCTTGGGCGGTGTGGCACCAGGTTCGGTCTTGACACCGTTCGGACCGATTACGGCCAGTCCGATGCCTTCGTAGGAGAAGCTGACGTCGTCGTGTGCACCTGCTTTGCGTTTGACTATGGGTCGACCCTGGATGCATTGAGGTCGTACCGCGAAACGGTCCTGCAGGTGATCCTCGAGACCTTGCGGCAACATTGCTGGAGCAACGCGTGGCAGAATGAAGCGACGATCCGGCATCTGGCTGTACAGATCCACAAACGTGTCGGTCGTTTCCTTCTGGATCTTGATCTCTTCCATTGGCAAGTCGAGCAGGTGGTAGCGGATCTCGGGGACCAAGAACTCAGCTACATCCGGCTCGAGTTCGATCTCGGGCTCTCGCTTGGCCGGCTGCAACGTCATGGTGCCGGGCACTCGACCAAATGCTTCCCAGAGACTCTCGGTCACGCCGCCCTTAATGCTCCAAGTGAGAGGATACACCTCGTGCTTCTTGCTCTGAGAGTAGTCTAGAGACAGAGAAGTGTCGGTAGCTTTCTGTTTGACAGCCTTGTTACCCTTCTTACCGCCTGCTGCAGTGCTGCCCTTCTTCTTCTTGTTGCCCGATGCTGCCTCGTCCTTCTTATCGACGACCTCTGGCGATGCGGTAGGTGAAGCAGTGCCATTCGCGGAGGTGCTGCTCTGTACGGGTGTCGAAGGTGCGCTGGCCGCGTTCAGCTTGGCCTCTTCGGCCGCTTTGCGTTTGAGCTCCTCCTCCAACTCGCAAAGTCCACTTCCATCAGCAGCATCTGATCCAAGTGAAGGAGCAAAGAAGCTCAGCTTGAGCTCAGGCTCAATCCTCTGACTCTCCTCATCTTCCGAGTCATTGTCGAAGAAGCCACGCCTCTCCTTCTTGACCTTTGGAGCGGACGGTCGCTCCATACCCTCTGTGCGCTCTACAAGACACTTCCAAAGCGGCAGGATGAAGCGCATGCTTGGGTTCTCGCGGAACTCGACAATGATCACGGGCGGCTCCGGGGGGCCGTCGGTGGGCCAGCTGGGAGGAGGGTGACGCAGCTTGTTTGAGATCGGTGCCTGGTGCTGATGCTGCTGCATTTGGTGTTGCTGCTGAAGCATCTGCTGCTTCTCCTTTTGCTGCTTCTGTACTTGTTGTTTGTCTGTCTGCGCTTTGGCCTTAGCTTCCGCTTTGGCCTTCTTCTTGGCTTCGCGCTCTTCGATCTTGGCCTGCTTCTTGTTTGTTTTGGCCGCTTCGTCTACTTTGCTCTTCTTTGTCTTCTTTCCATCCGCTGTGGTCGAAGCAGAGGCGCCGGCACGAGAACCTGACGCAGCAGCGGCATTGTTGGCTGCAGCTGCGTTCCGTGCCTCGTCCTGTCGGAGCTGGGCAGTGATGGCCTGGATCCATACGCCAAGGGCTTTGAGCTGGTTCGGATTGGCTTTGCCTGAGGCTGCAATGTGGAGCAGCTCCTGCAGTTCGGGGTTGAGCGCTGCGGTGGCGTTGACCCGAGACACTAGCACAGCGTCGATGGCTGGCGGAGGCGGAGGACCTGCTGGACGACCCGGTGCCGGAGCTGCACCTGCATTTAGAACTGCATTGGCAGGCGGCTTGGGCGCTGTCGAAGCCTGACCTGCTGCGGGAGCTGTCTGTGTCACGGTTACTGCTGCTGGAGTGGTAGCGGTTGTCGGAGCCGAGCTGGAAGCTGATGCGGGAGCAGCAGTAGCAGACGTGGACGCAGTCGGCTTTGACGAAGACGCTGTCGTTCGTGCAGCCGGTTTCGGAGCTGCCAAAGCACCCGAAGCAGAATTCGAGGCAGACGCACCTCCCGCTGACGGAGCCGAAGCCGGATTCGCGCTAGAAGGAATGTTGTTCTGGTTGATGCTCGGTGGTCTAGGCAAGGAGGGTGTCGTCATGGGTGGTCGTGGAAGGGACACAGGCATTGCGATCGGCTTCGGCGCAAGCGTGACAGGAGTTGAAACTGTCGTCGCCGGCTTGCTCTCAGCATTGCTGGTTGCGGTCGCAGTCGCTCCGGATGCAGAGGTCGATGTTACAGCAGGCTTGACCGGTGTCGGAGGGGTGGCAGCTGCAGGAGCAGAAGCAGTGCTTACAGGCTTCACTGCTTGTGTTGATGCAGCTGTCGTCGCCGGTGTCGAGGCAGAGGTTGATGAAGCTGCCGTTGGGGCTGTCACTTGAGTCTTGGCTGGTGCAATGGGACGAGCAGCTGCCGGCCCTGCGATGGGCGTTGCTGGCAGGGTGGGTGTAGGCATGGCCGCAGGTTTTGACACAGCCGACGTCGCTGCAGTCGTCGCGTTGCTGGAAGCGGGTACTGCAGATGCAGCCGGACGAACAATCGGTGGTTTGGTCGAGGCTGTTGGGGGACGAGCTAATGGCACGGCTGGCTGAGACACCGAAAGCATCGCACGCGGCGAAGGCAGTTGCGGCGTATGAGGCTGAGGCAGCGGCTGCGATGGAGCCATGCGTGCATAGCTGGGTCTGCCTCCATACGATACGGGTCCGCGCAGTCCGCCGATCAGATTCATGGCGGGAGGCAACTCGTAGTCGGGTCGCACCTCCCAGAATTTGGTCTTCATGAAGACGTGAGGACCAACGTGGATGTCGGCACGTCCGAGCTGAATCAGAATATGGGGCTCGCGTGGGTTGAGACCATGGAGCAGACTGAGTGGCAGCACATTCGGGTAGATCATGCCGGATCTGACACGCTGACTGAAGGGCGTGAGCAGCGATGAGAGGTGCGAGAGTCGGGACTGTCGCAACGACTGAAGCAACACCAGGCTCTCTTCGATGGTAGCTGGCTCTCGTCGTCGCCTACGAGCTTCCCTGCGGCTCTCTTCAGCCTCGCTGTCGAGGTCTGAGTCGTCAGACATGACTGAATAGTCATCGCTGTCGCTACCAGTGTCAAGAGAAGACGTCTCTGAAGCGCCCATGGCCATAGCAGCTTGTACACTTGCATTGTCGAGCATCGGCATTTCTGGTCGAATGTCGGTATAGGGTAGCTGGAAGGGCAGTACAAGCTCCGGAAGCGCCTTGCGACCACCGCCGGCTGCTGTCAGCATGGCAGGTATTGTCGCGTCGGGTGCTGCTCCAATGGTACCGCCCGCAGTGCTGGGAGCTGGACGATACACCAAGTCATCCTGGGCTTTAACCTGATTCGCGCGACGCTTCTGCTTAGGTTTGCCGGTGCATCCTGGCTGCTTATTTGCTTTGGCTTTGCTAACTTTCTTCGGAGCTGCGGTCGCATCGGACTCGGCGTTTGTTGCGGCTGACTGCTGACCTGACTGCGATGATGGCGCTGTTGTTTGTGTAGCGGGCTGCTTTGGCGCTATTGGTGTAACCGACTGTGGAGCACCTCCGTTCACAGCATTGGCGGCCTTCGCAGCAGCAGCCTTGGCTGCGGCATCGTGAAGACTGACTGCACTGGCAGGAGGAGGAGGCCGTTGAGGAGTCTGCGTCACAGCGGGCGCAGAGCTTGCATCGCTTTTCGTTGTTGATGGGTCATTCTGCTGCGATTTGGGTAGTAACGGCTGCTGATATTTTGTGGTTGTCTGTTGTGGTGGTGGTGGTGCAGGTTGTCGTTGCTGCTGAATCTGCTTTTGCTGTGGTTGAGATTGAGGTTGCAAGCTTGTCTGCGCTTTTGACGATGGTGGTGGTGGTGGTGATGGTGTGCGTGGGAAAGAGTCGGCGTTGGAGGCAGGGTTGGCAGAAGAAGAAGCGGATCCGGCCGAAGCAGGGCCAGGATGAACCTGGATGCTATTTGAGCTGGCTCCCTCCGACCCGATGCTCATGATCCCGCTGAGCAACTCGAGCTCAGCCTATATTACAAAGGTTGAGTTTAAAGTTGTTGAGTGAATGGATGCATGCAGAGAGCGAGAGGGGGTTAGGAGGCCGACGAAAGGTTGCGAATAGTAGCGTACTTGAATGCAGATCGACTATGTATGCGGTAGGCGTGCGTCAATTTTATCCGATAGCAATTGTTAGAAGAAGATAGGCAGCGATCGTCAAGCTGGTGCAATGCAACCGTGCCCAACTGGTGTGAACTTGTCGTTGCGAAAAGAGCGGGATTCGAAGAAGATCGTACGACGATGCCGGCCCAGCCAGACGCAGTACAGGTTGAAATCAGGCGTGGCGGGCGGCGTGTTCCGTAGCAGAAGTATACGGGTGAATGTGGTTGAAGGTAAAGAAGTGATGTGGAGTGGAAGGATCGTGAAGAGAGCGAGGTGTGGAAAGAAGCGAGGTTATCGAGCGGGCTCGTCCGTTGAGGGCCGAAAGAGAAGAGGAACAGATTGATGCCAAGAAGGCGAACGGACGTGACAGAGCACAGATTGAGAGAGAGCTGGAAGATGACGAAGAAGAGCCGGAAAGCAACAAGCCATCCGCTCACTCTTCAGACTGTGGATCGGTTAACGTGCACGCACGCGGGCGAAAGGCTAGGGGCCCTCTCTTCTTGAGCCTCCCCATGAAAAGGAGAAGAAGAAGAAGAAAGAAAAAAACAAAAACAAAAACAAAAGAAAAAAACAAAAGAAAAAAATCGTTAATAAAACAAAACAGGTCACAACAGAGAAAGGAAACGCCTTCAGCTGGCCCAAGCGCAGACAAGGGGGTTTCAATTTTAAATTTAAATTATTATTTTTTTTTTCGAAAACTCAAGTTTTTTTTTGAGTTTTCACTTGTGTTGAATATTCCTTACTTACATAAGCTCTGACATTTTGGAAAATACTCTAATTTTTGAAAACACTGCTTCAGCAGTACCAATGTGGCAGAGTTTTCAGAATTGGACCTGAGTCTTCACTCACATGATGTTGCATGTGATGTTGCACATGATTTACTCATGCAAATGCCTCCAATTTTCCTGCACAGCTTGTTTTGCATGAACCCACAGTGTCAATAATGACTGTATCTACTTTGAAGGTGTGACAGGAGTGTCAAAGATGGTGGAGCTACAAGGTGGTTTGGATTCCAGAACTCCTTCATTTTCCAGCCAACACTTCATTTTCTGGCTGACACTGCCCTCCCTTGGTTGGTTTCAAAAATTCACCCACTAAAAACTCAGCATACATTTGAGGGTGCCAATTTCCTGAGCTTTTTTGAGTATTGGAATACTCTAGTTTTCGAGGGCAAAAAAAAAAAAAAAAAAAAAACTGAAACCCCCTAGTGTGAAGTCGATGTTTGGATGCTGGCAACCGATCTGCACACAGAACGCAGTTGGCCTTGAGTCTCACCCAATCTGGACAATCAGATGGAAGGCAAACTACTGGCTTCGGTGTGCGTATGTGGGAGAGATAGCAGCACAAGCTCGGGTCAGGAAGAACAAAAATGGAGAGTCCAAGGAAGGCTTTTGTCATGGGGCCAGATGCGCTGGAGGCGGGAAGAAGTGAAGTCATTTGAAGGAGTGCAGAAATCACAGGATTGGGCTAAGCAAGAGCTTAAAGAAGAGTTTGCTGAGATCAGTAGTAGAAGTGACCCTAGGGCATAACTCATCAGGATCAGTAGGAACAATGTCACTACTACAGGATTCAGTGGGAATCGCGATATCACGCTGAGTATGACAGATCTCGCAGGAATCGGTCAGAGAGGTGCCTGTAAGTGGTCACATGCCAGAGACTAGTTGTGGGTGTTATTCGATCAGTATAGATGGGGTTGATTGAGTAAGTTCTACTTGGTATGTTTCAACTAAATGTAACTAGATGACTGTGTACTGGAAGGTCTCAGCTGACTGCCTTGAACACTCCATTCAGAGGTTGCATGGTGTCATGGGCCTGGATGCTCAAGAAGCAGGAGGGTCACTGATTCATATGGAAGGAGCACAGGTATCGAAGATCTATCTGATACCATTAGAGAGCATGGTCATAGTGCAGTCTCCATGGAGACCATGGACTCCTACAGACTCACATGCAAAGGAGGACCAAGCCCATATGCAAGGAGGGGCAGACACAGCCACAAAGAGGACCAAGCTCAAGGAGCATGCAGATGGTTACCACTCAGGGGCTCAAGAGACAAGAGTCAAAGGAACTGTCACCAGTCAAAGGAGAAGGAGCAGTGTATAGGGAACCAGCAAGCAGGTCCTGAGGAGGAGGAGCAGTGTTGAAGGAGTTGACACCACTCAGGAGGCACAGGGGTGCCAAGCAAGCAGGATAGCAAGGAGGAGGAGCAGTGTCGAAGGAGTCGACACAGCTCAAGAGGCACAGGGGTGCCAAGCAAGCAGGAGAGGCCCCCTGAACAGTACTCGATGAAGAAGGTACTCTCTGGAGAGAGAGCAGGAGCAGCGTCGCTGGCGATGCTGTGAAGAGGTATATAACCATGCTTTCTCATCATCAAAGGTCGAGTGGATCCTCATCCACTCTACACACAACTGTCATGGGCCTGAATGCTCAAGAAGCAGGAGGGTCACTGGTTCATATGGAAGGAGCACAGGTATCGAAGATCTAGTCGATACCATTAGAGAGCATGGTCATAGTGCAGTCTCCATGGAGACCATGGACTCCTATGGACTCACATGCAAAGGAGGACCAAGCCCATATGCAAGGAGGGCCAGGCACAGCCACGAAGAGGACCAAGCTCAAGGAGCATGCAGATGGTTACCACTCAGGGGCTCGAGAGACAAGAGTCAAAGGAACTGTCACTGGTCAAAGGAGAAGGAGCAGTGTATAGGGAACCGGCAAGCAGGTCCTGAGGAGGAGGAGCAGTGTCAAAGGAGTCGACACCAGGTCCTGAGGAGGAGGAGCAGTGTTGAAGGAGTCGACACCACTCAGGAGGCACAAGGGTGCCAAACAAGCAGGATAGCAAGGAGGAGGAGCAGTGTCAAAGGAGTCGACACAGCTCAAGAGTCTGTGCTGACGACGGAGTCAGTCGGATCAGCATGCTTCAACTAGTCGGCCAATCCGAACAAGTATTCAGAGCTGTGCCGACGACGGAGTCAGTCAGATCAGCACGCTTCAACTAGTCGGCCGATCTGAACAAGTATTCGGAGCTGTGCCAACGTCGGAGTCAGTCAAATCAGCATGCTTCAACTAGTCGGCCAATCCAAACAAGTCGAGATGGAACTGAGCCAATGTGACCACATGACCAGGGGGTATGGTCATGAGGTTCAAAAGGGGATTCACAAGATTAAGTCGAAAGGGGGCTGTGCCGAAAGGGGGCATCACACATCAGACAGAAGGAGAGCATGAAGGCGAGAGGGCAGTGTTGCATAACCCTTACACCGAGCAAAATGGTAGGAGCGCAGTATCGAAGGGGATGATGCCAGCAGGGCAAGGCAGTGCCTAACAGGGGACAAAGGCCCCTCAAGAGGAGCAGGATAGGTGTTGAGGGAAAACACCAATCGAACATATAAATACTCTCTTTCTACCATAGCATTCAAGTGGACCGGCATCCACTCTGAAACTCAACTACTTACTCTATACTTACTAGGTTACATATCTTCGCAATAGCAGTGCTCTTGCAACGACTCTCAATGTGTGTGTTGTATCACTGTTAGTCGACAACTGTAGGCAGTGTTCTTCACACTAGCGGTCCAGTTCATTACTGTAGGCGGTGTTCTTCACACTAGCAGTCCAGTTCATTACTGTAGGTGGTGTTCTTCAACACCAGCAGTCCAGTTCCTTGCTGTAGGCAGTGTTGCTCGACACCAGCAGTCCAGTCGGTTATTGTAGGCAGTGTTTCACACCAGCAGTCCAGTAACTCACATCCTCTGTAGGCGATTGGCATATTGTGGTCCAGACAACATCCAAGAGCATTATCAACAGTACTATGAACACTCATACTGTAGGGGAGGGTGTATCACTCACTCACCAACAAACAACGTCCATGCCGCACAACCTCTGAATGGAGTGTTCAAGGCGGTCAGTCGAGACTTACTAGGCGACGACGCTTGGTTACATTTAGGCGAATCATATCGAGTAGTCCTTACTCAATCAACCTCAGCTAGTCTCTGGCGCGCGACCGCTTACATGGTGTCGACTCCTTCGACACTGCTCCTCCTCCTCAGGACCTGCTTGCTGGTTTCCTATACACTGCTCCTTCTCCTTTGACCAGTGATGGTTCCTTTGACTCTTGTCTCTCGAGCCCCTGAGTGGTAACCATCAGCATGCTCCTTGAGCTTGCTCCTCTTCATGGCTGTGCCTGGCCCTCCTCGCATGTGGCTCGTGTCCTCCTTTGCATGTGAGTCCATAGGAGTCCATGGTCTCCATGGAGACTGCACTACGACCATGCTCTCTACTGGTATCGACTAGATCTCTGATACCTGTGCTCCTTCCATATGAACCAGTGACCCTCCTGCTTCTTGAGCATTCAGGCCCATGACACCTTTGTCCCCTGTTCGACACTGTCTTGTCATGGGCCTGGATGCTCAAGAAGCAGGAGGGTCACTGGTTCATATGGAAGGAGCACAGGTATCGAAGATCTAGTCGATACCAGTGGAGAGCATGGTCGTAGTGCAGTCTCCATGGAGACCATGGACTCCTATGGACTCACATGCAAAGGAGGACACGAGCCACATGCGAGGAGGGCCAGGCACAGCCATGAGGAGGACCAAGCTCAGATGGTTACCACTCAGGGGCTCAAGAGACAAGAGTCAAAGGAACTGTCACCGGTCAAAGGAGAAGGAGCAGTGTATAGGACACTAGCAGGCAGGTCCTGAGGAAGAGGAGCAGTGTCAAAGGAGTCGACACCAGGTCATGAGGAGGAGGAGCAGTGTCGAAGGAGTCAACACCACTCAAGAGGCACAGGGGTGCCAAGCAAGCAGGAGAGGCCCCCTGAACAGTACTTGATGAAGAAGGTACTCTCTGGA